TATTTCCTTGAGCCGTCGAAACAATCTGAAGCAATATCAATTGCAACCTCGCTGAATGAAGATATAAATGAGCGAACTATTGAGGTAAAAACGTTAAAGTGATCCAAATCAGAGTTGCAAAAAAGCTGCGTGTACGCGGGTACCACCCGGAGGAAGGTTTGCTTTGAGTGAGGTTTTTGAGGAAGGTTCAAAGTTGAACACTCTAATTGATCACATGCATATACCAAAAAAACAAATATTTCTTTATACTGGTTGCCACTTGACTCAGTGACGTGACGTCATTTTGAGCAAGGTTTCCAAAACTTGAAAACCTACCGGAGGAAGGTTGAACTCTTTTTTCAACTCTGATCCAAATCATTCGTAATCAATACAAGAATGAAATAACTACCACACCATACGAATTGTTAAAAGTTGCAAAATATGTCTGAAGCTTTGAGAAATTTAAATCTTCTCGTTTTCCTTATAGGTTTGTGCGGATGTTTTAAATTCTTTGCAAAATGGATGTTTTGGTAAATGCCCAGAAAAAGTGGAGGAATATAAGAAGAGATGCCATGTTCTGTTTCCTTATTGTTTAATATTCATGCCAGCAAAACAGGGAGAGATTGTGGAAAATGGTCCTAGTAGCGAAAAAACAGCTTGTAACGGAAGTAATGAAAGTAAAAGTTGATTATCGTTGTCGATGGAAGTAAGAGTCTTACGGCAGAAGAATTCACTGCAAAAAAATATCATTGAGAATTACCACTGCGACTATTATAAACAATGAACATTCAACAATATCAAGACACGTCGATAGTTGCAAGAACGAGTTAATAGAAGATGGAATAGTTTTCCACGGAATAGACATAAATATTGTTCGAGCTTCACATTTTAGGCAAATGACAATTACTACAAACGACACGATTCCTTAATTCACAGCGATTTCATTATTTTGCTTTTGTCAGATTTTGGCAAGATTTAGATTGGCAAAATTCTTAAACTGATTTTCATTGTTTGCCAATTTCATTAGAAAAAAAATTAGTCTGCCTGTCCTTGGATGAGAGAACGTGAGGCTTTAACTGTTTAGTGTCTTAAAGACGATATAGATTCTTTTACGATAATTTTACAATGATTTGTCATCAAGAATATGAATATTTTTGTGCCAACAACTTTGAAAACTTGTCTGCGTTTGTCTGGCAATTCATTTGAATATCAAAAGTTGATGTGGACATGTTGTTTTATTCTGTATGCACTCTATATCTAAAGGGGATTTAGCATGTCATCCCGTGACGGCGTCCATGAAGTGTGTTGATGTGGAACGAGTTGAGGATCATTGTTTGCACAATAGAGGCATATTTTGTTTGGTGACCTCTAAGTTAGTTCATTATCCCCTAGGCGGAGGTTACTGAAAGCTTATGCAATATACAGGCAACATTTTCGACATAACTGTCGAACTTGGCGAGGCAGGAGCCGGGCGTCCACACGTTCTTTCTCTAAAGAATCTCCTCCAACTAGTCAGTGGAAACACAAGCAGAGGAAATTTTATAAGATGGCGTTTTGCAGCATGTGTGTTGGCTGGCGGTTAAAACATTCTTTAAATTTACTTCGTTTAAATAAAAGATTCTTTTCCACAGCATCTCGGCTAATGAAAAATGAAAGTCCTAAGCCAACGAAACAGTTCAGTCTAAGTTTTGAAGAATATCAAACGTTGCGTAGAAAAGTTAGAACTCAGAAGAGGATATCTGGAATCCCATTTGCAGCAGTGGGTTTAACGTCATCTTCAATGATCTCTGTTATGTTAAATCCTCATTTATTTGATGCAACTGATCCTGAACAGATACAACCCATTCTGTAAGTTCAATTCCTCTGTTTTTTTGTTTTCTGCAGCAGCAATGTTAAGACATTCTCTTTCACCTTAACCTATACTTATGCTGTTTTTCATTTCTTTAGTGGAATGGATCCTCTTGTTTTCTGTACATTATGTGGTGTGGCAAGTTCTGCAGCTGGGTATATGTTGGGATGTGCATTGTATGGGCTAGTATGGCAATGGATGAATAAAGATCTTGCCCAGAAAATTAAAGAGGTATTATTACCTAAAAACGTACTTCACAAATTTGAAATCAAGTTGAGTTCCTTGCCAGTTGATGTCATGCATTTTTGGTCTTTGAGGGAAGCATTTGTTGAATACTCAATAATAATAATAATAATATATAATAATGATCAAGTAAGGATAAATAGCAATGTAATTATTTGTAATTTAGTTGTACCTAACTATTCTTTTCTTGCCCATTATATTTTTAGAGAGAAACAGATTTTTTCCAAAGATTAGAGAGCCATCGAACAGATGCATTTAGTAAGTTTGAAGATGATTTTTATGGAGAAAGTATAAAGACATTGAGTGATTATCGCCAGTGGGTGCGACAGATGCAAAGAAAGAAACAAGAGGAAGAGAAATATGGAAAAACACTTGTACAAAATAAAGAAGATGAAGCATCATAACATTATAGTCTATGTGAAGTTTTTAGGATATCAAATATTATTCAAATGCTTGCTGCAGCATGAAAAAGCATATTAGGCTTTTAAATCTGGTGGTTTTAACCTGAACTCCCAGATTGTCTAGCTACCGCTGAGTAGGGTGAAGATATATTCAGTGCACAAATACTACCCTGAATAGTGTATATGAACTATGTACTGTTGCATCAAATTGATAAATATTTTGACAAATCCTGAGTCATTCCTGGATTCATGCATCAGAGCACGTATGAGAAATGAGAAAATTGTCAAGTGAAAGGAATATATAAATTTACTGCGTGGAAACATCGCTATGACGTCATATTGCATCGCAAATTGCAACTTTTTGCTTTTCTTTTGTTTGTTACGTTTTTACATTTTCTGATTTGTCTGATTATTTGGTTGGTTTCGGGACACCTTCCTTGAAAGCCGAGTTTGAAGTTGCACTAAGATGCCTGTGAAAGTACATATTGAATACTGGTAAGAACCTTGCTGTATTTAGTCTGTATTAAATCTATTCAATGTTAATTTTTCTCCTGACAACAGTATGTTTACATAATAATAATAATTCATGGCGCGATCGTCGTCTGAATTCTGAAATCATTTCATTGATGGTCGGTCATATTATCTTTTATTTTTAGAAATGTGGTTAAATTTCGACTAAAACGGAAATATGAATTAATACTTATACAGCCTCCAATAATTCAGCTCTAGAAAAGTATTGTTTCCCTTCAGTCTTCATCCCCTCACTGTGGGCATCAATTTCGTGACGTTTTTAGTAATCTGATTTAATAACAAGATTTTGTGCAGTGTGTATAGTATTTGCAAAGACGAATGATTTTTTTGTGTGTAAATTGTAATATTGAAAAAGTAGCTGGGCCATCTTTGCTCAAGAAATTAAAACCAGTTTTGATCAGTCTGGTATGTGTGGAGACAGGCACACTTATGTTTTCTTTTCATGACTGACATTAATCTTTAGGCTCTTTTATGGAATGATTGTTGTGCATGATATACTGTGTCAGCATGCATGGTGTGCTGTGTGTCAAATCAAATTTGGTAGAACATTTAAGAAATGTTGTACCTAAATAGTATTTCATGGTTTCTGTATTCTATAATACTACATATGAAGTTGATAAGCAGTTACAAACACATATGTGTGCCAATCTACTCAGTGAGTCAAGAGGAACTCATTGAGTTGCAAATTGCACTTAATAGGTGTTTGACTTATCATGTCAGGTCACTAGATGTATTTTAATATTGCATTTTAGTGGTGGATGAGGGTACTACCCTCGCTTCAGGGAACTGGAGCAAAGTATCAAGAAATCAATTCCTGATGCTGATGTCACTGGTCAAGTTGGGAAAAGAAGTAAAAAATTTTATTATAATCCATTTTAATAATCTCCAATTTTTTGTTAAAGCTTAATTTTGATTGTTTTCATGTTCAGGTTCTTTTGAGATTACAGTTAATGATACTCTTATCTACTCTAAGTTGGAGAAGGGTGGTTTTCCTGAATTTGAACAGGTATTATATTGTTCATTATAAATTTAAAATTGAAATATTTGACTGGACCATATTATATATCAAGCTTTAGTAGACTTTAACTTATTTTATCTCCTAAACTTGTTTGGAGGGATGCAAACAGAAGTGATAATTGGGGCTAAATTGGATAATATGAATTTTCTGAATATTTAGTGTCTCATACCTACTTATTTACGTTCTAGGTAATAAAAGAGATTGAGCGAGTAAATAATGGTGGGGAAGCAGGAGAAATTTCTAAAGAAAGCTCAGGCTGCATTGTTCTTTAAGTAATTCTTGATAACTCTAATTTCTAAGTTTTAACAATGGTAACAATATTCTCATGACTATGAAAAATACAACTTTTTAATGAAAACTGCTGCTTAAATCGAATACTACATATTGAAAGCAGTGGTTGGATGCAATCAGATGTTGTATATTTCTATTTTATTAATAATATTAAACACGTACTTTAAATAAACTTTTTTTATTGCTTTAATGCATGTACTGCAGCTGATTTAATAAAATGTAGTATGTTGATTTTGAATGAAGGTTGTTGTTCATTTGTGCAACGCAACCAGCCATAACTAGCATAAGCCTCATCGTGGATATTGTAAATACGCTAATACGAAATTTCAGATGAAGCAGCAAACCGGTTATGGTACGAACAGGGGCGCTTAAGTTATGGTTACGAACTGCAGTTGAATACTTTTAATTCGCATTTTTCAAAAAGTATTAGTTATTAGACTGAAATTGAAGGTGAAAGAAATGAAACATGGTGAATCGCGATCCGTCCAATGGCAATGTGGTCCAATGGTACATACACCGTTATCACCGTAATACGGTACCGTACACCTTTTACTAGTTGCCCGGAGCTCACTGCTCAACCTTCACAGGAGAACTTCAACGAAGAAATTTTATCTTCAGTAAATTTGGTTAGTTTTGTTCCTTGTGATTCGCAACGAACGTTTAAATTGTGAAATTTAAAATAAAAAAGTCTTTCTTTATTAACTCGGTACTAAACTAATATCAGTACTGAGCTTATATGTTTCCTGTAATTTAATGGCATATTTAATTAACCCCTTTCCTGTTTTGCAAAGTGCAAACAACTACAATTTTGACTTTGTTTTCAAACAAATATGTCAGTAATCACGAAAATAATTTGTCAAATTTAAGTAAAAGTTGAAATTCAAGCAAATTGAACCTATTGATATTGATTTAGCACTGAACTGTTTGCTGAATCACATGATCGTCAAGGTAATAGTCATGGACAGTGCCTCTCTCAATGAGAAACGAAATCTCTCGTTTACAACAATTATATACAATTTCTTTCGAAAAGTTTAATATACGTCTGATAACCATCATTCCTGAAGGTATTTCAACTGAACTTAATTGAATGTTGCCATCAAATAAAGAGGAACATTGTAAACAAAAAAGGTCTTCCGGCGCTATTGTTCTGTTTGTCTCAGATTGTGCTAGGCAGCCTGGGCTATTTCCAATTTATTCTGTATTAAAATTTAATTCCCTGCACACCCGTCGGTGCATTGTCATTGATCTTTTGCAATGTTGAAATTATTCCGGCTTGTATTGCTAAATGATAAATAATGTGTGTTTTTTTATATCAAAATATATATTGTATTTTTGGATATTCAATAATTAGTAAAATTTAAAATTAAGAAAACACGTTCTCATATGAAGTCGAAAATAGTTTGTCAAAATTTAATTAGATTATTTGAACTCCATGTCATTTGAGCAGATGGGGCTGATTATCTATATGACCTTGCATCAAAAATGAGACGTAATAAGTCATATTAATATTCATTTTTTGTAAACTTACGTTCTGGGGCCGGTTGTATCAAGCCCCTTAAACGGTGGATAAGTTCAAAATAGAAAGCAAGTCTGCCCTTTTATTCAAGAAGCAAACAAAATGTTTTTAACCTCAATACAAAGATACTGTTTGCAACTACATATCCAGTGCATAATATTCAAGTTGACTCATTCAAGAGAGATGTAAGAGTGTTATTTAATTTTGACTTATCCACCGTTTAAGCTAAACGGGCTTGATACAACCGCCCCCTGATTGGGGGTAAATTTCCACACCGAAAAATACTGAACGGGAAACCGCTTGGGGTGTTTTAGTATTTAAAGATAAGCATGTGTTGCTTAGTTGGGTAGGTAGGTACTAGGTAGGTAAAACTTTATTTAAAACCAAGAAACACGCTAGCCCCATCAACTCCAAGCGAAATTACCCTGGGTACGAGGTTGCATCAACTCTAGGCTGGTTTCCATGAAGGGCGTGTTTAAATATTAAAAACAGTTCAGTATGACTACAAAACAGGACAATTACACACAGACAGTTTCACACAAAAATAGATTATATGAATAGGTAGGAATCATGCGTTTCAGTGTCCAACAACAATTGATTTAAACAAACGAAGCGACTCGGCTGATTTTGCTTCGTTTGGGAGGCGATTCCAAAGCATAGCGATTCGGCCTCTTCTCATGCACAAAAGACTCCCGAAGAGCCGGCGCAGTGTGGTTAAGTATCTTGTACATCAATACTGACTTGGCACCAGACCGTCTAGTTTCAAATGTGACCCAAGAAAGATTGCTAAGAAGATCGATTGATGAAGTATCATAATTTGCATCAGTTAAGACCCTCGCTGCACGAAACTGAAATTTTTGCAACTTGTCTCTGAGCAGCTTACCACAAGTATCCCACAGAGGGGAGCAGTAATCGAAGTAAGGCTGCACAAGACTTTTATAAACAGATTCTAGGCTATGTCTAGGAACAAAGGGTCTTAGTTAAGTTTAAAAATGATATAAAGTCTTTACGAGTTTACTCAAAATGAATATTAAAAGCATTAAAGCACTCTTTGTTTGTACATTATCGGGTTTTACATGCATTCGTCACAAACAAGGAACTCGAAGTTCAATACTGCACTCGGCTTCGAGTTCCTTGTTTGTGAAGAGTACATGTAAAACCCGATAATCCACAAACAAAGAGTGCTTTAATGCTACGCGCCTCGTCGGCTATCAGCTCATATACGACTCGAGTTCGCAGAATAACTGTTAATTGTATATTTCACATAGTTATGTACGGTTCATAAAAGTGATAAAACGTCCAATATCTTGATACTTCCTCTACAACACGATTCGTAACAATTCGATAATTGCTCTTTAGCCTTATAGGTCACGGCATGCAACAAAAAAAATCATGTATGAAGAAAATTGGAAATGAGAAATCACAAAAATATATTACTATTAATATTATTAGTTTAAATTATTAATGAAACAATTTTTTATTATAGTTCTATACTATATACAGCTCCTCCATTCAAAATATACTAAGCCGGTTTTAATAAAGTAATACCGAACAACGGGTAATGTTAGAGTGCTTAGAAAAACCACTATCCCGCAGTGTATAGCTCCATCCAGTGTTCGTATACAAGCTTCACCAGTACTATATATAGTAGGCTAAAAATCACGGAAAAGCTAATAGTAAATCTATATGCTTTTTTTAACGACAAAAATGAGGAAAAAATCAGTTCATTATCCAGCCGTTTAACCTAGCTTCCATAAAAATAACGACAAAAATCTGACTAAATACGACGTGATAAGGTCTCAGTATAGTGCTTCCGAAAATACTTGGCGTGTATTCGACACGTGCGTGCATTGTTTTTGATAAAAGGATGAAGTAAAGACATTTTATATTATCCGAAACTGGACGCAATATTCACTTTTATTACTTGGATTGTATCCAGTTTCTGGCTTTCTTTGTTTGCCGGCATCCGCAAGGAGTGTTTGAGGACCTACTATTTTTCCTCATTATTTAACCACTCGAAATTGTACGCATACATACTTATATTGGCCAAAATGAATATATTTTTCACTGACCTAATACCAGGCTATATATTATACCTTATTTAAACTTATATGAGTTATATATATCTAGTAGCAACGTCCATACTAATTATTAGGCAAATAAAAAAAAACGACAAAAGCTGAAATTTTTTTTCGAACTATATAAATAATTTTTTTGCTTCAACTCCATGAGAGAACTACTTTCATTTAAAATCTCACTCAATGTTAAACAAACAACTTGAATGGATACACATACGCCTGTCAGTGGTCGGATCGCATGAGCAATTGAGACTAGATCATATTATACAGATCTTAGACCTAGAATTTTCTTTCCATCATGATTGAAACAAATGATATGAGCTACTTTTTACAGAGTTAGAGGAGTATAATTTTTACCAATCTACTGTGTTTTATCCTGGAATGCCTTCAACCTTTACTAGACTTATACCTGAGTTCAAATGTCATCGTATAATTCCTTCTATAGATCTGGAATATATTTTCTTCATGGCGATCGAATAAAAAAAGCGACATACCGAAAAGCTTTCTTAAAGCTTTCTTGTGGTAATTATATAATAATTCATTCACAGTATATTTCAGTAAACAGGGGTCATATCGGCCACGACATTAGAAATAAAGGTTTCATTGCAGCGTAATGATCTAATAGTCCGTATTCCGTCAACCTCATTTTTCTTTTTCTCAGCTGAACCTCATCAGTACAGTTGGTGGGATAGTTTTGGTTTCGAGTCAGTCGCTTGTCGCAAAGCATTGTGTGATTGTGATTCTGTGGCTGCCCGGTGTTTCAAGAATTCTCCGTTCAACAACCACTTCAAACATTATGATCAGGATAAATGCTAAATACGTATAAACGATTTCTGGCGAAAATCGATATAATGAATTTCCTACTTTATTTTGAGTTTTTGATTTGCCTACTTTGTAGTGTTAATTATGTAGCTAATTGTAACTGAACTACAATCCTGTAGACTGTAATGTCAACTGTGGCCCAAAGTGGTCCCATGGTACATACACCGTTATCACCGTAATACGGTACCGTACACCTTTTACTAGTTGCCCGGAGCTCACTGCTCAACCTTCACAGGAGAACTTCAACGAAGAAATTTTATCCTCAGTAAATTTGGTTAGTTTTGTTCCTTGTGATTCGCAACGAACGTTTAAATTGTGAAATTTAAAATAAAAAAGTCTTTCTTTATTAACTCGGTACTAAACTAATATCAGTACTGAGCTTATATGTTTCCTGTAATTTAATGGCATATTTAATTAACCCCTTTCCTGTTTTGCAAAGTGCAAACAACTACAATTTTGACTTTGTTTTCAAACAAATATGTCAGTAATCACGAAAATAATTTGTCAAATTTAAGTAAAAGTTGAAATTCAAGCAAATTGAACGTATTGATATTGATTTGGCACTGAACTGTTTGCTGAATCACATAATCGTCAAGGTAATAGTAATGGAGAGTGCCTCTCTCAATGAAAAACGAAATCTCTCGTTTACAACAATTATATACAATTTCTTTCGAAAAGTTTAATATACGTCTGAAAACCATCATTCCTGAAGGTATTTCAACTGAACTTAATTGAATGTTGCCATCAAATAAAAGCCGCCGAATTTCTTCCTGACGATTTGTCTGCGATTTCTCTGAAAACACAGAGGGGAAGAGGGGAAGAGGGGAAGAGGGGTCAGAGAGGAACATTGTAAAAAAAAAAGGTCTTCTGCAATTGCTCTGTTTGTCTCAGATTGTGCTAGGCAGCCTGGGCTATTTCCAATTTATCAGTCTGTATTAAAATTTAATTCCCTGCACACCCGTCGGTGCATATATGCATTGTCATCGATCTTTTGCAATGTTGAAATTATTCCGGCTTGTATTGCTAAATGATAAATAATATCTTATTTTTTTATATTAAAATACATATTGTATTTTTGGATATTCAATAATTGGTAAAATTTAAAATTAAGAAAACACGTCGAAAATAGTTTGTCAAAATTCAATTAGAATATTTGAACTCCATGTCATTTGAGCAGATGGGGCTGATTATCTACATGACCTTGCATCAAAAATGAGACGTGATAAGTCATAATATATGCAGTTAAATGATCGCGGGTTAGCTATATAAACTGTTGAGAAAATGTCGTCTTCTGTGTCACGACTATCCATAGCAACGTGCATGTGATGTGTGATATGTAAGTACTTCTTGCTCTGCCAATCATCGTTATTTTTTTCAGGAAAACAAAGTCTTAAGTTTCCAGAAAATTTTGAAATTCTAAAGTTGACTAGACTAGCTTTAGCGTGTAAGATTAATTGTATATTTCACATTGTTATGTACGGTACATAAAACGTCCAATATCTTGATACTTCCTGTACAGTACGATTCGTAACAATTCGATAATTGCTCTTTAGCCTTATAGGTCACGGCAATTAAAACAATCATGTACAAAGAAAATTGGAAATGAGAAATCACAAAAAATGTGTTACTATTAATATTATTAGTTTAAATTATTAATGAAACAATTTTTTATTATAGTTCTACTGCTCTATAACTAAACATGATTTGGAGTGTCAGTTATTTCCTTGTAATATTGACCGTTATAAATACACTCGATGGCAAAGCTGGTAAGTGTTGAGTATGAATAACCTTAAATATATACAAAAAATCCAGTATGCACGAATTCTGGCACTGGAATTTCAACAAGGAAAGACGACAGTTGATAACAGTTTCGCTTTTCAGTTTGTTCACGATATTTCATGCAAAGAGCCCCGTGTGTTTTATTGCTGTATGATAGTGTATCGTCAGTTTTAGTAATGAAAGATTATTCTTAAAATGTATCCAAATTTTAGCTGTGTATAGCTAAATATATGTATATTGCATGTCCTCTCTCTAAATATTGCATTTTGTTGAAATGCTTGTTTGTTCGAAACGTTGAGGGTTGAATCTATGTGTGTAGAGATTGTGACTGTGTGGTCCAAAAAATGATCGAAATTGTGAAATTATTTATCACTTTATGTTAGTTGACTCGATAAACAATCAGAAAAGAGGATTATACTTTGGTCATATGATATCATGTGAAACTGGGCGCAGTGCTGTCGATTACCTGGACTATGGTTGTTTCTGTGGTTTGGGTGGAAGAGGGACACCTGTGGATGAACTTGACACGTATGTACAGATTTAGAGCAGTACTCACATGTCTTGAACAGTCTTTTCAAATCTATTTTTAATTAAAATCATGAGAAAACGTCACAAAAAATGAACCGGTAAACTGCAGTTTAAAATTTGATCATAAGGTTAACTAGTTAGCGTGGAGTATAAGATACAATGATATTTTGTATTTCCAATACTAATTTCAGTTAAATAAAGTAACATAGTTAGTTTATATATAATAATATTTAAGAAATTATTAATATTTTCGTGTTTCATTTGACACAAATTTTATGTACAAACTGTGATTGTAGTTCACTTTTTGATGTGATCTTGATTTACTTTTTTTATTTTTGATTACAGATGCTGCCACACACACGATCAGTGTTACGGAGATCTTCTGGACAGCGTGTGCAGTTTATCACATTCAATATATTCCATCACTTACAAGTATCATGGATGTTCTGATTGTGGTAATTATATGTCAAATTTTTCATAATACTCGTTGAACCACTGATGATTCACTTTACTGTCCATGCAATTTAAAAGTGCGTTTGGAGTCTCTTTCCCAGTTCGGATTGCAGGCAGGGCTGGTTGTAAAAAACTATTAATTACATTTTGCATATAGTTAAATCCTAGTTAACTCAGAAATACACGACTCTGATTGGCAAATTCTCTCCTTAACTACAGTTAAAAGTTAACTAGCCTTTATACAAATGGCCCCGGTCTTTATGTGCAAAAAATATTTTAGAGGGCCGGTGATTAGAAAAACCACTAACCCCGTGAATAGCCTTATCCAGTGTTCGTCTACACCCGCACCAGCACCAGCAGGATAAAAATCACGGCAAAGTCGAGACTGCAACACAATGGCCCTATATTATCCGAAACTGGGCGCAATAATCCCTTTTCTTACCTGGATTTTGTCCAGTTTCTGGTTTACTGCGTTTGGCATCCGCAAGGAGTGTTTGAAGACCAACTATTCATCGTTTATTCAACCTCATCATTTAACACTCGAAATTGTACGCATGCATTACTCATGCATATCAAAGCCAGTGGCGATAAAATGTAAATTATTCAGATATTGAGATGTCATTTTCATATTCTGTTTTAGCACGATGATTTTCAGTAAATCGGTGAAGTTTGTTTTTTTATTTAGCTGAGCCTCATGAGTACAGTTGGTGGGATAGTTTTGGTTACGAGTCAGTCGCTTGTCGCAAAGCATTGTGTGATTGTGACGCTGCTGCTGCCAAATGTTTCAAGAAATCACATTTTAACGACGAATTTAAACATTATGATTATGATAAATGCTAGCTAGATACATGTGATTTGTGAATGCTTGATGTTTGAAATTAGAGGTGTTAAATCAATAAAACTTACAGTAATTGATACCTCGTTTTTTTGCTTCTGCTCATGAGTCCTGAATAAAATAACGTTTGTATATATATATACGAAAGTTGGAATGCACTATCCCACGATAGTCTTTGGAACTTGCAATTATAAAAGAGGCTCCTCAATTCAAAAATACTAAGTTATACCGAACAACGGGTAATCAGTGTTGAGTGTTCGTATATAAAATCTGCACCAGTATACTATATACAGCAGACTAAAAATCACGGAAAGCTAATGGAAAAACTACATGCTTTTTTAACGATAAAAATGAGGAAAAAATTTAAAAATTAACAACGAATTGTATTGTATTCAGTTTCTGCCTTTCTGCTTTTGGCATCCGCAAGGAATGTTTGAGGACCGACTATTTTTCCTCATTATTCAACCACTCGAAATTGTACGCATGCATACTCATATTGGCCAAACTGAATATATTTTTCACTGAACTAATACCAGGCTATATACCTTATTTAAACTTATGAGTTATATATAGCTAGTAGCAACGTCCATACTAATTATAAGGCAAATAAAAGAACGACAAAAGTCGAAATTTTTTTGGGAAATATATAAATAATTTTTTTGCTTCAACTCCATAACAGAACTACTTTCATTTAAAATCTCACTCAATGTTAAACAAACAACTTGCATGGATACACACACGTCTGTCAGTGGTCGGATTGCATGAGCAATCATGAGACTAGGTCTTATTATACAGATCTTAGACCTAGAATTTTCTTTCCAACATGATTGAAACAAATGATATGAACTACTAAATTTTTACGGAGTTAGAGGAGTATAATTTTTACCAATCTACTGTGTTTTATCCTGGAATGTCTTCAACCTTTGTTAGATTTACCAAATGCTAGACTTATACCTGAGCTTCAATCAAATGTCATAATTCCTTCTAGATCTGGAATATATTTTCTTCATGGAGATCAAATAAAAAAAGCGACATATACTGAAAACCTTTCTTATTGCTTCCGTTTCAGAAAAAACACTGCCACATATATATATACTACCATGCACATATAGAGTAGGTATTCCACAAATTTGCCGCACAACTGCTTCAACAATAAAGCCTAAAGATGCAGATTTGGCGCCTCAGTTGTATCCTTGTTCTTTTTATCGTTATAAATGGACTGGATGGAAAAACAGGTTGGTTTTACACTTTATGTACAATGCTCCCGTGAGGGTTCGTGACAATTTGCTCAATACGTTGCAACATAGCAAGTTTGAATAGGAAAATTTATACAATGTTAAAAATAACGGGAGTAATTCTTTTATTTTCAACTCTATGTTAGTTGACTCAGTGACTCAGAGGAAAAGAGGACTTTACTTTGGTCTTATGATATCATGTGAAACTGGACGCAGTTTCGTTGATTACTTGGATTATGGTTGTTTTTGTGGTTTGGGTGGAAAAGGTATCCCCGTGGACAAACTTGACACGTATGTATTCTTCTTTTTATTTTACTTTTAATGGTGTATAGCCTGTCTCCTGAGTCCTAACTATTTTCCAAACCTTAAACCCGTTATCGCACGTCTTTATCCCAGAACGAAATAGAAATAATCAGTCCCTGCATGTAGAATGGAAGTGTTTGAAATGGATGTAACATTTTCTAGATGCTGCTATGAGCACGACAATTGCTATGGGGATTTGGTGGAAAAGAAACTTTGTCATCTTGAAATTTCGACTTATTCCATCACCTACAAGTATACTGGATGTTCAACTTGTGGTAATTCTCGCTTTCAGTAAACAGGGGTCATATCGGCCACGACATTAGAAATAAAGGTTTCATTGCAGCGTAATGATCTATAATATTCCGTATTCCGTCAACCTCGTTTTTCTTTTTCTCAGCTGAACCTAATCAGTACAGTTGGTGGGATAGTTTTGGTTACGAGTCAGTCGCTTGTCGCAAAGCATTGTGTGATTGTGATTCTGTGGCTGCCCGGTGTTTCAAGAATTCTCCGTTCAACAACCACTTCAAACATTATGATCAGGATAAATGCGTATGAACGATGTCTGGCGAAAATCGATATAATGAAGACAATTTCCTACTTTATTTTGAGTTTTTGATTTGCCTACTTTGTAGTGTTAATTACGTAGTTAATTGTAACTGAACTACAATCCTGTAGACTGTAGTGTCAACTGTAGGATTAGTTACATCAATGTAATGCGTGTAGATTATGGAGATTTCATTTGCAGATTATAGTGGAAATTTATCAGTGTTGTGCATGATCAATTTCTGTTCAAATCGATTGTCTTTACAGTCTGTTACATAAATATATGAATATGCCCCTCCCCCCAATTATCGTGCTTCCTTCCTACGCCACTGGACATGTCTATCATTTCAATGCGTTGTGCATAAGGTTTTGTCTACCTCGGATAGGTTTTTGTTTTAAAATCTCACTTAATGTTAAACAAACAACTTGGATAAACGCCTGTCAGTGCCTTGATATCGATCGCATGAGCAATGAGACTAGGTCTTATATATGCAGATCTAGAGTTCTCTTTCCATCATGATTCATGATTGAAACAAGTAACAAATGAACTTCTTTTCTCAGAGTTAGAGGAATATAATTTTTACCAATCGACTGTGTTTTATCCTGGAATGTCTGCAACCTCTCTCATCAACCTCATCTCTTCAACCTCATCTCAAATGTCACTGTATTATAATTCTTTGTAGATCTGGAATATAATTATTTTCCACATATAGCAATCAAATAAAAAGCGGTATAACATTACGGTATTTTGAATATCAAGCTCTTCCGTTTCAGCAAAAACACTGCCACATAATTATTGTTTTAAAATCTCACTCAATGTTAAACAAACAACTTGGATAAACGCCTGTCAGTGCCTTGATATCGATCGCATGAGCAATGAGACTAGCGCCTGTATTCTAAAAGCTCACTCACACTCAAACTCATTGAGTGGAAGATCTTAATCTTCCCATAACATATCAATGGCGGTATTTCCAGCCGAATAGGGGTTTGATTTTCAGTGATTTACCTTATATCTTTCCATCTATTTAGAAAAAACTTTCTCATTGATCACCATTAACAAAATTTATATGTCACACTCAATGAGTGTGAGTGTGAGTGAGCTTTTTGAATACAGGTGTAGGTCTTATACATGCAGATCTAGAGTTCTCTTTCCATCATGATTCATGATTGAAACAAGTAACAAATGAACTTCTTTTCTCAGAGTTAGAGAAATATAATTTTTACCAATCGACTGTGTTTTATCCTGGAATGTCTGCAACCTCTCTCATCAACCTCATCTCTTCAACCTCATCTCAAATGTCACTGTATTATAATTCTTTGTAGATCTGGAATATAATTATTTTCCACATATAGCAATCAAATAAAAAGCGGTATAACATTACGGTATTTTGAATATCAAGCTCTTCCGTTTCAGCAAAAACACTGCCACATAATTATTGTTTTAAAATCTCACTCAATGTTAAACAAACAACTTGGATAAACGCCTGTCAGTGCCTTGATATCGATCGCATGAGCAATGAGACTAGGTCTTATACACGCAGATCTAGAGTTCTCTTTTCATCATGATTCATGATTGAAACAAGTAACAAATGAACTACTTTTCTCAGAGTTGGAGAAATATAATTTTTACCAATCGACTGTGTTTTATCCTGGAATGTCTGCAACCTCTCTCATCAACCTCATCTCTTCAACCTCATCTCAAATGTCACTGTATTATAATTCCTTGTAGATCTGGAATACAATTATTTTCCTCATATAGCAATCAAATAAAAAGCGGTATAACATTACGGTATTTTGCATATCAAGCTCTTCCGTTTCAGCAAAAACACTGCCACATAATTATATACTAGCACATATAGAGTAGATAGTTAAAAATTTGCCGCACAACTGCTTCAAAACTAAAGCCTAAATAAAGATGCAGATTTGGTACCTCAGTTGTATCCTTGTTCTTTTTATCGTGATAAATGGATTGAATGGAAAAACAGGTAGGTGATAGTTTACCCTAATATATAACCAGGAAGCCCCGTGGCAGCGTCTTCAAACAACCTAGCATCGAAGTAATTCTTTTATTTTCAAATTTATGTTAGTTGACTCAGTGACTCAGAGGAAAAGAGGACTTTACTTTGGTCTTATGATATCATGTGAAACTGGCCGCAGTTTCATTCATTACTTGGATTATGGTTGTTTTTGCGGTTTGGGTGGAAAAGGTACCCCCGTAGACAAACTTGACACGTATGTATTCTTCCTGTTTACTTTACTTTTCATGGTGTATAGCCTGTCTCCTGAGTCCTAACTATTTTCCAAACCTTAACCCCGTTATCGCACGTCTTAAGTTTATCCCAGAACGAAATAGAAATAATCAGTCCCTGTATGTAAAATGGAAGTGTTTGAAATGGATGTAACATTTTCTAGATGCTGCTATGAGCACGACAAGTGCTATGGGGATTTGTTGAAAAAGAAACTTTGTCGTCTTCAAATTTCGACTTATTCCATCACCTACAAGTATACTGGATGTTCAACTTGTGGTAATTTTCACTTTCAGTAAACAAGGGTCATATCGGCCACGACATTAGAAATAAAGGTTTTATTGCAGCGTAATGATCTAATAGTCCGTATTCCGTCAACCTCGTTTTTCTTTTTTTCAGCTGAACCTCATCAGTACAGTTGGTGGGATAGTTTTGGTTACGAGTCAGTCGCTTGTCGCAAAGCATTGTGTGATTGTGATTCTGTGGCTGCCCGGTGTTTCAAGAATTCTCCGTACAACAACCACATCAAACATTATGATCAGGATAAATGCTAAATACGTATAAACGATGTCTTGCGAAAATCAATATACGAATTTCCTACTTTATTTCGAGTTTTTGATTTGCCTACTTTGTAGTGTTAATTACGTATCTAATTGTAACTGAACTACAATCCTGTAGACTGTAGTGTCAACTGTAAGATTAGTTACATCAATGTAATGCTTGTAGATTATGGAGATTTCATTTGCAGATTATAGTGGAAATTCATCAGTGTTGTGCATGATTAATCTCTGTTCAAATCGATTGTTTTCACAGTCTGTTAACATAGATTTATGAATATGCCGCGCCCTAATTATCGTGCTTCCTTCCTACGCCACTGGACATGTCTATTATTTCTATGCGTTGTGCATAAGGTTTTGTCCACCTCGGATAGGTTTTTGTTTTAAAAGCTCACTCAATGTTAAACAAACAACTTGGATAAACGCCTGTCAGTGCTTTGATATCGATCGCATGAGCAATGAGACTAGGTCTTATATATGCAGATCTAGAGTTCTCTTTCCATCATGATTCATGATTGAAACAAGTAACAAATGAACTACTTTTCTCAGAGTTAGAGAAATATAATTTTTACCAATCGACTGTGTTTTATCCTGGAATGTCTGCAACCTCTCTCATCAACCTCATCTCTTCAACTTCATCTCAAATGTCACTGTATTATAATTCTTTGTAGATCTGGAATATAATTATTTTCCACATATAGCAATCAAATAAAAAGCGGTATAACATTACGGTATTTTGCATATCAAGCTCTTCCGTTTCAGCAAAAACACTGCCACATAATATTATTGTTTTAAAATCTCACTCAATGTTAAACAAACAACTTGGATAAACGCCTGTCAGTGCCTTGATATCGATCGCATGAGCAATGAGACTAGCGCCTGTATTCTAAAAGCTCACTCACACTCAAACTCATTGAGTGGAAGATCTTAATCTTCCCATAACATATCAATGGCGGTATTTCCAGCCGAATAGGGGTTTGATTTTCAGTGATTTACCTTATATCTTTCCATCTATTTAGAAAAAACTTTCTCATTGATCACCATTAACAAAATTTATATGTCACACTCAATGAGTGTGAGTGTGAGTGAGCTTTTTGAATACAGGTGTAGGTCTTATACATGCAGATCTAGAGTTCTCTTTCCATCATGATTCATGATTGAAACAAGTAACAAATGAACTTCTTTTCTCAGAGTTAGAGAAATATAATTTTTACCAATCGACTGTGTTTTATCCTGGAATGTCTGCAACCTCTCTCATCAACCTCATCTCTTCAACCTCATCTCAAATGTCATTGTATTATAATTCCTTGTAGATCTGGAATACAATTATTTTCCTCATATAGCAATCAAATAAAAAGCGGTATAACGTTACGGTATTTTGCATATCAAGCTCTTCCGTTTCAGCAAAAACACTGCCACATAATTATATACTAGCACATATAGAGTAGATAATTACAAATTTGCTGCACAACTGCTTCAAAACTAAAGCCTAAATAAAGATGCAGATTTGGTACCTCAGTTGTATCCTTGTTCTTTTTATCGTTATAAATGGATTGAATGGAAAAACAGGTAGGTGATAGTTTACCCTAATATATAACCAGGAAGCACCGTGGCAGCGTCTTCAAACAACTTAGCATCGAAGTAATTCTTTTATTTTCAACTCTATGTTAGTTGACTCAGTGACTCAGAAGAAAAGAGGACTTTACTTTGGTCGTATGATATCATGTGAAACTGGCCGCAGTTTCATTCATTACTTGGATTATGGTTGTTTTTGTGGTTTGGGTGGAAAAGGTACCCCCGTGGACAAACTTGACACGTATGTATTCTTCTTGTTTACTTTACTTTTGATAGTGTATAGCCAGTCTCCTGAGTCCTAACTATTTTCCAAACCTTAACCCCGTTATCGCACGTCTTAAGTTTATCCCAGAACGAAATAGAAATAATCAGTCCCTGCATGTAAAATGGAAGTGTTTGAAATGGATGTAATATTTTCTAGATGCTGCTATGTGCACGACAAGTGCTATGGGGATTTGTTGAAAAAGAAACTTTGTCGTCTTCAAATTTCGACTTATTCCATCACCTACAAGTATACTGGATGTTCAACTTGTGGTAATTCTCACTTTGAGTAAACAGGGGTCATATCGGCCACGACATTAGAAATAAAGGTCTCATTGCAGCGTAATGATCTAATAGTCCGTATTCCGTCAACCTCGTTTTTCTTTTTTTCAGCTGAACCTCATCAGTACAGTTGGTGGGATAGTTTTGGTTACGAGTCAGTCGCTTGTCGCAAAGCATTGTGTGTTTGTGATTCTGTGGCTGCCCGGTGTTTCAAGAATTCTCCGTACAACAACCACTTCAAACATTATGATCAGGATAAATGCTAAATACGTATAAACGATTTCTGGCGAAAATCAATATATGAATTTCTTACTTTCTTTCGAGTTTTTGATTTGCCTACTGAACTACAATATTGTAGTGTCAACGAGTCCGCCGGAAAATGGCGAATTCGACCATAGACGAGCCTGCCGGAAAACGGCTAATTCGACCATGGTCGAGTCCGGCGGAAAATGGCGAATTCGACCCGGCCCCAGACCACCGGTCGACCAATCTCTCTAGTAGTTCGAGTTCCACGCGTGGCAATACACGAAGCGCGTGATAAGAACATTTTTGCCTTTTTTTGGTTCAGTTGTGTTGTGAAACAACAACAGAGCAGGATCCTGCATTAAAAGTTAAGTGTCAGAAACCATGCGTTTGAAACGATTTCTTTTACGATATTATCCACCTGGTAAGTATAGTTAGTCCTTGAAATATATTAGTCCGCAGTTGTTGCCTCCTTATGCATGGCAAGGGCAGGCACGTTGTGTCAACATACATCCATAAACAAATGGTTTCCTCACACTTGACTTGTACATGTCTGATGATTGATCTATAAAATTCCTATTTATTTGAGATATTCGCTCAAAATGTATACAAAATGTTGTTGATATATAGTCTTTGCTTTTAAATAAGTTGTAGTTTTATTTCTTTAACATTTTATAATTTTAAGTACACAAACACCAGCTTTTGATGTTTCAGATAGAGAAATATCAAAATTATTATACAGCCGTGCAGAAATTTCAAATTTATATAATTTTAACATGATGTTAAATATATATGTTAACAAACGATATATATCAAAACTGAACAATAAAAACTCTTTCTTGTCCATCCATGTCCATTGTTACCATGGTTGTGATGCCATATTTGGTTCATGTAAATTCATGTTTAGTGCACATTTAATGAAGTATATAAATATATGCAATCATTAATTCCTACACGGCAAAAAACGCTCAAGTTGTTCCCGGTTGATGAGATCAGGCCTCACCAATGTTGTGCTGCACCCCATGAACAATGTTGTCAACAATGTTGTTCCACCTTGTTACACTTAAAAATTTTTGCAACATGTTGTTGACAGTATTGTTCATGGGGTGCAGCACAACATTGTTGAGGCCTGTTCTCATCAACCGGAAACAACTTGAGCGTTTTTTGCCGTGTATATGAAACGAATGTGTGGTTCCACTATAAAAGCGTGATGCCCTTTGAGGAGAATGGGAATTAACTAAGCAAGCATAGCCCCATATGATTGCAATGTTTGTTAGTTTCATCTTTTGTTTAATAGCATAAATCTTGTTGATTAAATAAATTTTGAGGTCGGATATTATACCATCCTGACCTTGTACCTCAGGAAGTAGGGCATTTGTATTTGTAGTAGGGTAGGTTTTAGGGTATTAGGGTAGGGTGAGTAGGTAAACATGGGTAGGTTTTATCTCAACTTTATACACTTGCCTGATCGGCTCGACTGACGAGCAACAACACACGTTCATATACTCTGGCCAATCACACAATATATTAACATCATTTAATTTTGTTAAAACAAAAACAGGCATTTCTTCTCTTAGTTCAGAACTAAAGTAAGCCCAACAAGTTTAGTGAAGTAATGATATAATCTGCAATTTCAACTGTAACACCTGTGTATACTTTTTGTCCAGGTATAATTTTAGAATATGAGCAATCAAAAACAGTGAAGACAAAGTCAATTGATTTACTGCATCTTAAACCAGGGTGTGTAAATAGTTATATTAAGCTCAAATTCATATTGTCTAATTAAATTCATCATGGTACTGTATATTAATTCTGGCATTTACCAGGAAATAATAAATTCTGCCATTATTTTGGCCAGTGCCTTCTTTGTACTTTTGCAGGAGCAGTGATTTCTCAAATGGTAAAATAATTTAACTTGCATTTGACAAGTTATATCACAGAAATTGACAAAATTACTTGATGTGTGTGCTAAAGGTTTAACTTCTAGTTGGAAAATTGCTCAAAAATGAACAAGTTTTTTCCTAAATTAACCTAAATAGATATGTACCTCCTCATAAAAACAAGTGCTGCTTTGAATAAAACTTGCATTAATCCTGAGTTATGAGAAATATTTTCATCATTCTCACATAGTTCTGATGTGGAGGCATTACTGGACGAGATTGTTGCAAAGGAACCTTTGATAACTCCCTCAAAAGTTGAACAAGTTCGAAAACTTATTGTACGTATCCTTTTCTCAGTAATAAAACTTGTCTGTATGCCCACGTGAAAAATAAAAAGTAACAAGCAACTGGTTAGATCTGGTTATTAATCTTAACTTTGAATAAGGTCTTCAAGAAAAGCAAGTTGAAATCAATCATCATCATTTTTATTTATTTAAGGTACCTGTATTGTAATTTTCGGTGCAACTGGTACACATAGTACAAAAAGGTTTAATTTATTTGTGAATGTTATTATGTATAATATACATACCATATATATGGATCCATTAATGTTATGATGATTAAGTTGCCTTTCTAAGATACATATAATTTTATAGGTTTTAAGGGCACATATTCTTCCCTTAACAAATGTTGCATTCAACAAATCTGGTTCCAAGTAAGTCGGATGGGATGAGATGGGATGGGATGGATATGAGATGAGATGGATATGGGATGGAATGGATATGGGATGGATTGATCAATGCATGGTTTTGTTAAGCAGTTTAAATGAAAATTACCCACTTTATGTTTTAGTTTTATAACTGGGAGTTATGACCGGACTTGCAAAGTTTGGGATACTTTATCTGGTGAAGAGCTTTTTACACTTGAAGGTCATAGAAATGTTGTATATGCTATTGGCTATAATAATCCCTTTGGGTAAGTTCATAAGAGATGAATGCTTAATAAAGGTTCCTATAAGATATTAATTAATGTTGCCCAGTGGCTGTTGTTATGTCCAAGTTGAGTCGCAATGAACCAAATTGTCATCAAATGTGTCTCTATGGCTAATCTCTGTATCCATGAATATCAGGAAACATCCACTGTAATAATAAAAAAATGACCTGTAATCCTGTGTTAAACATTACAAGTAACAGATTAATATCTGCCTTGTTAGGAACAAAAGCAGTGGTGTAATACAATGTTAAAAAGGTCAGGACTGCATGCCATTATAACTGTATTTTTTAGAGATAAAATTGCGACTGGCTCATTTGATAAAACGTGCAAGTTATGGAGTGCAGAAACTGGAAAGTGTTTTCATACGTATAGAGGACATACAGCTGAAATTGTGAGTCAGAAATGATAGCTCTATATTTATCATTTTGTCGAGTTAAAAATAAACAAACAACAACTGTGTGTTCCCTGATTGACATGACACCAACCCCTTACAGTAAATCATTTTTACATCAGTTTTAAAATATTATGTTGATTTCTAATGTCAGGTATATTAGGATTTCTGACGTGTAAAAAACATTTTTGGGATAAAATATTTTTAGGTTTGTCTTCAGTTTAACCCTCAAAGTACTTTGATAGCAACGGGCAGTATGGATACCACAGCAAGATTATGGGATGTTCAAACTGGTTCAGAAGTAGCTACACTTACGGTAAATGTTAAAAAATGTTTTTCATATCCACGTGCAACTAGCTACATATTTTAAACGGTATATTTCTTATACTTAATATCTTTGCTGGATGCTGCAGCTCTTTCAGTTTTTAATGTTACTCAGTAGATCAAGCTATGACCAACTACGAAATTTCTCGACATCTGCAAAAGTACGCAACCCACTTGGTTTATACAAGGATTTTCTGTGCTGAAGAGTGAATGATATTTTTTTAATTTTTAAGCGTCGTTTCTCATACCGTGGCTAATTTGCTAAACTTTGAATGAAGGAATGCATATGCACTTTGGTGACTTTCGATAGTGTTTTTTAAAATAAATTGAAACCAAATGGCAAATGCGATAGGCTTTGTATTTGATCAAATCCTTTGTGTTGAGTGTTAGATTGGTTTATTCACTGTTTATATTCACTTCTTAGTTGAAGGTTAGAAAATTACCTTTATTGAATGCAATATATAATATTTTCTGAATATATAAATAAAAAAAACTTCAACGAACTATATATATAGCTCGTTGAAGTTTTTTTATTTATATTACTACATGTATCTCTAGGGTCACACAGCTGAGATCATTTCTTGTTGTTTCAATGAAACTGGTGATAAACTTTTAACTGGATCATTTGACCACACTGTCAGTATCTGGGATGTCAAAAGTGGAAGGTACAAACTACATGACGCCCGCTACACACCATGACACGCCTTGTATTACGAAGGAATAATTACAATTACTTGGCTGCACCAACCTCACAAAGTTAAATTTAAACATTATTTCTTTGCAGGCGGATACACACGTTAATTGGTCATCGAGGAGAAATATCAAACGCGCAATTTAATTTTGACTGTTCGTTAATCGTCACTGGGTCAATGGTATTTATTGTATATCATTACTCGCAATTAGACCAGGCTGGCTCGTTTCTGAACGATAGAAATTCTGTGAAAATAAATTGTCTTGTACTACTTTATAGTATTCTTTTTTACTTCATATTTACAATATTCAACGAGGTTTCCGCAGACAAAAAGCTACGGTTTTGTCCTTAGATTAGACGCATTAAAACTATTTCATCTTATTCAATTCGGTTATTGGAAATATTTGAAAATGCTGTTGTTTTTTAACAGGATAAGACGTGTAAAATTTGGGATATGTCAAATGCTAAATGCATTGGAACATTACGGTAAACTATCTTTTGTTTTAATTTATACATTTTATGATCATCGTCAACTAATAAACAGATTAATAATGAACACTACGAATAATAACGTAATATGTGAGCCACGCTAAAAAGCGGTGTTCATAAATCTCAAGCTAGAAATCCCTGGTTAGCATCTTTGAAACTAGAGTCTAAGTTAACCACTATATTGCAGAGGACACGATGACGAAGTACTTGATGTAGCGTTTGACTTCACTGGAGAACGTATTGTGACTGCTTCATCAGATGGTTAGCATTCATTAATCATTAATGATACACGTTTGAGGTTCAATTTTATGTGATATACGTCAAGAGTTGATACATACAGTGTTAGATATTTTTCATAATGACGTCGAACGTGGAATGCGAGATCTGCTGTTAAACAAAAAACTGGAGTGCTAAAGATTTCTATCCTTTCGTCAGGAACCGCCAGAGTTTACAACGCAGTAACACATCACTGTATCATAAAACTGGAGGGACATGAGGGAGAAATATCCAAGGTATATGCAATTTTTGATTGATATGTTTTTTATATTGGAAGCAACAATAACCGTATTATACAGTAAGGTATAGTTAAAAGAGATTGGCAGATAAAGGGTGAAGTTCTCTAGGTAGCATGTTTATGATTATGTTTTACAATCAATTAATTTTGTGGTTTAATCTTTTTAGGCATGTTTTAATCCTCAAGGAACACGAATTCTTACGGCAAGTAGCGACAGAACAGCTCGTCTATGGGACTCCACCTCAGGTGAATGTATACAGGTCAGTAGTTATATGACACCTTCAAGAGTGCTTAATACTGCATGATACCTCTTTTAATACCTAGATGTTCCTTTGTTTCCCACTCTATACATGGCTTTATCATTATAGGTTTTAGAGGGACACACGGATGAAATATTTAGTTGTTCATTTAACTACGAAGGCAACATAGTAATTACAGGTTTGTAAACATGTTACTCGTGGGTGGAATATTGAGAATTTTGAAAATTATCGCATGAACGTTGTCTTTCATAGAAGAGATTACTCCTGTCACTTGCAGGAATTTCGGATTAAAGGATAAGGCACATGACAAAACATATATTACACTTTGTTTTCCATCAAGATTTAGTCAGGATCTTGGCATTATTTATTTTAGGAAGCAAGGATAATACATGTCGACTTTGGCGATAAGCCTAGTTTAATGAAGAATATTCATTCCTCGGGAAAGATTCTTCATGGAATCATTTGTTCTGGGTAAAGCCAAGAAGATAATAAACTACAGTACATCTAGATATTGTAGAATACCATTGATGGTCGGAGAGTTCATCCATTCTTCGTAAAATAGGACAAAATGGAACAATTAAACTGCCGTTGTATTTTAGTATGACTGGCGGCAACATGGCGTGCTAATATGTCATTTTGTATCTTTAAATTATATATTTACAGAATTAAGCAGAGCAATAAAATACCTCGCTATAATTAGAACATTAATTTTTAATCAGTTGCCTTCTACATTGTGCGATTCAAAACATGGGTCGACAAGATCCCACTATCTGGGCTCACAGGTGGAATTCCATAAATAGAGAGAGCAAGAGAAATAGTATTATTTAATAGCAATATGACAATATGTTCATTCTTTGTTCTGTATTTATAATTTACGCCTTCGTGGTCCCTCCAGAAGACCAACTACTGTGGTTCTGCAACTACAGTGCTTATATTTATTATAAAAATGTCCCAACACCACTCCTCGCCTATATTTATTTCTTCAAGACACACGAAGTTGTTGTTCGACTGAAGTGAACGGAAAAGAATTACTATTCAATATTCTGACAATATAAAGTATTGAAATGTGCAACAAAACTAAGCACTGGCAGTGCCAGAGTGATGACACCAAACACAGCCACGGTACATGTTGCTAGTTTTCCTAGTGGAGTTAATGGTATCACATCACCATAGCCTATGGTAGATATGGTCTGTATAATAAACCAGAAAGTAGATGGTATACTATTGAACGGACCGTCCTTATCTCCACCTTCAATATAGTGCAGAAGACTGGAAGCGAGGATTGTTATTATAACTAAACATATCATAAACAAGCCAAGGTCTTGTACACTCTCGAGTAAACAATATCCAATCACTTTCAAACGACGAGAGTAACGAGATATCTTGAAAATCCGAAAGATTCTTACAATTCTGAGAATATGAAACGCAGATACAGCGGAGACGTCAACTGATCCACCAGGCAGAGCAAGCATTATCATATAGGGCAGGAATGCTAAAAGATCTACTATATTCAGTGGAGATTTTACAAAATGCCATTTATCAGGACAAAATCCTAATCGCAGCGTATATTCAAATGCAAATAGACAGTTAAAAATCAGTTCAAAAATATGCCAAACTCGTTTGTCATTGTACCAGAGAGAAAAACCGTCAGACGCCTGATCAGAACCAGGAATATGAGGGGTTTGATTACCATTTTTAAACTCTTTTTCAAAACTTGGTTCTTTGTCTTCATTGACAGTCATTACGATTGTGAGTAGTACAGATGCTATGATTATTGTCAATGATGAAACTGTCAAAATATTTGCCATCTTTGATGTATCAGGGTATTCCAAGCACTCCCATACTTGTTTCTGAAACTCGTTTTCTGGCAATCGCCGTGGCCCATCAAACACATAACCCTCCTTTCGAAACAAGCTATCTAAGACTTCATCTCCTAGTTGGAAAAATTCCACTTCTTTCTTAAAAATATCAAAAGGCATATCCGGGGGCTTGCTAAGACGTCCTTGAGATTGGTAATAGTAAAGGATTGCTTCAAAACTTTGCCTGTTTCTGTTGAAGAAATATTGCTTAGAATTGCTATCGTAATATTGATTTCTTTTCTCTGAACATCCCAGTAAGGTATGGGGGTATCTTGAAAGTGTGGTTAATCTTGTTTCATAAATAACGCCACTAATGTTTATCACAACACGTCCTTTGTATGACTCTCTTTCCATCCTGATAAACAATATATATCGTTTTTATGACAATGATAGCTAGGACACGTAACTTTGTAACAGTATGTAGCTATGTTGTTTCAATTTGTTCTATTCAATTAAGAGCAAAAGTTTCCATCTAAAGAAACGGAGGGTCCTTAAAAAACGCACTAAAATGCCGTTTTTAGTATACATAGTTTGTAGCTATATGTGATAAGTGCGGCGATTTCACCAAAATTCGTACACGTCATATCGGATAAATGTATATATTATTACTTACATATTTCTTATATCAACCAAGATTTTCTTGAGAATCAGCAGCGTTCCTCTTTCAATTTTAGTTCAGTTACTTGTCATTTATTTCTACATCTGTTTGATTGTATATACAAGTTAGCAAGATGCTTTACTTATCGCGTTGCCACTTATTTCCAAACTATACGTGCAAGACTTGCCATGTTTAGATTTCACGATAAATTTCATTCATTGTTTCAAATTTAGTACAAGTAAATCATTCCACTAAAAGGCACTATATGGTTTAATATCACATCACTCTAAGTCATTTCTGATTCCAAATATCCTGTAGTGAACATCAATTCATGTATTATCAAAGTGATGTTTCACCTTCGGAGTCAATATATATTTCCAGACATTGCAGGTGACTTTTTGTTGAGAAAACATCTGCTAAACAATTAGAGATCCACGTTTCTGATTGTTTTTGTAAATATCCGACAAGATCTACAGCTTTATTGCATATATGCATGCATTCGGGTTTTCCCAAGATATTTCATATGCATATTGTTACATTAGAATTTTTTCCGCTCTACCCTAACCAGTCATCATTGAATCATCATCATTCATGTTATCCTGGTTTTATAGCTTTAGAAAACCTCTATAGTACCGAATTAAGATCATTAACATTTCATGAATAGAACCGCTAATAGTAATAGAATATAATTTTTTACCCGTTTACAATTTTTTTAAAAAGACGGCAAACTCATTTTCAAAAACATATTGTCATGTTCCTATCTTTAAAGAATTGAAATATTTTTTAATCAGATCACAGAATTTAAATAAAATCTTGTCTATAATTACGTTCTCAAAAGTCGTATCGAATTTTCCTTCTCACTCATGCAACATTAATAAGTTCAGATTAAAAACACAAACATAAGTTTGTGTCTATAGAAAGTTATGTTATTGAACATTCATGGATTTCAACATTCAAGTGGTTCGCGGACATCTGAACCATGGACTGCTGTCTTTTACCCTAAAAATACCAATAATGATGCAGTAGTTTCTCTTTGACATTTGTGGATATATTAAATACCGCCATTATAGTTTTAAATAATTGAATACGTGGATTCTTTTTCAATATATGCATGCTGTGCTTTCTTTACAGCCTGTCAATTATATTTTTCAGTTATATGATTCACTTGCAGTTGCAAGTTAGTAGGGAAAATCATAAGCCAGACTCGTGAAGAAGTCGACGTGATCCACTAAATGCCTGTCTGAACCATCATATATTTTGAACCTGAATTTATTTTTGACCCGATAGCCTCGTTTTCATGTTGGGCAATTACCCAAGTTTTACCTGTTACTTGTTTCATTTATTGATTTCGTTTAGTATAACCCACTGGTATAACCTTCATATGCACCTGGCTCAATAGAAACCAGTTTTGAAAATTATATTCTTTCTGATTGTTTTCCTCGTGACGTGAGTCAACTTGAATAAACTTCTCGAAAGAAATTTATTAATACCGACAATGGATCATAGCACATCGGCGATGAATTACGTGTGGTTTTCATATGTCGTAATTTATCGCCGATGCTCTACGATCCATTGTCGTTGTCGTTGTCGTTGTCGCCTTGTCGGTGATCAATTCATCTCCGGTCGGAGTTTGTACCCTCGCAGAGTGCTTCGATCGATACTTTCACCATGACAACAAATTTCCAACATGGCGTCGTATAGAAGTGAGAGACGAGATCCTCTTTTGTCTTTGGAACAGATGCTCGCGGAAAAAACTACGCTGCGAACGCAAAAAGTAACGCACCGAAACATTATATGTAAGTTGTGATGTTGAAATTATGTTATTTCACTCACTGAAAAACCAGTACAGTACAATACGAATGTATGTATATGTATATATGTATATAGAAGTTCAGTTTAGTTCACTGTTCACTGGACTTCGGGTGTGTGTGCAAACCTTGCATTATATATTTTTCTAATTTCTATCCTATAAATATGAAGTCGAAGCTCACAATGAAATATTGCATGTCTCAAGAATGCTGATTGTAAATATAACTAGTCTGAAAGAGAGGTGCTCATGTGAACGTCAAGATACTATTTTGTCACTGGCTGTATTTCAATTGTTGTAGCCTCTTGGAGCTAGATTTTATCCCTTTGATGTGGAGGAGAGGTTATGTTTAATATGCCCACTCTCCCCCAATTTAATGGAAAATTTAAAGTAAATTATGTATGCAATAATAAGAACTTTTCTGACATATTAAATTATGGTCCATAAGAAAATGTTAATCCGTTCAAAATTATATCAGGTATTGGGACAGATCTTTTGAAGGAAATTGAAGCATTTATGAATAGTGATAAAAATGAAGCTGTTAAAAAAGCTGTGAGTAAAAAATAACTATTTTATTTTATTCTACTGATATATATGTAGTATAACTGCAAAGTAAATATGAGCTATACTGGTAATAATTATCACTGAAAGTAAAATATGTTGGTATATATGTATAATTATGTCTGCTGTAATACCAAATCCTGCCTGTTGCATTCTCTTGTGCAATATTTTTTATTTTATTATATATTATTATATATTATTATATATATCATATATGTTAGAATGAGATATTTTAGTTTATTAGTGATATTACATGTAATATTCAATAAAGTTTGCTTTGAGTTGCTATATAATAGATATATTATTAACATGACATATTAAGCAAGGAAATATAGAAATGACTAAGCAAAGGCAATCATTCTTGAAAATGTAGATAACGGAGACAGAAATGAAACTGTTAGAAGAGAGAAAAAATATTATCGACGAAATCATTGAAAATATGGCGAGAGAAAATACAGAATCTTTAGAGAAGGCAAGAAAGGTAGGATGTGGTGCTAAATGGACATCTGTTTTATGGTTTTATTGATACCTATTGCTTCATATGCAATCTAGTTTTAACCAAACATGATGTCTATACAAAATCGTAAAAAAATAAGGGTATATTATAGTATATTGTAATGTAAAATTGCATAGAGTGCAACACTGATCCATTCTACAAACATATCATATTGGTTATTTAGAACACGTTGTAAAATATGTTGAAAAAATGATGTACAAGAAATATGCTACGAATAATACAATGTTGACTCTATTGATCCAATTACACACCCTTATTCCAATCAAAATATATTGAAATATCATTGTAGCAAGCAGAGAAAGAGATAGAAATAGTAAAATATCGATGTGAGGTGGCTGAAAAAAAGCGTACCAGGTTGGCTCAGCAAAAATATGAAAAAGAAAAACAGATTGCATTACAAGAGGCAGAAGAAGAAGCAAGGAGGTTAAGAAAAGATGCTGTAGAAATGGCTGAACATCAGTTGAGAGAGATAATGTTAGCTGAAGGTGAAGAGAAGACGAGAACAGCTGTTGAGAAAACTAAATATAAACTGGAGGTAAGATACATGGTAATTTATGAACTGGATGTAAGATATATAGGATAAACATGAAGCCCTAGGTACATTTCATATGAGGAAACTCGTGGTAAAAGGTGTCTGTAGAAGGGAGGGAGGCGCCGTACTCGAACGACCAGGAGCAATGCTGCGAAAAATAAACTTCACTACAAGAATATCCCTATTCGAGTTTTAGTAATTCGTGCTTGTACGATCAGGAACATCTCATAACTATAAATGTGTTGTTCAGGAAGAAAGCAAGATAAAGATATCGGATGCAGTAAAATATACTAGAGAACAATGTGACAGAACAGCTGCAGCGCGTTTATCTGAAGTTGAGAAAAAACACAAGGAAGAAATCACAGTATTAAAAACAAGGTTACTCAGTAGTCAATTTAGCTTAGATATTCTGTAATTTTCGTCATGATCGTATATCATTTTAAAGTTTCCGCTTATTTCATTGTTGACAGGTTAAAAGATCTTGTTTGTGACTTTCAAAGGCAGAAAAACGAAAAGGAAGAATATGAGAACCTTTTTACTGTAAGTCAAAGATGTTCGTTATTAAGCCTGCCAATATCATGTGGAAAGCTTGCGTTCCCCTCCCTCCTGCCTTACTTTCTATCCTTTCACTCTCAAACTCATTAAAATTTAGAATTTAGCTCGGCTAAATTTTTCTCTGCCGGCCAATGAATTGAAACACGGCTTTAATTTCATATAATTGTCCCAACTGTGTGGTAACGAGGTACCAGAATCATGGCAGCTGATGTCGAAATGTATTCAAGATCGGCCATCCTAAACTTATATTTATGACACAATTGTTTTTATATTTACGTTATTGATGTCCTGTGTGTCGGAAATTGTACTGAGAAGTGGCAAAACTTTCGTTTGCAGGAATTGAGAGAAGATTACAAGCGTTTTCAAAACTACACGCAAGGATTTTGTTCGGATTACCTTATGAAATAATTGCCCTATAGTTAGACTACAAGAAAAATAAATAGGTATGTATATGTATATCATTGTAATGTAACATAGCTTATGTGCGTGTAAATATTAATGCATTTTATACATATTTGAATATCGCATAATATATTTTGTAGTATTTTTCAAGAATAATTATTGTAGTTTATGAACTAATTAACTGCTTGATTTTGACCAGCTAATTTCACTGAACAGGAGTTTTACACTCAGAAACAACGCGTATAGGAGTATGATTTAGTGAAAATAATTGGAAGCGCTTTTGGTCCATGCTTGCACGGCTGACTCATTGTCATATACGATGCTTACCCTGGGGTATGTGATTTGTGAACGTATAACACACATACAAATGCGACACTTTAAATTCCACCCTGAACAATATGAATGAGGATTTGTGGCCCTCTTTTGCATTCGTCAGAATGATAATTTCACACAATTTATCGTGTAGTCTAAATAGGCCTTTTGAATTGCACTAAATTAGCTTTCGTTTTACTAAAAAACAAAACAGTATATTCTACAGTGAAAAAAGAACGCCTTTTTGGGAAATAGTACAGAGAATAAAGTATAAAGATATCAGAAATAAAGTATAAAGGTTTAAAGTATAAAGATATCAGAAATAGAAAATCCCTTTATTCGCTGAATATATTATGCGCTGATATGCGCCGTTTTAATGTTTTCAAAAGTAACAAACTGTAATAATTTATGTTCATTATCACTGACATTAAGAATCAAAATTATTAGCTAATTTTTGTCAATATGAGATTTCTGAATGCCTTGATATTTGTTAATTTTTTCCCTTTTTTGCATTTTAAAACTTTTATGTGATATTGTGAGGGTAGGTTGCATTAATATATAATCGTGATAAAATCTTTCGAGCTTCTATTATGTAAACTTTAAGTCACTGATAACTATGAAAAGCCTAAGAAAATGATTGAGCAGCGCATTATTAAATGTATTTGATTTCAGACCAAAGTGATAAAATATTAACAATGTCACGAGGTGACATTCATATGTTGTTACAATTACTCTAAATGTATCACATGTGATGTGTCGTTTAATTAAACTTTATTGGGACTTCTATAATTTGACTGTGTATTTCATGTGGTGTCCTTTGAAATTTAATAAATTAAACTATTGGCCTGCTCCTATCTTGTTACAAATGTTTTAATGCATGCAGTGCGTATATGAAATGTTATTACTCTCGCAAATTGCAATAAGCAGAGATATTACACTTCGAACGACATTTCTCTGCTGTACCAAGAAAAGGAATTACTTTCTGCCCGGGTAATTGAAGCAATTCACGGCAGAACAGTTTGTTGCGCGTTGCATAAAAACTATTGAACCTTGTAAACGGCTTAATTGTGTTAAAGTAAAGAAATTGAGGAAGATGAACAGTTATCGAGAAAACTACACGGGTGATCGTGTGACTATCAATATTAGTGGTGCAATTTATCAAACAAGAGAGAGAACATTAGCGCGTTTTCCAGATTCTCTTCTTGGAAATCCAGTGAAAAGGCGTAAATACTACTGCAGTAAACAACGTCTGTACTACTTCAACCGACACAGACATGCGTTTGAGAGCATACTATACTACTATCAATCTGGCGGAAGGCTTGTTATACCAAGAGATATACCATTAAGACTTTTCTTTGAAGAAGTAGAGTTCTTTGGTTTGGGCGACGAAGCGCTGTGTTTAGTCAGTAAAGGTCTTTATGCCAGAAAGTTTAAAATACAAGATAACTTGATGCCAGTTTGTGATACGCAACGCAAGATATGGGAGACGTTTGAATGCCCTGAATCTTCCAGAGTTGCCAAAGTTTTGAGCATATTTTGTGTTGTGATGATTGTGCTATCAATTGTACTTTCTTGTTTGACTACATCTGTTTATTTTCAAGACCAATTTTGTGTTGAAACATGTCCTGTGATATCGAACCTGAACCAAACAACCATTAAAGAATGTTGTGGATTTATTTACAAACCAATTCAAGCAATTTCCACACTTGATTTGATCTGCTATTGTTGGTTTTTGATCGAATATTTTTGCCGTTTCCTTTCTTCACCTTCCAAGAAACAATTTATGTTGTCATTTTTAAACTTCATTGATATACTGGTGATAATGCCATTTTTCTTCACACATTTTATTAACACAGAAGGAGTGAATTCCCTCTCAAGTTTGTTGGGTGTAGCTAAATTACTACGCCTGGCTCGTATTATAAAACTGTCTCGATACTCGCGTGGTCTCAAAGCACTTGGCTCGACATTATGGGCGAGTTTTCGTGAACTTAAGATGATGATGATGTTTCTTTTAATGGTGGTGGTTGTGTCATCGTGTCTTGCGTATTTGGCTGAGATGAAACATCCTGAAGCAGTGATCAAGACAGTTCCAGATGGTTTTTGGTGGTCACTTACCACAATAACTACTGTGGGATATGGAGACTATTACCCCGTGACTGGAGAAGGCAAGCTGATTGGCTGTTTCTGTACGATTCTTGGAGCGCTCGCATTTTCACTGCCGGTCATCGTATTTGCGGCCAACTTTCGTACGTGCTACAAATCAGATGATTCTATAAGCGCTGAATATCACCGCAATCTCAAACGTCAGGCGTACAACAGATGGTAACTCGTTTTCATCTATCACGGTCAATATCCAGCAGCTGAGAGTGCTAAATTTATTTTGAACAATCTCAAAGTGCGACTGAGGCAGATAGTTGTTGTATAGAACACATCAGTTCCATCATCTAATGAAATTTCTCTACAAAAGGCATAACTTGGGCCACGGCCTGGGCTGACTAATAACTATGTACACACGAGCTTCGTTTTCGAGCGTTTTCAAAATCGTTTTTGTCTCGTTAATAATTTTGACGCCCTGTTTACATAGTCAATTCAAGAGGTAAAATGCTTCATTAAAATAGCTCTACCTTCTATTCCACCGTTTTGGCGTGAAAACATAAATGCTTGAAAACGTTACCATATCATATGCACATAGCCTTGATGGTTATTTGCGTGCATGCGCATCAGCATGCATAATGAAGCCCGTTCTTGGCTTTCCTCTGCCACCAGTCACTAAGGGACTAGACGAATCTGTTTGCGCGAATTCATTGACCTCGCCCCTTATAGACTAAATTCACGTATATTTACACCTTATTTTATTTGAATACATGTTAAGGACGGAATTACATGATTATTTAGTTAATCAGAAGACAAACTATTGTAATAAAAAAGCGTATTTTCAATTAAATATAATGCTTCTTTAAATGAGTTCAAATGTTCGGGTCTAATTTCTCGGATTCAGTTGTTTCACCGTTCTGTTTTTTACGTTTTTGGATAATGCCTTAATTGTGCTTGTAAAATGATGACTCACTGCGGAGTTGATTTAGCCTTGGAGGGAGACATAACCTACTACACATCTATTCCAGGATATTATGCCTGATTATGTTACAATATTTCTAAACTATCTTATTGGGTATTCACGATATTTTTTATCTAATTCTGAAAACGTCTAAGGCGTAGTTGTCTAATTTCTTCACTAGTGGGTTCCTGATTGGAACTATTTGACATGTCCGTCATTGATGAACTATGCGAAGATGACTCATTAGGACCTTGTCTAACGTCATTAAGACTTTCTTGTATTGCAGCTTGGAGTTCTGCATCCTCGTCTTCGGTCGTGGCCTGGGGACGACGACCTGAACACAAACAAAATTGTTTACATTTGTAAAGATCAACAATATCTGGGTTTATGTTGCAACAATAAATAAATGTAACAAGATACTGTACCTGATTGTCCAGAATTGTAGGTGTATGATGGTCTTGTTCTAATAGGGTGTGTTGGTGCTGTGAATATGTTGGCTATAAACAAAGACACATTAAATTCAATTATAATTTAATTAACTAATTATAATTTAATTAACTAAGCACTAAAAACATCATATGTGGTGTAACAACTGCCAAAAATAGACAAAAACAGTTTTCAATGCTTTGACATAAGAGCCTTCATCAGAAGGGACTGGGCCTCCTGACAAAGAACCTTGATACATTTTTCTCTATTTTAGGCTATATAATTTATTCATTTAAATAGCTCAAAAAGGATTCCATTTGCAAAAGTTACTGAAGGCCAGTTTGATGTGAATCAGAAGGGTTATAACATGTTTCAATTGATACATGCAGAGAAGCTCTCTTAATAACAAGAAAATCATAAACTCCAGCATTTGTAGAAAGGATGCATTTCTAATAACATGACAAGGTTGGCAAATATGCAGTACTTTATAGTTAAATTTTGATTCAGGTGAGCATACGCATGTGCATCAATCTATATTCCCAGGCCCCTCATTAATTGATTTTTATGCAGAGGAAAAGAGCTTATGTTTAGTTTTTTATAGAGTTTTTAACTAAGAAAAGCAGGCATTTGGGCATGCGATATTGCTTGCTCTGTTGTCCTCTTGCATCCTTCCCAAACACTCTTGCATGCTTTGTACCTGAATGTGAGCTTTTTATGAAAGTAAATTGGGAAGAGGTTAGTGTAGAATTATTAAAATTTACACACCTACAGTATCCATCATCAGTTTTAATGGCCCTTTAATGTACAGTAGACCGACAAATATCCCAGCAAGGTGACCAGTAAATGATGCTGATGGTACTAACAACTGTATAACAACTAGTTCAACCCAAAATGCAATGCGACTTGGTACATTAAACAGAAACACATTTGTCATACTCCCAGAGGGTAGGTTATAAGTTGTTAAAACTTTAAGTGCAAATATTACACCTGAGAAACCCGCTGCACATGTACGTTGGTATGAAAGATCATTTAGCAATACTGACAAACTATAGTCGAGAATGAGAACGGTGAGGCTGGTCAGGACTGAGAAAACTGATATTAGATACAACAAGCCATTGCTACCAAGTCGAGTTTCTAGGGACCTGCCTTTCCATAAAAATGACACCATATTATAATACAAATGCATGTCATCGAGATGAAAAAACGGGGATAGAAATATTCGCCTCCATTCTTGGCCATACCGTACATAAACGTAACTGATGCAAGCCTGTCTGACGGTTGGTAAGCCAGATAATAAACGAAGGTACACAACAGTGTTTAATACAATGATACCAAGTGTGATTGGGGGGATATACTGTATACCAGTTTGCATTAATTGTGCAACAAGAAGTATTACACCAAAACCAGGAGCTCGCCTCCTTTGGAACATTCTCGACAACTATTTACCAATTTCCTATTTACTGTTCTTCGTTCCTTTGTCTATGCATGGTTCGTCCTATGGAAGATAAAAACATCCAGCACAAGGCACAAGGACGTACGTAATTTTCCGAACACATTTCCGAAAATAGTTTTCCGACTGCCGATGTGTCTTTTGCGTGTTGCGTGGGTTTTGCGTGTATTTTGGCTGCCGACTATTTCCATATCTATAAAAAACAAAAAAATATAAGCACTTGAGGACTCTCAGCTACATTGTTGAAGAAACGTTGTGGTTCTATGAGCAATCGCTATGTTAAATTTGCACATGCCAGAACGGTGGCTATAAGACAGCAATAGATTTTATTTGCAGCTTTTTTATGCGAAACATCTCCCGAGGGTCGACTTGGGGTATTAAATGGTGTTCAGGTTATTTTTCTGGTTGGTTAGCAACAAGTTCGGATCGGAGACGCATCAACTTTAGCAATGCTTGTCAATTCGTTGGAGGTTTTAGCGTTCATATTAAAAATTATGGGGGAACGGTTTTATCTATAATACATTCTACTGATTCTAGGGGATTCTAGATAGATAGATAGAAAGCTTTATTTTAACACGCTGACCCCGTCAACCGAAGCTGATTTCCACGAGGGGCGTGTGAAAAGTGTACAGAAAAGAATATTTTTAAAAACTATTTACAAAATTACATAGGATATATAACTAACATAACTATATATAACTAATATAATAATCTATTTACAGGTATGTTTTCTGCTATATTTTCAATCAGCTATCAATCAATGTGAGTAGCGATTTTCTTTTTAAAGGAAGAGAAGGATTTGCTCTCTCTAATTTCTTGAGGAATAGAGTTCCAAAGATGCGCGCCATCATACATATATATAAAACTTTTTTTCATGCTATTGGTACGCGGTTGTGGCAAACAAAGACTGCTTGAAATATTTCCGAAGTTTTTTATACGAACTATATGCATCCATATGCATATGATTTTGTGTGGTGTGTTAGAGTAATGTCCAATAAGGAAGCGTCATTTTAATGACGTAGAAATGATTGCTTTACCTTTTGGATAACGAAACTTGTCAAATTGGTCAACACTCAACAAGGCTTCTAGCAATCCAGCTTATTTGCTGTTAAAGTTAACCAGATTAGGTAAGAAAAAACTATGTACGACTGCTACTACTGACTATATGTAGTACTTAGTACTTTACGTGCTAGTTCTAATAAATGCCGTGTTTAAATTTTAACCACATATGTGGTGGGGGTTGTTGTGATGACCTATATTGGTAATTGAACTAATCGTGTTAATATTAACCTCTTATAACTGTTCAATAAAACGTTACTGTTCTTATACTACAATTTACAAATGCATAAAGCATGCACCGGCACTTGATTTTGAAGTGACTTTCCTTTGTAACGGAAAATGTTCTGTCAGTCTCTTATGTATAAAAAGAATTCTTGTAGTGAAGCAGACCGTTAAATAAATACAGAAACAGAGTTTCGTGCATTTCCATCTATCTATAGTTTTCAGTTATTCGAATTGCTTCCTGTTTTCAACGACAAGTCCGGCAAAACGCCATTTAAAACGCCATCCACCAGATTGTTTAATGAAACTGAGTGCAATGTAATAGTTTAAAGAGCAGACAGTATAGAATTTATATATTTGCATTAATTTCCTGTAAGAAATACTTGAAATTGCATGTGCTATCGGTTCATTACCATCACAATCATGCATATGTTGAATTCCATAGTTTTAGATTGTAGCGTACGTTTTGGAAGGAGGTACCTGTACACCCTTGTACCTTGTGATTTTTAGGTATACATGCACGTTATGTAATTTACGATTTGCTATGTTGTAGTAATGACATTTACCGGAATCTTTTATAGAACTCCAGTTTATTCGATCGAAGAAAGCCGAAATCGAGGCAAAACAAAAGGATGGATAAATTCTTTCCGCCAAGTTTTAGGAGAAGCTTTAGAAGTGATCGGAGTTATTGCGTGGAAGATAACGTCGACGTGGAAAAAATAAAATTTTTACAAGATATAAAATATTTTAAACGACTTGAAGATGAATTTCCTAAGGTAAAGATTGACGTTTCGACGGATCAAATCATGATCAAAGAGAATGGTTCCTCAAAGCAATTTGACGAAGCTGTGGAGAAGTGTCGTACGATGTTGTCAGAAATTGTGAAGAGTTCAGTGCCGTTGAGCTTAGGCGAAACCAACATCTGGGATGTAATTGCCTGTGACGAGGCCCGTGATTTTATTCAAAATATTCTCATCCAAGAAAAGGTGGATGCAAAGGTAACAAAGGTTCTTAAAATTTACTTGTAGTTGGTTTTGAAAGTAAACCAGACAGAGTCTTCACGTGGATTCCATAAATTTACTGTCTAATGTCTATATACGTACATTACTTTCCATATATAGGTGACACCCAGTGAAGATGGACTTAAAAAAGTCAGAATTATAGCTTTGAACAGTACAGCCCGGCATAGAGCAAAAGAAGTGGTTGTTCAATCATTTGTACGAGAAACTGTTGAAATTCCGGATGATATAGACCTTTCACCACATTCTGGAGAACTGCAAGAAATAGAACAAAGTTGCTGTCAAATACAACGAGGAAAACCTGTCAAAGTTCAAGTTATTGTTGAACATTCAAAGAAAAAGTTTGTTGAGTTAGTTGGGGTAGCGAGTTTCGTAAAAGATATAAAAATTTATGTTAAAAATCTTCTCGAAGGCAAAAGGGTTAGGATTGAGTATTTTGCAATAGATGTTTCCAATAGCTTTTGGGATTTTCTCTATGACCATTTTCGGACGAAAGTGAAGCCAATCGAGAGTCAACTAGACAGTTACGGTGTCACGATTAACCTGACTGAGAAACCAAAAGAATTCATAATAGAAGGAAACATGGAAGGTCTCAGAAGATGCAAGAAAGAACTTGGAGAATTAGAACAAACAATTGTTCAAAGAGATGAAATAATTATATCGCAGGACGTTCGTAACTTATTTGCAAGTGGCATGGAGGGTGAAAACAGGTTGAAGACAATTGAAAATACTCGACGTATTGTTGTAAGAAAGACTCCATTTGTAGACGTGTCCTTGTCCGAAAACACAACTATTTCACGATCCCAACCATGTAGAAGCGAAGTAGTAAATATGCTGGTAAAACATGGACGCATTGAGAACGAAGTGGTAGGTAATCATGAGAAAAGATCTCATATTTCTTTTTTTGGCGATTCATACATGGTTGCGACTTTATATGAGGATAGTGCGATTGAGCGTCTGTTCAAATGATAAATAAATTATTATGATGATGATAAAGTGTTTCATATTTCAATAATAATTACATCAATGTATTTAGCATCAAATGTGATATAGCAATTGTTTTGTCTATTTTAGGCAGTTGTTATACCACATTTGATGTTAAGTTGTTTGAAGACGCTGCTCCCTGGTTATATTGGAACTTATCAATGTATTGTTCCATTTTTCGTAGGCTGACGTCTTAGTGAATTCGGCTCTACCGAATCTTAAAGTGAAATCTCCATGTTTGAAAGTTCTCCAACAACGAGGTGGTCAAGCATTTATTAAAGAGTGTGAACAATATACGGATATTCCTACCGGAGATATTGTGTGTACTCCCGGGTGCGAAGGGTTGTGTAAATATGTCATTCATGCTGTTTGTCAACCATGGTACAACAATGAACCAGAAAAGAGCGAAAACGTATGTATTATCATCTACATTGCTTTTAACTTTTTTACTTCTTTTAAAATTGAACCTGTACAGAAATTTATTACATAAAACGACAATCTCCAAATCACAGTTTATACTACCATGCACTAAGTTTAGGAATTACTCTTTTCGGATCCGAAGCCTCCGAAGTCATAACTCTCATGTCACACAACTCTCCGAAATCATAACTCCCCGAGGTCATGGCTTTCCGAAATCATAACTCTCCGAAATCATAACTCCCTGAGATCATGGCTCTCCGAAATCATAACTCCCCGAGATCATGGCTCTCCGAAATCATAACTCCCCGAGGTCATGGCTCTCCGAAATAATAACTCTCCGAAATCATAACTCTCCGAAATCATAGCTCTGGCCGAAATCATATAAGCTCTCTGAAATCATGCGTTGTCATTTCGTCACGATGTCTCAGATCATCTGATCAGAACATATCAGTCTCTAAATATCAGAGTACGCCGGTGATCATGCATGCAGTAATTAACAGGGGGTTCCTTTTTTGTTCACAGTTTATTAGAAGTCTTATCAAGAAAGTTCTTAAGAAATGTAATGAATTGGGAGCACTCTCGGTTGCCATGCCAATCATTGGGACTGGGAAATATGGCTATTCCAAGCCCCTTGTGGTTGAGATCATTCGACAAGAGGTTGTTGAAATGTCCACTGAAGAAGGAAGTCAATTTTCTTTATGTGATATTCGTGTGATTGCCCTGGAAGAAACCAACTTACAGGAAGCTGTAAACAAAGGTTTTGTGATTGATTCGCCTGATAAAGTTATCTTACACTTTGTTGGAGAGAAACAATACGTTGATGAATCAATTGGAAAAGTGAAAAAGTTCATTAGTAAAAAAAAGCAAGAGAGAGAAACACCTGGTAAGTTTTACAGCTACATGAATAGTTTAAACAAATAAAATCCTCCTAAAAAAACTGGAACACAAAAGTATATCATAACATATAGGATATAAACTGCAGACTGGGATATGAACACCTTAGCAAAGTCCAGCATGACATGCGTTAAAAAGAAACAACGAGTAGGCAGTAGTAAATTCAGTATTTTCACTGTTTTGTTCACATTATGTACATAGGTTGTTTCTAGTCTCTCTGCGTGCCAGCGAGATGTACTAACGTTTTAAAAGCAGTAGTTCTGACTGAACTCCAGAAAACAATATTATACCCCACTCTTTCTAATGTTTGGGTTGAGGTGGAAAATTAACTTTAAAAACGGAAAGTGCAAAATCAAAGGGCATACAAGGCGGGTGTATGGGATACAGGCTAGATTGGATAGAGTCATCAAGCTAGTCGGGCAATTTTTGGGCAATAAAAAGTGTCAGATATTCTCAATAGTAGTTCCATGTACAGTTTGATCTTTCCACTAAAAAATAATGTACTTTTCCGTTCTAGGCCAGGAACCATTAATGAATATAGATTTGCCAAGTTTCTGGGAAGACCAGCCACAGGGAAAAATCGTCCATCTTGTTGACCTGAAGGAGTCTTCCAGCGAGTATCAAGAAATATTCAAACATTTCCTCAAAAATTGGAATTCAAAGAAAACTTCGATCAATGTTTCTGTTAAAATGATACAGCGAATTCAAAATCCTGTTTTGTATACTTCGTATGTAGCAAGGAAAAGAATGTTGAAAAAACTCAAAAAAGGATGTGAGAATGAGATGAGTTTGTTTCATGGAACTGCTACGAAGAACATTCCAATTATAAATGTTCACAATTTCTCAAGAAGTTTCACTGGAGCTACTAGAGGTTAGTTTCAGCATACGTTTCAGTCATTAGTTTTGTGCTATAGTCGCAATAATTTTTGCTTTTGTAATCAACTATCGTCTACTCATTTTGAAATTCAGTTGCCCGTAATAATCCTTGAATTGTCCTTTCTCCATTCATGGTCCATGTATTATAGCACATGCACAAACACACGAATAATTGAGCAGTTACCTATAACTTACTTCTTAAACTGATAATGTTAAAAAATATTCTAACAGGTCATTTCAGTCAAATATATGGCCAAGGAGTTTACTTCGCGAAAGAATCGTCGTATTCTAGTGGTTTTTGCAAAGATGACGATGAAGTGAGTGCTAATCTCAGTAAGAAGGATCTTAAAATGTATGTTGTGAAAGTCTTAGTTGGAGAGTTTACCCGTGGCCACCAGAAGATGAAAGCTCCACCTCTACGAAATGATCCAAATAATCCTGGATTACAATATGAATCATTAGTCGACAATGAAGAAAATCCCACAATCTTTACGATTTTCCAAGATAACCAATGTTATCCCGAATATTTAATCACATTCATTGTACAGCGATAAGTGCTCATTCAGGAAAGGTTCTACTCATAGCTAATCTTAAGAATTTTTTATCACTGCACATATCATCACAATAATAGTATAGTGGAGAGGGTGATAAAAGTGGTCCTAACTGGAAATTGGTAATTTAAAGATGGGGAATTGTAAGGGTCTGCAGGGCCTCTTGCAGAAAATTGACTTGATTTACAGCATTATCGGGGACAACTACTTATGAATCTACCTCGGCAGAGTGATGTCTGTTGAGAAAATACCATTTATCACTGCACATTTCTCATTTTATCACTGCACATTTCTCATTTTATCACTGCACATTTCTCATTTTATCACTGCATATTCTACTTTGATCACTGCACAAATTGGTTATCACTGCACACTAAAATTAGGTATGGTTCTACTTAGCCTGTATTAAATCATTACGTTTCTATAGACTAAAACAAACTTTCAATTCAGACTATTCATATAATGACAATTTCGAATAAACATAGGATTAGAATTCCATAACCGCTTTCAAAACAGGTTTTTACGGGCAAGATTCTAGGTTATTTTGTGTATAAACCTGGTATGAAACAGCTAAGTGAAAGATAAAAAAATCTTAGCGAGAGATAAGGGAAACGGGAAGCAAATTCTTGTCATAAAACTTGGAGGCCAACGTATAATTCCTAGAAAATATTTTACTACCCCTAATTTTTGCTACCTTTAATACCTGCTTGTAGCATAACACCTTGCTAATAACTTTCTTTAATTTTCTGAAACGTTACAAAAGAGAAAACGATATCCCCGAGTGACGTCACAGTACCAGAGGGGGGAGGTGTACTGTGTGTGCGGTATGTGAAGTGTTACAGAGACTCCCTTTTGCTTGCTCTGGAGTGATACCCCGCTTTCCGCCGGTTTCGGTAGTCTCCGAAGTTATAGATTATACATGCTTGGTTTATCATAGCTGGGTTTATCAATATGCGCGCGACACGATCAAACATCATGGAAATCTAGGGAAAGCTTTTTCAAACATTCGAGGAATTCAACACAACACAACACAACAGTGGTGCATCAGTGGTGCAACTATCACATAAAGTGTCAAAATAATAGTTATCTATTACATTATTTCAGTCCATATTGCTATTTAATTTGTTGAGGATTGATTAACCTTATTTGATAACTCATATGGCATCTTCTCCAAGGTGGCTGCCTTTGGAATCAAACCCCGACGTAAGTGATATAAAGGATTTTTCATAGAAAGAATAGGAATATTAAATATTTAGAACGTGTTGGGCCATAATATTTGGTATAACCACACCTTTACTTTAAACGTGTTGGGCCATAATATTTGGTATGTAAGTGCGATATGCTGATAAATCGAATTGAGGAGGGACATTATTTTTGCTGACCCCTTTTATAATCACTCAAATTATATATTTTTAATTTCTTTCAAATTGGTTTGAAAACTCTATGATTGCACTGGTAAAGGTTATAAGCCAGGTATGTATTAGTTATGTGTATGTGTATTTAGTATTTGAATGAATTAATGTATGTATATCAGTATATGTAGTATTTGAATGAAGAAAAAACAACATATATTACATACACACCTGACTGGAAAGTATGCAAACTGTGCAATCAGGATTTTCTTGTGTTTTGTATTCTTATTATTTGTAGTATTTATGGTCCATTGGTATGTCAAAGAAATGGCAGTTTGTTGATGTTCTTTCTCTTGACGAAGAATTGTTGTGTATGATTCCACAACCTGTTTGTGCTTTAGTTCTACTATTTCCATGTTCAGAAAAAGTAAGAGTTCAGGGATAAAATTTTTAGGAAATTCCAGCTACAGTAAATATACAAGAAGTTCATTTTGGATTTTCATGACTGAATTATACTCATGAATGAGCAATGAATAAGATGTGGTAAGAGATGAGAGATGCGTTGTTAAGTGTTAGTGTGTATATATAGTGGACCAATGATTTAAAATGCCCTGAGCCATGGCCTAAAAGCCCTAAAAAACTTTGCCACTGCTCTCCAAGTGCAGTCCAACCTGTGGTTTGAATGGCAGACAGCTCATTGAGATTTTAGGCTATGGTTCGAAGATGTGGTTTAATGAACTGAAAGGTTAAAAGGACTCAGAGCCAAATACGTGGCCAAATAGGTTCAGCCCTTTGGTGCACTACTGTTACTGGTAAACATGATTAAAAAAAGTTTAGATGCTGTAGAGCATGTGAATGCACAAGATAAGAATCGGTGTAGTAAAAAGCATGATGCCTTAATTACTGACCATGTCTTCTACATAATTACCATGCATTTTACTTGGCATCTCAGTGCTCAGTAGTAGCTAGATATTTAACATATGATCATTTTCTTGTCCAGTATTACCACTTTAAAGAAGAAGAAGAAAACTGCATTGAGAAAAAAGGACAGGTTGGTGTTGGCTTACAAGGTTCCAGACCTCTGCACAATAAATTATTAATTTTTCAATAATTAATCATTAATAATATATTCATTCTCTATAACATGTTTTCTCTTCTTAGACTATAAGTTCAAACTTATATTATACAAAACAAACTATTGGTAATGCTTGTGGTACAGTGGCCTTGATTCACTGTGTTGCTAATAACATGGAACAAATTAGTATTGGTGAGGAAACATTTAATTCATATTTTACGGCATGGAAAAAACTATGTCATATTTTTCACCGGAAAGTATTCTGGAAGTAGTAATTATGAATTCTTCCTGACACTGCTTGTATTCAGTCAAATTCATAAATGTTTTTTAGATGAGGGATTTTTGAAAACATTTATTGAATCAACAAAGTCTCTCACACCAGAAGAAAAGGCTGCAAAGTTAGAGTCAGATGAGGTATGTACAGTTGGAAACTAATATCATTTTACATTGCAACCAATATTTGTCGGAATGACCAGAATGTGAATTGAGGTATTACTAATCTTCCGAAGAGATTTTTTAGTATGTTTCCTATATTTTATATCTTATATAATAAAATATCCACTCTTTGTTTTGTTCTTATGTTCAGTGTATTGTGAAAATTTATATCCATGAGATCTACTGCCAGATCTTTGATAAAGCTTTGGCAACCTCAATCCCTAAGTTCTGCCTCATAAAGAGAGTCATTGGACAATCCTTATTAAAACCAAAACCCCCTCCCATCAAACACAGGTTTCCCCCTGTGAGTTGTCGAGTTGCTGAAGCTGAAAAACGTTTATTTTCCAGTCAATGATAGAGGCCCACGATAATTTTGCACAAGAAGGACAGACAGAGGTTTGTCACTTTATGTTTCCGTGGAAATTTGACGTATTATAAGTCAAGTGACTGTATTTTGGATCAGTGATACAATTGTCATCCTACCTGGCTAAAATTGAGTTCCGCCTCGTCTTTTCCACCTTTTTCCTTTTTTTACCTCACTTTTCTCTTCAGCTGTGGTACTAACATTATTACCCCTTGCCCCTCGACTAAGGGTAGGACTCAGGAGAAGCACTTCTAACCCCGTTTCCCTCTCCGATTGAGGGAAGGATCATAACTCTCTTTTGTCATTTCTGCAGTGATTCTGTTGTGAGGGTGTACGGGCCCGCTATGTTGTTACTAAACAAAGCAAATCAATAAAAATATGAAAACTCAATATTTTAACTACTTTCCGCATTACCAGGCTCCGTCACGAGATGAACACGTGAATCTTCATTTCGTTGCATTGGTGGAGAAAGATGGTCATTTGTATGAATTAGGTAATTTTGTCGATTATTGAATATAATCAACTGCGGCTGCTGCGCGGCCGTGTCTGTAAAATGTAGTGAAGTTACGTTTATTTTTTCCACTGATGTTCTTTAGATGGAAGGAAAAAATTTCCCATAAATCATGGAAAATCGTCAGCGGAAACGTTTTTACAGGTTTGTACATGCAATGAATGACTATTGATCAACAACACATCATTCTGGGACCTTAGAATCTACAACGTTGACAACAGCTAAATAGAAAGATTTATGCCATAGGGAGTTGTAGGCGTGGTCAACACAAACCAGTGCAACTTCTCTTAACCATAAACTATGCTTATTATTGTATTCATATAAAGCTTAATACTATTTAGAAGACATTCAGAAGATGATAATTAGTTTCTTTTCAGGATGCAACCAAAGTGTGCAGAGAATATGTGAAGCGAGATCCTGATAACCTGAGATTCACAGTAATCGCTTTGTCTGCAAGTGATTCATGACGTCATGCGCAACTCTGCGAAAATGGTTTATTTACAGTAATTTGATTGTTGAAAACAAATGAGCATAACTGATTGTCATTGAAACTTGATGGACACGATTTCTTGTGACTCTTGTTTAAAATGGCGTCTTTGCTTTTGCGATCGAAAGGAGCCGGATTACTTAGTTACAACAATTATTCAGTTATTAATATAACAAATAATAGTCATGAAGCTAAAAGCAGTCTCACTCCACTATAGTTGGAGGATTATTTCTATCCACTAAAAGTGATTAATTTTTTTATTTCGGGTAAACCTTACTCCAAATCATGCTTCATAATTTATTTAATATGTAATTCAGTATACTAAAAGTTGACATTTTACTGTCCTATTGTATTAAAAAATGTCTGTCATACTGGCTTGGTTTTCAATTGACACCAAGACCCCGTTTCTCCGGCAAGAAACTACACCTTCACGACTCCAGTGTGATTCCAAAATTACGTTGCTTGTGGGAGAAGGCGCATTTAGCAATTGGGTATTGCACTTTGTATTCGTTAACAACAACAGTCAACACAGGATCGGGAGAATTTGGGACCGTGCTCGAATTTATCCGGTTTCCTCGGGTGAACACGTAGATTTACTCATAGCTAATTTTAAGATTTTTTTCATATCTACACATATCATCACAATCAGGGCCGTCCTCAGGATATTTTCCAGGGGGGGTGTAAGGTAATCTAAACCGACTGATCTCACAATAGTATAGCGGAGATGGGGGCATGATAAAAATGGTCCTAACTAGAAATAGGTAATTTAAAGATGGGGGAGTTGTAAGGGGTCTGCAGGACCTCTTGCAGAGAATTTTCTGTATTTTTGAGTCCCTTTGACTTGATTTCCTGCATTTTGGGGGACAATCACTGCACATTCTGCTCTTATCACTGCACAAATTGGTTATCACTGCCCGCTAAAATTAGGTATGGTCATTTACTGTTGTAGAACAAGTCAAATTTTCTTTCGTTTTTACCGTGTGAACAACCTATGGTACGATGCGATTTTTAGGTCGTACTGGCGTAGTTCTAGCCAGGATTTTGGTGTAAAAGGGAGCCGAAAAATCCTAGGTGGGGTTAAAAGATCTAGCGCCTGTAAATTGGTAAAATTGCGAAGTTTGATTGCAAAATTTGTAACGTGCTGAAAACAGCGATGGGAAGTTGGCAAATTTTGTAAACTTTTGTATCTGAATATTCATTTTTTATCGCCAAGAAAAATTGGTTGGTCGTTGGTAAAGGCGACATCAGACACTTTTGTGGTTCACGTTCGCTTGCCTAACACAAAGTAGTGCAGTTGTAGAACGTGGGCGCCTAATATTTATTTTTTGACTTCTATCAACCAGAACACCAGTTTATAGTTTCTAATTTTATATGTCCACCAAATTTGATTTAAAATGTTGTTAATTCTATCACAAGAACACAAAGAGCATCTAGGATTTCTTAGTGATCTGCAAGTAGAGGGTACGTGCAGGTAGAGATTAATATTAATTTAATGTTGGGTAAATTTATTTGTTATATTAAATAAACATGAAAATCATGCTCTCTGGTTGCTCACTTGTCAGAACTTTGATTGTTGATTGCAAATATAGTTGCAAAAACTAATAATCAGCTATTATAATAGGTTTGTGTTATTTATCTGCTGTAGTTGGTCTACTACCAGTTTGGCTGTGAGGAATTAGATCAAGTCCAGGCATATCATGAATACATGAATGCATTATATGTTATTAAGAAATTTTGTGTTTCTTTCTCTAACATTTGAATTTTTATCATTCAGTTGCTCAAGAATTTTGCAGAATATCTTTGGAATATATTTTAAAAGGATCCAACCCTAAAATTTATCAAGCTGCAGCTCGTAAGTATTAAGTACTTTGCTCTGTATAATCACGGGTTCCTCAGTAAAAATATTGCCCTTTAATAATTTGTATCTCAAAGATTGTCAAAGCTCTTCCCCCCAGCAGAGAAGGTTCATTCTCGTGCGATACTAGAGTAACGTTTAACTAGATCTTGGCCGCTACCAATTAGTAAGGATGGTGACGGTAACACAGCAATACAATTGAGCTGGACAATGCAGTCCAGGTTGGTGATGCGATCGTGTTTGGTCAGGGAATGCGAACATTCTTTAAGACTTGCTGATTTTGAAAATTTTACGAGATTAATTTGACCAGAGGGGATAAGAACTAGTTAAATGAAAAAACGGGGCAGTTATAAAGGAAAGGGTGGGTGGGGTCAATTATACTGAGGGTAGGATATAAAACAAGGGAGCCAAACACGTACCCAGTCTTGTGACAACAATAACATCTCTGACATTATAGTAATTTCCTTTATTATAAATAATAAATACATATAAATAAAACTAAAACAACCAGTATTTATTTTACAAACTTGTCACTTGGAATTGTTTGCTTGTTGGTCATGGTGAAAATATATATTATGAAATTTTTAGAAAAACTTGGGGTTCAAGTCAATCAAGTGAAACAAGCTGTTGAAGGATTGGTTTATCTTTTTAATGAAAGCTCTCGTCTTATGGTTTGTTATACTACGTACTTTTACATCTTTAATACTCAAATCCCTCATTTCTGTAGTTTAATCTCATTCCAAGTTTTCAGGCTGTAAGAATATAATTTTATTTTCAAAGATTGGAGAAATTGATTTTCAAGATTCAGTTATGACATTAGGTTTTTCTGAAGAACTTAACAAACTCTTGCTTCAGGTTAGTTATTTTGTAACAGTTATTGAAGCATCATCCCAATTTTGCACCTGGGAACTTAATTATAGTGGGTATGACTTATTTGTTTCTCTCGTGGTGTCACTTTCTGACATTTCCAATATCTAAATTGCGTCATAAGGGTGGCCTACTTTTGTTGGTGTTGGGTGGCATCTACTTGGCTGGAGTAAAAAGTTCTGTTGCTCTAGAGGTTGATGATGCAGGAGTGGCAGTCTCTGTTACAGAGCCTACATGTATGTTCTGACACTGGTCTGATAGCTTTGTCACTCTGGAGGCCCACCTCTCTGTGGTGCGGCTTGTGCCAGCATTTCATCCCCTGAGTTGTTTGGTCAGGGCTCCTCACTTCTTGGACATGTTGTCATCAGCAACAGGGGGGGGGGCATCTGAAATCATCTGCACTTCTCCTGTAGCTGGCGGAGGGCGTGTCTATAGTTGATCTTTCAGCTGGGTAGACACGTTTGGCAAGTTTCTGTATAGACAAACCAAGACGAACCCGCGCCTATGTTGATTAGCTTTGCCTACAATGCTGAGTAACGAGATGCCTCTGTAGTTGTTGCAGTCACTTCTTTAGCCTTTGTTCATGTAGAGGTTGACGATCTTGGCATGTCTTGTGAAATAACCCCTTCACCAGCAGCGGCAGAAACCTTTGAAGGGACTGTATTGTATCTTCCTCTTAATATTATGAAATGTCTATTCGCCATTTGGCTCAATTGTACAACGCACTTTCTATTCATTATGTTACTGTCTGTAAAATTTCTTATTGTATTTTCCTTGTAGCTTTACCTGGAAAATAGAAATGAAATAAGAAAACTGCTAGGGGAACTGTCATTGGAACAACCACATTACCATAATTTAGAATGGCGATTTGATGTACAGGTAAATTTAATTTTCATAATATTTTATTGGTGATCAGTTTGCACATTATTGTCATCCGAATTTTCTTTTTTTTTACTTTTGTAGCTTGCAAGTCGATCTCTTCACCACCAAACCGAACCGCAAATTCTTCTGAAACTACACACGAAACGCAAAGGTTACTATAATTTGCCGCCAGACAGGTTGCATATTCACGCCGATGGGAAAGTTGTTCAGTTTTAAATATATTTATGGCAATTAACCTAGTGGTTTATACTTATTTCATCAGTATATTGTTGTGTTTTAAAACAGATGTTCAAGACTTGAAGATATTCCAAACCGATCCAGTAAATCTTGTTCATTTAACATCGGAATTAGAGAACGCTCTGGCTGAAATGAAGACCGCTCATTGCCGAAGAATTCTGAGAAATATTAAATAATGTAATGACAATATTTTATAGAATTTTGAATGCAATTGAAAACTAAATCATGCGACGTCGCCTCGAATCAATGTAAATAATAAAATTGTTATAGTTTCCTTCGGCTGAATCCTTGTCAATCGTCTGCACTTAATGACGTTTTGTGAGATATAAGAGGAAAACTCGAATAAGGCCTGCTGGCCTAGGTTATATATACGTCGCGTTCTGGTCGCGTCTTCGAATGCAATTCAAACAATGCCAATGGATAATGAGATGATAAATCTCGTTAATGGTCATCATTATTATCTCATCCATTGTTCGAATTGCATTCGACGCGACCAAAGTCAACGCCTCAAGCATCGAAATGTTGGGTAGGAGATTTTATGTGACTCAGCACACGCCCGTCATATTTGCCCGAATAGGGCCTGCGGAAGTATGAAGGGTGATCACCGCCAAAATTAGCTTACACAATTTGCAACCACTTACATGCCATTCGGCATTGCTCACGTGGTACTCGGATTGTCTTGAATGACATTCGGCACCACTTACGTGATATTCGAATTGGCTTTAATGGCATTAGGATTTGCATTTATGACATTCAGCACTGCTTACGTTACATTTGAATTGGCTTTAATGACATTAGGATTTGCCTTAATGACATTCGGCACCGCGTAGCTAACATTGGGATTGGCCCAGATTGGCCTTTTAAATGACATTCGGCGTGAAAGGCATGCGCCACAGGAGCACGCAGTCAACAGGGGCAGCGAATTATTTCAACAAGAGCGTTACGAACACACGGGATTAATTGAACAGCGGGTAATCACAGAAAACTTCTTAAGGACGTAATATTAGCTGCAATATTCAGTTAATAAAGTTTCCAAAATTGTTTTTATACTGTTTCACGCTATTTTTTCTTCAAATTCTGTTGTGTTAATTACGAAATCCTGTCGAAAAACCCTTGGATGTCTTCTAAATCATCTAAGTAATAAATGGTATGCCTTATATATATTTTTGCATTTTAGCCTATGTTTCCTTTTTTTATAATACAATTGAATACTGGCAGATTTTTTATTTGCCTAGCGGCATACTATATGGACATTGTCAATCACATGGGAACAAGGGCAAAATTTAATGATCGATGAGACAATTACCAACTCATTTCGTTAACCTGTGACTCCTTTAACTTCTGTTATTTGGTGAACGTACTGTACGTTATAAACCCTACATATATTTAAAAACCGTTTGCGATGCAACTATGCAGACTAGGGTAAAAATGGAAGAAAATGAAATCTGATAGCCTTTCACAGCCTTGAAGACTAGGAGATAAAAAGTAGCGGTGTTCTACATATACTATCTTTCTTAGGATGTTGTACAACCTAGAAGCATCATTATTAATCATTTGATTCACTCAATACGAAAAATTGAAGCAGTTTTGGAGAACGATGCAGAACAACCACCAGACTATGACTTCCTAGCTTTTAGAGTTGATCATCTAAATCATGTTTTGGTTTACTGTTCAACGGTTATTGATGTACCACCAACGGTCAACGAATTGCTAAGCAAATGCCTTAGCATAATAGAGTCATTTGATACTGGGATAAATGACAATTACTTTGCTCCAACAGTGAAAACTGGACTGCCTGGACGACCAGCATACAAAATTACAAAAGAGCAGCTGTTGTTCTTGGTTTCTTCTGGGTTTAACGTTCCACAAATTTCCGCAATGTTAAATGTCGGAAAAAGAACTATTGAGAGGAGACTTCATGAGTTTGGTATCTCTATAAATACCACTTTCTCATCGATTAATAACGACGACTTAGATGCTGTTGTCCGAGATATTGTCAAAGAATTTCCAAATGTGGGTTACAGAAGGCTGACAGGATTTTTGCGAGTAAAAGGCATCAGTGTTCAGCAGCAGCGTGTCAGAGAAGCTTTAAGAAGAGTGGATCCAGACGGTGTTCTCTTGAGAGCAGTTGAATTGAATGTCATCAGAAGGCAGCCGTATCATGTATCATCTCCTTTATCACTTTGGCACATTGATGGATATCACAAACTCATCAGGTAAAAATGGCCTTTTACACAGCAGGGAATTGCAATACCTGCAGTATGTGAAGGGAAAAGGTTGGTGTAAGTGTATTTCTCTGGTATTACTCGTTGTATTTATCCAACTTTGCATGGATATGTTTGTTTCTTTTGAGATGGAGAATGGTGATTCACGGGGGGATCGACGGTTATAGCAGAAAAATTGTTTTCTTAGAATGCAATACAAACAACTACGCGACTACAGTCCTGAATGCCTTTCTTTCTGCCGTTGATCAGCATGGACTTCCGTCTCGTGTCCGTTCGGATAAAGGCGGAGAAAATGTGGATGTTGCCCATTACATGTTGCATCACCCTGAACGAGGATCCGGGCGGGGAAGCATGATTACAGGCAAGAGTGTGCACAACCAAAGAATAGAGCGTTTGTGGATAGATCTATTTTGCGGTTGTGTCCATATGTATTATCATCTATTCTACAGCCTTGAAAGTAGTGGGTTGTTAAATCCTGACAGCGAGTTAGACCTTTTTTGCTTACACTATGTTTATTTACCAAGAATATCACATTCCCTTCGCAACTTTGTGAATGGATGGAATGCCCATCCAATGAGTACAGAAAATAACCTTAGTCCAAACCAACTCTGGATCAGAGGCCTACTAGAAATTGCAAACAGTGACAATCGAATTGCCCAAGATATTTGGCGGTCAGGGGAAGTAGATGTACGTAACTATGGTAAACATTATTTCGTCTTGAAATTTTTACAGTACTGGCGTTACTACAAAAACAGGAGACTGTAACCGCCATGCATTACACAACACAGCTTTCTCTTCTATGCAAAAACCAAGACAAGTAAAGAACAAACATTACAAAAGAATGATTTTTTCAATGTGAAAGAATATAATAAAACACGGTAGAACGACAAAAATTCACTGAACTCTTAAAACTTTTTTTAGGATTTATATGGAGTTGACTGGGATGGTCCTATCTCAACAGAGCCTGATACCTGCGCCGTTGAGGTCCCCCGAACAGAAAATCCACTTCAAGCACATGAATTTACAAACATGAAGGAATCCATAGATCCGCTACGTCAAAGTCACAATTATGGCAGTGATATATATTTGGAATGTAAACAATATGTAGAAAATCATCAACATTGAAAGTGAGAACATATCGTTTGTATATGTTATTATCAACGTTTTAACCCCAAACATTTTCTTGCAAGTGCGATTTCCATTTAATAGACCTTGCCGTTTATTCACATTTCACCTCGTGTCCTCGTTTCCGTGTCAAATACATATACTCGTGTTTCATGCTTAGTATGGTTGAAAATTACTTTGTTATTAAGCCTAAGATCAGCAACAGACAAATCCGTCCAGGAAACATGGAAATATAATCTTTATCTGCCTTTGACATGCTAAGATAAGTTAACATGGAAACGAGGCCTTCGGGTAAAGGAGAACAATCGGTAAGATCTGTTGCTAGACCGGTCAGGCCAAGTATAAAATTGCATAGACAAACCATATAAACCTATTCGAAAAAGAGCAAGAAGCCTGTTTCCAGTTACGCGAAAAACGAGGCTAGTCAGATTTTCTCTGTTGAATTTAAAGCAATTTGTTTATTTTCTCACTTTTTCGCTGGACCTGTTGCAAGCGACACAAAAACAAAGTTTTTACAGTCAAAATTTAGAAATATAAAAATGATTTTAAAATTTTGACTGCAGAAAACCTGAATAGCCTCGTTCTCGCGTAACTCGTAACAGGCCTCTTGCTCTTTTTGGAATAGGTCTCATAAAATCTGGCTAGAATAGACTTCGTTTTGAATTAATCCAAAATTTTCGTTCCCTTGTGTTTGTTTTTCATTCAATATATCTGACCGGTTTGACAGTTCTACATGCATGTAAACTGAAAGCACTCTAACAAAATATAAACATTAACCTAATAAGCTAAAATATTTAGCAATGTCAATGACAACCCTGCATATTCAGTTGTTACAAACAACCAAAGTTACGTACATTGAGACAAATTAATATTATCTAGTCAACATGAATTGTAAAACAGTTAGCTGTTGCCTACTGTACAGTAGCAGTATCTGAAGTCACCGAGAAGCAGAAAACGAACACGACGCATGACGTAGGCTGGCTAACATAACTTTCTCAAACGCAGCATACAGCTCCTCGATCAGGATTTGACTAATAAAATCTACTCGAGACTTTATACTTAAAACCCTCCCCACAGGCCATCCAGATCTATCAACAATGGAAGAAAATCTAGGTTCGTCAAGTAAATTTGAAAGCTCCTCGTCATCTGTACAATCTTCAATCTGAAATGATAGTAGAGATATTTCGTAAACGGTGAAAGTATACTTCAACAAACAAAGAGATATAATGGATTCAGGATAAGCATCACACATAGTAAGCATAACAAGTTCCCTAATGGACAATATGCGTGTTATACAATGGCAAAGAGAGGTATACTCTCGGAAAGAGCATACCAAAATTAGGAAAATGGCAAAGTTTGGTTGCGACAGTTGTGTAATGCAGAAAATATGGTTTTGCAAAGTTCGCAAACTTTCTATACTTTTGAATTTACGCGCAAAAATTGTTACCACTTTTCGACCGAAAATGACAACAAATTGTGCACGCGACAGAATGTCTCCATTGATCAATAACTTCTAAAGTCTTTTATGCGTGCCCTGTATTGACCAGTTAAGCTGAACAAACAACCGATTACTTCTCTATTTTGCATTTTAATAATTCTACTTTAGTTGATTTTACCTTTTTTAAGAATTCTGTCAAATCGGAATTCTGTGGAGTGTTCGGAAGGTCATCCAGCTTGATAGCTGAAACCGACTTTTCTTTGTTACCATACACAAGAAAATCGTAGATGTAATTTGCTAATGATGGCATACCGGGGCCTTGTTGAAGTATAGAGTGTGCCAGCATAAGGCCCCCCATACGCAAGAGATTAACATTGTCCCAGCTATGTCTTGGAACAAGGTGACCATCTTCTCCTTCAAACAAGCGATTACTCATGCATCTAATGAGATCACCAAAGAATTCGATCCTTAAACCACCACCGTCTATTGCATCTTCATAGCCTTCGAATACTATACTGAGATGCCGGTATAAATCTTTGCGTTCTGTACATTTATAAAAAATCAGTGCTCTTTCCCACAGGCATTCTCTTTCTACGTGCAATATCTTGATATTGTCCTTGTCTACATTCTTTGCATAGGCTGCAAGTTGCCCATCAATTGATGACGCAGTTGATGATTTACAGGTATCTACAGAACAAAAATTCAAAGCAAGCAAATTTTACTCTTTTGGCAATGAGTTCATTAAGGCTAACTATAGCATTCTTTTCGGCGCCGAACGCCAATTTTACTCGAGGAGAAGGATTTGTACGAAAGTTGTTCCAAATATTAAAGAGCACTGCAGCGCAAAAACAAGTGAACGGCTGAATAATTTAAATCAATTAGATGGAAGGCTATCTGCAACCAGAAATTTGAAGCTAGGTTTTTCGGTTAGAGCGAAGTCGTTCCACGCGATATAAACACACGGTTAAGCACAAACTATGCCGACACATGAGTTCGATCGAAGTCAAATCATGGGTCAAATTTAGCCTCACATAAGCATAGGCATGTTTATAATAATGCAGCCTTTCAATGTATTTTTATAAATCACTCGCACTGTCAACAGTATACCAACCAAATGCTATAAACAATACTTTTTTACTTTTAATGTTTGCCATATGTTCACTTACCATCAGTTAAACCTAAGAGGTCAGATACTGCATCTTCTGTCGAATAGTCATTTGCCCTCAGTGTTTCCAACAAAGTTTGCCTCTGTGCATTTGGAAACATTTCTTGCATTCTATTTATCTCTTCTATGAAAATAAAAATTATAGTTTGTACAAATTTAAATTTGGAGTCAATCACTATGTACTCTCTCATGATGAAGGCCCTCGGGTCGAAAAGACGAGAAGTGTTTTGTCTATTTTAGGCAGTTGTTATACCACATTTGATGCTAAGTTGTTTGAAGATGCTGCCACGCTGCTTTATATTGCTAAATATGTATGGTTATATTATTTTGGTGAGATGATACCTCTTAAATAAGTATTTTGTATGCATTACAGATTATTTAAAAACTTTTGACAAAAATTATATAAACAAACTTCGTTCAGAAGTTCGCAAGTTCATGAACAAGTTCATAATAAAATTAACAATCTGTTTTATAACTATGCATTTCACTGTCTCCTTTTAAACCTTGGACCAATGAGAACATTTGCTTTTGAAATAGATCTTTAATTTTATAGTGAGATTTTGACCCTGATCGCAACGAACTTGTGAACTTTCGAATGAAATCAGGAACATTTTAGTCAAAAGTTCTATGAAATCAGTGATGTTCTTACGGGTTAAAGTGTCATCACCAGTGTGATCAATGATTTTTTCTTCATCTCCATCAATTTTGTTATCAGATAAACTAGAAAAAGTAATAAGCAGCATTTATAGAATGATGAGGATTTTAGGAATTTAAGATGATGAAAAAAATGCAGGGTGCTACCAAAAAGGTATATGTTAGGTTTGAATAATGGTAGCTGTGACAACTAAATGTCTTCTAAACAAAGAAAATTGAGATTAGACAATCATCATTAGTGGTAGGTCAATTAAGCTTAATTCCAGCAAATTAACAGAAGAGATAAAACAGAAAACTGAAAATAAATGTCATACTTTTGAGTTTCTTGCTCTTCCTCCTCAATATGAAAACGTTGATGAGTTAACATAGACTCTTCATCAATTTTTATTTGCATATTACATTTAAGGCATGGTACAGTTGGTCCATCTGTATCATTGGCACCACTAATTGCTTCATTTGCCTTAAAAGAAAAATGACAATTAAAATTGTTGGTTAACTTGGCTTCCTTAAAATTTCTTCTTTATACTACTTTCCATATAAAATTGCATTTTATATGGAAGCAATTCATGTATATGATAACATATGATATATGATATGATATAGACCTTATATCCATCACTATGGCAAGGTATTTGTTGTACATAATATATACATAGGATAAAATAGACATAAATCTGAGAACAACATGATCAAAGTGAGTCAATAATACACTTTGACAGGGTAATTAATTTAAACTGACTAGAGTCTGAATAGATATGACATCCACTGCAACAAATGCCTTCCTGCCAGTGAGATCGAGATAAGGCCAGATTATTCAAAAGAAGGAGTGCTGGACAAATAGCCAGGTAAAGATGTAAACTAAACCCTGAACTGGTGAGCAATGTAGTATTCTATCCATGCCCTAAGGGTCTAATGAGTTTTATTGACATTATATATGCAAATAGTCTGAATAATTACTTCTACTGTATATTGAATGAATACTTTTTATATATTATTTGCAACTACAAATAATGTTCAGGTACTTAACTTTAAAAATTCTTCAACATATATTGTGTATTATTTAAACTATAATTTTTATAAAACACCTAGCTATTTTACATATTTGTTAAACATGCATCTGAGTGTATTTATTTCATAGAATATACACCCACCATGAAGGCAGTGGCGTAACTAGAAGGATAATTGGGGGGGGGTGAATATTCATATATTCAGTTCTACCCCACGAATTTCTATTGTAAGGTATTGCAATTACAAAAGAAATCTGTAGGGCAGAACTGGTTATTTGAATATTCACCCCCCCCCAATTATCGTTCTAGTTACGCCACTGCTTGAAGCCCTATCTCCAATACAAGTACCTTCTAAGGGCTCAGCCCTTGTGTGAGGGGGGAGTGAGGCATAACGTATATCAAATTTATCAAAAGTAAAACATTGACTGAGTACACTGAATTATTGAAAAAATTGTTGCTGATGAAAAATTAACTTACCTCAACTTCGCATGTATTTATTGTGTCAATAGATTTTTGCAGAGGGCGAACATAGGCTACTGCCTGTCTCAACGGTGATTCATCCCGTAAATAGGGTATTGAATAGCCGTTTTTCCCTGGGGGATAACTTGTAAGCGTTGGCTTCCTGATGCTGTCCGGCAAATTAAATATCCCCCAGCCTCTTTTAGCAACGGAAATTTCTCTTCGAGGATTCGAGTGAGAAACGCATGGTCGCCTTTTTTGTTATCAAAGGTTATTTTCAGCTCACCAAGCCCCATTGCCTTTAACTTTTCTTTTTCGGTTATGTTTGGAGCAATGTTTGCATTTTTATCAGATAGAAGGCAAAATCGATGAGTCCATGTTGGCAACGGGTTAAACATTGGAACCCAACTACATCGTTGTCTCTTGGGTTTTGGTGGTTTCGCTTCCTGAACTGTTTGTCGATTACTTGTTGCTTCTCTTCGGTATGGAGCAAAAAGTTTGCTTAATTCCTCCGACGTGGTTCTTTCGGTTTGCTGTGCCGAATCTTTATTTGATTCTTCAAGAAGTTTTGCAGCTTCTCGCATTAATCTCGCTGCCTCGATCCTTTTCCTAGTTTCATCCGCCATATTTACATATTACTGTAAAAACGCGCTCTTTCGATTTCTATGCACACGTGCTCTATATCCGTACCAGTTCACTGATCGTACTTACTTAAATTAACTTTATTCTCTTCATTCTTACTTAAATTAAGTTTCGTGAGCGTCAGTGAATAGCCGCTGTTCATTAGTACCGTGTGTTCGTAAGCATCGTGTTGAAGTAATCCGCTGCCCATGTTTATTGCGTGCTCGTGTGGCGCATGCCGTCCCCGCCGAATGTCACGTAAGCAGTGCCGAATGCCATTAGGGCAAATACTAATGCCATTAAAGCCAATTCGAATATCACGTAAGTGGTGCCGAATGTCATTTAAGCCAATCCGAATGTTAGCTACGCAGTGCCGAATGTCATTCAAGACAATCCGAGTACCACGTGAGCAATGCCGAATGGCATGTAAGTGGTTGCAAATTGTGTAAGCTAATTTTGGCGGTGATCACCCTTCATACGGAAGAGGTAGCAGCACACGAAAGTCACGAGCCTCTTGTCAAAATTGTAGATTTTGCAGAAGAGTCGAGTTTCAGGTTGACCAACTTCTGTCTTTCTGACATACGAGATTGTTTTTCCTTCGCTGGTTTACACATATTCCACCTCTCAACCTGGTTTCCAGGGCGATGGAATTTACAGGTTGTGCACACTGCACAAAGCTTTTTTTGTATGCATCACTATTCACTCAGTCATGAAAGAAACCTTTAATTGCGGAATGAGATCACTAAACTGGAATTTTCACTACAATTATACTGTAAAATACTATTGGTCATATCGTCCTTTGAAAATAATGTAGCATTCTACTCTTCAAGATCATACTGTAATTGTGGGCGTTTGCAGGCTGTGTTTTGTGTGTTTTGTCAGCAAGCATCGGGGGGGGGGGGGGCGTTATAGTAAGATCTTTTCCCATTTTTTGGAGCAGATATTAGGGAAGATATGTCCGTTACATCAAGAGAAGCGAAACAACACGAATTTTCCTCAGCATTTCGCTTTTGTCGTACCTCCGTGATAAAAATTACGGTTGCCAATCAACAGGTCACGCGTCAAAGACCATGTGGCATGTCGAAGATGACATATAATTTGCAAGTCGTGTCGTCGATATATTCATTGTTTACTTCTCACTTGAACAAGGACGATCTAACAGTGATACGTGCACATGCCTGCCTTGTATAGAGATCCATCAGTTGATCATGTCGGAGTTTGGGGAATACCGACATCAACTTTGGATTGGTGTGAAGAAAACTATTTAGTTACGGAATATGTTGCAGAATTTTGTAAGTTTCACATTCCGTTAATATGTTTACATTTTTAATACTACAACACGCGTGTATGTAAATTGACTAGTTTTGTGTATATTTTGGGTATTGATTTCAATTATGAATATAGCTCATGTTCTTTCAAAGCCAATTCTCGCTTATAGTTTGATTACAGTACATAAAAGTATTAACCAAAGCGCTCATTTGTGTTCGCAACACGATATCGTAAAATATTTAATGTCACAATTACAACTTAGCTAGTCTTCTAATTGCAGGTAGTTAGTTCAAATTTCAAAATCGTTCATATGAGTTCTAAATTATTTGGAAAAATTGTATCCTTTTACAGGTTAATATTAAACTTCTTGCACTACTTGAACACTTCTCCCAGAAATTATAGATCAGAACACTCAGCAGTTTTATTCTATTCCTTTTCGGACACTGTTTAATATTCGATTCGGACATTCATTTTCAGACAACTTTATTAATCATCGATTTTTATCATACAAAATTAAATTTCAAACTTGAATGTAGTTAATGTAATTTTTTACGTGAATTATATATTCTTTACTGTACATACAACAACAAGATTAAACCAATAGCGAACATAACTTGTTAGTTGTCATTTATGCAAAATTATTGTCATGTGCTTGAACTCGTATGCAGGCGGTATGCTATTTATATACAAAAGGCTTTTGAAATATTGGCCTGTTAGATGACAACATGCTGCTTTCAGATCTCATTGCAACAATTATAAAGGTTTTATTGATAAAGAATGTTAAATATGAAATCAACATACATGTCACACATAATAATTTCTTCAATATATAAGGTGGTGCACATGAATCTCCACTTGTGATATTATTAATTTTCAAAATTTTCGAACAATTTTCAAAAGTCATCTTTTAAAGAATTTTGGTTACACAAAAGAAACAAATTCCAAGTAGGGAGGAAGCAAATTCCAAGTAGGGAGGAAGCAAATTCCAAATAAAAAAGACATCTTGAAAATGATTATGATTTAAAACAAGAAACAGGTTGAAACTGTTAATTTCATTTCAATAAAGTCATCTGCCAACAGAACACACTTGTAATAAACAAAGAGAAATGACTAATTAATACACATCTTCCCCAGGAAGGATTTGAAATGTGGCATGCAGGCTTAAAGATGCCATCTGCACTTTCGGACATCATTTCATTTCTTTAATCTGAGAAGACTTTAGGTGGTTTATGTTCCTCTGTGTGCAGTGGTGTCACCAGCATGGATAAGTGTGGTGGACATATTCATATATTTATCTGCATAGACTGTTAACATTACATGGCTGCATCCTCACTATAGTTTCCCTTGGCCATACACAACTGATAGTAATACCTAGGCATCCTAATTGGGCGAGATTTTGCGGTGTTAGGTTTTCTCCTCATGATAACAATTTAATATTTGTAAGCTAAAACCGGTCAATACTGTGAAAGTAATTACTACAATTTATTAAACTAGGGAATACAATCACAAATTACTTCATGGTGGTTCCTCCGTTGCTTGCAATGCTGAGATGTTATCAACTTGGATATGATACAAGATTTCTCTTATCATTTCTCTCATTCATGGGTAAGAGAATGTTCAGGGTTGCTTGAACCAAGAGATTAGATAGGACTTATGGTGAAAAAGAATTTTACACTTAGCACTTGCAATGAATAAATATTTTTTTATTGAGATAATACTATTAACAAGTTTTTTAGCCACTTAGAAATTTATGGTTGTGAGTCATATGATAGCAAAATCACGTCGCGTGATTTCCCTGGAATGTGGCTACTTTCACAAAGACTCTTTTAGGGGAATTGATTTCATTTCAAAAGCAATTGCAAAAACAAAGATTTGAAGTTGCTGGTAGTGTTCAAACAGCAACAATCATGTGCAATTGGTGAAAATAGCTCAAGGCAAACACGAAACTGATGTGTATGAAGTTACCAGAGCCGATATCAATATTGTTATATCGTTACAGACGTCAGTATCTGACAATGACAATTCTCTCAATCGACGTTTTCTTTGTTCCCCTCCACAAAACGTCAATTGCCTTAACTGTAAATTTCTATACTGCGAGTTTTAACAAACCACGCAAACTTTCGGCGCTTGTGCTGAGACTGAGAGACTCTAATGTTCATCATTAATATTCCCATTTCTTGTTTTACGTTAAAAAACAGCTCTCGCATTGCAGGTTCTTTCATATCGTCAAAAGCCATGAAATCAGCTTCATTTAAAGCCGTCATAAGAAATTGCAGAAACTACGCATCTAATCACTAATGCTACATGCTTTATGCAAAACTTCAAATCATAGATTTTAGGAGTTTACGACTTCCTTCGGGTCTAGTTCTGGGGTTGGCACTACTCTTTATCATCAACTTCTACAAATTTAATATTTAATTAATCTAACAAATTTAAAAATATGAAAAATTTTCATTCACTGGCGATTCACAATTAGGTTTTTAAGAAAATTTTTTTCGAAAAAGGTCGAAAGGATTTCTTTGATCGACATCTCGACGCGGAGAGTGACATGAGAAATAGCAAGATGATTAAGATGATTAACATCAACTAATAGTTGTCGCATTTCTTGTATTTGCAGGTATAGGGATTGGTTCAACTCTGTTTCATGCTACATTGCAATACAAGATGCAGGTAACTACGATATTTTAACTAGAGTATTACCGCGTGTGATCAATATACTGCGGACAGAGAATGAGGCGGCTGAAACTTAATTCTAATCTTACCCCCTCTATTTAAAAAACGAGTCAACATCAATTATGTATCTCATGTTTTTGGGGGTCCTGTCACGAGAAGCCAACATGGCTCTCTTATTTACAAAGCGTTTTTGGCTAATACTGATATATACAGGCCTATGAGATTGGCTAAGCCTAAGTTGACGGGAAGCTCCGTCAGATCGTCAGATAAAGTGGCAAGTGGCGATTGTCTGTAGATAACTGAGATACAGTAAGCTCTTATCATAAAATCATTGGATACGGCGTTTGCTTTCTGTATCTGTTTCATCACTTTCATGCCAGCTGTAAGCAATGAAATTAGGACGAACTTAGGACGTGTTCGAATTTGTTCGTGTCGGTGAACGTTGCAGTATTCATGATTGACGTGAATATGTGGGTTGACGCATTACAATATAATATACCTTTTCGAGGCCTTATTAATCTCGTAAAGCACTCATTTTAGACAGTATAATTTCTCTTATAGTTGCTGGATGAACTACCAATGATTTATTGTACCAATATTATGCTTTATTGTGTGTAAGTACCCAGAGAATAATAATTGTCGAGCTTTTAAATCAATTGATAATTTTACAATATATTCATGCAATAACCATCCAACTGAAGAAAGCGGTAGTAACAATTTTCTCGCCTGAATGAAAGAATAATTTTTTACTGATATCTAGGCTGGCTTGTGACAATGAACCTCGTAAAAAGAACTTTGGGTTAAAAATATTTCTGATGATGTTTAGTATTATTGTGACTGTGGTAAGTTCGTTGATAGTCATTAGAAGATCTTTCGTTGGCAGCTCCAAAATAAAATTGTAATCAGAGGCAGGGCAAAATACATGTATGCGCGTGTCGTAAAAGCGTACAAAGTTCATTTTTAAGTATATTAATTGAATAGTTTCCTTTGGAGACTGAATTAATGCTACTTGACTCTTGTAGTGTCGTCTGCCTCAAGGTTAAAAATCTGCGTCTGATTTACAACTGCTTCATTTAATTTCACATTATTTGTTTTGATATTGCAATGTCATATTCATAAAATGCAAGTATATAATATACTACTTTCATTTTTAGATTTATATTGTTTTTGTTAATCCCTTGATATTCCAGGTATTTACCATCGCATGTCTAACTAAAGTCATGGTTTAACTCAGCATCATTTATTAATTCCTGCTTGATCAGAACCAAACAAGCAAAGTAGTTGAAACTGACTTCTAAATAATTTTTTTTCTAAAATCAATTTTATTATTATTTAGTGGGTGTATGGATTAAGTGTTGCATTTCTCATTGTATCGACTGTCAGCTCCGCCAGGTAATCTCAGCCTCCGTCATCTCAATTTTGCAATGCCTCCAGTTTATTGTATTTTTTTCTATTGAAGTATTTTTCGCTTTTAGGAAACACAAAGTTTCACAGAAATATTCCAGCTGGGCGTTACTTTGGTAGGAAAACTGCATGATGAAAAATGATCCGTTAGTTCAGATTAATTGCAAGTGTTCTTAAACATGATTTTTATTTCAGTTATGGAATTGGTTTTATATTATGGAATATCGACAACGTATTTTGTACACGTGTTAGGTACGTGTTGCATTGGGATTGCTTGAAATCATCGATCAGACTAATGTTTACGTTCGCTCCGAATTGATCAGTATTCTTTGCTGTCTACAACTATATTTTTCATTCTTCAGATATTTTCGTGGTTTAATACCTTGGCCTTTCGATGCACTGGGTCAACTGCATGGATGGTGGCATTGTCTTGCTGCTTTTGGTGGATATTTTCAAATATTGTACACGTTCGTAGCTTCTTTATAAATTACTGATATAGTTATATGATACAAATTTCTTTGACTAAACTAGAGACACTAGAGTGATTTTATAGCCTCTAACTTACTAACTTCCTAACTTAATTAAGGATTGACTTGAGGTTGAAGTGTCTGAAGGATAAACGGAAATCAGAACAGGTAATAAGATATTCTGCGCCGCGCTGGAAAATATCTTTGTTGTAATTCTCACGATAAATATAAGGCCCAAATTAGTGTTTTCATTCTAATATTTCAAGGGTCAATATATCATTTTAGAATGGCTCTTGTCAAAACGGTGGAACTGATAAACAACCGAGAAGTATTTCATCCAGTGTATTTCGAGTAAGTATATATAGATCCCTACCTAGATATAATTCATAATTGGTTAAATATACTTTGTATTTTGGATTTTGTCTAAAGCGGGGGGGAAATTAAGGATGCAATTTAAAAACGAAGTGAAGTATTACGCACACTGAATTGAAATGGCAAATTGGCCGCAGTTGTTTGGTGATAATATCATTGAAAACTTTTATCACTTAATAAAAATTGTAGAAAACCCCTAGTAAGGAGGCGTTGAACCCCATACTGGCCATGCATTTAAACGTTCATTTATTGTTTTTGAAACTTTGTAAAGGATCTTTGGTGTTGGATTCCTGTTAATACTCGCAGGAACTGTGATGCTGAATATGGTGTGAATAATAACATAGTCAGCAATGGCAGTTGTGATCACATGAGATTGTAATACTGATCATTTTGGTCAGTATAAGATGCTATAGTGTCAGTGCATTACGATACAATGGTGATAACATCATTAACATGTACATTCATGACTGTTAGTTACCATTGTAAGGCTAATGCTTCCAAAACACGTGGTTTAGGTCAATGAATAGATCGTTAGTTCGTTCTTTTGAGTTTTTGGTGTGTTAGTTTTGTTCTTTTCCTGGTTTTTAACTAAAGGATATCGGTTACATATGATAGAAATTAGGATAGAAATTAGACATTACGTCATTAGGTTGTAAATACTTGTGTTCCAGCATCATTTCCACTAAATATTTTCCAATACACTGTTCGTTTACAACGGTACTTACGGTTTTTACATAATTATTTATGTATTTTATATTGATTACATCATGTATTTACACTCAAAGTGATACTTGCGATTTTCTAAACTATAATAGTGGACCATGCAAGTATTATAACTTATGTATATTTTCAGGTATATTTTATAGAAAATAGTGTGATATTCAATATATAAAGTTTGCTAATTGTAGAAAAATATTACCCAATGTTAACAAACTATTTTTGTAAATAAATTGTGCAGAAAGGCCAGATTTTTTTGAACGACTCGAATGCCGACTCAAATGGCGAAATACTTCGCGTTTTGTTGAGAAAAGCGGGATTATGTCGTTGTAGTCTTAACTGAAAAATAGAGCAGCAACTAAGGAAGTTCAGCGCAATTCAACGTGGTTTTAAGTTATAACTTTCATTGATATTCGTGCACCTAGACAACTAATACTTCATATAGTCTGCCAGCATACCACTCATGAAGATTTTGACGTGTTAATTAAACGAAAATAGCGGATCTGACCAATGCCAATGGTATAAAAAGAGATAAAGGAGAATATATAGTAGCCTATATTCATAGCAAATTAACATTTTAAAAACCCTTAACTGAACTATCGGTACGGTGTATTGATAAACGACCTGTTGTCCTGTTCAGTGACTGAGTGTAATGGACGGCAGGGTTGAGAGTTTTAGCAAGAAGTAAACAAGCTAAAGAGCAATACGAGGCAATCAGAAGAAGCTGGTAGGAACCGTGACATTGATCAAAGTGAAATCAGAATTCTGCCAAAGAAGTATGTCTTTACGTAGGTATATTTTATAATGAAGCATGCAGCAGCTACGGCAAATTACAATCTGAATAGCCTTTCCCCATAAGATCAAAGTGCATTCTGGGATTGTCTGAGGCGACTAAATACGGACAAGCGTCAAATATAAGACGGAAGGATTTACTATTTTACAAGATCAATATTATATTACAATACAATATTCAATTTTACAATATAATTCTTTTTACATGGCTTTTCCGCATCATTCTAGTATTTCCAACAATTCATTCCCACAGGCCACAGGTTTTTTAATTTTCTATCCTCGCGCCTTTCTATAATTGAGTTTGTAATTTCTAGGGAATGGCTAATCAGAAAAGAATGAACCCAATCGGGTATTAGATCAACCATAGTCACAAGTATTCTGATATCCATCTGCCCACCCTCCAGGAAACAGCCGAAGGTCCATATCTTCATAACTCCATAATAATAACGGAACCAGTTAATGGACTGATCACTACAAATGATTACATACGATTAACTTCTATGACGAAACAGCCAGAATCCGATGCATTCGAGATAGCGTTCCAAACACCAAGAGACTAAGTTCAAGGTATTTCCAACCCTAGGAAAACCCTGGGTACGAGGTTGCACTGGGTTGCACTTGGTGGTTGGTTCATTTCACCAGGTTTATTAAAATAAGGGTAAGAAAGATGGATTCGTAAAGTGCAAGGTAGTTGCTTGTTTCGACATGCTTGTCTTCTGAATGTATTAGTTATGTTTATTAAGGCTGGTTTTCATTTAATCGTACTGGCCGTGAACCACTCATTTTTACCGATATAAAATATCTGTAAATTTGTCGATATTTTTTATTTAAATCAGTCATTGATTACGTAATGAGATGGTAATACACAATATTCTATTTTATCAACAACAATTACAACTAAAATGAAACCAGCCATAGATTCTTCTGAGTCGGATAACAAACGACAATCAAAAAATAGTATTTTTCAAACGGACAATCCTATAAACGCTACAGCACTTAAAATATTTGTTAGAAAATTATGTTTTTATTTTATTTCATTCCTATACTTGGTCAGTCATTTTATTAACTACGCTAGGTTATAAAATTCAATCAACGAATGAGTTACTGTCAAATAATTTGTCATTCACCTAATTCTATTTTGTATATTTCACGCCGTATCGTGTTTTTTTTTGTACTCTCGCGTTCATTAATCCCATCTTGTCGATGTCCATGGAAGGTTTCTCCATAAATTATCATAACAAAATTAATCTCTTTGCTATGTCGCTCCGAATTGTACAACAAAAGGTTCTCCACCACTAACTTCGAAATTTCTTAAGGCTGACGAATTTTGCTCTGAGAAATTCTTAACCTGAATAAAATTGAGGAAATGTTTGAATGGTTTGGTAGGGTGCTGTTAGGGATGATTGTGGGATGATTGTGGGATCATTGTGGGATCATTGTAGGATCATTGTGGTCATGTGCTTATCAACCCTTAAATAATTTTATGAATACCAAAAACAAGCATATGTCATGGTAAGTTTATTTTTTCAATCTCTGTATGATTTTCAAGCGAGGTGCAGGTCTGTAGTACACATTACAACAAAGGACTATGGTGTGAAAGATGCTTGCTTTGTCACATAATTTCTCCACTGGTTCATGATTTTAATGATTATGATTGCATGACATGCTAGTATATGTTTGTATTTATGAGTGACTTACCAGATTTATGTCCTGTTTTGACACAGGTTCCGCAGCTAAAACAACCTGAGGAGCTGCTGTACCAGGGGGGAGATTATCTGGTGGTATTCTGGACGATGAGCTCCCTGTATTATCATAATGCCTAATAACCAAATAATGTCAATCGTCACATTTTTCTTTCAAAGCATATAAACATAAATATATATAGTTAGTTAAAATTAGTCAAATAAGTCGATGATTTTGTCAGACTAGCAAGTTGACTTACTGGTACTGTTTTGTTCGTTCCATAAACTCTCCTTTTTCTAAACTGTGAGGTTCCACAGTTGTCACATCAATTACATTGCTGAAAAATGGTGGGACGTCACCATGAAATACATAAACATGGGTGCACTTTTTAAAAACCTTATATTCATAAACAAATTATCTTACTTTGCTGTTTGATTGAGAATTCTACTAAGCATGGACTGTTGGTCTGATTGGTTGAATGATCCTGACTTTTCTGTAGGTCCATCACTTTAAAACACAAGAAACATGAAAGGCCACTGTCTAGTTATATTACATCTAAAAACTGTAAATCCATGAGATAATACCTTATTGCTTGTGGATATGTAGTTTGTGGGGCACCGGTTCCATCCTTTATAAGTGGTGTTCTCTCATTATCCTTATTTGTCTAAAATTAGTCAATCATTTGAATGTTTTTTACAATGCTTGCGCAACCGTATGGAGGGGAAGTGCTGCACACAAATATGATCTTAAATATGCTAGGTTTTAAGAAATATATACCTCAGAGGTATACTTGCTACAAACCCATGAATTAAAGGTGGTTATTTTATATTTGATATTGCATGGTAATAAAACCAGGAGTGCTTGAGTCATTTAAGTATTCAGACATCCTCTGATTAAAATATTATATTTGATTATTGTCGTATTGTTAAATAGTACCAAGTATTTAGCTAAATAATTTAATTAAATAGTCTAATTGTGTCCTTGATTAGCAAAGAATAAAGTAGTTCTTGCTTCAACAAGAATCAATTTGACACAGCATCTTGTGTATCTCTACAATACTATAATACCTGCCCGTTGACTTCGTCGTTGCTAAAACAGCAACCCATCTTGCTTAAATGAGATATAAACTTCTTTAGGCAATGACAATAGCGCGTGTCACAGAAAAATACGCAGTAAATTGAGTAAAGTTGGTGGACTTATTTCGATACAGTCATCTGACATTCTGCTTTAATAGTAATCACGGACGTTTACGGCACTGAAACGAGTGTTTCCGAATAGTCCCGACATTGTCCCGATATATCATACGAGCCTGTGATATTTTGATTATGCGGTTGAGATATTTGGCACAATTTGGCACTAAAATTTGAAAATATTAACGATTCAACGGTAATTTTGACCTTTATTTGGAAATGTAAGGTTGGTGCGATTTTATCATGCATTGGTGAGTTTTTATATTGTTTATACTGATTGTTATTATGTCAAGTTTATTTCATATATAGCGCACATTCCACGTAGTCGTAAACGCAATCCCATTAGATCAAACCTATAATTCATCTAGCTGCCTCTAGCCTGTTCTTTTGGAGCATTCGACACCATTCTTGAAAACTTGGAATACAACCTCGCCATGGAGAGCAGAATAAATTCGGAAAAAGCGGAAGCTCTTTTGAAATGGGTAAGTATTTAAAATATCCAAGTAAGGCTTTTACATGTACCTGATGTAAGGAGTAGTGGTAACATAATATTTTGGAATGTGGAATTTACAAATCTTTGATCTGCTGTATGATCTCAGAGGTTCACTGAGGCCCTAGCTGTGAGGGTAGGTCAGTAGGTGACTAGGTGCATGTCAATTGCCTGAGATTCAGTACAACTATAGAATAACCCGCAAAGTTACCTATCAATTCAAGTAAGTTATTCATCCTCTGGAGTGTGGAATAACGTTTATAACATTCCACGTTATTGTTTATTTACAAGAACGTACGCAGGAAATATGACTCATTTTATATGATTTAATATGACTCAAACGGTTTTTAGATGATTTGTTGATGATTTGAATATCATTTAGAAAAAGTTCGATTATTTTGTTATTTGTTATTCTCAAATTATTCTGTAATTTTTAGGTCAACACAATCAGCTGCAGTTCACTTCAAGAAGTGAAGTCACTACAGGAATTATCAAATGCACAGTTGTTGATGGAGATTGTTTGTCTTGTGTAAGGATATTTGATATCAAAATCTGTTTAGTCATAAATCGAAGAATCATCTGCAGAATATGCATGTGCTGCAAGTGTCTATAAAAACATGATATAAATTTACTTGTCTCTTTTTTCAACCATTATTTACATGAATTTCTATAGTGACAAAGATTACAAAGTTGAAAGATTAAATTCGGCAGATGAGAACACTAAATGGATTTCTAGAGTGATAGAATATTTAGAAAGTGAGTTTGATATCTTTTTTAACTTACACCTAACTTACACATTAATATATAACATTCGCATATTAAGTTTTGCACCAGTAGACAGCTAAGATTTGTAGGTATAGAAGAGGCTCTGTATCACAGATGAGGTAGAAAACAGATCTTTATTTTTTAATCTACTTTAGCTACAGTCTCCATGCAGTATATAACCATGCATAGCATAGCCAACTGCTTGGATTGATTAATGATTAAAGAATGTCTTTCAAGTCTTAATTTTCATTTTTAGATTTTTATCATCAATCACTGTCAAGCTTTGTTGATCAGAATAAGATCACATCCCAAAATACCATGGAAATTGGAAAGGTTTTTTTCACTCTTTCTTTTTTGCAAATTACCATGCACAGTTGTCTGGAAGCTGTGGTGATCAAGTTTGATTTTCACAAAGGATATTCTGACATCAAGATGGCAATTTTTTGTATCTTATTTATCTAAAGTGTCACAAACTTGTCTTTACTTTAGGTTTTAAGTCTTTTACTGTGCTGTGCTGTCCAAGGTGAAAATGTTAGTGAATGTGTTGACAAAATCACAAGTTTAGAAGAATACATACAGTTTCAACTGAAGTTCATAATTGAAGCTGTTTTAAAAGGCCTGGATAATGGCAAGATAGATTCAGTCGATGTTACTAATATGCTCTGTAAATCAGGTAATATATAGTCAGAAAACAGTGCATGACCAATCATTGCGGGATTTTGAGTGCAAGATGCAGTCGTTGCAACAAACCGCTTGACCTGCAAATATACTGTACTAGTACCTGCAGGACAAAGGGTGTTTCCTTCTATGAATGATTTAAAACCTTGTGATCAAGTGTCTGTTAAAACCATTAATATTTCTATATCTTGCCTTTTGCAGAATCATTTCGTGATGTTCAAGGATCAAGTGATGAATATCAATCATCACCAATCATAATGTCGCCAGTGTCGCTTTATAATTCCCCAATTAAGGCATTGATGGCCTCGCCTCAAATGCAGAGCAGACAGAGTCAGGTAGAAATGTTTTATTCATTTTGTTCATCATCTGACTTCAGCTTTAAATGTGGCCGAACTTTGGCGGGGTTGAGCTTTGAAGGTCCTTTTGTTGGGCTTTTTATGTGAAAAATGTCAGCAATGTACAATGTTGAAAATATTAAATATAACAGCTTGGGAAATTAGAACACTTGCCAATACTTTTTTATTTATTGTGTTTTTATTTCAGGTGACAATTTCTAAACTGTACAAGAGACTAAATCAGTTTCAAATCAAAATTAATAACTTGCAACGCGTTCAGTCTGACTTGGAACACGACATTGAAGAGAAAAGAAATCAAATTGAAGAACAGGGTAAAAATATACACTACGTATGCTGATATATGCAAGACTGGCGGCCTGGCGCATACATCGATAATTTCGGCGTTCATTACTGAAATTTTTTATACTTTACTGAGCAAATTAAAACGCTTCTCGACGTTTCGACCTGAGAGCCTTCGCCCATACCACAGAGCCCATGCATACTAACTCTCCTAACGAAAGCCTTCAGGTCGAAACGTCGAGAAGTGTTTGTCCATTTTAGGCAGTTGTTATACCACATTTGATGCTAAGTTATAAGTTTGACGCTCCCGAATTTATGTATTGCAACGACAACAATATAAATATATAATATATAGAGTTGAAAATTCAATCGTTGTCGCAAGAAGTTACAAAGGTTCCTGTGTTGGAAGACGAAATTGAATCGTTGACTCGATTTGAAACTGAACTGGATAATGTGAATCGCGAAAATAACAGGTTAGTTGCCGGAGACTATAAGTCTATATCCATGCATGCTGTCGTTTTCTCTTTACCAATCTGCCTGCATGGTATTTTATTTTTATTACACTGGCTTATACTGCTCTAATTTTTCTATGGGTACAACTCTGATAGCATCGTGCATATTTTACACCTGGCTGTAGGTTAAAAAGATTAATCCAGGAGCTAGAGGAATACAAACAACAATTTCTCAAATTGGAAAAAGATTACGCTGACCTTTGTGTTGAGAAACAGGCAGTAAGTACTATGTGTATTGTCTATCATATCTATTAAATTACTGACGCAGGTATCTATAATTTCTCCCAGGAAAGAGATGATTTTGAAAAATGCATTAAAGAAGTAAAGAATAAAGGTCAAGAAGAACTTCGTTGTGTACAAATTTTGTTGGATGATTCAAATAAAGTGTGTGATCAGTTGAGAAATGAACTTCGTAAAGCCTTCGCTGTTGAAGAAACGATGAAAAAGCAACTTTCTGAACAGGAAAATCTTTTTGTAAGAAAGATCAAGAAGATAGAGCAAGATTTAGGTATTTTTGAGATGGTGTTATTTAAATGCAGTACAGTGTACTATTTAAACTTAGACTTTATATTTGACTTTTATTCGACTTTTTATTCGATATTTAATCAATCGTGGTCTCCCAAGTCATATCCCCTTATATCTCCAGATGTTGAGCAAAAACTTCACATCTGAGCAAGGTCCTAATACGACAGTTTTTCGACCCTCAGTAATTTTTTGGAAGTGCAAAAACAATAACTGCCGACTGGCTTTGAAACGAATATTGACTTCGCTTGTTCGTTTCGCTCCCCCTCCCCTCCCGGCTGGAGTAATTGTAAAGATACGGTTTTTCTGCCTATCTTAGATTGACTGCGGTAATCTTATTATATTTTAGCGGACTCAACCTCTTCAAGAGACAAATTGTGTTTAAAAAGTGATCAGGATGTCCTTCGACAGATTGCAAGAGAAGCAGATCTGAAACAATGTTTCCGAGATAAAGAAGCAGTGTTACAAGCCACGATAGACCAAACTCAGCTGCAAAATTGTGAACTTAATCAAAACGTGAAACAGTTGCAAATAGATTTAAGTCGAGAAGAAGAAAACAAGAAAGTGCTCCAATCTTCCTTGGCTCTTTCTGAAAGCAAATTGACTGACACATTGTGTAAATATGAACGTTTACAATCTGACTTTATTTCTCTTGGAAATGAAAGCAAGAGCAGCTTCGATAAAATACTTGAGGAAAAGGATTGCCTTCAAGATGCCTTAAAGAATGCAAAAGCAAATCGAGATTTGGAAGTTGTTCAACTTCAAAAGAAGAACGATGACCTTCAGGAACAGACAAGGTAAAGTAATTGGGATAGATGTCACAAAAATTGCATTGCTTATTTTCATCATCATTAACTTCGCAATGCTCACAATGTGGTGCTTTGCTTTACAGATGCTTGGTTCACGATCTGAATGAAACAAAGCAGGTTCTGCTCGAAGCATTAAGTGGTAAAGAAGAAATGCAGACGACAATAAAGGATTTTTGTACACAAAAGAATACGTTGATGGATGAAAATTCGTTACTGCAAAAGAAATTGGAAGAGAAGGAAAGTTCAGTTTTGGAGTTGAAGCAAGTTCAAAATTCTTCCTCAATACTTGCGGCAAATAATGATGCGTTACTGAAGGAAAACTTGTCGTTGAAAGATAACGTGAGGGAGCTAGAATCTCTTAAATCCAGTGTTCAGGCGTTGGAAAGTTCACTCCGTTTGGCTAATGAAGAAATAGAATCTGTAAAGAAGAACAACAGTGATATCAAAGATCCCACTTATGAACTAGAACATAAGATGTTTGCAGATGCAAACAAAAAACCACAAAATCAAAACGATATTGTAGTTGAAAACGAGACAGCACAAGTTGACAATTCGACTGAAGAGATAACCGAATTACGTAATGCTTTGCGTATTGCTAATGAAGAAAAGCATTCCCTCCGAGAAATTAATTCTTCTCTTGAAAGTCAAGTTGCTGAAATTGAGGTTGATTTGAAAGAGTACAGAGCTCTTCAAAGTCGTTCTGACGTTTTGAAAAATGAGCTGCTGCTGCTGACCAAAGAAAACGCAGAAATGACAAAAGGTTCGGAATTTCTCTCCGGCGAATGCGAAAATCTTCAAAAAATGTTAGCTGTTGTCAGCAAAGATAAACGGACTCTTCAAGAGAGCAATTCAACACTAAAAGATGAAATTGCTAAACTCAAAGTACATTCTGAAAACTATGAATGTCTTCAAAGTGATTTGGGGATTTTAAAAGGAGAAAAACTGTTAATGGAAGAAGAGAATATAAAATTGAAGGAGACAATAAAACAAACAAGAACTCCCGCGTGTGAATTTCAAGCTCTATGTCAAGATATAAATGAATCCAGGAAGGAAAGGTTTGCAGAAGAAAAGGCAATACCAAAATATATGAAATCATCACAAAGTAAAAAGGAAGCAATCTTAGACAAAATAGAATTTAACCCAGGTAGCAACTCAAACGCCGTTGACAATTCTACGATAGAAACAGGGGATCATGATTTGTTGATGTCAAAACTTGGTGAGATAGATAAAGTTGCTAGTGAACAGGACAAACAGATTCCTCTGGCTCTGACTCACGAAGGTGACATTGCTAAAAATAAGGGTGAGTGGTTGTTTTATTTTAACTGCATGCATTCATTGAGAGTAAATCCATCTCGTAATCGTTAAAAAAGCTCAGACTGCCAGTTACAACAAATGTGGCATATTAACTTATTAACTTAAAGAAACGTTTTGACCTTACTTACACATGTTGGCATGCACGAGAGATAGCGCGATGTCTTTCAAAGGGAAACGTTGAGTTTCTTTCATATTCTTGGCAGACGTTATCCCTTCAACAATTAAAGAGTTATTCAAAGGCGCCATTGTATATTGTTGCATTTATTTGGCCAGTTTTATTCTTAGTGATTGACATAAATTATTTTACATCTCAATTTTAGAGTGTTTGGTCGCGATTGCTCACGAATGCGAGAAAAACCAAAAGAAAACAAGCGGAAACATGAACTCGATTGGGGAAGAAGAAACGATCGGAGTAGATGAAGTTCCCTCGATTGACGAAGTGAAAACACTTGAAGATAAAATAATTTCGTTGGAAAAAGAAAATCTGACTTTGAAAGATTTGCAGAAGAAAAGCAGTGAAGATTGTCTCAATGAAATAGCTAAAGTTGAAGAGTTGAAGAAAAATCTGGCAGCTAGTGAAGCAGCCATGGACAAGTTGAACAATAATAACGTGGAGCATGAACTAGAAATGTTGTCAGTCCAAGATAAGATGAGGAAAATACAGGAGAAGAATATAAAATTAACAAATTATATACCCCAAGTGGAAGCACAGGTTGTGGATCTTGAGAAAAAGTTGTCTGAGGAAGAATTCATCAGTAAACGTTTGGCAGTAGAGGTTCGATCACTTGAAGCACAATTATCGCATGCTGATAGACAGTTACGACAGACGGTAGAGAGGAAAGATGAGCAGATGACACAGAAAAACGCTGTCAACAGGAGTATGGAAATTCTGGCAAATATCCACAAAATGGCCCCAGTTCCTGAAGAAATTACTTCAACTGCTGACGAAAACGCTAATGTTACGAAAGATTTTTCCATTGCCGATGACTCCTTAATTTCTGAAGGCTCTCTCATGACGGAGAACGAGGACGGGCATGTCAATACAAACGATGGAAACGTACAAAACAACGTGATATGCAAACAAGAAGAAGTTCTTAAAAGATTGCGACGTCGGAGTGCTGTTTACTCACAAAAGAATTCTCGGAAACATGAAATAAACAACAAGAGATGTTCCACGGTCGGCACAGAATCTTTCGTGGTGGGTCAGTTTTCTAACACAGTCGCATATGAACCCGATGATTATCACTATGAGTGGGATCGCATTTTGGAGTTGAAAGAACGGAATTCAATTTGTGCACCACATCTACGTTCATCTTACCCCGTTGAAACACAAGTACGTTCAAAGGAAGAAGTCGAAGAAGAAGACTTGAGATTAGGAGGATGTTCAACAACTTTATCACGAAAACGGTTGAGGGATAACATCAGTGACAGTAGTTTATTCACTACGACCCTTGATACTAGTCGTTGTTTGCCGAGATCAAAATCAGAAAATGGGTTTAGCAACATTTTGACTGAGAAAATGGTCGCCAAACGCATTTTAAATGACAATGGTGACAAGAATAAGGCTTTACGGCACTCGACATCTTTCCCAGAGCAGAAAATAAACGATGTTGAAAACGTTGATAAAAATAATCGACGCGAGAGTATTGCGTTCAAAGTGGACATAACTCCGGCGAAAAAATCACGCATGTCTTTACGGATGCCGCGGTCCTTAGCAGCTGAGAAAAAAGAAAACGTGAAAGGTAAAAGCAAGATGAAGCCTTCACAAACTTCAAAGAAATTTTCCCTACATCGAAAACAGAGCTCCGGGAAAGAAGACAAGAAAGCACTGCGGACAAAGCGCACCAACCTGGCCGTTTAGTGATGGAAATATCTCAGTTATACTGTATCCACTTAATAAATATGTAAATATCTGTATTTTATGTTTTATTTTACATTCGAACTTCGCACTTTTTCTACCCGTTACGTAGCTAATATATATTACTACCTCTTAATCGTGAATTAAATATTTCATGTTTTTGATCATATCCGTGTCTTTGACTTTGTTGTATTCTCAGACCTTTTTTAACCTGATCCCTGTTCATATGCAGACGGTTTTACAGACGGCCTTTCCGTTCAAAATGACTTCCCCGTTGCTGATATAAATTCGGTCAAAGGAAAAGAAATATTTAAACATCACTAATCAGTTCGTGAATATTGTCAATTCCTAAACTGGTATCGTTAAACCGTTTCGGTTCATTGGTGGGTATAATAGCGTGCAAACACGAACAGTGAAGACTTCCATGCTTGGTCAGAGATGCTTGGTCGAAGGATAGTAATCTTCAACCAAGCATTGTAGAAATCACCAGAAACCTTAGGAATACCAGAGCTCGATGCTATGGCGATGTATATGAGATTTTAAAGACTACAAGACAAGTGCATGTATATGATATATTATATTACTTTTCTTCTCTATGTGTATGAAAACAATACGTGAGAACTTGCGAAAAATGGAATGACAGGTCTGATGCTGAAGACAGGGTCGAGGAGCGAGAATATATCACTGTTAAAGAGTAGAAGTTAGACTGTGCCATAACTGAGGCGCTATTGGCATGTGTCTACAAGGAATATAATTGGCCTATTGGTAGAACATTTTTGTATTAAGATCGCGTCCAGCGAGTTACGATGCATCTGATTCTACGCTAACTACAGTCTATACACGGTGATTTTGTTTAAATTCTGTTGCAAAATTATTAAAGGATAACCAGCGAGTGAAAAGTTTCGACGTTGAACATAAACCTGGCTGGAGAGTGCTCGTGCTTGCAATGGTTATTCGGTCTATAAGTCGCCGTGAACATAACAGAAAATATTTCTATTTTCTCTTGTTGTTGATCCTTCTTGCAGTTAATGTAATCAAATATGCCTCGTTGGGCAAACAAAATGGGAAACGCTTGGTTGAATCACAAGTAAAAAAAGCAAAGAATGGAAGGCATATAAAACTACTGTATTGGTCTACGGTATTTGGTAACAAAGTACAAATAAACGATGTGAGTAAACTGCCGTATTTTCATGTGAATCATCAATGTAGTTCTTTTTGTGAACTGACTGTTAACAAAAGCCAGAGTATGGAAGTTGATGCAATTATCATCCATGTTAGAGATGAAAGTCCATTTCCTTCACCAGAGAAATATTCTCACATTCCTTTTATTCTACATACAAATGAAAATCCAGCGTATACAGATTTATTAAAGAATCCACTGTTTCTTTCTCACTTTAAATATATCCTCAGCTACAGACTGGACGCTGATTTTCCAATGTCCTTATTCAAAAAGCCGGACTTGAGCACTCCGGTTCCTTTCAAAAGGAAAACTAAGCTAGTTTTTGCCGCATTCTCACATTGTGAAAGATTCCGCACCTCTTACCTTGCAGAACTAATGAACTACATCTCAGTTGATTCCTACGGCGCTTGTTTAAAGAACAAAAATGGATTAACCCGTCGATATGCAGAGGATTTTAAGAAAGTGAAAATAGAAATAGCCAAATACTATAAGTTTACTCTGGTGTTCATGAATGCTGACTGTGAATACTTTGTTGATGATCAACTAACACACGCGTTGACAGCAGGATCAGTCCCGGTGTACATGGGAACTGAAAAAATAGACATGTTTTTACCTGGCAACCTGAATTCGTCAATTATCAAGGTCAGAGATTTTAAAACGCCAAAGGAACTTGCAATGTATCTGAAATATCTCAGCACAAACGAACATCAATATAATAAATATTTAAGATGGAAATATGAAGGCTTTAAATTTCCTGCTATCCCTCCCAGTAACGTGACATCGATTCTTCATCAATGGGAATCTCCTGATACCGTTTATTGTAAAATTTGTAAAAAAATTCTTCATGGGAAAACTCCAAAGTCGTCCCTAAAACCTGATTCGTGCAACAAACGTACTGATCCAAATTTTGCCGTTTACTAAAATCTTGCTTTTTATTTAATTTGGAGAGTTTGGTTTGCGAAGTATTCAAAGATCTGAAAAGAATGGCTCGGGAAGTTTTCCAGCTTCTGTAAGGGGAAATGGTCCAATGCGCAACTAGGTCAACCCAGTGATTAACTATGAAAGGTTGGAAATTGGAAATAAACCACAGTTACTGTAAGCCTAACATGGCTAACGATCAGTCGATCAGTTTTTTCATAAAATAAGACTGATGAAAAACCAGCCAGTTTCCATTTTCACCACTCACCAGCAACGTAATATGACGTACGACGTCGCAGCGGGCGGCTGATGCTATTGGAGTTATTGGACACCTATGAAGTATAAACTCAAATATTGAACCGAAGTCTGAAAGTGAAAGATTCGCGATCGCGAAATGGCTGTACAGTTGATAAAGCTGATATCGATGTTCATCATTTCGTTCTTGTTTTTTTTTCGCTCAACGATTGCTTTAAAAGATAATAAACCAGTGCCAAATAATGTCAGCCCAAAACTGGACTGTGCTATAAAAGAGTTTGCTTGGAACTACTCGAAGAAATTGCAACCAAATCGCGGCAACTTTCTTTCCGTGTTTGATGCGTTGCAACTACAAACCAACTGTAACATTACCCGACCATCAAAAAACATTGATGTGAAAACTCGACGAAGTACGCCGTTTATAGATCTTTCCTCTAACGTTGTGTTTGTTCATTCTACCAAAGGTTTAGATAAAAATAATGGCAGAGAAGAACGCCCTGTTGCAAGTTTATTAGCAGCTAGGAATTTATGTCGTCAATACAGGAAAGTGGAGAATGATCATTGTACAATATATCTTATGGAGGGTGTACATGAACTAAAGGAAACTCTCCACTTAGGCCCTGAAGACTCTGGAACCAGTTTCGTTGGAGATAATGCAATTATTTCTGGCGGAAAAACAATTAAACCAGAATGGAAATTATATAAAAATACAATGCAGTCAGCCTCTGGCCAAAATGCCATATTTTACGATGGCCTCAAACCAGGCGAAAGTTCAAAATCTGTGATGTATATGAGCAAAATTAATTCATCGGCGACATGTCTGGCTGGGTGTAATTCAGATGTTAAATGTACTGCGTATGTATTCTTGAACACTGACACATTTAAATCTATGTGTTACTTTCGATTTGATGGACTCTGGAATCCAGAACCACAAAATAATTGTGTCAGTGGCAAGAAAATTACAATTTACAGTACAGACTTAAGAGACTCAAACATAAAACCATTTAATTCCTTGTTTATTGATGGTCGCAGAGCGGTGAGAGCTCGATTTCCTAATGGGAACCCAGAAACAACAGGTATTCATACTACACCAACTGGTTATGTTACGAAAGCGTTAAGCTGGCTACCTGCAAAGCCATCCCCACCAGCAGTTGAGATCCAGATTAAAAATCCCTACCGCAGTCATAACCAGTTTCCAATATTTCAGCTTGGTATAGATGGCTCAGTTAAGCAGTTTCACCCACCAGAATCTTATTGGGCTACTAAAGAACCATATGGAGGTGTGACATACAAGGTACCATCAGGTTTGGTATACAACAAGTCTTTGGAAATGTCTGTAAATGAATGGAAGAGGCCAGAGACTGGTATAGTTCATGCATATATGCATTATCATTGGGGAGGGTGGCAATTTCAACTTGATAGTCGGAATATGTCAAGCAATACTCTAAAATGGAGCAAAGGGGGTTTCCAAGAGGCACGAGGAGACACTGGTGGTGCAGAGTGGTATGTTGAGAATATTTTTGAAGAACTTGATGTTGCTGGTGAATGGTATTTTGATGATGAAACATATCAACTGTATTATTTTCCAAATGGTTCTTTACCAGAAGAAGTCACCATATCCCAGGTTGAGACACTTATTTCCATCAAAGGTTATCAGTCTAATCCATTCAAAAACATTTCATTTTCACACCTGACATTCACAGAAACATCGTCAACATTTTTGGAGAGTTATGAGGTACCTAGTGGCGGGGATTGGTCAATTCATCGTAACGGAGCATTGTTTATTGAAGGTGGAGAGAATGTTGTTGTTGAAAGCTGTTTGTTCACTAATATTGGAGGAAATGCATTGTTTCTAAGTAATTATATTCGGGATGCTATAATATCAAATAATGAATTTGTTTGGATTGGTGACAGTGCTATAGCAGCTATAGGGTCATCCAATCTTATTGACGGCACAGATGGAAATCAGCCTCGGAGAACCAAAATATTAAACAATCTTGTTCATGAAATTGGATTATTTGGTAAACAAACAGCAGCATATGTCCAATCTCTTGCCTGCGAGACCCTGGTTGAACGCAATGTATTCTTCAATGGTCCCAGAGCTGGTATAAATTTCAACGATGGCTTTGGGGGCGGAAATGTTGTCACTAAAAACTTGTTGTTTAATTTTGTAAGAGAAACCTTAGACCATGGACCATTCAACTCCTGGGATAGACAACCATACCTCACAAGAGTAAGAGATGATAAGAATGCATCTTTGGTTCCAAAAGAAAATACCATGACTTATAATTTTATCATCAGTAATTATCATTCATGCTGGCCAATTGACCATGATGACGGTACTGGATATTTTACTGATCAGTACAACTACCTTGTATATGGTGGATTTAAAAATTACCTTGGTCATTCAAAGACCTCACAGTATAATGTGTATGTTTACCCAGATGGTAATCAACCATATTCTAAACCATGCTGTGCGTTCAGTTCTGGAGCCCAAACAGGTCCTTTGGCATCAGGTTGGGGTGATCGTTATACAGATAACAAATGTATTGTCCATTCAACACAAGTTTATGAATATCCAAGTTGCAAGGTTCAAGACATAAATCAGCTGATTCCTTATACTGCAAGAAACAAGTTCTACACACCAGATGCCCAAATTGTATTCAAATGTGATGATAATACTTGGACATTGAAAGAATATCAGGAAAGAGGTTTTGATATTGGTTCAACTGTGTCAGATTTAGTGGATACAAACGAAATTATTCAGTGGGGAAAGGACCTTCTATTATAGAATAAGATAACTTTCTGTGTGGTTTTTGTTCCTCTTAATGATTTTGGTAGGGTTTGAAGGATTATACTAATAGGATTAGGATTTGAAGGGCATGACTAATTGGCTAGGGTTTTGTAATGTTTTAATTTGTATGGAATTGTGTGAAAATATATTGTAATATTGCTTCACTCGTTCATGACTTGTTGTTTAATTGGAACTGGTGAAATATATCCCATTTCTTTCTGGAATTCTCCGCAATAGTTTGCGACCTTTCCTTTATATACTGAACCAAAATAGCCCACAAGTTGAATTATTCATAGCAGACAACTAATACTTGGAGTCATAACGCATTCCAAAACAGCCAAGAGGAGCGTGTCTAATGTTCGAATCTAACTTCTCAATGTTCAAATTATTTAAATACTGCAAAGCTAATTTCGGTCTCTTAACCCGGGCCATCGTCAGTGCAATTATTATTGTTAAATTATTAACATGGCTTGTTGAGCTCATCGCTCCATCACTCGATTTTTTTAACATTTTATAGTTGAAAGAAAAATTGCACCGTGTAACAGGGCCTTCAATTTAAAAGAAGGGAAGATTGGTCGGCGAGATGATAAAGCGGTTATCTCTACAACTAGCGACGATATTGCGGCGTTCGAAACAAAAGAACTAGCGCCCTAACTGCATGGGTCTGAGAGGAAGGCTTCGCCGCAGTCCACAGTAAAAACCCATGGACATGCTTATTGGTATCGATCATCCTCGATTGCATACCAGCTACAGAAATTCACTTTGGGGTGGTTAGTGTTTGGAAATAGACCAGGAGACTTTCAACAAGTCAGCAACGTACTTCACCTCAAGTATACAGCAATGTTGGACTTTTTAGATTTTTGAACGAACCAATGGGTGTTGCTGTTAAATTATGTGAATGCACAGCAAACTCAGCCCTACCGAGATAGAAGAGGCAAAGGTTATAGAAAACTCATGCAAGAAGATTGGTAACCAGTGGATGGAGGCGTACCCCTGGAAGACCCAAACGAATTGCCCAACAACAAAATCCAAGCAGTAAAACGACTTAAGACGACAGAACGACGACTGCAGAAGAATCCTGAACATGCGAAAGACTATAATAATCAGTTGATTAAGATGAACGAATGAACTTTTCACGAAAGCTGACAAAAGAAGAAGAAAATTATTACCAAGGCCCCGTTCATTACATAGCACAACACGCAGTCCTGAAACCAGAAAGCAAGAGTACACCAATCAGAATAGTGTTCAACTCGTCTTCTGTGTTTTTATTGCCTTAATGATTATTGGTTGAAAGGCCCAGATTTGCTCAACAACGTATTTGGCGTGATTCTCAGATTCCGAGAGAACAAAGTGGCATTAATTAAGCACTGATATTTCCAAGATGTACCATACCACTTATCCCGCTCAAAGTCCAGCATGTTCGTAGATTTCTATGGAGAAATATGGAGACGGACAGGCCTGCGGACACATATGTAAAGACTGTTCTAACGTTTGGTGATATACGACATATACCAGCGCCCATACAGGCCGAGAAGGTAGCTACTCAACTCACCCCAGGGCACACTAAACGCTCAACTCGCCCCAAGGCGCAGGGTTGGTAGATAACTGCATATTTGAGGCCAAATAACGTCATGCTAGATCTTTGTTTTCTTTGTATAACCTGCTGTTTTCGGCTTTGTTTTCTTGATAGCGCGAATACAATTTGGCCTCAAATATTTGCATATATGTGCATGGATTATGACTTGATAACACAATTCACCTTGCGATTGTATTTACAACAATTAAGAACTTGGCTAAGGATGTTTCTCTTTTTTATCTTTGCTGGCTGAAGATTAAGGATCTCTGGTCACTACCTTGTATTTGATTGAGCGCAGGTATAATATATACAGGTATATGTCTGGATCAAAAGAGATTAACGTTAATCTCTCTCTGACCACTTTAATCGACGAGAAAGTGGACATTATTGTATGTAATCTACGCCCCGACGAAATGGTCACTCTGCAAGCTCGAACTGTTGATGACAGTAATTTGTTATTTGTATCAACGGCAAAATACAGGGCAAATCGCAATGGAGAAGTTTTGGTTTCCTCCCAAGCTTCGCTTGGTGGTTCCTACACTGGTGTCGAACCGATGGGTTTATTGGGTTTATTTTGGAGTATGAAGCCGGATACTGATGCAGATAAACACGATTTTCTATTTTAACTAAACGAAACGCGACAGTCCCGTTAAACGTGACCATAGATGTTTTTGATGAATTTGAAGTCGCAGCTGCGAGCGTTACATTAGAGAGATGTTTCATAGGTACTGGCGTGACTCGGTGCACTGTGGAGGGAGATGGATTTTATGGTACAATATTTTTACCCCCCGGAAAAGGACCTTTTCCAGGTAAGATAAGCAGGATAGCTGGTAGCAGCATAACCAGGATCTACTGACTAATCTTGTTAGACTTTTTGGCAACTGCAGGCTATCCATTTACAGTTCAGGGGCCGGTTGTATCAAGCCCGTTTAGCTTAAACGGTGGATAAGTCAAAATTAAATAACACTCTTACATGTACTGAATATGTAGCTGTAAACAGTATATTTGTATTATGGTTAAAAGCATTTAGTTTTGCTTGTTGAATAAAACGATAGACTTGCTTTCCATTTTGAACTTAAACACCGTTTAAGCTAATCGGGCTTGATACAACCGGCCCCTGATTAATTCAGAACACTGCGCCAGAAGTTTGTGTAATCACAATGGAATACCTTGCACGAAACAGTGTTAACTATTACATATGTGGTCAACCATGCGTTTGATGTGCACTTTTCAGACATTTAATTCCACGTTTAATGTCTCACAACTTTAGCCATCACAATCCAGAAAATGTGATCTGCTCCTCTGCCTCTACTTATAGCAGTTTCCGTCCAAGCGACGGATGGCTTAGAGAACTTTGAATAGGAGTTTGACTAGCAATGTATTTACTTTGTGTTTGTTCATTGTTCGTCAAACCGTGATTATAGAATAGAACACATTTTTTTTATTTGTTCATATATAATTTTGATGTTATTTTAGGAATTTAGGATTATAACGAAAACACATGAAAAAAATTAAGTTGTTGGTGTGCATTTTGGATCCTACAAAAAACACAGTGTGCTTTGTCAACGTTGTTTTGTATTTTGTTTGATTGAAGTAGCAGTACCTTATTAGTAATATACGTACATAAAATCGTATATATTCATTTTTGGTCCAGGTGTAGTTAATTTATAGGGGCGATCTGGTGGAATTCGGGAGGACAGGGCAGCTCTCTTGGCATCAAATGGCTTTGTGGCCTTAGCGTTGCCTTTCTGGGGATTTAAAGACCTTCCTAAGAGAAATAGTTCACTTTCCATGTCATACTTTGAAAAGGCTGTTGATTGGTTGATATCGCATGAAAAGGTAATATTAGCTTAAATTGCAGGATCAAGGAACATTTCACTTAATTTTTAACCATCCATGCAGTCACCTAACAACCTTCTCAGGGACGAGTGCCGTTTGAGTAACGTATTTTATAGTTAAGCACACTGTCCCTTACAGCTTCGCCAGTAAATGCTTGAAACCAGTGACTTAAACCCCAATTCTAGTGTCTTCACAGGGGTGATATGATGTTGAAACATAAATTCTAATACAACTGTCAACATGTCACTTGCTAATAAAATGAAATATTAATAATTCTAATTGAACTATTTGCCAAAAGAAGATTTACATCTTATTGGCAGAAGATGACATGCTGAGTGTATATAATTACATGTTTCTACCAAACCACCTCCGATGAAGATACTTGACTGGCGCGTCTAAATGTTGGGTTTAATAAATGTAATCTTTGCGTGGTGATTACTTCAAGTAATAATAAACCAGAGTAGCGATGATTGCGCCTGTGTTTCTCATAGGTAATGTCTAGCGGAGTTGGTGTAGTTGGTCTGTCTATGGGCGGGGCACTAGCGTTAGCCATGCATCGCTTCACAAATTCCGGACAAAATTAAAGCAGTGGTGTCGATATCGGGACCACATGTACTAATCGGTTGCACGTTACGCTGCAGAGATTATACAATCCAAGGTTATCCTGTGGAATATGCTGACGACACTTATGTCTCCTATGCACAATATCTCTCTATATTCAAAAGCAAGAAGGCTTGCAAGCCAGGAGTACCATCCCTTATCCCAGTGGAATGCATAACCGGAAAGGTTTTGCTGGTGTACGGCCTTGATGATCAACTGAATACTGAAATCGAGTGGATGTACGAGGAAACGTATGACGTATCAACGAATGGAACAGAACGGAAAGGGTTCGCTCTGCAAAAGATTGCCCCTTCCTGGAACGGGACACTTCATTACCCACTGTTATCTTCCACCATGTTCAACACACTATTTGAAAAAGTGGGATGATACGTGGTACATGGGAGGTGGAAATAAGGCGCATTCAAAGGGACAAGAAGTCTACTGGAACGAAAGCCTAAAGTTTCTGAAAGAAAACATAATTCTGTAGTCGACGGCTTTTATAGGGAAGCGAGTCAAGCGACACATTCTGAGGACAGTGTCTCCAGCCTCAGGATATTTCTAATATTTGTAAGAACTCCATAATTTTTAAAAGTAACAATTTAGTAGGGTAAAAATATACCAATGCAAGGCAAGTAAATACAACTTGATACTAACTCGCCTGACGAAGGCACTCGAGACGTCATGAACCCTATATAGCTACCCCTACCAATGTTGACGAATTTCCTACACCTATGTTATTTAGATATCATTCAATCATTCAATGGGTAGTGCACTGAAAACCTTGTTAAGAGGCGGTCCCCGTAAATTTGTTGCCGCACGACTCGACCCTATTGGCATAGATACGGGGGAGTATTTTACACCGTTTACTGTTCTTTCAGCCAATATATCGTTTTGAATTTGTTTAATTTTTTGTATGATTTCAAAATGAATAGAATAAAGTGGTAATTGCACTTCGTGTCGTCCAATTTTGGTCTGAAATTAAACTTGTGATCACAAATTGTAATCACGCGTTTGATTTCACACCAAATTGCACTCCACTCAGTGCAACTACCATTATTAATCACCCTGCTGATTAAGAAATGAAATATATAAATAGTGGGTGTTCACAAGAAACCGAAACACTGTCGACGGTATCTTTAATCGTAAATGAGTTTTTTATTAATAGCATTTCTTTGTAGTCCTAAAGTGATTTCTATCTTTACTGTAGTATGTGTTGTAAACATTTTTTGTAGCGCAAGATATTTTTCAAAGCATTTTGTTTAATTTTAACCCAGCATATTCAGGACACGATAATTTACTATACGCCTAGGTCCTAGGAATGTTCTCGCAAGCTCTTTTTTCTCATGGATAATCATAATCCTGTAAAAATGTAGGGAATTGTTCAGAGCTACCGTGTATGTTTGGTAAGTCATACTTGTTTACATGGCTATTTATAATTTGTCGTTTGGAAGGCCAGACAGCACTTATGACACGATATATGATATGTAAAATTTTTGGAATGTATCACCACCACCTAGGTACGGTGACTAGGTACGAGCTTAGTTTTGAGTTCACTCACTCAGTGAGATATATTATGACACTTACCATGAACAAGTTCTACAGATTTTTCTAGACCGTTGGTTGGACTAGTGTTTTTTCTTGTTCGAAAATGACAGAAAAGGGTGCATAATTATGCAGTTTTATAAATTATCTATCATCTGTGACCATTACCGCGGCCTTAGTATTTTACGAAATACATGATCCTAGTTTATTTAAAGTACAAGTAAGACGCACTCCTGACTTGTTTTAAGTCTTGAATATTGAGGGTTTAACTAGGATAAGACCACACAGTGAAACGCGAGATCGTTTAAAAACTGTCAGTTCAACACGTCAAATTCCATGTTCTATTATAGTGACGTTTCAAATCAATTAGCCTACCACAGACCCCTGTTTGCCCTTTAAAATTCGTAAAATTCAGAATTTCGTAGTGAAGTCGGCGATGATCAGGCTATAAAACATTATAACTTGCTGAAAGCTGGAAAAGGACAAAGTCGTGCGGACAGTAGCGTATTTACAGTATATATAGCTCAGTGCCACCACTGCGTCGAACGCAGGGAACTGTATATAAATTTGCCGGTATTTTAAAGTTTATCGGTCAGGTCTCACGCCTATTTGGCGGCTTGTGCTGACTAATATTTGGCCGCAGTGTCGTGAAACCAATGAACTACAATTATTAACCATTTTATTTTATCTTTGTTTTTAAATCTAATAGAAACATTTTCAGGGGTCGAACTATATTATTTTTGATACTGTGTTTTATTACGGATTATATTTAATCTTTGGAGGATTTATTCTTCAATCAATTCTAATCTTTTTTATTCATATTTACACTGTTGCAGGAGCCGAATTCTTTCTCACAAAACAAGGAATGAAAGTTATGTCTTAGCTTAGTTTTATTGCACGCAACCAAGACTATCAAATTAAAGAAAAAACAACAAGAGTAAACATAATTTCCATTTGTTTCAACTCTTTCAACTATTATTTTACTCATCTTTCGTCAGTTCCATGTTAAGTTATTAGTCGAGATTTGTGGGCGGGTAACTACATTTTGGGTTGAATTGGGTTTAACCGTAGTTAACCCCAAAATGAACGACTCTCGTTATAGCCGATCCTATTACTAACGGCTGTAGTTAAAAGTTTACTACCTTTTTAAACAACCGGCCTCATTTATTTTTAATCTTCTCACCGGAAGGGATTATCTGAACTACATAATAAAGACAAGCGGTCGGCTTCATTGATATTCTTTTAGTTATTAAAAGGAAAATTAGATCATGTATATATTATGTTCTTAATGTGATGTTGATTTCCATTGACATTCTGGTTTTAATATAATTAATTTGTTCACAACCATAAATCATCATGTTACGTCAAATAAACAATTTTGAGATGCTGGCTAAAAGAGTAACCTTATTCAGTATCTATAAAAATACGGAATGTAAAGCATGTTTAAAGAACACGCATTGTAAAGTAGTAGAACATGAGAAGGCATCTTATTCTACCCTGAACATTAGGTATAACTGGGAACAACAATTTGATCGCTTGAATTTTTCAAAGGAGACCGCATTACTGTATTTGTTTTTGTATTATACTAAAGTTTACAATACCTGAAAGGTTATATATTGAAGGGTGAGACATTGCACGTAATTGTAAAATAAAGTGGCGCTGCCGCTGGGATTACGAATGATGCAAGACATCGAAGTGAGGTGGTGACCTTTCACTTCATGTCTGGACGCAGTTACTCAAATCAATCCAGCCAAGTTAGCCCAACCTTCCTTCTAACATTCCGAAGCATGGCTTGCGAAAACAATAACAGTGCGCGACCGCTGTTCTACCAAAGTGTTGAAGAGCTTTCAGAAGCGATAGAAACGACGATCACAGGCAATTTCCCAAAATGGATCAAAGGAACGCTACTCCGAAACGGTCCTGGAAAGTTTGAAATTGGAAGCACTTCGTACCGTCATCTGTTTGACGGCCTAGCCTTGTTACAACAGTTTGTGATTGAAGATGGAAATGTCACATATTTCAATAAATTCCTACGCAGTCAAACATACAAACGGAACATGAAATCTGGAACTATCGTTGAGTCGGAATTGGGAACTCTGGGTGTACCTGATCCTTGCAAGAATATCTTTGCACGATGGTTTACTTATTTCTTTCCTAAAGAATACACAGACAACGCTTCGGTTAATTTTTGCTGCATCAGAGGAAAGATTTATGCAATGACAGAGGTCCCGGTTATTACAGAAATTGATCCAACCAATCTTGAATGTTTGGACAGGATAACATTATCTGATGCTTTTAAAGGTAACAACATATTGGGTTGTATTAAGTTATGCATAAAGTTTTAAGGCAATTCAGTTAAAGCTTGTGAAATCTGTAATTGAGTGAAGACCTAGAGCATAACATAAGATTGAGAACTCCAGAAATAAGACCCATGCCCAAAGAAGATACCCCCATAACATGACACATATCTGTGAACCGCGAAGAGACCATTGCCATTAAAGTAGGATTTTTTTGCTCAGGGTCGTTAGCTTTTGAATTTTGGGCTGATTTTGGAATTCATTAACAGTAATAACGAGATTAGTAATTTACAGTTGATTGCTAAATTTAATTGAGCTAATTTCACATCAAATATGGTTAACATCTGTCTAAAACAGGCAAACCGGTATTTCTCGACGTTTCTACCTAAGGTCTCCAAGGTCGAAACGTCGAGAAATGCCGGTTGGTCTATTTTAGGCAGTTGTTATACCACATTTGAATGATGCGAAGAATTTTGAAGACGTTGCTGGTTATATTAGCCAATGACACCGAAATATTTGCCGATTCATAACTGGGTTCAATACTTTTCTCTGTAGTTTTTGACAAGATTCAACATATTCTTCTCGTTAATAGAATACGTTGATAGATATGGATTAAACTTGGCTGTTTTCCACAGTCGCGTTTTTTGTATACTGATGATGTACGAATATGCACGTAAAACAACAATTGAATAGATACATAGGGTTGGATTATGTTGAACATTTAGTGTGTTTTTTCTGGCATAAAATTATTTACACAACAGCTTAGATTTTAGAAAGTTTTGATCTTTTACGTGCGTGTACGTACGTGGAAAAATCGCAACAGTGGAAAGCATGCACCTTCAGTTATCGCTTAAGTGACTGTTATCAACGCATTATTCATTGTGATAACTGAAGGTCACAATCAATTCAAGATTGAAGATGAGTATTTAATGACAGCTAAAAATAAGCACTACTTATTGGCCGGGTTTAACTACCGGTTCAACCGGAGAGGCGTTTTGTAGTGGTAGATTAAACATTTACTAGGAGTTATTATCGCAAGGAGAATGCTGCCTTGTTATTATGTACTTCAAAGGGTGGTACTACAAAGTGATACTTTGTGTCTCAATGTTTATTGGCATATTCACGCACTATGAAACATTAACATCAGTCAGTAAGTTTTCCACGCGATTAGGTTTTGCTAGCATGATACGGCAATTTCTCCACGAGAAACAAGTAAACCGTTCTTTTGATGCTGTTCGATTTCGTGGATTCTAGTTTTTTTTGCCCGTTCAAATATGTGGTCGCGTATGGCGCGACGCGTTGACACGTCGCACACGATTGAGGAAGAAAACAGATTAAACAGTCTAGCACAGCATGAACCATTTACATTCGTGAACAAATTACACATATTACACGCTAATATAAGCTATAAGACGTATAAGTTATCTTATAAACAAACAGCGTTTTAATATAAGCACGAATTCCAAATTGTAAGACAATAATTATGTGAACGTTTCTTTGAGAAGAACATACATAATGAAAAACTCAGAGAACTATATAAATACCACCAACAATTGTATCCGGATACGCATTACGACCAATATGTAACTATCGTAATTATTTATGTAGAACTGAACGTCTTAGGAATTTCCTGAATTTAGGAATTTAAGAACTAATAACTGATAAATAGGTTAATCTTATATATTTTGAATTCTGTACTTAATTAAGTAGTTCTAATTTTTCATCAGTTTTAGTAGTACTGGTGTAATTTAACCTTTAGGGTTACAAAGCCTGTCAGTATGATTTTCACTCTTTCAATCAACAGCTAATATATATTTAACTCAACTCATAAATACAATAATTTTCTTTCTAGGTACAATGAAAAAACTATTCTTCTCCACTGCTCATCCACAAGAAGATGATGACGGTTCTGTCTATAACCTGGCGCTTGGCTATGACAGAGAGAATGGTCTCGTATACGTCATTACATTATTACCAGCAAATTCTGGAGATACAGAGATCGAGAAATCACTGGACGGAGGAAAAGTAGTCGCAAAAATACCAGCATCATTCCAGCATTCTTACAGCCACAGTTTTGGTATGACTCAGAAATACTTCATCTTCATACAACAACCGCTGACTGTAAACTTGTGGAAGCTCGCAGCTTCGCGTTTCGTCGGATGGAGCATCCTCGATACCTTTTCGTGGGATACAAAGACGGGAGTAAATTTCGTGGTAATATCTCGTGAGAGTGGTGAGGTTGTTCGTACCATCAAATCAGAGCACTTTTTTTTCTTCCATGTCGTAAATGCGTATGATGAAGGTAACGAGATTGTCCTGGATATTTGCTGTTATTCAGATGCTGGGTTTTTTCAACGGTTATATTTGCAAGAGATACGAGAAGAACGTGTGCCCTCCACCTCTTTGACGGCTCAATTACGGAGATATCGCTTGCCTATCGACTTGGAAACACCAGAAGCTACACTCGAGAAAAAACCATCAGGAAATGATTACGAGATCTTGTCAGACGTTTGTTTTGATCTACCACGTATTAACGAGAAGTACAAAAGATTACCTCATCGCTATATATATGGTGCGTGCAGTGCAGACAACATCGTAGATGGTCTAATGATACATAAGCTTATTAAAGTTGATGTTGAAACGAAACAAAGTCTAATTTGGAGGGAAGACGAATGCCTGGTATCAGAACCCGTGTTTATTCCAGCCCCAGAGGGTCAAAAGGAAGATGATGGTGTGGTGATGTCTTCTGTTTATGATCCAGTCAAAGATAACTCATTCTTATTGGTGCTTGATGCCCGTTCGTTTACGGAGATTGCAAGAGCAGTGGTACCATTACGATTTGCACCTTCCATTCATGGACGTTTTTTTTCATAAACATGCAGCTCGCTTGTACATTTTAAACTTTCTTTAATTACGTTAAATAGCATCCTAATTGAAAACGTTAAACCTTTCCAGATTTTGTAGACCAGTTTTGCACAATGAAGAATGAATTATATCACGGACAGTATAATGAACTATAAGGACAGTTTTTATGCGTGATTACTATAGTTTTCTGGGGTTTTTTTTCAGTAGAACAAGCAAGATGCTTTAGGCACAACTTGTGTGCTTTTTTACAAAGTTTTTTCTACATTTCCTAAAACAAAGGAGTAGCAGTAATTGATATGATTTTTTAAACTTTAAATATGTGGAAGAGTAAAATTCATTAGCTGTGTAATAATATAGAAGGAATATTATGACTTGTAAATCAGTTATCATCAATCAGTAATTTCTATATCTAGTAACCAGTTGTCTATGCCTATATGTCAATGCTAAGTGCATGGTATTTCACGGATTATTGAGTATAACTATCTTGCCTATCTTGTTATAGATTAAAATGCCAGTATATGAAGAGATTGAAGCGTTTTTGGCTCGGAAGTGAAAGATCTTACATGCAGTATAATGTGTACGTTTACCTTGATGGTATATATAGGCAATGTTTTGAAACATGTTGCAATGTTGCAATTAAAATTTACTGCGAGTTCTATTTAGGGCTTAGTCCCTCCTCCCCCACTCTCAGATACGCTCTGCGGCCCCAACCTCCCCCCCCCCAACCTCCACAAGGCATTTCGATTACCGCTAAGAAACGATGGCAAGTGCTAAATAGAGTATTTATTGGGTCTTTGACCTGAATCTTTACACTCTCCGAATACCTGCATATAATTTGACCTGCTTTGGGTAAAATAGCAATCGTGGCCACAATGTGACATGACAAGCAGACATGCAAGACCAGGCAGTCCAGGCCTTACTGTTTGGTAGGACTTAAGGAACATGATGACCTATAACAAACTATGACGTGACCGCAACATTGGTGTTTAAACCCATGAAAAAGAGATTGAAAGAAAAGCCACACAATTCTCATTTAAAAACCAAACTGAACACATTAAATATGTCATATAAAATAGATCTTTTCAGTCGTATTGAATTTACAATGATTTCACAAAAAATTCCTTTCTTGTAATTATATTACAATTTTTCAACGCTGGATATAACCTATATACAACAACCTTGTTTTCATACCGATCTTTTACACCTGATTCTGAAACTCGTGTTCATATTAATTGGAGTTGGAGATCTCAACCCTCGCACGATAGCGTATCCACTCGGCGAGAAACGTCACTTTGATTATCTTCCACAAATCATGGGATTAATTAAAAGGGACCATTTTATTGACCTGCAGGAACGCAATTTTTCTGCGTAATTGTTTAATATACACCCATTCATTTGCACTTTCAAACCTTTTTTCTATGACAGGCTTGAAGACCACCTTTTGAGCGAGATGTTATATAAAGATAAGAAAACATGCAACATGCAAAGATAGCAAGAGACTCCCAACAATTCATTTCACTGCATGCGAATATCAATGGTCATCCTCACAAGTACACTTAAGTACTCTATAGTCTTTTGTATCTCCACAGGGTGTCCAATGTATCTTAACAACAAGGCATGTAGCTAAAAAACAAGTTCAAACAAACGACGATTATTAACATCATTATTATTAAACAGTAAACCCAGAACCTATCGTCTTGTCTAATAATAGATCCTCGTGATAAATTCTCTCCCCTAAACTCCTCCACAGGCTCTCGAGATGTGCGTGTACTAAAAATACCTTTGGCAGGATTGCTTGAGTTCAGCAAACTTGTGTCTAGCCATAAACATCGTCAACATTTCTGCAACCTGTTGCAATTTTTTTTAAAATAGTATATGGGTCAGTCAGTGTTTCCTCATGTACATGTCGCCATTTAAAATATAGCAAAGTGAAGTCATAGATAAACAAGAATGAGTATAAAATTTTGAGTACCAGACCTTCTCAGGGTCATCTTCATGTACCGCATGACCACACTTTGGTAATAAATGAAGCTGAAACTTTCCTATTTAAAAAGAACCGATAATATCAACAAATACCGGGTGAAAATTTGACTTCATATAGTTGCAAAGAAGATGAAATATTTGTCATTTTTGATGTGATGTAATTGGACGCGCAGTCAGTGCTCATAATTTGATCACTTCAGCTTACGAAAAAAAAGCTATCGAGGTATATCACACCTTGTATGTGGGCAACAGTCAATTCTTTATCTAAACGATCTCGACCTAAGAAGTGACATGACAGAAATTTGTTGAGTATGCATGTGAGGCAGTCACAATAATGGAGGTGAAGATAGGTTAGTTTTAGTTTGCAATATTGCAGCACCAACATAGGGGAAAAGGTATGATACAGTACCTGCCACAAGAAGAAGCTTTGGTACAGGACACGAAAGAAATAACCTTGACATATCTTTAAACCAGCCTAAAAAGGTGGTGATTACTAAATATTAGTCTTGTAATGAATATACTTTGTTACATAGTAACGCCGTTTGGACAACAAGTTTGCTTTGGAGAATTTCTTTAGGTATTAAGAAATAAAACAAAACCTACTATAGTAGAGATTTTGTGGTTGACATATTTATACCTTCCCAATATTTATCTGTTTCAGACAGATTTATCTTCCACTGATATTCATATCGTTCCTGAACAATAAAATAATTTACTGTTTATGACAATGAGTTCTAACTAACATTGCCTGACTAAAAATTTTAGCTCTTTCAATTAACGTAATACGGCTTATCCTTTATATATGCATGTACTTGAATCAATTGTGTGCCTTAAAAAAATGACAAGATATATATGAATGACTACAAATTAAACCTACCTCACTAGCCTCATTGTCATCGGATTTATCTGACGACTTTTCTGAAGCTTCTGATATGACATATAAACCCGACGAACCTATTTTTGAGCTAGATTCTGATTGTCCGCCAGACTCAATTGTACATCTGAAAATAAACGGCATTTTGTAGTTTTTGCACCACTATTTATACTGCATTATTTTGCGTCATTCTCGCATGAAAAATTATTTAGTACAAATTACAGAATGCTGTTATTAATATAAATAGTATTTTTCAATTTTTTACTTCTTTATCTGCACAACTTTAGAAGTTAAAAGAGATTTCTTTATTTTAATGAAACAGTTGTTTAATATTGCAGATGACCAAGCAAAAATTGAAAATGTCACGAATCCAGTTGACAAGTCCAACACCTCTAGAGCGAGGTAATCAACTTCCTTACTTCATCAGTTGTCCAGGCATTGAAACTCTGGCAGATTCAAGATTACGTATTTGACCACTGCGAACACTAAAAGAGATAAATTGACAGTAACATTGTCATGAAAACCTTTGTTGAAAATATTGTCGGTTTTCCTACCTCCATTCAATAGCTTTTTCTATGGAATTAAAACTTTTGGGTCGGCCTTTAAGGAAGCTTTGCATAACTGACAAACCCTCCAAAGCTGTTCCTACAAAGTCGAAGTAATTCAATTTATTAACTCCAGGTGACAAAAACATAATGAAGTCTCAATTCAAATAAACATTTTGTTGCAAGGCTCTTCCATATATCTGGTGAGTGAGTGGATTTCCTTCAGGACACATTACATTATCTTATGCAAAAAAGTTTCCTCATAGTAAAGATAATTGGGGCTAAAAGATTTACTAATGAATTATTCTTTATACCTTCCACAACGTCGATAACAACAAGCCCAATGAGAGAAGGAATTAGACATTTAGCTGCCGTATGAACTGCAACCGCACCGCCCATGCTGTTGGAAAAAAAGAATCGAAACTGTTACACTTTGTTTCAAATGTTTCAATAACACTTTGGTGCAAGCTGCAACTTTCAATATAATCAAAACAGGTTTAAAGAGTGTCACGTCAGTCATCATCCTTCACGTGTTTTGCGTCCTACAAATCTAGTAATCAAATGAAAACTATGCAGTTCGAAAAAAAATTAACAATGTTATTTAAAGAAACTTTTATCCGAAGTACATGTTTAAACGATATACCTGTGGCCAATCAAAATAATTTCAGGAGAATCCTCAGGATATAATGTTTCAACCAAGCAACGAACGTCACTATATTACACAAAAAATAACGAAATTGCCTTGGACATAAGATAGTCGCTACTCGCTAGCCAACCTTTATCAAATATCAATTTTGCTTACTCTGTCAACGTTTCAATTGACAAGTCCAAATCATTAAGTGTTCTCGTGTCTCCTTTATAAAACACAGAGTAATAGTATGTACGTTACGTTACGATCGCCAGGTAGACAGACCAGGGCCGTAACTAGAACGATAATTGGGGGGGGGGGGGGTGTTTATTCATATATTCAGTTCTGCCCGACGGATTTCCATTGTGAGCTATTGCACACAAAAGAAATCCGTCGGGCAGAACTGAATATATGAATATAAACCCCCCCCCCAATTATCGTTCTAGTTACGGCCCTGAGACAGACATGCATGGTCATTATAATACCAAACACGTCAAGTTTACTTTTTATTTGGATTTTTTTTTATCAACTCAAATACATGACGATGGTTTGTCAAGAAATGAAGGTCGACAAAAAATGCTGGTCAGGTCCTACGTAAGAATCTTTACCGTTTCTGAGCCTAGCTGCTCTCTTACCACTGAGAAACCTAACTCAAATTCACCGACTTATTAGAAATCCTGCATATCCGAACTTTATCACAAACATGAATTTTAAAAAATGGTGGTCCCTCGTGAACGCTAGTTCAAAAAAATGCTTAATATATTCATGTTTACATATTCTCAGAACAATCACGCCTTCAGTGTGCCAGCGTTCACAGTGGTCGGATATAATACCAAATTTATACCAGGGCGGGGCAGTCTAACTAGATTTTGAGTCACAAAATAGACTAAAATGATATATTTCAACCCACCATGACCCCTGCAATCCACAGCAACAACCTGACAGTTTGACAATAATGTGACCTTTGCCTACACAAGAAAATTTGCTGGTTCATGATGTTATAAACTGCGATATGGCATTAATACCCATAGTGAGATATGCATATATGGAGTTTAATTTTTATATGTGAAGTGTGAAGAAGGTCTAGATTATAAATTTTGTTAGTAAAAATGTGAGGTTAAACAGAAAAGAATAAAAAATTACTATATCATGAAGTTTGTTTCTAGCATACTAACAGTGAAAAGTGACCATGACAATGCAGAAAATCCACCACCATGCAGTAATAGAAGAACAGGGCCACTGGAACCAGACTTATAAATTCTAAATATCTACTTTATGGTTAAAAAATATTTATGCCTTGAGAAATATTGAGAAAAAAATCCAAACAATCGGAATATTCCTGAGTGACGGTGTTGGCCAACCTAACAATTACATGGAGAAGAATGCCTACTGTTGATAATCAATCGCCGTATACGGAAATTTATTGTTACTTGGCATGACTGTTTCATCTGTTTGTCAGTTTATAAGGATACACTGTTTTCACCAACATTCACATCTTGACAAGAATCAAAATAGTTTTCCCAGCTAACTTGTGAATAATCTCGTCGTCGCTTCAGAGCCAATCCAGTTCTGTCACTTAATATGAATTAAACCACTCTTAAATTGAGCACATTTGAGAATCTGTCTAGTGTCTAGTTGTAGGAAAAAAATGACAAATATTGCCGCATAACTACTCTATAGTCTGGACCTCCTAAACTCACTTGGGTGTAGGCAATCCTGGTGGTAACTTGCTTTTTAGCAATTCTCGCTGCATATCAATTTTTCCTAAAGATAGAGCAAGATATAATAAAACACTTCTGTCACTCCTCTAGGCGGCCATGTTTCTGTGTTCAGAACCGAATTATTTTATTCTAGAATTCCTCAAAATTCTCACCAGTTTTCCGTAATTTTACCTGCATGGTGCATGGTGCATGGTGCATGGTGACCACCACTGTGACCACTGCTGCGGTTCACCTCGATTTTTTTTCTCATAAGTTCGATTTCTAATTTTCTCATAATTCGATTTAGGTGATGATACTTTTCCCGGCATATCTGTTTTAGGAGAAAACAATGTGTGAGCCCTGTCGAAGATAGTTCGAGGCAGGTGCCGGAATGGGATCAAGACTTTGACTTATACGACTCATGCGATTGCATTAGTTCAAATTTCACAAACACAAAAAATTAAATACAAAATTGGCGTAAATTAAGACTAGTCTAGATTAAGACACGATAAAAATAGTGATTGTCTAATATACCTGATCCGCTGATAGAATACCCATGTTCGAGTATACCATATTTCGGACTTTTTCGGTACATTCGACCATGATCGAGTATACCATATTCCGGTATCATCAGGGCGTAGTATCGTAAAACACGTGTTTTACTACGGCCTGGTATCATTTACTTGTCTGCCCGTCATTTAGGACAAAAGTCACGCGATTTCAAACATGAATTTGCTGACTCCAGCTAAGCTTTTTAATTTCACTTTATTGTTTATTTCAATTTATTAAAATAAATTTAAAATCAGAAAAAATTTAGGACAACGTCAATCTTGTTATGAAGTATCTGGGTAATTTTTATTTAGCAGTGTACTCTTTCCTCAGATCAGTGCTCTTAACGCAGAGAGAAGCAAGAAATGAGAACGAGATAATTACCCCGGACAAAAAAGGCAGTTTCCGGCGATCTTCAAATGATTTAAAAAATTTGGTTCGGTGCCTCGTGACTGAACTCTGAACTCTTATGATCTTATCTTCCTATCGATGTTACGTGGAATCGTGAGGGTCATGATGCTGCATTGTTATGCTGGCTTGCTTGTTTATAACATCTTATTCAGATCAGACTGATCTTATTGAAGACCGATAGCTGCATGATTTAATCAAAAAATTATTAAACGAATTTTTTTAACCAATACAATCTCGTGACAACTGAATCCCGTGAGTGGACAACCAGCCACTGTTGATAGACGGTCTATCATAGACTTATCCAATTATTTGCCTAGCCACTTACATATTTATATATTTAAGACAATTTTAGAAGGGGTATTTATATTCACCTTGACTTACAGTAAGAACTCTTAGATCTACAGCTGACGATCAACAACAAAAAGAGACCTTTTTTAGGAAATTTCAAAGCAGGCTGGAAAAATTTACATAAATCATTCGGGCCTTGCATTGCATTGCATTGGTGACTGGGTTACAAAACATAGTATAGCTTCCGGTGGTGCCACCAAACAATCTGACTTCCGGTTGAGCTGAACAACATGCAAGCTAAAAGACATATACTAAATATATAGTCATAGAAAGACTTCAAACGTAGTTGCATTGTTACAACTCCGGATACAACTGGAGTAAAAGTGACAAAAATATGACACTAACATGGTAAGTTCTGGTAATTTTATGTCTTCATAGTTATTAGTTTGATAAAACATTCGTTTGATATGTCGGTCACAAAATTGTATATGCAAAACAGAACGGTTTCAAGGTTCGTCTATTCATTTCTTTCTAATTCGGAAGCAAGAAAGTTCTTGGGTATTTAAAATAATTTCTTCCTAGTGAAATGTTATTTAAGATCAAGAAAGAAAATATCGGCTAATAAATATAAGTTTCCGTTTAAAACCAAAATTTATTATTCGCGTCAGTAAATATTATTGTCTTGTGAAGACTCTGTATTAAAATGCTGGACAGCTCTTGCTCCATAATTTGTGCAGACGACTGTTTTATTTGCAAATATATGAAAATGTTGTTTTCTCTGTCTTGTACAATGTACAAGTTTTAAAATATTATTATAGTTGTTTTCAACACGCAATTTTTATGGTTTGTTATGCAAAGCAAGTTGAAATTATGTGGAATTTAAATTCCAATAAAAAGTCCATTATTTCATGGAAATGGCTTTATTGAAGTTGAATCACTTGAATGCCGTAAACATGTTCAATATTTACTCAAGATACAGCATTTAATATTTCATTTGATTGCATTCAGGCCATATATTCTTAATCCATGTTCAGAAATTATAAATATATTTCATTTTTGCAAGCAATATGTTTACAATTTCTCACAACATAAGCTCATATGATGAGCCAAGAAATGCTCTATCACTGATAGTGGTATAACATTTGAATTATACTGCCACTATAATATATACACATACTTTCCTTGAAATTACAATGTCTCAATATTATCTGTGATTGATTTACATATTTTTAGCAAGTCACTAACATCCATACCCTCAATAATTGAAGTCTGATTTAAACAATAAATAAACAATTGTTGATTCCTAAAACCATATTACATCCTCAATCTACATAAGAAAGGAAAACAATTCATATTTTACCTCTAATCTCTTTGGGTATCCTTGGACATCCCACTATATATCAGATATGTACAGGGTATAACAGTATCATCAATTTTTTTTTCAATTGCCTTGATTCCATCTACATGCAATATCAGATTTGTCAATGGAAAGCAACTACTATGGATTTCACCTCCCTATACATAACTCTTCTAAACTAAGCCTAGATATATGCAGTTATTGCTAAGAATATCTTGTCCTTTAGATAACACAAAAGTTATAACATGACAGCCCACGAAAATATTGCTGCATCTTCTGGTGAGGTATTACCATGGCTGTCCTGTGTTGAGAAACAGTCAGAACTTACTGATGTTACTCCTGGAGAATATGTCCTCAGAACACTATTTTCTGAGTTTACAAGTCTCACTGACAGAAAGCTTGAATATGTTCTGGCTGAACCATTGGTAAGTTTAAAAGCTATGTTCAATTATAGAGTTAAAATTGTTTTAAATATTATTTTGATTAGCCACATCAGAAAAATATATGAATCCAAATTAAGATACTTAGTATCAATTAATATATACCATGATAATTCCCAGTGTAATAAAGTAAGCATATAACACAAAGTCATAGATTTATTGATATATGGCATAATTATATGTTTCATGTATTCTGTTAACTAGACCTTTGACCGCTTAGGTAATTAGTTTCTGTGATGTGTAAATGTGATGATCTATTAGCAAAAAGAGGTAGTGTTTTCTGCTTTGTAAAGAACATGGACATTTCAATTTATATTTTATAATATCTACTATTTCTCTTTCATATTAATTAAAGGTGCCAAACTAGTAGTACTTCCTTAATATATCACAAGAAAGTATCATTTGACAGCTTATTAATTCAAAAATAATCATGATGTTTTCATGCCCCTGTGATATAATCTTATAATATTTAAAACATGTAGAAATTTGAAACCATGTAAGGAGGTGAAATCACAGCTAGTGAGGCTTCAATTGAAATTGCTAAAAATATCTGTGACAGTTTCATTTGTGATTATATTAATGAAAGAAATAGACATGACAGTGACAATATAATTATTCAATATATTACAACAAAGTTTCTCAGAGTGGACAGGAAGCAATATTGTCCTTCATATGATTGACCCTGAAAAAATATATAGTTAGAAATGCAAGTACTGTAATGATGCTGATTGTGTTTAGAACTGCCAGTTTGATCTAAACTATTTCTATGACAATGATAATTATGATATGATGATATTGCGCGTCGTCTGTGTACAACTGTCTACAACGAATTTAATTGCAATTATTTGGCACTGTATGTGTAGAAACAATTGTTTAATAAATCCATGTTATGCGCACACAGTAGGACGTGTCTACGCATTGGGTTTGTGGCGTAATTATTGAGTGACTGTAAGCCAAATATTAGTGACTGAATTGTGAGTGATATTCAAAGTCAGGTTGTCATCATCACCCTGGGCCATCATTCACGTGCCTGCTATGATCATGACGGAACGCAAAAACCACACTCACTAACTCGGAGCTGAACACCTTTCTCCTTCGCAGACGGCAGACAGAGCTGATGACTGATGTGAAGGGGTATCGGTACGACGATAGTCAAATCCGATAATTTCCCTCTCTACGATTTTTTTTAAAAAAATATTTCTCAAGGCCAACGGTGTCAGAACGTTGTCGGTACATATGACGTAATTTACAATATATAGCTATACGATAAAGCTATGTGCGTTATAGATAATAACGCTCTTTCGTGAAGCCAAGATCATCCTTCTGACCTCCTCTTTTATGATTTTACCAGTACCGTGCATTAATACACAAGTTGTACGATTCTACATTGTTATGCTACATATGCCAGTCTTTCCTTCAGGGATAAATGAAAGATATTTTCCCTCTGGTATTCTACACTAGTAGAGTAGTTAGCTATATATTTCCTTCAGGTAAAACACCTACGGCTACAAGTATATACAAGTATTTCCTTTATCACTTCCTTTTGTAATTTTTTATCATGCTAAAAGCTTTTTAAAAATTAGTTTTAAAACTTGTGAAGGCGATGAAGGAAAGGATTGTGCACGAGAGGTTCACATAAAATTCACAATCTTTTATCTCCAAAGCTTCAAATTCAATATTTGCCTCTACCTTTTAAAAAATTAAGGTCCGTTTCAGACGTCGAACTTTTCATGTATCGAACCTAATGTTAATGAACTAAAGTTCATTTGCATTCGATTCGGCGCATGAAAAGTTTGACGTCTAAAACGGGCCAAAGCGAAACTCTTTTACATTCTGGTCTCGTTCTTGTTTAGGAAAAACCACTGTCAAAATCGCTGCAACGTGGTGAGGATCCTCAGTTTGATCAAGTAAGTTGCATGAATATCCTGCAATTTGAATGGAAATCCAGACATAAAAAACTGATGTTTGAATGGCTTCATGCATGCACTTTTGATTGCAGTTATATCGTTTTGCTTTTTGCTTTTCTTTAGCTTCTACGTTCGCTCAATGCAGTTGCCAAATACAGCTTGTCATCTCTTCTTAAAACATTGTTCCAATGGTATTCATTGCAGGTATTATTAATACGAATTAAAAACATGAAATAAAATTTATGTGAAGCATCTCTTAGATGTGTTAATTCATTCTAATCTCGTCGTGTTTTAGAAAGAGCAACGTCCAAGAGTAGATTCTGTTGATGGTCCGAAGAATAAAAATGGCAGTAAGAACAAAGGGTAAGTATGATCATTCAAGCAAACACATAGTATATACGTCATATTCCTTGTGCATGCGCTGAATATCTAACATTTGTTTTCTTACATACAGAGGATTACCCGATTCCCCAAAACTGGCCACGAAGGCCTCTGGTAAAGAACTGGACTATCTTATGGAGAGAAGAGACGTAAGTGACCTAAAGTAGTATCGTTAAATACGGAAGTTACCCTTGCTTGTGACAGTGAAAACAGTGGGTAGGGGGGTAGGGGAATATTAGTCATTTATATAGCGTGTAAATCTTTCCTCTTTTCTTTCTATTTTATAGCATGCAATTGATTTTTTGTTGTGTCTGGTGCTTATTGAAGTTTTAAAACAGGTACTTTTTTTTTGTATTGTACATTGTATTTTACAGTATCTCACATACACTAGGATCCGAATTTCTATGAAAACTAACTACTGTGCCATCGATTTCCAAGAACTCTTATCAAGTTGAGCGACTATACTTACCTCATTGCGAAAATAATTTATTTCTTCATCTGTCGCCAGCAGTATTGAAACAACGAGAAAATTTTATGACAAGCATTGTAAAACTGAGAGAAACGAAGACAACTTGAGTTTTTCTAATATTATGTGATATAACTTTTTTCATAGCTTCCAGAACATCCTGTTGATGAGTCACTAACTATCCACATTGAAAATCTTGCGTTCAAATGTTTTAAGCAACGAAGTTCGTTTGGTGACAGCCCTAGTGCGACTAATGCGAATATTATCGCCGCATTGTATGCTGAGGTTATTGGAGTGCTCGCCCAGACCAGATTTCAGTCTGTCAGAAAACGCTTCCTGGCGGAGTTCAAGGAAAATGCTGGAAACAGTGAAATGTTGGTGAATGTCATATGTGGAATGAAATATCTTAGAATTAAGGTAAAAATCTATATTTGAATCACACGTAATACCGACCGCTCTGTATGTTAAAATGTTACAATAAGTGGATCTTCGTGTTTTTCAGCTTTTCCCAGTTGAACACGTCGAGGAGACATTTATGTTCTTGCAGGTATTTTTGAATTGAAAATCAACATTGTGTGCAGGACATGCGTGTAACGAATATATAACTATCTCATATAACTAGTTCTTGACTTGATGTTGCATGTATGCGCCTGCATCTTGTGAGAAGCTAAATTAACTCTTCTCCTTTTCTAGGATTGTGCAAATGTTTTTATTGAAACAAGAGACAGAGATAAAGATGTGAAATATGCATTAGCTGGCGTGTTTGTTGAGATATTAGTTCCTGTTGCAGCTACAGCAAAAAGAGAACTTCATATTCCAGCTTTGAAGAATTTCATTGATTTGCTTTATCCTTATGCATTCGATATGTCAAAGAAGAATAAACATCTTCATGTAAGAATTATTCATATACTTCTTATAATATACTAGATACAGTCGAGTGGCTCGTGTCGTTGTGGTAAATTAGCATGCAGTATATCGTCTATCAATTATGCATGATTACTCTTGCACTTGAGATGAAAGTTAATAATGATGTTAGAGCTAAATCTCTCTGGCAAAAGTACCACAAAGGAATGACAGTCTTCCACTTAGTAACCATGGATATGTGCCGTAAAAATCTTATCCATCATTAGTTGGGTAGTTATATTACATCTCCTATAAATGTTACTTGTGTTAAATCTAAACAATGTTTTCCTTTCCAGTCTATGTATCCGTTAGTTGCTGTTTTGATGTGTGTTGGTCAGAAACAGTTTTTCTTGACTCATTGGCCATTTCTACTAAATGCGTGTTTGACTAATATTAAGGTTAGTAAAATGCTGTGGCTGATACCTGGTTCATTTTTAACATAGTCAGAGTCTCTCAGGCAGGAAAATATTATATTATAAACAATATTTTTCGGGGGTCATTGTTTGTGGAGAAAAAGTGAATTATTACACTTTGAACTTTAGCCATCTCGCAATGGTTCTTTCCTGCAAACACATTGCTAGTTCGAAGCTTAATTGACGGTAAAAACAATCGGTTTGAAGGGAAACCAGCCGAAGACCATAAGATAAAATTATGATTACTCACCCCTTACACAAGAGGCGGAAAGCTGGCTTTAACATCATCTAAACTTTGCTAAACTACAAATATTTTTGTTTTTACAGCATCGTGATACGAAATTACAAAGGATATCTTTAGAATGCCTGTATCGAATGTTGTGGTGAGTTCTGACTAATATCTAATACAAACAACTCTCGTGCGTGGACGGAGATTTTCAATCTTGAACACTTATGCATACCTGCATGGAAAGACGTCTAACTGTTCTCCACTTTTTTATTTATTTGCAACTTCGTTAAGTCAGTCCTAAAAAGGTCTTACAAGACAGTGTAGGGCCTGCGTAAACACCACAGGTGCACAGGTGTTTTCACCGAGTTCCGTCCTGTTCTTCACCGACAAAAATGATCTCTTCTGCCGACTTTAAATTGACTTTTGCAATTGACTTTTGGTGGTGTCAAAACTAAGTAAACTATTCTTGTGCAACTGTAAACGTAGAATTAAATACCATACTCCTTGTAGGGTGTATGTAATCCGTATTAAAGGTGAAAATAACACAACAACATTAAGGTAAGTCCCTCACGTTGTACGTACAGTGTTCTTATTATAAACAGAAATATAATTCATCATTCCCATTGCATTCCTACAGTCGTCTACGAAGTGTTACTGATGCATTATTTCCAAGAGGTGGAAGAACAGTGAACCCGCGTGATGTTCCAATCACTATTTTTGTCAAAATAGTTCATTTTATATCACATGTACGTACTCGTTTGCTACACTTTCTCCATTATTCACATTATTATTAACTTTCGTTTATACCTACATTTATTTAGTACAATCTAGACTTTGCAATGCAGGACATTATCTTTGATCTCTTGAGTGTTGGACGTTTCAGACAGATTTATCCTGAGGTAACTCAATTAAGTAAATTAGTATCAATTTAAGTCAGTTCAATATTATCTGAAGTATTTTTGAAGTGTGAATGTACAATATTTGTTTTTGGACTTTCTCCACACGCATGATTTCTTGTTGGGGGATTGACGTGTTAAGCTTTACAATAAACCTGAATGACAAGTGCATTTGGCAAAGAATTCTAGGTGGACAATCATGTTTATTACTTTAGAGGATGAATATTGGTCTAAGATCGTTCCTGGTGATTGTGGATAGTCTGCAAAAGAAGGTAAAGTAATGCACATGTATTAATATTGTTGCTAATCAGTTTTTTTATTTTAATAACTTTTTTATTCATCTACTTTGCAGGAAGGTGACCCTCCAATGCCAAATACAACTGGAATATTACCATCAGGAAGTTCTTTACGCGTGAAAAAAAGTTTCCTAAATAAGCCATTGACTGAAGAAGCCGCCAAAGATCTTGGAATTTTCAAGTATTTTCACAGGTGCGTTTTTCAGCAGGTCCGTCGACTTTCATTGTGGGAGAAAGATTCGCTATTAAATTTGTTTTTTTTCCAGTGTATGTAAAGCACTGGAGAACATTCTTAACAATCTTGACCTGCAAGTTGGGAGACCATTGATGAAGAACAGTCAACAGTGTTCAAATAAAGATCCTTATGATATGATCACGTGAGTACATTTGTAGAATACTGATCTCTTGTTACTAGATGGATGTACTACGTTCTTAATCAAGTCATATGTTGGTTTAAATGTCCTCGTCTTTTGCAGTGGAGAGAGAAAACCTAAGATTGACTTATTCCGAACATCTGTTGCCTCAATACCTAAGTGAGTAGTCAACAAACAAACCTATGAATTAGAAAATACATATGCGGTTCTATGAGCGTGCTGTGTGTGAACTGACAATGAATTACTATACTGTAATTATGACATGACTGATTATCAAATATTCAATGTTCTTATCGAAAATCATTACTCCAGGTTGATTCCACATGGTATGAGTAAAAATGATATTGTTGGCTTACTATCAAGATTAACTATTCACGTCGACGAAGAACTGAGAAGGTGTGTACTTGGTTACCCCATGTGACCTGTTTTGAAGGTTTTCAGCCTTAAACAAACCTTCTCATGTAAAGCTTTTTTTCATTTTCTAGTCTTGCATTTTCATCACTGCAGAGTTTGATTATTGATTTTGTGGAATGGAGAGAAGATGTAATTGTTGGTGAGACTTTTGTAATTGCTTTTAAATTATTAGGTCTGTTCACACGATTCAATTTTGTCGGATCCAATTCACCTCTGATGGATGTTTTATAGTTTGTTGACTTGCACAGTTTATGGGCAGCAAATCAACTTAAACCAACGCATTACTGCTTTATCAATAACCTGACTTCATTCCATCCATCAGAAGTGAATTGGATCCAACAAACAAAATTGGATCGTGTGAACAGACCTTAAAGTCTCTTTTAAAAAAATGATTGCATATATTGTGTATGCTAAATATCGTGTGTTACAATTAGTTTCCAAAAAACAAATGCCAAGTGTAAAAATATTTTGTTAGGTTTCGTGAATTTCATCATGCGGGAAGTTCAGGATCATCACGCAGCATTATTGGATGGATTGTTGCGAATGGTTTTAAAGATGTTGGCCCAATGGAAGACATTAATCACCATGTCTGAATATGAACGCAAGGTGCATTATTGTGGTTTCTTTTTGTTGATCTTCACGTAGGCTTTATCGCCCCTGATTCGAACATCGCAAGTATTTCAAGTTATTACTAATGTAGGTATTGTCTACTTATTTAGGGCACATTTCAACAAGCTGACATCACAATTCCTATGAATGCAATTCACTGTATTGAAGGATGCGGGCTGGCTATGCTCTGCAGGTTCTCATTATTGTACAAATATTGCCTGCACGTTGTGTACACCTGCGCTTCATGATCGACATCTACACATATGATTGTTTTAGCGTTTAGTAAAGTAACTAAATAGAGTATTCAAATGAGATAACCATTTCTTTCATGGCAATAATTTCACAAATTTTTCCATCGTAGTGTTCGCCAAATACCGCGGAAATTAGCTTTGTCGTTGCTGAAAGAAGCTCGGGTGTTGGGCAATCTCGTTGCGAAGGTAAGCGTATTTTTATGGACAGTATAATTCTTTAGAATTATTTAATAAAGTTATAACAAGTATTGATTTAAAGAACTTGCATGTGTTTACTGGAATATTAACATCAAAATATCACTTTATTCTTCAGAATAGTTCGGAAATCTTTGTGATGGATATAATTGATGAGATCTCGTCGGATATTTTGACCAGTGTTTTGAAAAATATATCACCAGAGGATAAGGTAGATGATGTTTTCCATGTTTACCACTTATTTATATAACATTCAATTGTAATATAACCCATGTTCTCTAATTTGTTAGAGTTTGTTCAGTTCATCTATCAACATGGATCTACAGTGGTTTGTGGATAGATTACCGCCATGTTTTGATACTGAAACTGGCGAATGTGGCGAAGCACGTCATAATGATCTGTGGTGTTCAGTTGTATCTCAATTACTACTTAAGAAAAATATTCCTGACTCATGTCCAGTGGCTACACAGTTCAGTTGGCAAGCAGTTCACCATAGAATGTTTACTGTTTATTCTTTCATTGATCAAAGGTGAGGTGTTGATACGTAGTTAAGAAATAACAGAGAATTGTGTATCCCATGCATAGTAAGCTGTTATCAACACGAATGTCTCTCGCTTTTAGTCCTTCTGGTATGGATTCATTGACAAGTCTTGGCTCTGTTTACAGTCGTTCGGCAAAGAAAGTATTTAATTTATCCGATATTTACTTGTGGCAGAATTATTTAATGTTCGCCTGTACCGTTCATCCTGTCACCACTATTGATCAACTCACGTGTGAAAACGACAATGGGTAAGAATTTATGTCTTTTGTTTAATTGTTTATCTCCGGGGATTAGTCCGCACTGAAAGTGTGAATATATTTCTTGAATATTTATCGAAATATTTCCATTACTATGTTTTAGAAATTCTTCAGACGAAGGAAAGTCTGATCCAAGAGTGAGTTTTTAACCCTAGTGTGTGTGATTTAACACTCGTTAGTCGTTAGTTTCATTGCATAAGAATTTATACATTCGCCCGCCCCTTTTTGTTGATTATAAACTGAGCATACTTTAGTAGCCAACCTTCTGTATCCTCGCTTATCTTGCCCAAGCTACCGATAGTACACCCCACCTCTGTTCCAATGGTAAACTCTGTATTACTTCTGTTATCTAGCCATCGACGCCTGACAGAGTAGAAAGTTTATTTAGATTTGCAGTGGCTTTAGTGCGCAATGAATGCAGTGAAGTACGAAATGCTGTTATCACGTGCCTGGGAAGAGTCAGTCCTGCTTCGTACAAGTAAGAAACATCAATCATAGCAACGTCTATTTCATCCTGAAATACTTTGAACAAAACTGGATTACGTAAGGCATTTGGATACTAAATATCGCGTATATTTTTTTAAACGTATTTCAAAATGTGCATCCAAGATAATATCCTACAAATTTTCTACAAGGTGACAATGAGTGATAATATTGTGTAGCAACTGTGTAAAAGAACATTGTTTTGACCTGATATTCATTTACGTCAATTTTCAGGGAGTTTGTTGACGAGCTTCAAGTATCATTATTACAATATGTTTTCGAGAAACGTACTGAGGTATAACACTGAGTATGCTCGGAATGTTTATATTTTATCTTATTTCCAAAAACGAATCTAAATTTCTAACACACATTTATTTTGCTGTTGCGGTTTAGAATTTACGAAAGCGTAAGAAAAGAGATAATATACGAACATATCTGGCGAAAATCTTTGAACTGAATGCAGAGCATGGTTGCTTCAGAGAAAGGTTGGTTTGTCTTTTACCAACTTCTGTTTCTATATGTTATGTATAATATATTCGTATATGCACGCATATTGCGTATTCATAGTGCGACAATTAAGACTGGTACGAGGATAGCCAGTTTTGTAGTTTCAATAAAAAAGCCTCATCACCTGTGATCGACAGTAATTTGAATAAATTTCTTATCGTAGTCCTAGCGTTTTATCCGAAGAAGGTGCTTTATCTCCGACGTTCGTTGATTACATTGAGAACACAAGGTATGTATAAGTGTCATTGACGTACGTATGTTATCTGTTGGGAACATCCCAATGCTTGTTTTACGTCAAGCACCTGAACAATTTATCGCATATATCTTGAACATAAAGACGTTGATATATCATTTGGATATTTAGATTATATTTCTGCAGTGGTGAAGCCGACAGAGATCCTTCAGCTGTACAACAACTTAAACTTAATTTTGCAAGATTTATTTATAATATGATAAAGAGTATTCCACGTGAGTTAGATGATTGACGGTACACTGCATGTAACGAGGCCAATTCTCATCCATTACACTGTGTTACACTCATCTTATCTGCAGTACTTTGCGACATCTTATTTACACGAACTATTTCCCTAGATTGTACACTATGCAAAGGCCAACTACTCTCTAATGAGATCAGAGGAAACCTATTTTCGCTCTTAAGTTCGTGGTGTTCGAAAGCAAGCAACTCTCCGCCTTTTGAGAAGTATGATATTGTATTTGCTGCATGTGTACTACACACTATAGACGTGTTCTCATCTACCAATCATCGACAAGTCGTCTTAAAACCAGTAAAAACTTTTCTAAGAATGATATTTTTTCTTTGATTTCATTGTAGAATGAGCTTGCTACCACCAGATAAACGAAGGGAGCTGGAAATTGCAGCTATTCAGGTAGATATTATGATTTCAATTTCCTTATGAAAACATTACTCCGGTGAATTATGAACGTGGTCTATACTTTTATCGTAAGAGCAGTTCTATAAGAAATAAGGAATGGTTAAAATTATAACATTGAAAGCTTGTACTGTTTACCACGATGGGTTGGTTAATAGAGGAAATTAAGAATCTTAAGCACGAATAATAATTTTAAACGATTTCTTTTTGTTAGGCTCTGTGCGCCGTACTTTGTTGTGGTCCAGTATTTGATAAAACTGGACTGACCGATAATGGTTATTTTTATCAATGGATTGAGAATGTCTTGTCTTCGCCAGACGAAAAGGTTTGCTCAGCGCGTTGTTGTAGAGAATAGTAAAAAAATTACTTTTAGTTCATCTTTAGTCTTTCTTTGACTTTTATAAATGGCTCCTCGTCTCGTCACGTGATTTTCAGTATTTTAAATCGTTCGTTTTAAATAAATGCATATGTTTGCATACGAGGTTTTCTGTTAGTTGGAATGGGTAATGCAGTCATTTTTTGGAGATGATGACGACTATGATAATTTAATTTATTCACAGTGCAAGCACTGTAGGAAACTGTTTATTCTTTAAAGATTTGACTAAACTTTTTTTTTTCGTTGCAGATAAATTTTCTTGGTCAGGAAACTGTGGAAGTTCTTCTTGACTTAAATGATGATGTTCCATCATTACTGGAATGGGTTATCAATAAATGTTACACAGGAAATAAAGTGATTTCTAATAAATGTTTCCAGGCTCTCACAACTGTCATGATTAGAAGGTGAGATAAAACCATTCAGTGAATTTGCATAACCGTATCTTTTTTTATTTCCATATTTCATATATATTTCATGTCCTTGTGCCATATATATTTCATGTCTATAGGCCATATCCTTGTGAAGCAATCTCTGTCATCGGTGTGGTTCTTTTCAAGACCTCCAGTGCTGATCCAGGAGAACGAGAAAAAGCTGCTCAGTTGTTGCAACTGTTGGAAAGGTGGGGAATGGACAGAATTTGCACTTGTTTATTTAAGATTATTGCGACTGTTTAACATGTCTTAAAACTGTTCTTTCTACATATTTGTGCTGTTGTCAGTTATAGTGTAACAGTAAAATAGTTCTTGCATAGTTATAGAGACACCCTTGCTCTGTCAGCAAGCATTTTAAATTTTGATTGATGCAAAGCTCCAGCATAGTTTTGTGTTTTTTTCCACAGACGTTTCCTCTCATACTGTGCACCAGGTTTATCAAAATATTCTCAAAGCCCAATGGACTTATCACACCGATTGGCAAATTTCCATCCGGAACTTACGATCCCTCTGCTTGCTGGTATGTTGATTTCTTTAATGCAATTTACGTATTTAGTATTATATATTCGGGTATATAGTCTGAAATAGTTGACACGATACTGTAGTGTTTTTAAATATTTGCAAGAAATTTGCAAGGAAAAGGGCTTCATTTCTATTTGCAACCAATCTCATAAGCGCAGACTGGAGAAACTTATATCTTTTTTTACTCTCTTGATGAACGTTTTTCATTCTGTTTTTTGAAGAACTAACATACAGATTTGAGACCGCACCTTTTGCATACCAACGCATTATCTTGAAGTATATGTTACCATGGTTATGTAACGTTCAGCTGGTGGATATCAATAGAACAACACCTGGTACACGTGACTCGCCTGACGAGGAGATAGTAAACAATGCTGACATTGAGAGTCCAATGCCACATATAGAGATGACAGGGGATGGATGGGGATCAAGTAAAGCCACCCAACTGGTTCTTAATAATCTATTTCTCCTAACTGTCAAAGTATGTTTCTGTTATTAGTGATGTTGTCTGAGAGACAGAGTATGACCATAGTCCATATATCATCATTGAGCTGGATCGTTGTGATGAGAATGCATGTGCATGTTTCTATTGTAATGCATGTGAGAAAGTGCTCGACAAATATGATTAGTTGCTTCTAATTCTTGCTTTTATTTCCTCTAGTACGGTGAAGATTTTAATGTAGAATTTGAAGATCTCTGGACTGCATTGTCTAACGCTTGGATTGGAAATAACCACGAAATTTTGAATTATCTCAACATTCTCGCAGGAGTCGCTTCACATCGAGAATTTTTTCCGCATGTAAGTAATTATATATTTATTATTTTGTATTTTAAATGGACTCAAATGATATGTCGATGATCATAGCAATTTGTTTCAAGCTCAATCTGTTCTGAATCTAAATTGACTCTGATATCAAATCATAGTCGTATTCTATCACCCTCCTGTTGTATTTTCTTTTTGGTGTAACTAATGCGTACTTGTTTCCTTTCTTTGTAAGCTTGAACAATAATGATAAGTCATTATGTGATGTATTTATTTCTTTATATTTCAGGCGAAGAGACTTATCGTGTATTTAGTGCGCGCCAACAAGGAAGGCACAATACAAACATTAATGGAAGAACTTCAGGTAGGAATTTGACGTGAATTTCAAAACTTTAGTCCATGAAAACATTGTTAAAATACTTGCTGTTGTACAACTTATAATATAATGTGGAAATTAACAAGTCTACATTAGCAAAACGATTGCAAAGAAGGATCAGGAAGATGAAAAATATGTGATAATACGAGACAGATGTAGAAAACAAAAACAAGTTTTCTAAATCGAACGCGAAAATATCGAAGTAGGTACTAAATAAAGATCATCATTGGCTTTGTAACTAATGCTTCTTTATGTAGTTGACAGAACCAGTTGCACCTCAGTTTGAACGATGTGATCAACCTCCATACTACACCATGATTTATAAAGATCATTCAACTTCGATCCTCGCCGATAGTGATGACAGTAAAGAAGAAAAAAGAAACGAAATTAAAATTAAAAAAGATATTGATGTTGTTGAAACTAAGGCAGTAGAAAATTTGGAGCAAATCCCTAACAACAAGTCGGGTACTAAACATTTATAATAGAATACATATATACCTAGACGGTTGGTTCATATCGTTACAATTATTGATTTCAGAGGATGATCGTTGAAAGACTGGTCACTAATATGAAGTTCTCTATTGTTTAGTGTCTTGCAAAGATATAGAAATCACACTTTGTGAAGATCACATGAAAGATTCATTCTCTGATAATCTCGACTGGGCTGAATCCTGGGTGTTCTCTGTTAACAATCATCGTAGTCGTTTTGGCTCAGGACTTCCATTACCAACACCTCAATCAGAACTTAGGTTTGCTTCGTTAATTGATGTACTGCCTTTACCTCAGATGGTCACACCTTTATACAGGTAATTATAGCAGTGCAGTAAATATAAAATTCATAAATTATAGGTACATAAATTATTGATCTTTAAAACGAAATTCAAAGGGGATTTTTCATTTCAAGAACAAAGCCTCTATCTTATGGAAGTGAAAGATAAATCACAATTCTTGTCAATATATTCTCACTATAAAGACATGGTATTACTTAATAGTTATCAGTCTAGTATTTAGTGATTCTATAGTGTAAATTATATGGTAGTTGCCATTCTATTTCGTTTTACATAGTTAATAAAAGTTTCTTTTTTAGATGCAATTTTTCATTAATTTTGCTGAGTGAAGTTATCCGCGATCAGCCAAGAGTGAATTGGCTGCCACATCTTCCCTTGATTCTACACGTTGTTTTTCTAGGTATTTAATAGTGCATGGATGTCTGATTCAAGAAGTTTCTAAGGGGCGAAACTAGAGCGATAATTGTGGGGGTGTTTATTCATATACTCAGTTCTACCGGAATGATTTCTATATTGTGAACTATTTCACTTAAACAAAAGAAATCCGTCGGATAGAACTTGATATATAAACCTCTCCCCTGCAACTATAGTTCGTCTTTGGCTACCAGAACTAAATATTGGTTTATTGTCCAAGTCATTGAGTTAAGTTTGTTAATGAGGGCATGTGATTGCATGAGGAGGGCATGTGTTGCTAAGTATGTCATGACGTAATGGCATTGATGTAATAGATAATAAATAACCTCGTGTAAAAACGTTTTATTGTTAAACTCTCATTCTAGGTTTCGACCACAGTAAATCTCTCATTCATGAACATTGCAAAAGCCTGCTGGTCAATCTTGCAATCATCCTTGTGTTAGAAGGAAATTACTCGAGCATTGCGCATGCTCTGATGAAGTTTCAATATTTCTCACATTGTGCGGCTGATCTTCGTTATAACACTGACACAAACATTCCTCGTGATGGAACCGTGCTCTCCCTCCCAGAGAAAGATGCTCCAAATGAAAGGTGAATAAATTTAAAATTGTAATTACAATGTCAACACGAGCTCGTGTCTGAAATCTTCACGACGCATGGCGTATTGATTTCGCCCTCATTGGACTTTCCTGTCGTTCGTCCTCACGTTTGCCTTCAAAATTTTTACTAACTGCAAAATTATTTAAATCCGCAAATGAATGCAATGTGATCAAGCGGTAAAAGCAATATAATCCATCTCTGGTTTGTCGTGTATTTGCAGCGACCTGAGTACGTTAGAAAGTCAGGTTGGAGATAACTGGACGGAAAAAGTAAAGTGGCTCATCTGGCACTTGACGCAGAGGTATATATTTCTTATATTGTCTAAGATCACAGCAATAAGTTACCAACCAACAATGGATGTCATAGATTTAAACCCAGATTGAAGGAACTAGATTCTGTTCCGTCAATTTCTCGCCTACAGTTGGTAGAGATTCGGATTGGTTTGATTTCCACCGCAGCAATGCCATTCTGGTTGAATTTCACTAACATGCAATAATAACACAAAATTTGTGCTGGTATTTGGCACAGTCTTTTAAACATTCAGTAAGCTGAAATAAAAAACCACATTATTTGTATCTGAAGATGTGGAACTTACATCAGTGATTTGAACATCTGTTGTTTGGTTGTGTCTAGTGAAGGTAAACCTCTGTGGAGTTTTGAAGATATAACCACAAAATCACAGGACATAAGAAGTGCTACAGAGCTCACTGAATTCCTTGTACGAGTGTTGGATATATTTGACAGCAAGTTTCCAGGAAGTGATATTAGAGGAAATTGGGCACGAGTTGCATCGAAGTGGGCAATTTCATGTTCATCACGTCATTATGCAGGTAGATCATTCCAGGTATTACGAGGCTTAGCAGTTCAGTTGTCTTGGTCAGTCTTGTCGGATATTTTATCCCGTCTCGCGGAGTCCGTTGGTGACAATAACGAAGATGTTCAGGTATGTTCTGCTGATAGTAATGGTGATGCATCAAGTGAGATCCATATATCATCTGGAGTACGTACTTCTTGTATGATTTGCAATCATACAATTTTATCTAATCAAAGGCTTGTCGTCTTTTCTTTAGGGTTATGTAATGGAAATACTGCTAACATTAGATTCTGCAGTTCAACAATCTGGTGAATGTAAAATAAAACCAAAAATTGTTTTCATCAACGTTGGAGATGATGAGAATGTAGATGAAGACAGCGGTGAACAAATGCTTGGAACATCGACCCCAGAACGAGCAATACGTAATTTACCAAATAAATCATATGGCCATATCAGGTCGTTAAGCAGCGGATGTGATCTACGTGGTAGATTCAATCATTTGGAAGATCGTGGCAGGTTCAGTCAGTTGGAAGAAATTTCTTCGAAAATGAGGAGTGTGAGCCTGCAGTCATTACGTCTTACTAATGATAATACGACAGCATTGAGCCAAACTGATCTACTTTCAAGAATATTCTGGATCGCTGTGTCTCTGATGGAATCGGATTTCGAACATGAATTTGTCATGGCAGTTAAACTGTTATCAAAGGTATTTAATACTGTAAACACTGCATAATTATTAACAGTAATTAGATATTAGTCTTCCAAAGAGTATGCACTACCAGCAAGGTTACAATTGTTGTTTGTTCGTTGTTTGTTCATCGCAGCAACCTGTAACACTTCTTTAATACATTTATGCTGCTACTTTAGCTTGAGATTTTGGATTATTTTATTTTTAGGTGTTAAACCTTATTGATTTGAGTCACAAAAGCACTCTGGAACGTCTTGAGTCACTTCTTTATAAACTGAAATGGCCCCAGTTTTCTGGAGTGCAGATGTTACTGCTGAAGGTATAGCCAGCAAACCATTCTGTCTTCAATATTGTTTCTGGTTAAACCAATCGTACTATTATTTACAATTTACCGACGTATATAGACCATGTTTTCATCTTCTATTTTTTACAGGGCTTAACATCTGCAACAACAAGTGCTCCAACGATTGAATTGATCAAGAATACCATTCCTTATAGTAATATTTCAATTATGGATGTCTCGGAGTACTCAGGTATAGCCTGATATATCCTCATACATCCTCATGATCAAATCTTCCTCTATTAAGATAGGATTGTCACACTGGTGATGTAAGACAAGAAGAGCTTTGAAAGACAACCAACATTATAGTCTTTTAATCGTAGAATTTTTTATGTTTTGTTTTCTATATTGATATAATATTATATTTGTATAGGTGTTGCCCTAAGCATCCTCGCTCTGTTACCTTACATGATACAACGTTTCAATGAACCAGATGAATTTTGTTTAAGTTGTGCTGCGACAGTCGGACAGGTAAAAATATTATGCTCCGATTTTACGATGTCATATTTCCATTGCGAGAGAAAACTATATAGAAATTGTTTCGTATTTGTCGCTAAGTTATACCCTTTATTTTAATCGATCCAGCATTTTTGCTGATCATGTAGTGACATGTGCGATATTCATTAATTGTTGATGTTATAGGTTTGTGTGAACAACAACATGCTTGGTTTTGGTAAACTGTTTGCAATGTACAATCAACGTACTTATCATAAAACTGTCCAGATGTGGACTGAAGGTGTATGTCGGTATATTCATGAATTTTATCGTCAGAGCATTCGTATCTTGTTGGCATTTCTTACTGAAGTAAGTTTGAACTGAAAATTTGCAATGTTTACAATGTTTTTTTTTTTCTTAATGGGAATCCAACGAATATCGACCTCGTGCATTACCTTCGTTTTGTAAGAATGTAGGCGATAATCGCCAGATAAATTTCTTTTTGACCTAGTGTTTGATTAAAGCTTCTTCCTGTTGCATGTGGATAAATAACTCTGATCAAAATTAAATGAATTAAATTGGCGTAACGAAAAGAATTAGGCTGGGAATTTTAACCTGATTATTTCTGGATCCAGCACACAATTTGGGAATTTTTTGTGATTATTTATCATTTTATCACATAGCTATCTTTTTATTTGATATTTGTCATTCTAGCTGCTTGAACGAGGACCTCAAATAAATCAGACTGCAGTATTGAATATCACTTGTGCTTTAATGAGACATATTGATTTCAAACTATCCAGCACTAGACATATCCTTATACCGACTTTGAAAGTCATATCAAAGCATATCAAGGTAAAGTGTTAATTGTGATAATTTTGATGCCTGCAGTAGGATCTAAGTAACATGAGTTTTTACTTTCAGGATGATCTCTGGAAGGAATCATTAAACGTATTAAAGCTTGCAGTCTCTAGCTGTTCCCAATTAGAAATCCCAGTGCAACGTGCGTCCAGTTTGATATTTGATAGTACATGGTCGCTTGATCAGAGTGCGTCTGCTAGACAAGAGCTTCCTGGAAAGACACTCGACTTTACTTTTGATCTTTCACTTACGGCTGGATCAGCTCAAGAAGGCCAGGATATACCGCAGAGGGGGTTAAATGAAGCTTCTGCATGGAAAAGACCTCAATTATCACAGGTATAAAACGTGATTTTTCTCAACTTTTACTGAAAGCGAATTAATTCAAATCAAGCATTTCACTCCTATACAGAATATAAATGCATGGTTTGAAGCCAAGGGCAGTGGAAAGAAGTAGCAGTTAGGAATAGTCATCAGAGCTTTATTACATAACTGGAGTGAACTAGCTAGATAAATATTATCAAAGCCTGACCATTTTAACCATTTTCATCCACGCTCTCTCCATAGCGTCGTACAAAGGAACGTCTCGTGAGCGTGCTTCATGTGTGTGGTCATCACATTGGCTTGAAACAGAGTCCATCTGTGGTGTTCAGTTCATCCAGTGATTTAATGGTTGAAAAACAGGCTGGTAGCGATCATTCTTCTTCAGATGAAAATCAGTATGCTGATGGAGACAGCAAAGACGAAACACAAGCTAACCAGGCACAACAGGTACATTTGAGGGAAATTAGGGAAAATATTTTATTCACCACCTTATAGCCTTAGATGGTTAGGTTTGAGACAGATTCTTCATCCGTTCCCCATTTCATTTCTGCGGAAGAACATAAAATATTTTAACTTTATGCAACTGACAATGAAGAAAGTCTAGGAAGGGGAGTTTTTTTCGTGTGCCATGCATCATTGAATTTTCACACTAGAGTTTCGCTAGTTAATAGTAAGCCTAAATGAAATCAGTCCGGTACAATACAGGGCAATGCTCTTAATGATATCATTCACCCAAAAATGTTTCATAGTTTCATAATTCTTCGTTATTTTTTATGGTTCAGTTGATTGGAGTATTCACTGGTTTTGATTTCTTGGATGACGAAATTGATGAGCATGATGATGATCTTAGTGGCTTTCGTTGGGATCTGCCATCAGGTGAATATACTACACCAGAACCTGGCGAATCAAGGTTACGTCATAGTCCACTCTCTGGTTCTGAACCTGATATAGCTGCTTTTAGACTAGACACTTCGGATGAAGATGACGAGGTGAGTTTGGACATTAATTTCAGCACTAAAAAATGTTCAATCTGATTAATGATGTTCTTCCTTATCGTAATAGATCTCTCGGTCGTTGACTAGCACAATCTCACCAAGCGTTACAATGCCGCTGACAGAAGAGGCTCTTCGAGCCCACGATAAGTCCAAAGGATTTTCATCGAACGCTCATTATTCACCCCCGTCGGAGTCCAGGTTTGTAAACAACGTTTTGCGCAATCTATTCATTCACAGACTCATTGACAAAAGTTACGGAGGATTTAAAAATCTTTGAATTTTATTTTCATATTTAGCCAAGAGTCGGTGGAGTTAAACATTTCACCACGTCAACCAAGATTTGTAACGTCAGTACTTGATATGCAGAATATTGATGAACAATGGAAGTCACACGTGACATCTTTAGTCAACGATACCACTGGTTCAGCGGCTGTTAATACATTTGCATTGCTAGCGTTACTCTTACGTCATATACGACGTAAAGTAAATGACATAACAAGGCAATGTTGTAATGTTTTAGATAACAGCTTGTTTGGTGTAACAACGTTATTCATTGATATTCTCGAAGTTTTGGATATCCAAGGAAACTGTCCTCATGTGTATATGGACAGTGAAACAGTTCGACGATCAAAGATATTAGAACGTCAGAAGTTTATGGTCTTGGAGATGGATGATCACTACAGAAGCTATAAAGAAATGTTCCACAATGCAGAACGTGCTTTAGAAAGATTGCGTTCCGCAGCTAAACCTCAAGGGGAATATCCCTCATCACATGATAGAGATATGTTGAGTGCAGAAGAGAGCAAATACGAAGATTATGAAATAGCATTATGTTGGGCGTTGTATAAACTGCATTTCCAAGTTCTTCTCTTTTTGGATAGTTATTCAAGATTATTTGAACATCTTCACAGACAAGCCAGCAAAGCTGATGTAAGTACACCGAGATTGTTTCATTATTAAAACTCTGCACTAAGATCATATCAGTAAGCCTGTTTACTACCACTGTGAGAACTAGTTCAGAAAACGAATTCGTTAATCGTTGGCCGTTAATTTCAAAATATGTTCAGGACTCCAGGCCCGTAAACCTTGCTTTTCAGGATGCAACGTAATTGATTCATAATTTAACGGCAGCTATTCTGGGACAAATGACGTATTATATAGTTTATTGCAAGCTCAGTCAATAATTTCAAGAATGCTATGATAAACACACCCAATTTGATTTTAGATTGTAGATCTTACAAACAGAGTTGGCCTGGTAAGAAATGAAATTATTTCAGCTTTGGCCTCAATAAAACACACTCCAGTTGATCTATCATCCGAAAAGTCGGTGGACCCAAGCGATAATCACACGTATGGTAGTGTGACAGAATCCATAATGAGAAACCTTCACACAAACAACACAGAATTTGCCGTAAGAACTCTACACGTTTATCAGGAGAAATTTCGTAATAAAGGTGATCAAGATGATGCTGAATTGTTAACGAAGTTATACGCAAGATATTTGGTAGAAAAAAAGCCGGGAGCTGTTGCTATGTCAAAACCGGAGTTCACTTTACCACCAGTTATCAGTGAACTGAAAGAAATGACAATTCATGTTCTCTCTGTTATAGAAAAACTCAGTCCTGCAGATAAAACGTAGGCTCTGCTGCTCTAAAGTTTATTTGATAGGAAAGTCGCCATGGGTTAGGTTTAAAAATATTCGGTCATTAACGTTTATTTTTCTACTTGACAAGCGCAAATACTGCTGGACGCAGCCAAACGTGTAACGCATGCGCGATGAGCAGTTAAAGGAAAACCTGCCATCAAAAAACACATGCAGGAGACGTAAAAGACGGCGGTCTTCCATTGTTGCGTTTTTTATCCGGGCGTACGCGCAAGTCCACAGAACCAAACCCAATACATCTATTCATTCAATAGCTTCACGCTAATCATTTCATTCAGATGATGTTTAATCTTTTTCTTGCGTGTACGTACGTACAGAATACAAGACAGTAGAGATCAGCCTGAAGGGCCAGTTTGTGTGACCACAAGTGGGCAGGTTGCATGGCCTGTGTATGGACAAAAACATAGCCAATTAAGTGCTTGACATCATTTACGGGGAAAAATCGATGAAAGATCATTGTTTCGAATATAATAGCTGATAAGTTAGGATGCCTACCTAAGCTGGGATGATCCGAAGGGACGAGGAGAAGGCAGATTGCTAGCACCTCGCTTTTGCCCACATTAATTTTACTCCTTATATAAATAAATATCACAAGTTTGTGATTCAGTTTTCTAGGCGCTGCACTAGTTACTTTGAAATTAGAATGTTTGATACAGCGTTTTTTAAGAACCCTGTTCTATCAAAATAAGCGAAACAATATTATAATAGATTATTTACGTTAATCAAGTTATAAAGAGGGTCCTCAGAGAAGAGTCGTTAATTTCATAAATTATATTTGTGTGAAAACTTTCACTGGATCGTAGCAGGTTTAATTTATTGGAGGCATTTTATTAGTGAAAATTAAGCTTATATTTAATTGTAATAAATTATGTTATTGCGTTTTATATTCGTTGTATATAACTTGTTTTAAGTTGTAGAATAAATTTGAGGACTAAATTTTACGCGTCTCTGTGTCGTTGAATTGTTCGAAACAAATTTGAATTTGAAAGATGAATTAAACAAAATGTTCACGCACCATTTACTAATCATGTATGCATCGTTGCGTTGGCTCATTTTCTCTTTGTCTATCAAATAAAAAAATGACTTCAACCATGCACAGATCATGCACAAAGTGACTTCAACCATATCATCATCGCACCTTACAGCAACGAAGACAACTTGGACGGTTATCAATCAAGTGGCTAATAATCTCCTTGCCTCCTTGTTTCATGCTCGGCCGGCGTGACGCAAGTCTGTAAGATTGACCTGGTCTGTTAACTCTGTTTGCATTCCCGGCGAAATTACCAGCGAAACGACAAAACCCAAGGTATATATCCAAAAGTAGGATATTAGATAAGTAATCATTGCATACAAAATACGAGGCCAGTGCTAATATTAGCTTCTAGTGCATGCGGCTTACGCCAGTACGGTATGTTTTTCTGGCATGATCAGCAATGGCCCGTGCAGGAATATCTACCAAAGGATTGAAGTGAGTGTTTGTGAAGTAAGTGCTAATAAATTCGGGTATTCCTATATGGCTTATATAATGAATATTCCTCAATGGTCATATTTATACCGCACTATAGCCTTAGGCAGTTTATCTGATGATGAAGTAAGATGAGTTTCGCAGGAAGTTCTTGTCGATAGATCATCCGGCGTATAAAATAATAAACTGGCGGCAAATGCAGCGGTAAGGAATAAAACAGCCGCGCACTCAAGCTTACAATTTTTCCTCGATTTCCATGCAATCGACTGACCAGCTCCAGTGAATCAGTGGCAGTTCAGCGTCTTGGTTTGCCAGATAGGCGTACATGCGTACAAAATTCGAGGGGAGGACTGAGGAGAGATCGAAAGTAGAGCAAAAGGTGAGATTTCGGCGAGGAGGTTCTCGCGATCTAAATTCTCAGAGACAATATTTTGGGTCCGAATTTTCTTAATCAGTTGGCTTTTCTGCAGTCTGCACTCTAATCAACCCCTAGCCCGCCACGTACTTTTGGGACAAGGTGATTCTGTCATTGACTGTCCCGAAATGGTGAACAGTGTTGTGCACTGTGATAGGCGTAGGAACATAAACTTGAAAGATTCCCAACTTCATTGCATTGCTGCGTATTTCTCATACAGTGAAAAAAATATTTCCGCCTACACATCATCAGTGTACAACAACTTAATTAACATCTGGCGAATAACAGTCGTTTGTCCTCTCTTTTTATCTTCCCTCGTGAAGACCCTGAATAGCTCGGGTTAGTCATTGTGATACGAATGTTTTGGTAGAATTACCATCAAATTTCCAGGTAAATTTTTGTTCGTTTAATTTATAATAATTTAACAATTTAGCGTCCATTCGCAATATTTCGCATTGAAAGTTCACTTGACGTGTGAAGCAGGTCGGTACACGCCACCCCCTTTTCCCACACCTTCCCCACACCTTTACCCACTCCTTTACCCAGCGCCGGAAGTAAAATGACGCGAATGTCTTCATAGTAAGAGTGCTTTCAAAAAATCACTCCAAGTCATAATCTCTTCATACAGAGATTGCTATCTCTTTAGACAAAATATAGTAGTGATTGTTGGACAATGAAATATGTATTTTAATTACAGCATGAAGTTAGACATTGTCCTCCAGCGAATGTTTTATAAAATGGTTGGAGCCAATCACGGCAAATACCTGCAAGTACGTTTACTAATATTGGCGGGCTAGAGTAAGTTGACATCATCGACATTCTCTGCGTTTTAATTTCTCGTAAAAATATTTACGAGTTATAATCAAAACTTCAGATAACGAATATGATTTTTCTTTTAATTTCTTGAGATCGTATGTGTTCGTATAGCAAATAGAAATAATAAAGAAAATGTGTTTATTTTACAACCTTGGAACCTTACAAAGAGGTCCAATATCTCCAGATTAGATAGATATGACTGAAATAATTATTGATTTGTCGAAGGCCGAATAATATTCTTGTAATTTTGCATGACGAACAACAATAAGTCAATATGTAATAATTATAGTTTTGTAGGTACAAGTATACTTGTCTTGCATATATAGTTGAATATACATAGACGTTTGTCACTAGTGTGCCTACAAACTAATAATTACATAAATTCCAAGGAATTCAGTGCCTATATTTACAAATTCTAGAAAAGAGAAGAATGGGTTTAATGATATGAATCTGAAAATTCATATCCGATTGTCAGCGAAGTGAATTAGGATCAGTCAGGTTCTGGCACAATCACCGAGAATGGATCTCATTACTGCAGATCAAGAATAATAAAACTGCTGTACAATGAAGTTCTTTATTGACTTTCTTTTAAGTACTTGAAAGGGTGACATTATCACAATATAGGTCAATATTTATTTACATATTTTCTTAAATATCCCATAAAGTTATTTTTATTCATTGCTGTGTTAGCCAGCATTTTAGTCAAGATGGACACTAATAATTCGTTTTTACTTGCATCAAGCATTTTAAAGTAAAATGAACTCGGTATCGAAAAAATTACAAACGAGGCACGATGTGCGTTTTTAGGACAAAAGCCTGGTGTTTTCGGCTTAAACAAAAGCTAAACATGTTTCCCTACAATTCCTGCACCTGCCGTTACCTTCTGATACCGCGCTGGTATACCTGTGCCAAAAAAATCTCTCTTTATACAATTGCGGTTTACAACATGCGCCCCAAAACCAAGTATATAGAATTAAAATTAAATACAATCAGTCAAAAAAATACAGGATGTAGTTCGAAACAGGAATAAGCATGTATGGTACGTTATTTACATTGAAATGAAGGCGAAACTCTGTTTGACTATTTTCATTTAAATTTGAGGCTATTTTGATAATAGCACAAGTTGACTATGGGGCAATCCATTTGGCTAAAAGGAAATGGGAGGAGTGCTCGAATTTACATGCGTATAATAAGACTATCAAGTTTGCTTAGTTACAACAAACTATGCGTTTAAGCACATAACTGTCTCGCTTCTCAACAACTGCAACTCGTAACTGTCGAGAACACCGACAAGCCGATATATTCAACAACATGAAATAGTCCGCTTTTACCTGATGATTTCTTAATTATTCGACGATATTTTGACGGTTTATTTCACATCGTTCAGCTTGTGTATGCATGTTCAAGAAACTTACGACTGACATAATAAAAAGTAGAAGAAATTTTACGAAATATAATGAGGCATTTTTTGGCGCCGTGACATTGTGAAGACGATGACATGCAGCCAGGTGGATGGAAAGAAAATTGATTTGGACATATTGCTTCAAGTGTGTAGCCTAAAAGATAATGAGAATATAGTAACATTAAAACACACATTGATATTTGCCTCTTTTCAACATACATTTATTTTCGGCGACATTAATAGTTTGCCTCGTTTACGTTATTAAACCTGCATTATTAGCGCGGCTACATGCATCCTACAGGCTGCATATGCAGTATACTTTAATTAGAAAGCAATATTTAAATTTAGTGATATCCGAGTATTTAGCCTTTTCATATGTTGTTTCTGAGGAGGCAAAAATATACAGAAGATCGCTATAGTGCTGTAGCATATTGTAAAACGAGACTAGACATTGTTTTTCATGTCCCAAGAGAAAGGACAACAATTATGATATAAATATTTTGTCCATTATTGCCATTAAAAACAATATGGACTTTATAATATAATGTCTTGCATGCGTGTATGCGGAATTTTCGAGAGCAGCTGGACTTAACTACGGCGGACTGAGTCATTCAAATGCTAATGTACGTGTTGCCTTATAGGATTGTAGAAAGATCTTCCTTTACAAGAACACAGCGGCCTAAGGCTTTGCGTCTGTCTGTCTATAGACAGAATAGTAGTATTGAACTATTCTAGATACAAATATATCTATCGATCATAAAACATCATGCAATCTCTATCGACACATTATGTTTATCTTTGCCAGGAACACAGAACGTGTGTGGTTTCTTTGTTCTCATTTTGCATAACCGACAAGATAGCAGATAAATAAATAATGTCTTGCATATTTCTATGCGAGGCAATGAACTTGCATCGTCAAGCAAAAAAGTCGTTACAACCGATTTTAGAACGGGAAATTGAAGGCTGTTACCAGCATTATACAGACAGTGGCACGGTTATATTGTTTTTAATGCTAATGCTGATTCTACAACTTTTATCTTCGCGTTTCTCGTGATCATGCATATGACATATGTAGGCATGCATATTTGAGAAGAAAATTCCATCGTTATGTTATGTTTGGCATTATTCTCTTTCATATTTAATGCCGTATTAATTCTTGATAAGCTTTTCTAATATTAAAAGCAACATGAACATATCGATCTCATTCGGAGCTATGTCTAAAAACGGAATACGAGGAGAGCTGGCGAGATAATTCGTGGTTCTGTGGTTTATGTGAGGGACCGACGCACAAAATCACGACGCTTTGTGAATTTAAATTTTCTATTTTCAACAGAAAAACCACAAATTAAGGTTAGTCATGTGTGTTTCTTAAGGAATGTGACGTAGCTTAGCAAGGAAAGTACCCCCGTGAATTGACTATTGCATTCTTTGTAACGAATTAAGTGGGCCATGTGTTTTTAGGAATGGAAGTATTTGGTAGGAATTTGGGAAAGCTTTACTGCCCACATATGAAACGATTTCAGTAAATATTGAACGAAAACCGCCTGAAACAATTCCGTGCGTTTTAATAATACTTCATTTGACAATGTATTACTTCTTTAAACATTACGATTTTAGGAAAACAACTTTATTTGCTTTTGTCTGCATTTGAAGATTCCGTCTTGATCTTATAATACTATACTTCCTGGTGCTGAGTTGAAATATAAACTAGTTTAATAAAATAGATGTGTTTTTCTTCAGTACGTCATGCACGAGTATATTGCGTCTCAAAATTTGCATGATCAAACTGTTACATAAACTACAACTACAATGTCAGGGTTTTGTGCTTACCGTATATTATAGTATCAATGACTAAGTTGAACAATATAGTACAGGATATGGACATACATAGAGCATGGCGATGTAAGAAAGGAATTAATTTCAATAATTTGTCATAATGTCCTCTCGTCTATATCCATGGTAATTTAAATACAAATTAAATTTTACCCCGAAGAAATTATTATACTCGTTCAACTGAGTTCTAATATTTTAACATAATCTCCAGTGGTGTATATTGTAGAATGTAAAAGCATGAAGTCGTGAAGTTTATTTTAACATATCAATACGTATTTTAAACTCAACTAAGCCATTAAATTAGATGTTTGTTGTAAGATTTACATACAAGCCAGCCGAATCTTCATTCTAAAAATTTTTATCTTTATCTTAAAATGAACTCTTAAAATACCGCTCATAGCTATAGCCTGTAATAAATCTCTCAGTGAAAGCAAGCTAGCATAAACTAACATGCATGCGTTACGATTTGTCCGCTCTGTATTAATACCAAACCTAATACCAATCTTAACCGCTTTACCCCCGCGTTCGTTAGATGAACCCGAATTAATAATATCTTGCTTGTTTTGTTTCTTTGTGTGAAGTGTAGATGTTGTTGGGAACACGTGTAGACCCGTGTCGCATGTTAATTGTTGCGATCCAAATATTCGAGCATTGTTTTCCCTTCTCGCTCATTGGTCTGGAAAACTTCCTTTTGAAATTTCGTTAATGAATTTCAATTTGATCTATAATTGTTACGGACTTCAATATAGAGTCCAGCGTGTGTAGAAATTAAGCCGGGAGGAAGTATTTATTCACTCAAGTAATACGTCTTCACGCAGTGCTAGAGATCTCCTTAAATTTAGTCCATTCATCTTCAATGACAGTTACAACTAAACCAAGTTCATTGTACGTAATAGGAAATTATTGAAGAATGTATAAAGTTGCTAAGGTAAGTCATAAAAATACGTCTGTGATCATTTTGTCGACTAAGCCAGCAGATGTTCATCGATTGGGTCGTGTGGCGAATTCGAAGCCAGCGAGAGACTAACACTATTTCACTTCTCCGTTCACCTGCTCTTCGCGCATGCGCTTAATTCCTGCTACGCATGCGTAGAAGCAGGTGAACAGGTGCAGTTGAAATATTGTTAACACAATGATAATGATTGTCCCTTTCTTTATGAGCGGTTCGCTTGCATTTAAAAACATTATGCACGTCATGAGAGTACGACTCACATCTCTCTGACTGCCCTACGAGATGAACCGGGAAACACTTCTCAATAAGAACTTTAGTCCACCTCTAGGACGAGTTCCAAGCTCCAACGGTATTTCATATTCGAATGCAGCAGCATTAACCGCTTCACAGAGCATAAATGAAGCAAGTTGGATACCGTCGTATCGCGGATCAAACTCGGTAAAATATTTCGTCTGTGAAAGTAATATTATTCATACGTCGAATGTAATAATACTTATTCACATCTTAACGTTTTTTATTTGTAGCTTACGTTCTCAAGATCGCAGACCTTGGTGAGTTTTATCAACAGTATTTACGACTCAATTCTTAGCGTACTTTGTCTTGTCGGAAAATACTTCTTTAAGTACTTCACTCAATTCAAATTTATTCCTATAGATTCCTTCGAATGTTTTCGACACATTTGATGACTCTCATCTCTTGGGAGCCTCTCAATCATTAGATCCTGGGAAATATCTCGCCAAGAGCCCGGCAGCTTCTAAAGGAAGCAGCTATATCGGTATTCATGGCTTACATTCCAGTCACGGACAAGATGCAAATCAATACGATCCTCACGATATACTGGATCAGATCTCAGCATCCTTACAGCCTTCAGTCCCAGAAAACTTTGAAAAATCATTTGAGAAAGCGTTCGAAAATAACCCATCTCCAGTGAGTTCACTTCAACCTCAACCTTCTCATCATGTTTTACATGCAGCAATGAGTCCTCAAACGGAGGATATGAACCCAAGAGAGTTAGAGTGGTTTGCAGAACGCTTCAAGCAACGCCGAATAAAACTCGGTGTAACACAAGCTGATGTCGGTGCTGCGTTGGCTAATTTAAAGATTCCTGGTGTTGGCTCACTCAGTCAATCGACGATATGTCGATTCGAATCCCTTACATTGAGTCATAATAATATGATGGCTTTAAAACCTGTTCTCACAGCTTGGTTAGAAGAAGCAGAGAAAGCATATCGAAGTAAGAACTATAAAAGTGAGTTTTTACCAAATTCAGAGAAAAAACGTAAACGAACATCAATTGGAGCTGCGGAAAAACGAAGTCTAGAAGCATATTTCGCAATGAACGCAAGACCATCCAGTGATAAAATTTCTTCTATAGCTGACAAACTTGATTTATCGAAAAACGTCGTACGTGTTTGGTTTTGTAACCAAAGGCAGAAAAAGAAAAGGATGAAATTTTCAGTTCATTGACTTCAAATACACAGACGAGTTCTAATAAGTCACAGAATGCAGGGGTCCGTAAAATTTGACAAATATGACACTGAAACTCAAGGAGTTAGGGTTAGACTTTTGGCAAATGTATATATTTGAAATTGGGAAATTAAAGCTAAGAGCGATAATGTTTGGGCAAGGTTAAAATGACAAAAAGAAGTTTGTAACACAAAACAAATAGTTGAAAAGAAAATTGGACTGATAATTAGATGAACTAACATTGCTTGCCTGATGTTATCTCGAACAAAATATTATTCAACTCTGATATTCTTATTGAAAGATAATTTGTGCAATCCTCTCGCGTGTTTCAATATTCGTGTTCAATTTTGATGACTAGAAACTTAAATCATTACAATTTCCACGGCTTTGTTTTTCGGTGGGTTGTATAGAATTATTACTGAACATCTGTGCACGGCTACAAATGCGATGCATGGGCCATGGCATGCAAAGCAAATGAATTTGTGAGAACGAGCATTCAGACAAAACAACGATCGATCTATTGTTAACATGACTGAATTAGAGTGAATTAATATATAGCAAGAAAAATGTTAACTTATATTTTAATATATTTCAAAATTTTTACCGACATTTGTAAATTAATTTGAGAAAGTCCAAATTTTGCACGTAATGCAATAAGCCGATGTTAGCGTCTATTTGCAAATCAGTTGACACTGCAAGGGCTGCAGTATACATAAATGTATATATAGAAATCGTAGATTTAGTTCCGTCTAAAGAACTGAAACTTTAGGATATCTTAAATAAATTTATCTTAAATGCATCGTGTCTTTCGTTGTATTTTTCAAATAAAACATCCCAATTAAGCCACCAGTCGACCGCATGTTGCGAAGACACAAGGCATCTTTTCAAACGATGCTATGACATTCTGAAATTAAAATGCCTGTAATTGTATTTACTTCAGCTATAATACACACGGCATTATCAACGGACATACGATATTATTCATTCTTACAAATTAATTTTTGTTCGATTTAATTTAAACGCCGTGCTATTTTCTCCGCAATATGAAATATATAAAAACAACCGATTTTACATATATCTGCTTGAAACCCCCCATTTTATTTATTCATAATAAAACTTGTTTTATTTGGTAGCGCATAAAACAAATCGATCTTAGCAAGTATAATCATTTCTGGAGTACACTTGATTTGAAATAGGGATGAAATTTTGTTTATAATAAAACCATGATGACAACACAGGAACTGTATAGCGATGAGTGGCCCGAAATTGAAATTTGTAATGTGTACAAAGTACTCGTTTAAAAGTGCTTCCAATGAGTCCCATTTTCGTTAATAATTGAAAATATACATGCATGCATGGCGGGGACGAATAACCCGACCACGGGTACACGTAAATTTAATACATTACAGAAACGTCTGTCTAGTAATATAGCTAGGCGTAAGCAACATTGCTACATTTTGATACAGGTAGCGTCATAAGCGAGTCCTTGATTGAAGAACAAAGCATATACTTCAATTAAAAGAGGTACCCTGGGTGCAGTCGTATGAATACTCTTTATTTTTGTACAATTGGGGTGAAAGGTGAACGTCATTTAATTTCTTCGCTAGCTAGATGATAATCAAAGTCAAGTTTATCATTTAACATCAGACAAAAGTTAAAAGATGTGGTGGTGTGCATTGGCCATTGTCATTGTTGTAAAAAAAAACGTTGATCGCCAACGATTGAACATAAATGGAAGTTACATTTTTTACCGAATCATCTAGCAACTAAAAACGTTGTTTAGCGCACCGAAAATACCAAATCTGAGAAACAGCGTTAAAATTAAGGAAGGATCTTTCAATAAGAGTCCTTGGCTTTGAAGATAATAATAATATATAGTTATAGTTTTCTATCTGCAAGTTCATATACAGGCAGCTATATGCATATATTATACAACATTGGTAAGAAAAATAACCAAATATTCATGTCTTCACGTTAGTTAATAACAATTTTTTTTCTAATTCATTTTCACGTATTTACGGCAAGACAATACGAGACAAAAACAATTTCCATTTAGCGGCGAAGGGACTTTTATTTTTTTAAAATTCTATGGGCTATCCCACGATTTGTATGATACAAAAAGCGTTTCATTTAAAAAGTATAAAAAATATTCAACCTAACATTGTATCTTAAAATCGTGTCGATGATAAGTGTCGATAATGAATGTCGTAATTGAGAAGTATTGCTATTCATCCGTAATGCACAATAACCACAAACCGTGTGAAATTTTGCGAAGTAATTTGGACAAGCAATTTCCTAATTGTATTTTCCCAAGATGACAGTTATGTTTATGTAGTTTCTAGTTTGCCGCCACACAATTTGCATGACTGAAACATCAGGAACATTCTAGCGAATATTCGTCATTGCATTTCATAAAGGCTAAACTTTGCATCTCTTTATATCTCTGTAGAGTCTATAGGAGCACTTAATCTTTGGCTTTGCTCTTGCTGGCAAAAATATATGCAACTTATAAATTTCATTCAGTTTCATTTATCATAAATAGGTTCAAAAATTAACTGAAACTACGCAAAGCGAAACTATAGAAACGGTTTATATGGCAAACGTTTTCAGTCACGGCGAAATGTGTTTCCATCTTTCCATAATATTCCACTAATAAAATGGATTGAAAGGAATAAACCATTAATTTTCTTTGCATGCTACCTCAAAAGCAAACTGCGGTTAAATTGAAAACATTTTTCAAGCTAAGATTTGCATAAAACATGTGCCATCTTTTCGTTGAAAACATCTTTTGCTGACATAAAATAAACATCTCAGGACAGAAGTGTCCTTAAGTTGACATTTAAGAGACAAAGAGATAGGCGAATACGTTCATGCAAGGTAATGCTATAGGGCGAAAGAATTATTATGATATAGACAGAAACTGATATGTTTCTTTTCTAAAAGAGGTACAAAATATATACGCTTAACTATGCATGCACGGTTCTTTTGGGCCAGACAAATGTTTGAAGGACAAAGTAAATATAAACTTAAAATGTCTTTGAATTATAAATTTTTATGATCATGCATAATATGTAATATGATGTTTTTAACCGTAAGGTACATACGGAACCAGCTTTGTCCCGATGTTTCTATACATCTTACACAATGATGCGCGTTATTAGGTGCCCTTGTTCACTCACAAGTGCTTTTCAAATGCAATATTAATCATTCGCAAATCTTTCTTTCAACATATACATGCAGCTGAAGAAAAATTTCAATGTTTTTCTTGCAGGTGTGCTTCTATAGACATAGTTAGTCTATAGAGAAAAAACACATCAATATTTTTCAGCAATATATAGTAAATGAAAATAAACGACAGGCATGCATGTAGGAAAAAGATTATTTCAATGTCAAATTGTTCTGTTATTCTTATATATGCATCGCAAGGTGATTCAATGTTCATTCGTGCTACGTCTGTATGTGTATACCCGTAATCTCTTGATGCGAAAAACAATGAATAATTTTCTGATGATGGGAACTTTGGTTAGTTTTCATTAATAATTAGTGTTTTATCATTTAGTAAGATCAAACCAAGCATCTTGCGAATAGCTTATCACGAGGGACTTAAAGCAATCAGTCAATGTGAAATACCGACACTCTTCTTAATTAGCTTATTGTGTATTTACTGCTTCTGAACCTAAATAAGATGGAAAATCATCCGTAAAAATAGAATGTATGCATGGCAGGCTGCGGTGTCTTTCCAAACAAATAATATAAAATATTATTTTATTAAAATACGATTAGCTGACTTAAAGCAATTTCAGTTCCAATAAACATATAGGTATACAAAATCTCCAAAATGAAAAGGGAAATGTCGGCAGAATATCCCAACATATAATTACTGAATAATCAATCATTTGTTGTGTTTGAAACAATCATATTAACAAATGCAGCAGAATTTTGGCAGTCATGAAAATGGTAGACAGTATTAAAGCAGTTACTACTACTACACTTGCAGCATGGTAGTATATTGTGGCCAAATTGAGACGATTGTGGCCTAACTCATGTAGGGTTTTTTAGATTTTCACGCATATATACTGTTCTAAAGATTTTTCAAAGACCGATGCAGATTAGAAAAACAATCGGATCCTTGAAATCAGTGAATGGTCGGAATCAGTGAAAGGCATTATTACGTATTTTCACTGCTTGATAAAATTATGACAATTATGTTCATTCATGCATTCATTACTAACTTCCGTGGCATGCAATTATTTCTTATAATCGTATTGTTTCTATATATATAACCAGTTGCATTAAAATCTAAATTGATAATTCCTTTTCTTACACCGAAGATGCAGTCAAAATCATCAGCTTTTAATCTATTAATACGCGGGCACAAATCCCCTGTAATTTTCTGTACCATAAACTTTACCCATAAAATACATTTTTCACTCATAGACATAGCTGATAACTGTACGACTATAGTTCAGTCTAAGATTGTGTTAACCCTTTTATTCTATATAAGTCATAAAATATCTTTAAAATTTCAAATTTATTTGTCAGTCAGAAATGATAAATATTTAATCACAATCATGTCCGTTGGCTCCTATTTTCAATAACTTATTGAATTATGCCTCATTAAAAGTATCGAAAGAGAACAAAATTAAAAGTATAACCATGATTCAATTTCTTACGCCAAACCTCTAGAATAGCAAATCTATTGTACTGCGACATAAAATATAGAAATACAAAGGCAAGTAAAACATTCACAGCAATCATCATTCTCACACAAGTACCCAAATTATATACTATTTGCACCGAAACAATTTGCATGGATAGCTTGAATTGATAGTAATTGATAAATAGACATTCAATTACACTAATCTAGAGACGACGCTTTCTCATATACTTAAGGTAAATAATGCTAATTGTCTTGCCGGAAAGTTGAAAGAAAGGATTTGCTTTCCTTTAGCGCGCTAAGATAACTTAATTACATCAGTTATATTGTCACCAGCATTATATTGTATCAAGAAAATTTATAAGTTTGGAAAGAAGATCAAGCGCTAGCTTGAACAAGTTTCAAAGCTAAATATATACATTCTTATTCTTACTATAATATTGGATACATAACAATACAGCTACCTGCAAGGACTCTTAACAGCTTTCGAGCTGAGAATCATAACATAAACGATATAAAGCGTGTCAATTATTATCCCTATTGTTTTAAACACAACTTACTAACGCCCATTCACAAAACAATTTCTCATAGAAGCTAAATTTTATCATTCGTTAAAAATAAAGTCTATAGTGTTACTGCAGATATATTTTGATGTGGGCAAGTCTGATTTTCACCTGCTTCGAACCTATAGAATACTCGAATTTTTAGCCTAATTAATTCTGGTAGAAAGTAATAACAGTTGAAGTCATACAAGTATTGTATGTTCCTATTTTTCTTTACAACTCGAATAAAATACGAAATGTGAATTATAGTCTGTAGTACTATTAGTAGTATTGTAATGTTTGTGACATTATGGATGTTAACGCATTTACAACACGGAAATGTTCCTTATGTCACAAAATAGAAGACACCCATGCATCTTTCTCTGCCTCGTATCTATGCTCGTATTTATGACTCAGTCTTCCCTTATTCAAACAAAGTTTATGCTAGCGGTAAATGAATTACTTTTCGTTTACAAAATTGATATTTTAGCTAAATTTTTATCAGAGGTTAGTTGAAATTGTGCAATAACACTTGGGAACTGATTAAATTTCAATTTTGAACGACGATGCTATTTAATATATGCGAACAACGAGACCGGAATAACAGGGTAAAAATCTTAAAGTTGCAAAACGAATGCACTGAGTAAACATTAGATCTACTTGGTTACAACTGACTAAAAAGAAACACAGAACAGGTTCTATGTACATATAAAAAATCTAACGTCCAGTGACATTTAGGTTATTTACCTTCACAGTATGCCAACGTTCTTCAAAAGCTTTGGAGAAAGTTTCTCATGCATATGACGAGACTAGAAATACTGACTATGGCTGCTTTGCCAACGTTCATTGCAAATTATTAATACCGTGTTCAAACATTTATAGAAAACGAAGGGAATTCGAAAAGCGAATTAAAATTTCATGGCAAACATACATATAGACAAAAATATAGATGAAAAATATTAAGAATTTAAAACGGCCATTGTGCCTGAATAAGTTATAGATGAAAACCCACATTTAGAGATGTGAAGCTGCGTGGACTGTAGAAATAAAGCGGGATTAAAACGAATTACTTGTAAAGTTTATTTTACTTTTAGAAGAATTTTTGTGATATGGAAGCCAATATACGACTTAGTGAATACCTGTCTGTATTGCTTGTACATAACAGGTTGCCATCTTGTTTACAATAACGATATTTCAATAACAACGACTTATAAATATCGGTCTATGATTTTGTGCGAACTTGGGTTAAAAGAGGCTTGTTTGAGGCTTGGGCTATCAAGTGACAATTTTTGGCGAATTGCACAACCATTTTTTTCGTGTAAAGACATCCTAATCATATTTTCCGAAGTATCATTAATAATTTGCATGCACTAACGACTGTCTGAGGTTAGCTTGATATCAAGGAAAGAAAGCTTCAGTAGTTGCACGACTGCACGTAGTTCATTCTTAGTGAACGTACACGATCATTTGATGCAAGTAATGTTATTGATGAATATAATATATTGATGAATATAATATAGACCCTTCCAGTATATAATATACACATGCAGTAAGTTCATTTTATTTGCGGCCAATTTGAATCTATTAGCAAGACTGTTCCGTATATAATTTTAATCAGTAAAAGAGTTTCTCAACTTTCATCTTGTATGCTTACTGGGTACAGCTTACTGGGTACTACTCTCTATTGTATAAATATAACACAGCCAGCCACACCAGTCATCCTACGAAACTCTTCATTTCAATCTCTTCATTGCAATATTCCAGCGGCCCAACTCAAGGAAAAATCATTGAAACAAGGTTGTTAAAACTCTCGTCATTTCTCACACCTTCTGTCTGCTCTTCTTAATAACTGCAGCCAGCCTTTCAAGACAATCACATTTTTTCTCCCAGGTTTGTTGGAGACTGAACCATAACCATGCATATAGTGAGATTTGTCAGTTCTTCGTTGAATTTTTTTAACGAGTACAAAGTTTTACTTTTATCTGCTATACAATTTCATAATATTCAGGAACTAATTCGTCACCAATGGCAATGCATGCAACGCTCTTTTGAGAACAAAATATTCATTCAGCCACATCACTTTCACTTTCTCGTTTACGGGTCTTTTCTGGAAATTTAACAGTGGTGGACTTGTTTCGGAGGATATTCATATTATTATGCATGTAGACATCTTCTCACAATTGCATAGAATTTCTTTCTTGTCATCTTCGGGGGGCTGTGAGCTAACAGAGCCTATTTTCGATATTCCTTAGCAGAAGTACACTGACGTACAGTAGTTATTGGGTAATTATTGAGTGGAGTTTTTTTCTTATTTTCATTCAGTAAAACGTTCTCTCACAGCTTGCTAGATTGCTTACCAATCTTGTTAAATCGCTTCCTCGGCGTTCGCAGATTTGAAATATCGAAATTCACAAAGCGTATTCTTTACTGTCCCAGTTTGATAGAGAATTGAAGCAATGAATGCGTTTATTTAGCATGATACACGATTATAATTTATTACGTGAATTACAGTACACTGCAGTAACTAACTTTGCGGTTATACTTCCGGAACTTTTGTCTTGGAAAAAGACTAATCTACAAAGATTTCATTATAAAGATCTACATGGTGATCTATATGCATGGTATGCCCCATTTCCATTCGAACTTCAAAACTTTTAAACAGTGAGAACGTCCGACAGTAAGTAAGATCTAACCTGTGCTGTTTAAAACTAACTCGTTGAATCGTACGAAATACATGATGACATTGATTGGCTGCCCATTGGGAAGAATACCTTAAGGTAACAATGTGAACCCCTCATGAAATAAAGTTTTAATAATAATAATAATAATTTTATCACTAAGTACCTCTAATTTCTACAGCCCTTGCATAAACTTTACTCAAACACGCTAATTGACGACAGCATATAAAACATTGTGATATGCGTAACAGTACACCTTTCGAGGAACGAGATATTCTGTTTTCTGGCACAAAAATCAGAAAATGAGTCCAAATAACATACAAATGTGAATGTAAATGTTAATTCGCTAAAGCAAATTTTTTTAGTTAATCGGCAAGAAATAACATTGGGTCGATAACCTAACCTTTCATTCCTTCCCCTCCCTCCCTCCCTCCCCCCCTACACAATGATATTCAGTGGTTTCGTACGCTAATGCGTGTGGACGAACTTGGAAAGTTGTGACTTGCGTGGTCCTGCTGGGTTGTGTTTTACTCGCTGGGCCACGTATAGGAAACCATGCATGCAAGTCTCAATTTTTACCATAGCGCAGAAATACAGGATGTCCCAAAAAAGTATCCTCAATTGAAATCAGAGCCTTTGTTTTGCCGGAACATACGTTGTGAGAGAGGTATTAATAACAACATAAGAATGTTTGCAACAGAGGATACTTTGTTGGGGACACACTGTAGTTTGCTTCCGAAATATTTGCATGTACAGTGTGTCCCAAAAAACTACTCTTAACAACAAAAGAATGATATCAATGGATGGTTCTTTTTTGGGACACACGGTTTTAAAATAAAAGCAGTCAAGTTTATTTATTAATGCTGTGAAATTCAAAAGCAGCATGCATAATTAATCTTTCAAACTTCAGTTTTCTCCGCCAGTGGGAATTCTCTCTAATTATGTCCACAGAATTCAAGGGTCAGTTGTTCAAAGCTAGGTTAATGCTAACCCTGGGCTAAATTTTAATCCAGTGTTTTAGTTTATGTGATTCCGAACCACTGTTCGTTTTAAAACTTTAGAAAATATGACTTCTATCGGTGCAGAAAATATTTGTGAAAAAAGATATTCAACTTTGTAAACAAGCGATTATAGAAATATTAATGTAAAGATTTGCTTTAACCCAGGGTTAAACTAACCAGCTTTTGAACAACCGGCCCCTGGTGACTATATAGAACTGGAGTGAAGCCCTGCTCCAGCGACCTTACATGGGTATAATAAACTAAATGGTTAAATCTTTCTAGGCTTATAAAGTTGGTGGAAACCAGGATCGATACCATATTACTTTTCTATATGCATGCTTCATTGATCTGGTTTTCTTGTATACGTGAAATCCCTCGTGCAATTTACAAGGTACGACTCTCATGCAGCCTTCTAAACTAACGCTGGCAATTAGGTTTGCGCGCTACATTAATTTATTTTGAACTAAATTTGTGAACAGGATGATTTATATCACCGCCAGCTCCCAGCATTAATCTTGCGGGCATTTTCATCAATTGTAGATATGTATAAGGTGAATAAAAGCTAATAAAAAGCCGGCGTTATGCACAGCTATAAGAATTTGAAGGATGATCAAATTTTTCCAGCGTACCTTTATTTATCCAATGTCTTGACTCTTGAGTACAATACAATATCTGCAACACGAATATATCACAATATAAAACCCCATCATACATTCCGTATTCAACCTTAAATAATCTTTGCCATTACAACCATGAATCCTCTTTTGGTATAGGACGGTTAAAACAAAAGAGGAAACAATATAGGTTCTGGTTTTGACCACGAAGAAGTACGATTTATCTTGCTAAAATCCAAATACGACCAACTCTAAATTTGTTGTCGTTGCTGCGCAGTGCTGCCAAAACATGATTAAAAATTTGTAAGGCGCCCTATATATTGGTGTTTGTGCTTGCTTCAAACCATAAAAAATTAACGCACATGCATTAAATGTAAACCCATATTTCGTATTGAAATAAGTTTCAAAAACGTACTTTTTGAGTATATTTGTCCATTTTTACCTCATCGAGACTGTAAATTATTGTCCCAAACTAGATGGTTTCAGATCTTTTGAAAATTATTTCGTGTTTTAAAGTTCTCTACCACTATGATAAAGTTTAAAAAGAAATAAAGATCTAAAAACGGGCCCCATATTCGATAAATCATTCACATGCCACCTGCAAAATTGTTAAATTTTTAACTCCGGTTTTAAAACAGTCATTTTAATACTTTCACTGAATTCAGGAATCATACTTCAGTGATTTACACTATTACGTTTATGCTTAACACAAGATTGTACTTTAAAATACCACAATAGATTTAATGTTGGCGGGCAAATGTACGCAACATTCTCAGTTGATAGCATAGTTTAGGTACAACACTATTATGATTAATTAAAGTGATGTTTATCTTGATAAATTAACTGTATTGTTGTCCAATAAGAGTGGGATGTTTTACCAACATACATCAATTCATCTTGATTATATTAGCTTATCGTAACTATCGTGTAGTTGGATGAGATAAACAATATCTCAGTGTATCCCTACTGCGCAAACTCAGTATGAAGTCAAACGTTTTAAGTCTTTATCAGCTGTACACTAAGGCAAATGTCCACTTTCTAAACAAGGTATTCAGTATAGTTCAGTACAATATGATCAATCGCGGTATTCTCGCGATTTGCATGATATATCATAAAAAAACTACTGACAGCTACTGATATTAGAATTTTAAAACAGGCACAGACTCCGCGTGCTATTTGGTTTGAGCAACAATTCTCATTTGAAAGTGACGTAACACAATAATTAGTTTACAAAATTATTATTTAAGTACATCAATTTGTCTACAGTAAATTACTAAACTATAGTACTGAAATGCTTTTGCTGTTAATTTTGTCATTTTTGTGTCAAATTGTAAAATTCTGTAACACCGTCTATATAAAACTCAGGTATTTTCATATTTGGTTTACCACAGCTTGACTTTCGTTCACTTTCGACGTCGGCTAAACTTGATACACCAGTCAAGACTAAAACGGTTGATGTACTACAGCGATTTCCAAACTCGATATCCGTACAAATGCTGCAACAAAGATGGACGATTTTTGTTTTTAGATGTTAGGGTCTAAACTGAGTGCCAGAGCAAGGAATATCACTGAACGTCAGCAAAGTGGACTAAGAAGTGCCTATGGCGTGCAGAGGCTAATATTTTACCCAAATGGCCATGAGTATTTGCCCAATAAGTTGCTTTTTATAAGGATAATGGCAAAAATATTTTTACAGGAATATTTTATATTAATATTTTGGCCCTTGTTTGATCCTTATGAATATTTACTATTTTGCGACGTCATTTCATTCAGGTTGGAGGTTTCTTGGTTTCATACAAAACATTTTGTGTTTGTTGCGGATATGGTTATTAAACATGATTTTGTAACTCTAGCATTTATCGGGTGGTGGTACAATTGTGATAGGAAATGTTCATAAATGTACTTACTTGTCTCCAAATACACACGCCTTTCGTGGATCAATGTTGTGTCTACAAAATTTAGAAAGATGGAATTACGGTCTGGCTGTCACAGACAAATCTAGAGTGTCGGGAAATCAGTAATTGATAACGTTTGGCTTAATTTTTTTATCAGAATAATTGCGAGGACCTAACATGTGGTTTACAAAGGTGTCCGTACGTTGTGGCCGGTGTAATGACCAGTTTAATGGCCAGCCTAATCCAGATGTCATTAGACCTTCACGGCTTCAGTAAGACGAAACTTTTAAAATAGTGGAACAACCTACTGGTGAACTATACAATCCATAATTAATGTCCCTGGCTTCCCAACAATAGTTGCCTTCCTTCCAGCTGAAACTTCAGTCGCCGTAACTAGGCAACCTGTGCCTGTATAAACATAAAACGTGAAGTTATTCCGTAGTAGATGCATTCATCGTCATCTCCCCAACCCTTGACTCGACTTGTAATACACCCCGTGAAATTACACAGAATAAGGCATAATATTAACAGGAGGACCAACCCTTCCAGTTGGTCGGTGCCTCCAACACTGGTGGACATTCACAAGGACAAGATGAAAGAGGAGCAACGGACGACCTTGGCCAGTCCTAACTAGAGCTCTATACACAGGAATGGACCAGTAACCAAACTGGACTGTTCTGCATTTGCCTAATCAGTTCGATTATCATGCTATCAGAGAAAACATCCTTCTTCAATAAATGTGCTCGTAAAGCTACGCTATGAAGATTTTGATGTTTGCAGAATACTAGACAAGGATTCACGTAAGGCCCATTTACACTGTGGCAGGAGAGTTTGCAGTCAGGTAATTAATATCAGAAGATGGAGAGTGAAGCAGATAAAAGTTGGACTGAGATGATACTGACTGGTTTAAGTTGTGAAAGAAATCTGCATTGGAGAATAATTGACATCATTACGTCACTGACGTGATGTAACGTCCACTTGAGTAGTCTGTTGTTTAAAACTTTAAATATTTTTCATTGAAATCTAGTCCCAATCTAGTTAAAATTCAATATAACCAGGGAACAGCGTGGCAGCGTCTTCAAACAACTTCGCATCAAATGTTATATAACAACAGCCTAAAATAAACAAAAACTTCGACGTTTTGACCTAACGGCATTCGTCAGGAGAGTACGTATGACGGAAGTTCATGAAGAAATCAGTGAATGTAATAAAATGAACAAGAAAACTTACGTACCAGGAAAAATAAAATTCCCCGCAGAAGGAAATGTCATATCCTTATTTGTAGCGATAAATTGAACCGAATCTTTCGCAAGATAGTTTACAGCTTTTCGTATTTTGTTGTAGTTGTAGTGAGAATCAAAACCATGCAAAACACAAGTAACCTGTGATAAAATAAGAATGGCAGCGAAATGAATATTTGATTTGACTCAGACTCATACTTTGCAACGTTTTGGTTTAATAATGTCGAGCGTTATCACACCTTATAGAACACTTTCTATAGATTATATATACCAGGAGAAATATATAAGCAGATGAGTTAAAATTTTGATATCTGATACAGAAGGTCAAAAATCCTGATTTAGCGGCATAAATATTCATGAAACACACCCGCTCCTATAGTGAATACGTTGTGGTATGATCAGGGGTGTTGTTCACCCTAAACATCTGCTTACCTCGGGGTCCAAAGTGACACCTTCATCTTTGCCAATTTCATCAAACTTTACTTCATCAGGCTAAACATATTGTGTAAAATAAAGTGAGTATATTTTGATAGACTACCTGAAAAATAAGATGAAAACTTTGAAGGATGAAAAGCCATAATCTTCAGATTGTCTGTTTTAACCAAAGCGTGTTGTGAATAATCTCCCTGCTTTGTGTAAGTGATGAGTAGATGTGAGATGTGAGAGAGACTACCAACACTAGTACAAGCGTCAACAAAATGAAAATTCAATGAATCACCACCTATATCATGTATTTGTAAAGTGAAACTAGACACACATGTGAGAATAAAAAATACAATTTACAGCGAAATAAACATAGAGGTTTCCACAACACACATCACCATTTAACTATACAAATAACAAGGAAGAAGCGATTCGAAATTTCTCACCCCAGAGCCTATATGTGAAATATTCTCTTTTTCAAGTTCTTCCACCAGACCAGGAGATCCAATGACATACACTTTGCCTTGAAGTTTTGCAACATGTTTGATGTAATATGCTGCAGCGTATCCAGAAGAATAAATTTCCTCCTAACAAGAGACAACATTGGCTAGTTATTGGCGTTATAACTAAACTAACTAAACCTGATAACGCGTTTAAACGAAAGCATACAGTAGTAACAGTACCTCTTTAGCGTCGATCCCGAGACGATAAAACTTTTCAAGATATTGTCTTCGGGCTTTGGTGTTATTGTTTGAAACAAAGAATATTTTTTTGCCCTGTTCCAAAAGAAGGACTGTATTTCACGTCATGTAATCATGAGTTGATCAAAATAAAACTTTGACACATTTAAACGATAGAATGTTCTCTGTCGGAGAAAACAAGGAAATTAAGGCATGCATTATTGGTAAAAAATTGTAAAAAATTACCAATTTACGAAGATATTTAATTAGTTCTGCTGTTCGGGGATAAACATCATTTTGTCTCCAAAGGACACCTAAAAACACAATGTACCATGAAATATTTACCTACCGGCTTTAGAATAAATTTACACTAATTCTAGACCTTTTAGTGCATGATATTATATTTCAGGAATTTTGAACTACCTAACGAAGAAAGAAGAAATTGCTAAGGTTACAACACGATGTACGCTCGAAACCTGCTCAGGACAACCACACTCATGGACATGTCACATATAGGCGCAATTTTTGTGCAATACGTTGAATAACGACAAAACTAAGGGAATAACAATACGTAGAATAGAAATTTTTTTTGAATAGTGCATTCCAAACATGCATTTCCTGGCAGGTATTACGGAAAAATTTCATCACTAAGAAAATGCAGTTTTAGAACAAAATGTTCATCAAACACTGAGCTAACGCAATTAATTGGCATGGACGTTTTTTTCTCTCTGCAATTGATCAACTGGTATTCAGTCTTGAGTTGAAGTGTTGAACTTGAAGGGCTTTTATCCTTTTAATGCTTAATCAATGCGCTATGAATGAACACAACATAAGAGGGAATCAACCATATTTGAAGGGAAGTGTTAATTTGCTCAAAGGGTTAACAAGAAACAAAGCTATGAAACAAAGCTATGAAACAGGGCTGATAAGCTTTGAGTATGAAGTAATCTCAAATATTTCTGCACCATAAGTAAAGTGAAGGCCTGGGCAAATTGAATATAATATCTTCAGGGGGAGCCTTGCATGGAAAGCCTGAAGCAAAACATGAAGGTACTATTTCATTAAATTTGTACAGTGGAAGGTCTATAAATTATATATTATATCGAAACAACATCTTTGGCTTTATTTCTGTCTATTTTGAAATTGTTAATTGACACCTGCCAAGATTAAAATATATTCAATACAACATTCATATAATAATATTTGTAAAGTTCTGTAGCCTTTGTAGGGAGTTTTAGGCATTTGATACCTGCAATGGGGCCCATTGCTATTTCACTAATTCTCTTGCTTTTATTTCTAATTCCCACCTTGAATGATTGTAGTATGTTCGGGCCTGCAGTAATTGTCAACTAGCTATTGTGGTGTCCCTGCCAAAATTTTTGTGTCACTGATAAATGCATGTCATTGTTGTTGTAAATGGTGGCAAAGTAAATAAAATAGAAAAAAACTTAGACCAATTAGTTAAACTCATGATTCAAAATGAAATTAAAATGCAATATTTTATTAATCACTATTTTATTTTTTAACCAACATTTCTCATTTTATACTGTATTAGGGTATTGCAAATACTATTACCATCACAATCAAATATAAATGTTTCTTTTGATGCCAAAAGATCGTCGATGAGCGGCTTATCCAGGAGAATGGGTGCAGTTGCCATATGTGTTGAAAACACTATTACTTTCTAGACGCTATATTGAAGATATTTCGCACAGACCTTTTCGTATGTATAGTAAAATAACGCTAATATTGATTATGGAAACCCTGAGAATCAATGAGAAAAAATACATAAATATTATGCTGAGTCAGTGATTGTTTCATATTCCTGTCAGCCCAGTCTTCGAAGCAGAACCGAGGCCAATAATGGCGTCTGGTTTTCCTTGGAAAGTGGAAATACTTCAGCGTTTACAAAACAGGGATCGCAAAGAATTTGTCTCATTTAAAGACCTCATTAAATCTCGTACGTTCAGTTATAAATATTTTGTTATTTTAAAAGCAGTTTTTTTATGTATCAACGCGCAAACCTTCGCGTACCACTTTGTGATAGATTGTCAGCAAAACTGAGAATGAATTAATGAAGTTAGATTACTCCTGTCAGAAATGTATTAATGTTACTGTGTCAACAGGTTCTTTATATTTGCTATTTCTGTAGTATGATATGATTTATTTAGTCCTTTAAGTCTCTTTCTTTAGTCCATTTAGTCAATATGTTATTTTTATCAGAAAGAAAATCATGCAGAATATTTGTCAGAATTATGTATCAAAATAATTGCAATATTTAACTTTTTTTACCATTCATAATATATCTATCTTAATTGCTAACTAGTATCATTTATTAAGATAAAATGGGGTATATTTAAATACATAATCAAGAGACTAATTAGTTACCATGTAATTTTGTGCTACAAAATAGTTACCATGCTGCAACTACCAAATTGAAAATTTTATTTTCAAAGTTTACCAACAATAACAAAAATTTAACCAAAATACCACAAATTACTTGAGGCATTAACCTATCATGCTAACTATGTACATTATAATATTGTTGTTGATTGTATCATGTTCTTTCATTGTGTCAATCTTCATCACTGATAAGTCATTTTATAACCACAAGAAATAATATTATGTAACAGAATAAGATAACCTAATCTAGGTAGGATGCAGACCTAACAAAAAGCAGACATGATGTTTGGAATCTAGAATTTTTATTGTTGCAGTGGAAGTTTAAGGATATTCACATTGTATATTGTTACTTGCACTATAGCCAAGTCAAAAACATAAATTTAGAAAGTGAAAAACAAAAATGGGTACAAAATATTGTGTCAACTAAATGTCAAAAAAGAGAAAGTAATATGCTGCTGTAATACACTCTAAGTAGTGTCATCATTTTTATTTTGTTGAGCATGCAATCTTGACATTAAGATTGCATGCTCAACAACTTGATACTAATCTACAGGAAGATTAGTCATGTTCTTAAATTCTTTACCTATCTTATACCCAACCTTGTATCCAGGCTTTTTTTCCTCGTAGAGAGAGGAAAAAGCCTGACAAGGTCAAAATTGTGGTACACTAGCTCAGTTGCATGTTTTTGTAAAACATAAATATTTGTCAGAAGCAGTACCAGATATAAAGACACAAGCAATGCTGGTTGTGCAATATTTCAAATTGATAGTTATGTAATAAAAAATATCAATTGAATGTTTTGCTCTAATAAGGTAGGTATTTATATTGCAAAATGGTATGGAGCCTGTAGAATAAATTAATTGCACAATGAATATAATTTACGCAGTTTATAGACACACCAGAGATTTTTGCTTTATTCTTCTCAAGACATATTATACATCCGACCTACATACATTTTATAAAGTATGTCTCTTTACCATTGCTATCTAGATAATAAATTATTTGACAATGCTGACACGCTCAAATCCAAGATTGTTCAATTGGAAATTCAGACCCTGCATATGAAACAGGTGAGCGGTAGTGACTTAATTGTGTTATTATTTACACCAAACTAACATTTGCTAATAATTCTTTCTCATGATGCCTTTAATTTCCTTAAACTGATTTTTTAGGAAAATGCTGAATTGCAAGATAAAACATCGAAGACAAGGTAGAAATGAAAGTTCTAAGAGAAGCGTATATTTTATATTTTGTTGTTCCTGGCATATATTTCATTTTCTCTTAGTTCAAGTGGAACAGTTGGAAGTGAAAAGGTTCAAGCACTGGAACATAAAATTGATAAATTGAAGGAAGAATTAATAGGTTTACATAGGACAAAAGGAGAGGTAATGTAAATTGAAGGAATAAATTAAAGGAATAACTAGTAAGATAAATTGAATAAATAGTAAGATAAATTGGAGGAATAACTAGAATTTTTTACTGAGTCCCCTAGGATAATCAGTATTATCAAATAGTGCAGTATTAAAAAAAGCTGATAACACTACATATATAAAAAAAATATCGATATTTTTTCCACTATTCACGAAAAACTCGTAGACATTTCTACGCAACTAGTTAAAATAGCGTTGTACATAGCAAATTTGTCTTCTACACACAAATCTTTCTTCTGTTTGTTCACTATCTGATTACTCATCTCCTGATTAACGTCGGCGAACCCAGTATCTTCAACCCATTGCAGTCGATGTAAGACAGTAATCACGGTCGAGTATAAATATGCTTGAGAGCTGATTTATTCAGCGTCGTAACCGACTAACTGTAAAAAATTCCTTGCCCTGTAACTTTGATAGCCAGAGAAATTCTTTTGTAAAAAAGTAATTTTTTTTTATTTATTTAGAATGCGCAAAAGGTGATCGAATTAAACAATATGATAACGCAAAAGAATGAGGATCTTTCGTTAAAAGAAGCTCAGTGAGTCTAGTTTTATGTATGTTGATATATTCCAACCCTAGCTGTCTACTCGACAATTATAACTTTCTCGCTATCAAGCAACCTGCTGATTAGCGTTATTGTGCGAAATATAAGACTAACAATGGTGGGGTGACAATTTGTTCTTTTTCAACATTTCATTTGACTTAGGTTACAAGACTCGCTTATTAATCTTGATTCAGTGAAAACTGAAGCAAAGCGTTTAGAACAAACAATCATGGAGTTGGAAGCCACCAATCAAGTGAGAACTCACAAATATTCATTTAGTTTGCATCGTATATTTGATGAAAGTTTTCAATCTATTAATTTGGGCGTAAATAATATTTTTTGGTAAAAAAAATCTATGACTTGGAGCAGTGTTACACTATATATAACGGTATAGGAATCTCGATGGTGCACAATTGTGCCCGACGAATTTCAAATGGAATTTATGTGAGCAATCTTCATTGCTGTGTTCATTGAAAATACTGGTTTGCTTGTCAGAGATGATGCCTGGTGCAGTTAACTTACCAATTCGATAGTGCATGTATTTTTCCTTTGTTCTCGGAATAATTTCTAGGTTAATAATTGTATAAATAGCTTCATTCATATCAGTTTGACATTTCATGAATAAAATAACGATCACATGAATGCGATGAACAGCGATGAAATTATGTTGATTGTAATGATATTTAAATTTAGATGTTAAAAGATGAATTACAAGCTCTACAAATGGCCTACAATTCTCTTGAAATTAAGTTTGCAAAAACCCAAGAAGAAAACAGGGAATTGGTAAATTTTGCTAAGTTTTGTTTCTTGAAAGATGAGCTGATTGCATATTAAGAAAACTAGATAAAAGGCGGTAATGTTTTGAGAATTTTAAACAAGAAAGGGATAATTTTGAACCGATACAATTATTACGTTTAAGCTTTATTTTTTGATGATAGTTGAGATATCTTTTGGCCCTCGTATTGTTCTCAAAATTCCACCGCTTTACCAAATCTTTTGCCTCTAATATTTCTCATTACTCTCTGAATTAGTACTTTTTTAAGGTCAATATATTGTAACTATTTGCATAAAAAGTAGTTTATTACCGGTATGTGATGTTATCGATAACTCCATTTTTTTTTCTTTCCTCCAGGTTGAGCGGTGGATGGTGAAAAAGGCAAAAGACGCTGACGCTATGAATCTTGAAAATGAGCAAATGACGAGGTTTATGTTAACTTTATGGATTGTTATTTGTTCTGCATCTGTTGTAGTTCCCTGCATGATGCTTTCTATAATAAACTGTATATTGCTTTATTTAAACATGTTTTCATGTTTTTAGGGCTCGACAAGCGAAATTACGACATGATTTAATGGAAGCGGCTAAAGAACCAGTTGCTCTTCCACCAAAAAAGTTAGTATCGTTTCATTCATTCGTTGTTTAAGACTAGTATTATTTACTAAAATAGTATATTATTGTTTGAAGCTTAGACATTAAATATAGGTATTCAAAATTTTAAATCAAACACTAATTGGATATCAGGGCATTATCGAATACAATTTAAAGATATTAAAAAATAAGAAGTTAAAAAAACAATGTTTTCATCTTGTATTTTAATCATTTTACAGGCGAACATCCTCGTCATCTTTAGACCATAATGGAGATCACGACATTCCTGCTCCACCCTATTGTTTCTTCACGTCACTTCCTACGGAACCGTTACATAAAGTTGTAAGTCAAAGCATTGCGTTTTATAAGATTCGTCGTCTCGTTTTTGTCCGCCTGTGATTTTTTGTCTTTTCATGCGAAAACAACCATTTATTAAGTGTAAAAGATTAAAATATAGCAAGTAGATTAAACACGTGCATATGTACAGAAGCTATCGATCTCGTCCAAGACAGAAACTACATTCTTTTTTTCTGATAGGTTGCTCATGATGGTGAGGTGAATGCTGTGGCTTTCTCTCCAAATGGTCGATATTTTGCAACCGGTGGTTCCGACAAACTTGTTAAAATATGGGAAATAGGTTGGAATATTCTCACAACATTTGTCTCATGCACACATGTTCAATTATTAATTTTATTTATCTTATATTATTAATTAATTATTGATAATTATTATCAATCAAATGAAGAAATAAATGATGGACGATTTTTCGATTGTGAAGGATTGCACTATAATCTACGTTTTTCCCAAACAGGTAAAACTTGTGATACTAAATCTACTATACATGGCTGTAATGCCGGTGTTACATCTGTGGAATTTGATATGCAGGTAAGGGTGTGTACTATGGAGATTTTACATCTACTGCTTGCGTATTTACGAGTTTGACCATGTCCTCAGCCGTTTGATATTCAAATATTGGTAATGTATATATTCATATTGCATAATGTTGATTATATTATTCATATTATAACGAGAAAATATTGGAACAGTGCTCTTATTCGACTCTTTATTTATAGGACAAATTACTACTAGCTTCTTCAAATGATTATGCCTGTCGAATTTGGACGTATAGTGATGGCAGACTACGGGTAAGTTTTACTCCTTTTATGTTGTTAACTTTATCAGTTATTACCACTAAAGATACGACAATAATTTCCATCAAGGCTGTCTTGATACCAGATCGTTTAGAGATCGCTTGAATTAGAGAGCCCGAAAAAATCTCGTAGAGCATTTTAATAGCAATTTTCTTTCCTTTACCTTCTTTCCTTCATATCATCGTTTAGCACACATTGACTGGGCATACAAACAAAGTTTCAAGCGCAAAGTTTTTGCTTGATTCAACAAAAGTGGTTTCTGGGAGCCATGACAGAACACTGAAAGTTTGGGATCTCAGGACCAAAGCTTGTAAGTTTTTGAAATGAGTTTAGAAAAATATAATTCTTTCTTATTCGTACAATTGTAATATTGTTGTGTAGGTAACCGAACGATATTTGCTGGTTCAAGTTGCAACGACGTCGTTACAACAAGCTTAGCTTCGTAAGTCACGCGATCTAAACATGCAGTTGTATTATCGTTTTACACCATCTACTTTTTTTTCCTAGAACCAATCAACAGTAACGAGTGATATGCTAAGCTTCCCTCTTTACTTTTTTCTTTGTTTCAGAACGACGATTATAAGTGGCCATTTTGATAAAAGAATTCGATTTTGGGACTCAAGGTGAATTGTATAAAACGGTCCATTTTATTTCAATCTTCTTCTGCATTCTTTATTATCCAGCCAGCAGGCAAACAACAATAACGCAGGTGTTGTATTAATTGTTTTAGATCGGACACAAGTTCAACAGAAATTGGTTTACCAGGAAGAGTGACTTCACTATGTATCTCTCCTGGTAAGTACATTTTTTAAAACACGTTCCATTAATCTGGCCAAATGGTGATGTCAACATACGTACGAAAGAACGCATACATCCATGACTCCATGTGTTTTATTTAGATCGTAATACGTTACTAGCAGCAACGAGAGGAGATGCTTTAAAACTAATTAATCTACGAATGAATCAGGTTTCAGGCACTCTGAGGTTGGTAGTTCTGAATTCAGTTGTTTGAGCTGTAATTGCGTGTATGTAAGTTATATAGTTCAGTTTGTTCTGTCGTTTAAATTTCATTACTAAGTTTGTCTTGTGTGTTTGTGTGTTTTAAATATATTTGTGTTTTAGTGCGAACGGTCTCAAAATTGCAACTGACTGCACGCGAGCTTGTTTCAGGTGAGTTGCGACAAACGTTCAGTGTTTTTTTAATTGACTCAAACGATATGAACCGAACCTGATTAATGAACGTAATGGTAATATACTCTTTTCAGCCCTGACGGTAGTTACGTATCGTGTGGTTCCCAAGATGGTAGTATATTTATCTGGGATACAACAACATTAAAACCAGAGAAAGTCTTAAAGTGTCAAGGGTACGTTCTTCCTTACGCTAAGCAAACCAACTTAAGCATGTTCTAATGAAGACGTCTCGTTCATTTCTTTCAGGACAGCTGTTGTGACTTGTGCTTGGCACCCAGAAGGCAATGCGCTCGTGAGCTGTGATAGAAACAAACAAGTTATTGTGTGGTCGTCTCTGATTTGAAGAAAATCCATTGAATTTTAATTGAATTGAATTATCTTCGTTGATTATCCGTAGCCCTCTATCTTGGATTAATGGGAGTGTCTTCAAAAATGACCATTTTTACTTTTAATATTTCTGCTTTCACTAAATCTGAAGCTCATTGCATATTAGACAGAACATGAGAGCATCCGTAGACATTGCAATGCGCAATTACAACTATAAGATTTCTGGAACCGTAAAATTTTGGTAAGAATGCCGGGTTGATCCACGGTCAGGAAGTAGATGCCAGGGTGTTTCTATAATTCATACCTAAGCAGTTGCACCTGGATCTGCCCATTAACATCCATCGAAATCTGTTGTGTTTTGTGTGTAAAGAAATTTTCTGAGAGGAAATGCGTATGATATTCTCAGAGAGCTTTCTGGAAGCTAACTTTCAACCAAAGAACAATTACTGGTTTGAGCTACTTCACATCCTGGATAGTGGGTTAGGGGTATATAACGATATAAATACGAACTTCGTTTGGGAGAAGCAAATCTACAAATGCACGAGCGTTGTGTGATCTTTAGAATAAATGTAAATATGATTAGTTGTTAAATAGTTTTGGTCACACTTTTATCAGGCGTAATTTCTGTTAAAGCGTTTCCTGTAGTTAAAAATTGCTTTTATATGATAATAGTTCAAATTTTGTGATTGTACATAAACAATAAATACTGTGCACTATTATTGTACACTGCATTACTGTGCACTCGCAGGGAACATTTACGAAACAGAGCAGGGGTGTGTTGTAATTTTAATCCAGTTTCACTGCAAACTTTATCATGTGAGCAGAGCCTTGCCCTTGTCTCCGGGTTTTTCTTGTAGGATGGGAAATAAGAATTTAGCTCAGTCTGTCCACCTGGGGATGAGGATGAATTTTAACCGGCAGAAGACACGAATATTATGGCTATATCTTATGCTCAATAATTTAGTGACAAAAAAGGCCCAGCTCTTTCACTACAGCCCTACAGAGCCCAGCATTTTGGTATCTCTACTACGTCTAGGCAGTCCAGCGTTCACATTGAGGGCTCATCTCGGCAAGATGGCGCCCATGGAGCCACAAATGGAACAAAACGATAGAGAGGCAATTCCTGTCAACTTGGCTAAACATTCTCCAGTAAAGATGAACATGGCTTTATTGATTGATTTTATGTTACAGAAGACTTATCATGATCTTACTGTAATGGCAGAATTGTGAGTACTCGTCCTTTGATGCTTGACATTATGACATATAATATATAAAATGTTTTATTTAATTTATTATTTTTATACACTGTGAGTCGAGTTTTCTCCCATGATCGAACTCTAGATGATAGTTTTAGTAGAACGTTACAAAAAAATGCAAACAGGCAAAATTGCTGCCTCACAGTATTCCAATCTCTGGCTTTTGGTATTAAAGAGAGGAATCAGCATACAAGTGCGCCATCTGATGAATGCCTTCTGACAGCATCCTGTAAACCTGGACCGCATGATCTTTACACATTTAAAACCTGTTAAGATAGATGAAGAGATATTGTAAGGCTTCGTAATTCACCACACTCAAATCTATAGTTTAAGTGTAGATTATAATACTTATAATTCGTATTTATGTACATCACAAAATCTCATGAATAGAAACACCTCAATGTCTACAAAATGCATTTTTGCATTAAAAATTTTACCATTTAGATAACTTTCATTTCATTTTTCACTCTCTTTCTCTAGATTACCAAGAAAGTCAGATATTGAAAGGTATAAGTTATTTGAGAATTTATGATTTTCTCAATCATTATCTCTTAATAAAATACAAATCATCCTTGAAATGAATTGAAATATTTAATGTTGAATCTTCTATGTTAATGCTTTTCAATAAAATGTGCTGTAATATCCCTATGGACTATGTACTGACTTTCGCTGTATAATTTCTGAGTGAAAGGTTTATATCTTTTTTAGAAAAATTGCAATCATAGAATTTGCAACAAAATCTCGTCAACAATTTGTGCGTTTATTGGCTTTAGTAAAATGGGCCGCCAGTGCTGAAAATGTTGTCAAATGTCAGGTATGAGGGTGCATCTTGTTCGTTTGCATAATATGCAACAACAATGCAAAATTGAAGTGTTGTAGTTTTTGATATAATTGTCTTTATTTCAGGTGATATCTTCAATCCTTGATCACCAATCATTTCTATTTATTGATACGGCTGATAATCTTTCAAGAACAGCAAGGGAAACATTAATTAATGCAAGGTTGTCTCAGAGATTTTTCCATTTTACTGTGTAGTAACTATATTGGTTAGATCTTTCCTTCCTACCTTTGAACACTGCCTCATGCAGGGGCTTAAAATTAAATATTTTCTGTGACATAAGAATCACATTCATTGAGTTAGGGTTTAGTTGGAACATACTGTACTGACTATTTTAATGGACTGTATTGTATAACAAATAAACTAGTCAAAAAAGTCTTGCATGTCTTCAGCTCAGTATAATAAGAAAGATGAACCATGAAATTTTTCAGGCTTCCTGCTTTCAGTCTTCCAGCTGCAGTTGATGTTTTAACGACAGAGACCTATTCAAGACTTCCTGCTTGTATAAGAGTAAGTTTATTCATTTTGTAAGGTTTTCTAGTGTTGAGACAACAAAACTAGCAAGAGTTGCATGAAGATTAACATAACAAAATTTATCATGAATAACTACAATGACGCAAGGGTCTGCCATGGTCTTTTTCTGGAAAATTGAGGAGTTTCGCATTTATATTAATTATTTTTCCAGTTCAAAGCAACAAAATTTTTAACCCCTGTAACAAAATAGTAAAACATCAGCAACACAACAACAACCAAAGACATAAGGCTGGATTGTAAAGATGATACAAAGATGTTTCATTGTTTGATGACTTTGACTATTTGTGTAAAATTGATTTTTTTTTCTCAAGGATCACATACATCATACATCTATAATACTCTTGCTTCACTTTCTTCCAACAGGACAGAATTATTCCAGCTGATCCAATAACTGGAAATGAAAGAATAAAAACATTGAAACGTTTGGATCAGGTGATTCAACAAAGACTGATCACCTCAAAACTTCCTCCACAAATGAGTAATCTTGTGATAGGTGAGGACATGGTTATTTCTCTGTATTTAACTCTGGTGAAAGTGGTCACATGTCTTGACCTCAATTTAGAGCACATTAAATATAGAGACTATATTAGGATTCGAGACTACAAAGAACAACAAAAATTATGAAACATATTGACATCAAGTGTACACCACTAGTCTTTGACTATGTTGATTGAGAAATTGTTCATAAACTCCCTACTCTCTGGTTATTGTGGACATTGCTGACATACATACTGTCCCTCTATTTCACAGCTGAAGGTCGTGTTAAATTCACTGTTGAGGATGAATTTGAGGTAAACATATTGAACAAAGCATTCTATTTAGCTCATTCATTTTAGCTCATGTATTTTTTATTGAAAAAAATGTCACTGACAAGTGAAGGATAAACGTTTCGACCTTTGTTGTTCCCAATTATTTTGCCAGGAACGAGGAAAGTGATATCTTGCTGGTTCTGTCAATTTTCAAAATCATTGTTACAGCAAGTATGAACGTCAAGCTTATTTTTTACGCTGCAGGTTTCATTGACATTGATGGGAGACGATCCTTCTGTGCCTTGGAGACTTCTCTCCGTTGATTTTCTTGTTCAGGATTTTAAAACTGGGGGTAATTTTGGACAATAGTCAGTTAGTTGATCTTACGTGACGTATTAGAACAAACATGGAACTCCCAACTTCCTATATTGTCTTGAACAGATTTTTTTTCTTTTAGAGGGAAAATCTCTCGTACATGGTTTACAGGTAGTTTATATTTATCCAAGTTTCATTGTTGTGGTTCGCTAAACGCATGTGACGGTTACGTTTATTAATAATTGTTAATATATTTAGGTGCAGTATATTCATCAACTGGCACAATCACGTTTGTTCACTGAGGAATCACCATTGGTTGATCTTTATACTTGCCTTCGTATCCTTTCACAGATATCTATAGTTATTCTTAATTTACATACAGTAAGAGTAGTCATGGCAGCTAATTCAGTATTAATGTTTTAACTACAATTAGATTTTCTTTGCGCTCTTGCCCTTCACACAAAGACGTGCACGAGAAGATGATTGTTTAATCTGATTATTGTTTACTGCTTGCTATGCATGATCGATTGTGGATGATAATACATGTAGCCATACCAATCTCGTGAAATAATCTGGAAAATGGTCACCTAGCCATTTCATATTTTCATGAATAACAGCGTTAAGTAACTGAGATTGCTTTCTGAACGTGAGGAAACGTGCGTCGACTTTCCCTAACTTTCATCCAGATTCTTTTTGCTCGTTGCTTCAGTTGGAAGTTTTGCATTCTCAAGTAGGTACTTTTGACGTGCTTACTCTGCCCCAGACTAGTCCCAGTCCTTTTTCACGTTTTGAGATCAGCCTGAATGAATGAGGTTTAATTCATATGTCATGTTTCAGTCACAACGTTTGGTGCGAGAACGATGGTCAGAAAATGTTAAAATAGAAAACTATGTCGTAGGGCAGAAATTGACGATATCTTTCTGGAGGTAATCCATAAATACATGTTGTGTATAGTGTATACGTACTTTTACCCTCATATAAATGGACATATCTGAGGACTGTGCGTTCCCCTGTTCTTTTAACAAAATCTGCGCCTGGTTTTATCGAAGAATAACGTAATGAATTTATATAGTATAGAGTATAGCTGAGTTCTATAGCTAGGTCTTGTACCTCTATGTTTGCTTGTCTATAGTTGAATAACTGCATTATTTTTATTTTCAATTGTGCATTTTTTAGAAATCCAAAACATAGAAAATGGGAAAAAGGTAACTAGTCTTATGCGACACTTACCGTAGTTCTGTTTTTCTTTTATTTTGAGACTTTAATTAAATGACATACAGTATTTACAACCCTGCATGACTTTTCTATTTGATATGATTTTCATGTACATGTACTGTAGTTTTATTTAGCATAATCCCTGCACTGCCTGACACTTCTCAATTTATTCGCATTACGGCATCAGTATGTGAAATCACGTTTTCACATCATCCTTTGACCTTGTATTTTAAGGCCTGTAACACCGCTATAAATCCATTTGAAGGAAATGTTTCTTTCTTATTTTAGAAAATTACAATGTCTCTATTGTTGTTGGCAATCAAGATCAGAAATCTTCGCTTACTCTGCAACATACTCCAACATTAAAATCCAAAGGAAAAACTAAAAATGTTATTGTATCTGTAAGTTTTTTCACAAGCATCCAAATACCTGTGATAATGCACTTGATTGGTATCTATATTACAGTCCGTCATGTGTGGAACTGTTATTTCTTTTTCAGACCAAGAGACTATGCATTGAAACCATTCTTAATGGAACTATCCAAGCTCAGTCTTTGGCAAAGTTAGAGGTCGGTATCACTAGGTTATATGGCTAGTTATATAAGACATTTGTATACTTGCCACTAAGCTATATATATGCATATACCTCAGGGCTCAGTATTCATATATTTTTTGACCTAGACATTTATAGTTTGCCGTGGTCTTCTATATTCTACCTCACCGTATATAGTTTATAACAATGACTTAGCCCATCCTATATGGCTTGGCACATATTGCTTTTTTTTCAGTATCATGTGTGTTAATCCATTTTCTTAAGGTTGTTAAAGATCTTTTGCTCAATGACAAAAGCACGGAATCGCTGGGTACAGTATTAAAAAAATGCTTTAGTTTCTTCGTCTTCATCTTAAACGTTGACCATTTTGTCATGACAAATTAATAAAATAATGAAAATAATCGTATTATTCTTGACTTCCAACCTGTCAACTATACTGACAATAATATTGTAAATTTGCATTCATAGCGTTACTGGACTCAAAGATTCCTGAATTAACTATCAAAACACACGTTACATCGTCAGTAATTTCTGTTCTGGTTGATTCAAGAACAGGGTTGTATGACATAGCAATAAGTAATTCTGAAGGTGAGATTTAATTCTGAGTTAACAACATAGCCTATACACTGTGCCTTGCAGGCTGAAGAGAATATTGTTGCACCCCATTAAACTTCTATACGTAACTGATGTAGTTCCCTTGATGCAGATATTGTTTTTGTATTTGTAGCTCTAAAGCTTTGTCTTACACTAAAAAATTCCTTGAATAAAGACCTCAATAATTTTGCCAACGTTCTCAACGATGTGAGGTAATGTTTATGTACATACAATAAATCATTTACATATCTCTGACTTTCATTTCATTCACTCAAATTTGACAATTTGTGATTTATAAATTTCAATTTAGATGTGCTCTTCGTGTTCAGCAATGTGTGAAAAATGTTCAAAACATGGCGACTTCGTCAACGTCGTTGCCTTTGGTAAACTTCAGTGATCACGCATTGAGTCAGTTGTCAAAACATAAACTTTACATGAAGTTTCAAATGCACACTTCTTATTATTTGGTAAGCCCCAGTTATCCGAGAATTGCTATAGTTAGATTGTGATAGTCAATTCTCTTCTATTGAATAGAATTGTGTTACTAAATCTCGTTTAGACTAACTCGCCTCTCCGGCACACTCTTTTTCACAGGTGTTTGAGGTTAAAATTGACTCGGAAAGCAGTGAGTTTTGTGAAGATTACTATCTGCTGAAAGTCAAGCCTGCCAACCCGACTCACCCGTCAGCCAAGGAAAGCAGTGAAAGCTCACGTCGGACAAGCAGTTCAGAAAAAGGAGAAAAACAAGTGGAAGGATTCTTTCTCAAAGCAGGACCCCTTGTGAAACTTGATGCTGATTTTATATCTGACCTAACGAACAACTCAAATGATGGTAGCCTTTTCCTTAAAATTTACCTAGTTAATATTTAAGCTGATCGTCGCATGTTGATCGTGGAAAAATAACTTATTTTGCTTCATTTTGTTTTGCAGGCACATTTGTAAGATCATGTGATGTGGTGTTAGACCATTCAGATGGAACGGTTTGTATTCCAAGAAATTTTTTTGGCTTGTAAATTTTTTGTTATATGACGTTAAATTGGTTACGTTAAAAATGGTTTGCAGGGAGAAAATGTAAAACGAATGAAAATTGACAGCGAGGTCGCCACGTCTCGATATGTTCCCAAAGTGGGGGAAGTTTATAGTATATGTAATGCAAGGATTCCGTATCTTATTTTATGTAATGAGGTGAGTGCATGTAACATGAAGTTTTTCAAAATAAGTGGATATACCATTGTCATGTTTGAAAGAACTTAAGAACATTTACGGATGGAAAAACAACTCGCAACTTGCAATTCCCTTGGCTAACTTTGCTCGCTAAATATAAAAATATTTCAAAGTCGTCATGTCGCAGTTACAAGTAAATTGCAATATTTCTGTCCGAGCAAGAGAATTATCCTTTCGCTCCATCAAGTTTCCTGATGTTTAACATTTCTTGTTGCAGTTCAACAAAGCTAAAATTCCTTATCATATGGTCTACAAAGACAAAGTTGATCTCTCCGTGAGAATTCTTGATTTACCGACAGTGGCCAACTGTGACAAGAAAGTTGTTCAACAATTAAAGAAAAATCTTCTTTATTGTACCCTGTCACATGACACGAACAACGGCAGCCAGTGGATATTCAAAATTGTCATGGCAAATCCTCCTTTCAAATGGAATCAACCGAATGCTACACAACACGTTTTGCTTTCTTATAAATCTGGAGGGAAAAGTCGGGAAGAGAAACGAGAGGATTATAGTGATAAATATGTGTGGAGCAAGTTCTTGGACGATTGGAAATCTATATGTCGGTTATACACACACGCTAAAGAGCTTGATGAATATCTAGAAGGTTAGTTTGTTATTGTTTACAGGTAATAAACAATGCGCATTATTTTAGGTGTCATGTACAAACCTGAACTTTCTGTTTTTGTGAAACTGGCCACTTTCTCGTTTCATTCTAGACTCACGCTCCAATCTCTCCAACATTTGCTCAATTCATGATTATTCCTACAAAGAACTTGTTATTGCTTATGGTCCTGATTTTCAAAATCTAGTAAGATATATTAAACATTTCCATCTTGTTTCTTAGAACTTGTCAAAAACTAAACCCAGACATGAAATTTCTATACTTATGTTTAACTTTGCAGGTTACTGTGAGTTGGTCGGTTGTCGAGAAAGCATTTACTTTCTCGTTTTCTCATATTGGAGGTGAAACCTGCGGCCATCATCATGAAATGATAAAGAAAATTCTTCAAAATGAATTTTCTAAACACTACAATCTTCCCTACGTGATTCAGGAAAGTATTTTATGATAACTACGTATTCTGAAAGGTACACAGAATGACATCAGAATGATACGTGTTTATTTTTCGTTTAGATTCTTCACGAGACATGTTCGCCATTTTATTCCTTATCAAAGCTTCCGACGACACTACGTCTGGTATCTATGTTCATTCTGTTTCGCCAGTTGTATAAAACACTCGTGGCTTCAGATTGCTTTGTTTCTAGATGGATCTAATTTTACAAAGTTTTATTTATTCATCTCTTTAGTTCCGTGGAAGCAATATCAGTCCAGCCTTCACAGTTATTCCCCAGTCCTCTAATTGCGTGAGATTGTCGTTCAAAGATTATTTCATGATTGAATTTAATTTCCGCGCTAAACAACTGGTGTCCGTAAGAGGTAATTACTTCACGTTGTTGAATTAAACCTGCAAATTATTTTGTAAGAATGATTTTGATAGATTTCCCTCTAGCGTAGACTTCATACAAAATAATCAGGCGAAAGACTAGACTACCAAGTACTGTAGACTTTCTGAAAGAAATTTAGGATTGAGGTTGATACTGCAGTTTGCATCGTTACACGACAATGCTGACAAACTCGTGTGGCTCTGACTGTTTAGATTGCGCACATTATAAGATTTTCCTGGACAAGTTTCAAGCTCAAATACAGCAAATATATAATTTAAAGGTAAGTTGATTAAATTCCTCCTACTACAGCGGTTATAACTTTTAATATGTATATAACTGCTAGAGTACTACGGAATTCTGATTGACCGTCAGCACCTCTACATTCTAATAAAAAGGTTTAGTAAGGAAAGATTCATTAAATTCCTAGAAAGTTAGATTACGGTTACGAATTAGAGGTATCTTGTCCATGGCACCATGAACAAAAGAAGTGTTCCTATGTGGTGACTAATATAGCTATCACTATGATATGATTGCATTCAAATAGCGTTTATAATTCGTTCTTTATTATACTTCTATTATTCACTTCACAAAATGTTTCCTCTCAGGTATTTTTACAGCAGTATAACGATACGCATACAGATATTGCTGCAAAGAACGTCTACGCTTTAAACTGGGAGTCGTCGTTAACAACACCGTCTTCAACTAGTCTTGATTTACGACCACGTTTTGAGAATCCTCAGAGGTAGTTTTCTATAGTTACGTCATGTTATTATAATGAGTTGTGTGTAGTACAGTGCGGTTACTATATTGTTTTTAGATCACCATATTCAACTGCATACAATGATCTCCGCTCTGTTCCTCCTGTTTCATCAAAACAAGGTATGTTTTGAACCCTACCATATTACAATAACTCGAAATGTTTGTATTCAAATCAGGATTGTCGAGAAAAAAAGAAGATATTTTGAAGTAAACGACTATACTGAAAACAAATAAATATAATTTATGGAGAAGCAATTTTTCTGAACCATGCAGTGCTTTTCCCAGTGACAATTTGAATAGAAACTATATACAATACAATAGGTTTTTCTGTCGGACAATAGGAAGATTGAGGGGGTAATTTCTTTAGATGCATTTGATTTGATAAGTCCTAGCACTAAAATGTGTTAAATACACTGAAAATATAATTTTCGCTGGTTATTAAAGAATTGATTTGTTTTAGGTCTTGTACCACGTTTGATGCCGTTGTCTTCACTGAATTTCCCTGTACCGTCACCAGCCATACCAATGTCTCCCACCGTCACTAACTTTCTCACTGCTCCTGCTTCTGCGCCAAGTACCAGCAGCACATATATGTCTGCACCATCACATGCTTCGAATTTTATTGCTTCGCCAGCAACCCCATATCAATTTCCTATCACATCACCAGCCACGCCTCAGACTGGCGTCCCCTCCCCCGCAGTGGTTGCTCCGTCACCGGGAAGTACGTCATGGTCTGCACAAACACCCAGTTCAAATATTCATCAGAGAATACCGTGAGTACTTTACCATGAGCACGTCGTAAATTAGGCTAAACTTAACTGAACCGGACTGGACACTGAACTCATACTAAATGGAGTGACCTGAACTGAACTGAACGAACTAACCTGTGTGCATTCTGACTTAAAATTGCATGGTTGTACACATTAACGTGAGCGAGGAGTTGAGTTGGAAAGGTGGCAAACCGTATTGAACTTTATCTATACTTGTATATTGAACAAAATTTATCTGGAAGATGGTAGAAAATTTTCCTGTTAGGTTTCCTTTGGTTGAATTAATCTCCAACTGCATTTCATCTCAATCTTTGTCATATAGAGAAAGAGAGAAGCAAGTTACAAACGTATAACTGAATGATATTTTATTTTCCAGTGCTAATCAAAGAACGATGCCAGGCCAGCCTCAAACACAAAGTTCCACACAACAGCAGTCTGGTCGACGTATGTTGAACTGGGTCTCTGTTCGTCCATCACTGATATCTCATGCTTGTTTTGATAAAATAATGACTCCGGCTGTTTTGAACACAATTGGCGGTCATAAGGTGCTGGTCACCCCACTTGAACAGTTCCTCTCCTGTCATTTCCTGTTGATTTATTTCAAGAAAGTTATCACTCCTAAATTTGGAAAAACTCTGGTAAGTCAAGTGGTGTTCTCATGTCGTTACAATCTGACTATAAAAATCGTTATTTTCATTCATATTCCAGCTCATGCCATCACATCTGTGCGTCCGAATCGAAACAAAATGAATAGAACTTCGTACTCATTTCTTTTCAGATGCACCTACCTCAGAGGCAAAATGGATTTGCTTTTAAAACATCGAATTTTAAATTATCGGTGTTTTTGGAAGCCACAACATTTCGATCACTTCATTTAGAAGTTCAACCATTGCCTGGTCAAGGTAAATAATAATTTTGTCTGTGAAAATATTCATTTGTTGAAGGCGTTTTGTAAGAGGTAAAATAGCTACATCGTATAAAAAACTCTCAATGATAATAGTTGCTTCCTAAAAGCTGCATGTTCAGTGTCATAGCTAGGAGATGTGGTGTAGGAGATGTGGTATAGGAGATGTGGTATAGGAGATGTGGTATAGGAGATGTGGTATAGGAGATGTGGTATAGGAGATGTGGTATAGGAGAATTCATACAACGTATCTGCTGACATCGTTTGCTCATTGTTGAACTGTTTATTCTAACTGTTTATTCTAATTTTAACTATTTTCAGAGAATTTTTGGAAAAAAGAAGATCTTCAAGATCTTCAAAAGTTTTTCGAATTAAAGGTGATTGTTATAATGCACGTGCATGCTTGTTGAATCAGGAATAAATGCTGCATGTGGATAGAGTTTAGACAATGTTTAACAACTGCACTGGGATGAATTCCATTCCACAATTCCACTCGCGCGGTTCAAACTTTACTTCCCCAATCTAAATTCATAAGTATTGTGAAAGTGTTTTTGATACTCATCTCATTCAATTCTTCAGGTGGTTTCATATCCTTACAAACTGAACAACCTTGTGTCATTCCTAAAAATGATTTCAGCGGAACAAACAATTTTGAGAGATATCATTCAAATAATAAAACTCGAGCTGGTAAGTAAATATGAGTTGTGATCATTTGAGGCACGAGTTGGTGAATGAACCCGGGCTGTTAGGTAAAAAGGAAGCATGTATAATTTTCCTAGAATTTTGGAATATTCATGAAATGTAAGAAGAAAATTGTAATATTCTAACAGGTCACGGGACTTGAACTCATTACGCTTTGTAACTTGTTAAAGCAACTGCGATCTTATAAATACGTCCACGATTAAATTTGGCTCGAGTTTTTTGACTTGCTAATGTTACATAGGTATAGTTATGGTTTTGATATTTTTCAGGATTAAATATGATTTTTTGTTTGGTAAAAATCTGTTCGTGAATATTTTTTAGCATAACGATCCTAGTCATCTTTGGAATCTCGAATGGTGTCTCACTGTTCCTCCTGGTGATCAAAGAAGAAAACAGTTTTTTGGGTCACCAGCTGTAGTAATTGCTGACAATAACAAAGTTGTTTTCTTCGTGAGTATAATATTCGATAAAAATAAGTTTTACGATAAATCTTCTTCCGAACATCCTGCGCATGCTCCTCCCGAATATATTCCCCTCGAATAAATACAGTGACATGTTGTTAGTTCTTAAATTGTTGCTGGATTTGTTGGCAATTGCCATGCATTATAAGGATTTCTTGTTACGTTTATTAGGGACGTTAAACGATCTTTTAAAATCAACCTCTTGCAGATCCAGTTGACGAGATCTCGATCAAACAAATCAATTGGTAATGAGGATAACGCGATAATTGTTCCTATTTATTTACCACCACAAAATGGTACAACATCAAGCCATGTAACAAGCCTGGATACTGTACCCTCAGATTCGTCTATCAAACTTAGTCCTCATCTCGAGGCAGTAATTGCTCATCTTAAAACCTGGAATGAAACTGCATCTCACCCAGGTTTGTTATTATTGCTTTGAATAATTTTTCCTGTGGCTATGAATTTGCCTCTAGCTATATAGTCCTTAAAGACTAGTTTATACCCCGCATTTCAATTGTACAATTGTTAATAAAAGCTGGCGATGTTCCGCTATAATGGCTGTCGATCACCTATTCCTGTACATTTTTCTACTTTAGAAAATTCCGATATTTTCCCCTCTCAACAAAATATTTTTCCTCCTCACGACTATCTGAAATGCGTCTAAAAATAAAACATTTTTTTTACAAATCCATATCAATTGTAAAAGCACTTTAAAGCTCTGGCATTCATATTTTACATTTTGAATTTGTCAAGGTTACGAAATTATTCGGCAATGATTACGGTCAAATATAAAATCACCACTCACATTCAAAATTGCCAATTCATATAGACCCGAATGAGTTTCTGTTACTGAATTACAAAGCTGCGCTAAATTAAAAAAAAGCATTTTAACAAAACGACACAAGGTCTATAATGTGTTGCTTCAAATCAAATTCTCACATATAATTGTGACATGTTCAATGACTGCTCTGGTGTTTATCTCGTTACCATGATCACAGTCACCTCCACACGTTGTTTTTCCGTCTGATGCAATAATTATGTTGGTCTCAGTTCAAACAGTCCACTCTTTTGCTATATATAGCTTTACTTTAGCCTAAGTTACTTCCTTTCACAGTTTTTTCTTGATTCAGCGCCAAAAGTTGACCCTCGCATATATAATTATGAGTCAACAATCTTTTCCCACGCTATATTGGACCAGAGATCAAATTTGCCAATTTTAGGTGGCAGAAAAATATTTGCCACATAATTCAGTATTAAATGAAGTAATTTGCGTGGTAAGAGAATAAGTGAAAGTAATCAGTGATAAAGTAGACTGCATGCAGGTAGTATTCTTGATACGACTATGTGTGTAAGGGTATAAATTCTTGTATTATTTATATTGTTATAATAACGGTAGTTAATTGTTTCTTGCAGGACAATGTCCACTTTACCCCGCTATACTGTCACTGCTTAAGAACCTGGTTGTTCCAGAGTAAAACAATGGAAAAATTCGAATGGCGCGAATATGAACTGTGACCATCCTGTACCAAGTGTAAGTTTTGAGACGATGTATATATATGTAGTATGATATGTGCATGTCCATTATTATAGTGGTTAGACTCGCATTTTCTCGAGAATGTCTAATAAATGGATACCTGAATTATGACATGTTGTTACGTTGTGAAAACCGACACGGAATGTACGTTTCAGATGAGATCTCTATGTTTTCGATAATCGACCGTCTATTGTAGTTGCTACCTTTCGTTCAAGTGCAACACTGAACAGTACACACCTAAAAATCGCACATCTTGTTGACAACTTGTTGGCTCAACAAGCTTGTAGCAAGCTTGTTGACAAGTTGTAACAAGCTTGTTGAGACAACAGGTTGTAGCAAGCTTGTTGGCAACAACCTTGGTACAGCATTGTCACAACAAACTTGCTACAAGTCTGACAACAACTTGCTACAAGTCCGTCACAACAAGCTTGTGACAAGCAGTGCGAACACAACCTGATATCGGCTTGTTGGAACAAGCTTGCTACAAGTCTGCTGCAGACTTGTTACAACTTGTGCGTTTTTACGTGTGTATTCATAAGGTGTTCACGGCGATTACATGTGATCAGTTCATGAACGCTGGCATGATTGCACGTGAACGAACTAGAAAACGGAATCAGAAGTCCCGTTTGTGAACAATAACCTGATTAATCATACTTGATTAACCATCAAAAGGTGAGGTTGTTTTCGATGGGAAGGTTTGTACATCAACTATAGCACCTGGCTGGAAATATCCTGAGCTGAAAATGGAAAAATGTCTACCGTCAGTTTGCTCCACAAACCGCTCGGTAAGATGACAAATTTTTATTCCTCTTTTATGAAATACATGTTAATAAACACATGTTAAATTAGGTGAACAACGTTCAGTTTAGTAATCTGTGTGCTGCCTCTATTGGCTATGTCAGATACCTGCACTGAAAACCTGAAACCAGCATAAACTAGTCACTAAAAACTTGGGGTGTGCGTCTTGCTTTAAAACATATAACGTCCATGATAGTGATGATACATATTGATCTACTTAAATCCGACAACTACACATAAAACAATGCCGGGATTATGTTAACTGTGATGGTAAATGTCTTAATTATCCGACGTCACTGTCTGCAAGACTCGTCCCCACGAACTCAAAGCTGTTCAATTTTCTTCAACTTTATCGTCGGTCTGTTATAAGATGATAACGTTTATTTTTTAATTTCATTTCTTAATCCAACCCTTGCAGTTGAAGCCTGCGTGCAGTCCACTGTACTCAGGCTATTGCAGTTGACAACCTGTTGCTGTGTTAAAACTCTAATTGTTGAAATTGAAACCTGATCAAGTTGATTATCTCAATACCCAAAAATCGTGTATAAAGATTTAGACGTGTAAATATGCAGGGTGCTAGGAACAGTGAACTTTATTATCAGTAGCCAATGATTTATATCATAATAGGACATATTGTAACCGTTATCTGCATATGTTTGACACTGTTTGAAAATAAGACAAGTATGATTGACATCATTCATGGGGTGTCATTGTTGCGTGTTCTTGCGACAACGTGCATTCATGTAACACTAATCCCTTTTTATTGATTTCATGCTGCTTGTGTAACATAATACTTTGCGTAATAACTGTATTTCGAAACATCGTCTATATCTTTATTCATTGTTTAACCATTACTGATAGAAAACTGGTGATATGTAGTAATGTACCTTCTTAAATTCTTGACTTAATTTAATTGCCTCATTTCATTACGATAATTCGAAATATTGACTTAAACTCTTCATTAACCTTACATTTATATTTATATGCGCTTTAAAAACCTGAAAAGCGTTTGTCTGTCTAAGTACTTTCGTCGCCTGCACGATTATCCTTCAAACTTCAGTCTCGTAAATTTTCGGGTTTTGAGTGGCAAATAACCTTTGCTCGGTGTAATAAGCGCCCAGTGGGTGGTAAAAGTGAAACATACACAATAAGGCGCCGTCTGTAGCAAGCATTTCAAAACCGCACATTTTAAGGAGAATTGTGCTTGGAGAAAAAATTTGTTTCACACTATCACAATCATATGAAATAAGGGCGTTCACATAGTTTAGTTCGACATTGAAACTTTCCTAATAGACTAACGTGGCCTAACGTGAACTGGAAGCCGGCCATGTGCCAATAGCAATGGCAAATTACCGAAGGCGAAGCTCATCTGCATATATCAAAGCTCTCTAAAAGGTCAAGATCAACAATTTATAAACGTCAATACATGAGAAGATTGTGGTTTTATTTTCATTTTTCTTTCACATTTATAATATATACAATAATTTAGTCTCGTATACACTGATACACAATATTCCTCTTTTCAGTTTTGTTTCCGTCATTCCGTGTAAAGTTCATATAGAAACACTTGTGTTATGTAAAATATTCCGTTTTTCTTTGATCTGATTGGTTGCTACGCAATACGGCATACCGCCAAATAGAAATTTTAATATCATTGCGTCGTCGCTTTGTTTACGTTCTATCCTCGTAGTAAGAGCTGTCACAGAATTATCGCATCGTATAGTAAAAGAATTAGTTTACTCTTTTAGTTGAGCTTATGGTATACACTGAAAATGAGTGTTCGTTTGAGAAGGAACCCCGAACCAATATGGTCGAACCGTGAAGTTGAACAGTTTTGGGCTATTTTGGAGCCATACATACGACAGCTGGTTAGCGGCGAGATTCCGACCTTACTTGATGATTTTCAATTTCTTGAAGAAGAAATTACGGACACTGTAAACTATGATAGAAAGATATTTATACAGAATATTCACGATAGCATGTGGCACGGAAGATACAGTTCAGCGGTGGCAAATCTGAAAGCGCTTCGAAGGTTTTCTGGCTCCTGTGGTGTAAGTAGCTTCGACGAAAGCTCAGACATAGAAGAGTTGAAAAGAATATTTATCCAAAGACCCTTAATGAAGTAAGTATAATAAAACAAATATTTTTCTCATATGTAAGTTAGATTATAAATTGTAAAGAAATTGAGCGTGTTATAACAGCGTTTTTAATAGTCAACAAGGAACAGCTATATAGGATCATTAATATTTCAAACTTTCTTATAATGAAAGGCTTGTCTTTGGATCACGTTTTATTCACGTGTACACCGTGTCTGTCTATGCATGAGAAAAATATTTCATTGGGACGTCATGCAATGGCACGCAACAAGCTGTCGAGTATCGTACATATATATATTTTAGAGTTACATAATTTTATATGCCGTTGCGTTGGTAAATTGAACGAGTTATCGATTCATTTGCAATGCAAACTCGATTACGACGCTATTTTTATTGTTGGGAAGTTCTTTGAAACTGTGTTGGATACATGGTCATAGACTGACTCAAAAACATAAAAACTCGTGAAAAAACGATTCTTCGACTGTGTGTAAGGGTTCGTGGAGTATAAACGTTTATCCATGCATGTACTCGTTACTAGTCAGTCTATAGTCTAGTCATAGACATAGGTCTAGTGAGAATCACAAAACTACAATTAAACTACGGAACATGTGGTCATAGTTTCAACAAGATTCCGGATGCTAAAAGTAGAACTTCCTAAATACTAAATGGTCTAGAGTCATCCTGGATCTCTGACCTTCGTTGAAAAAAACTGACGCAACACATGGCAGTCTGAGATGATCTTTCAATCTTTGATCTGAGCCAATCAGCTGTTTCAGCTTCACGTGGGTAAACAGCGTCAACCAGAGCAAACATTGGAACTTGGACAAAAAGAAACCTATCATATGATATGATGAGTGCAGAATTCTTGATATTTAGAACTCAGTGTAATGTTTGACATGAGGAAGTTTAGGCAGCTTCAGCCTTCAAGACATTTTGATTGGCGCTGAAGCTCAACGTTGCCGTTACCGTTGCTCGTTGCTCGTTGCTCTTTGCGCTAACAATCGTCGTCGGCGTTATATTGAATATTATAAAGTAGGGAAAAACGTATTAATTGCCGAAGAATTCACTCTTTCAACCGAATTTAAAGAAGGAAAGAGCAGTGATATTTGCACAGTAGTTCTCAGTACAATATAAGGTTCTTATTGTCTGCTGTTGAAACTAGCCACAAGGCGAATATCTCGATTCGCACTTCTTTGACACTTCTTAGATGAATCAGCGTAGTATGATAAAACAAGTTTTGGAAATAACCGTTAAAAGAGTTGTGTTAAAAGTTTCGGTGATAATTGATGTTCAAAACACGAAATTTAGTGAATACGTGCACTTGCGTTCAGCGGCCCTGTGCGCATGACCATAGCTAGAAACAACAGAGAGATGGTTTTCACAGGTTATTTGAACTTATTTCAACATGAGCTCTCATCTTCTTCTGAAAACAAGTTTTGGTTTCCCACATCACTCATCAGATCTGAGACACTCGAGCAAATAGTTCTGAAGGATACAGGCAGAATAGAACAACGAAGCTGTTTTATATTGCGAAATTAAAAAATTGTGGCAAATATGCTGGCATTTTCCATTTATGAATTGCCCTACAGGAGCTTGGAACCGATACGTCCTTGCTTTAAAACACTCACTGTTGGTATCAAAGCAAATCATGACAGAAATTCATGAATTTTATTTTGACTTTAGTTTCAGAGATCGTATGATTCCAACAAGAAACCGCTGCACGCCGTCTACGAAATACTGAAACCGATTGTGAATGTCTAGTCTTAACCAATCTTGACCATTGCAGACAAACTCACAAAGTGAAAAAAATTGAAAAATGTCAAACTGACAAAGAAGTGTTTTCTGCCGGGTAAACAGGCGAATCGATGGTCCCAATTTTTTATAAATATGTTGTATTTTATATTTATTCTCTGATATAATTATAAACTATATTTTAAAACTTGTAAATACGATTAATGTTATACTGTTAATTTCCCTACTGGAGGTTTATATATATAAATTAAGTCTTGAATATAACAACGGGTAATATATTCACTGTAAATAGATGTTTGTAAATTTGTGTTATTAAACGCTTTTTCAAGATTTTTTGTACCATGAATAAACTTGCCGAATTTAAAAACTGTATGTCATTTTATCAAAAACCATCAAATAGAAGTTTCTATTTTAGCGCATTTGCTATCCTTTTGCGCATGCTCGATATACGCTAAGTCATTGCAATTTTCTAAATTCGTAAGGATATGATGGGATGATAAAAAATTAGCAGAAGAGTGTGGCAAACATTCCACAACATTGATCATATGATTTTGGTTGGGAGTGTGATGAAATGGCAAAACGAACATCAAGTCATGACCACATATAATAATAGTGCTGTTCTTTATTCAGCCTTGAAATATAAAAACAACAATTTTGTACGTATGACAGTAGAACTGTAGTCTTTCAAGGTGGCCATCAACGCACAAGCCGCCGTATATAGCCTACGTGCGATTTAGGAACATCTCTACTAGCAAAGAACATATCAAACTATATCAAATCAAGCTAGGAATTTGCCGCTGGGGAGTCGGTTAGTTCGGTAGCTAGTCGTTCTTCGACGCCGAATTCTAATACTAAGTCTCTATCTAATTTTCGCAGTCGTGGGCTGTCTATTGCATGTTTAAATATTAACAGTCTTATTGCCCACATTGATCAGTTACGTATTTATATGAAAAGTATAAGGTCTAACATTGACGTACTAGCAATTAATGAAACTAAACTAGATTCCTCGATTACAAATAATCAAATTCAAATCCCCGGTTACGACGTTGTTAGAAGTGATAGACAACACCATGGTCGTAACGGTGGTGGGGTGTGTTTGTATGTTAGAAGTAATTTAAACTTTAAAGTCCGTAGTGATTTAGTAAACTCTGAACTTGAGCTACTATTTGTCCAGATTTCTAACCCTCGTTCTAAGCCTTTCCTGGTAGGGACTTGGTATAGACCTCCCAACTCTGCACAGCATCTATTCTCTCTCTTCCAGCAGATAATTGATAAAATTGATTCCGAAAACGCCGAAATGTATCTACTAGGTGACCTAAACTGTGATTTATTAACTCAAACTCCTAATGCTAATACCCTCGAGCTTTCGGATATATTCGACATTTACAATCTTACTCAACTCATCGAGGAACCAACACGAGTGACTAGTACTTCGCAGTCTTTACTTGATCTTTGTGTTACAAACACCCCGGACAAGGTATCAGTCTCTGGTGTCCAGTCGCTTGGTATAAGTGATCACTCGCTTGTGTATCTTGTTCGCAAAACCGCATGGCAGGGAAAAACTGTAAATTCGTTTGTTCATAAACGACAATTAAAGCATTTTAACGAAAGCATATTCTTGAACGACTTATCTACGATTGATTGGAATAATTCTTGCTCGTCAGACGATCCTAATGTAATGTGGTCTCAATGGTTAACAAACCTTACACAAGTCCTAGATAAGCATGCCCCTATTAAGAAGAAACGTATAGGTAAAAAGAAGTCTCCATGGATAACCTCTGCGGTTGTCCAAAAAATGAGAGCAAGGGACTATTTGAAAAAACAATATGACAAGACACGAAATACTCTTTACTGGAATCAATACAAAAATGCTCGGAATGAAGAAATAAATAATAAAAGCAAGCCAAATGTGAATACTTTAAAAACAAAATTGATGTTACTAAGAGAGATCCGAAGCAAATTTGGAGGATCATAAATGAATTAAGTTCTCGTAAAATTAGTAACGTAGCTACAGTTAAAGAAATTAAACATCCAGACAGAGTGATAACTGATCCACCTGTTATTGCGGATGCTTTTAATTCATACTTTACTTCGATAGGTGAAAATCTTGCAAGCAACATTGAACACTCAAATATTGATCCCATCTCTTTTATTAAACCTACAAACGCAGTATTTTCTTTCAGTGAAATAGAAATTCAAGATGTAACTTGTTTACTTAAAAACGTCAATTCTAACAAGGCCACTGGTCTTGACGGCATTCCTGGAAAAATCTTGAAGTTAGCTGCTGATATTTTGGCCCCTTCGTTGACAGAAATATTCAACCTTTCTCTAAACCGGGGAATTTATCCAGATGATTGGAAAATTGCTAAAGTTGTTCCTGTCTTCAAAAACGGAGCAAGAAACGATTTAAACAATTACCGACCTATATCAATTATTTCGGCTGTTGCCAAAATATTCGGAAAATTAGTGCACGAACAAATTTATCGTTACCTGACGAGCAATGATTTATTGTCTAAATATCAATCGGGGTTTCGACCAAATCACAGCACTCTTACTGCCCTATTGGAGACTACTAATAGTTGGAGTGTCAATATTGACAACGGTCTCCTAAATGGAGTTGTTTTCATTGATTTGAAGAAAGCTTTCGACACCATAGACCATAACATACTTCTACTTAAATTAAAACACTATGGAGTAGATGAAATTGCTTTGACATGGTTTCACTCTTATTTATCAAATCGAAAACAGAGGTGCTTTGTTAATGGGAATCTTTCTGAAACTTGTCCAATAACTTATGGCGTCCCACAGGGCTCTATTATTGGTCCTCTTTTGTTTTTGGTCTACATCAACGACCTACCGGAATGTTTGAATGAGGGGTTACCAAGAATGTTTGCCGATGATACGAATATAAGTTTTCAAAGTAACTTTGACGACCTCGAAAGAGTTATGAATACTGAACTTGAAAAACTTAAAGAGTGGCTTAATGTTAATAAATTAAGTTTGAACATTGCCAAAACCGAATTCATGGTTATCGGTTCTCGTCAAAGACTATCAACTTTCGATGACCATGATATTAATGTTATTGTCGATAAGAAACAAATCGAAAAGGTAGAGAGTACTAAATCACTAGGACTTTCTATTGACGAAAACTTGACCTGGAAAAAACATATTGACGATATTTCTAAAAAAGTATCATCAGGAATAAGTGCTTTAAAACGAATAAGAAGTTTTGTCAACCAGGATACAGCAGTTAGAGTGTATCAGGGATTAATTGAGCCATATTTTTCATATTGTGCTCCTGTTTGGGACGGCATTGGTAGTAAATTGAGCGACAAACTTCAAAAACTCCAAAATAGAGCTGCACGTGTTATAACTTGCTCTCCCTATGATGCCTCCTCTAGCTCTGTTCTTGAAAAACTTGGTTGGAATAACTTGCATGTCAACCGTAAAATGCAAAAAGCGATTCTGATGTATAAAGTCAGGAACAATTTAACACCTATGTATTTACAAGATTTGTTTGTCACTAGAGTTAATCACTATAGTCTCAGAAATACAAATGGCAAACTATTCGTTCCTAAACCTAAAACTGACTATCTTAAACGTTCCTTCAGTTTTAGTGGAGCTTCAATATGGAATAGCTTGCCTGAGCCCTTGCGTCTCTCTGAATCTCTTTCTTCATTTAAAAGATCTCTAAGAATTAATTGTAATTCTATTTAGCTTAATCCGACCCCCACACGGCAACCTGGTAGAACAGTAGTTTTTATATATCGTTACATAATTTATATACTATAGTTTAGAGTAATTTATCATCTTTACATGTATTTTACTGAATGGTTTACCGTGTTTTAAATAAAGGCGATGTATGTATGTATGTAGGCGCGTAGGTACGTGCAAGTGGAGAGCGTATACGTGCAACGTATACGTGCAAACACGTAAAAGTTATAAAAGTTATAAAATCTACGATTGAATAAAATCTGCGATTCGTATTTTTTTCTGCAATAAATTAATTATATAAAAACTTAGAGAGTTTTAAACTTTTATGTGCGTGTCCATGCCAGGGCTGCTTTCCACAGTGTTAAGTTTTTTGCACGCACGTACGTACACGCATGTAAAAGTTTAAAATCATTTAAATGATACTCATAGATGCATAGATTTGGATTCTGTTGAAGATATGGTGTGTTTTTTCTGGCATAAAATGAATTATATATTATAACATAGAAGGTTTGCGTGCAAAAAACCCGACAGTAAAAGCCGCCCTTCAAGCAACCCTCCGCGTCAATGTTAGCTATGTCTGTCATCCTTATTATACAGTTGTCGAATGTAATAAAGCCAACAATCAATATGACTGTGACGACAATGGTTGTATACCTTTCAGAATTAAGCGAGTTCAGTTGTCAAATTTTAACATCTATTCTTCATTCATTTATAGTCCTGGTAGCTATGTATAGTTTCTTTTCAGTTTCATTTGTTGCTGCTGTGTAACGAGAATGGCCTTAAAAAACTCTAAGATCACAACAGTATTGAATAACTTTCTCTCCCACTGGTTAATTGGACGTAAAACAGAAGCTAAAACAATGACTTAAAATATGACAGAGTGGGAATTACCATATTTTCACACCCCGTCGTTCAAGCTATTTTATTATATTTTGTTGCATATTTCAGTTGGTGAGAATAGTTTGCGATGGATGTTAAACCTGAGGTTAATATTACATTTGAAGAACAGCCAGCAGTGTTTTTTGTTGGCAAAGAAGCCATCAATGGCGATGTTAGCATATCTGTGACAAAATTAATGAAAACACAAATGATTAAGGTTGAATTTAAAGGTATTTGCCAAGTTGGTTGGACGAAGCGAGGCGTGTCGGATAAAAAACACAAGAGCGTTGAACATTTTAAAATTGAAGATAAACTTCTTACACCTAGATCAGAGTACAATGATCTATTCCTTCGTTCTGGAACACATCGTTTTCCTTTTTCCTTTAAACTTCCACAAGCTATGCCACCGACATTCACCGCAAAAGATGCTAAGATTGAATACTTTGCGAGAGTTGTTGTTCATTACAGAGATGATGGTTCAATGGTTTCCAGTGAGATCTGCGCTGAAGCTCCTCTAGTTATGAAGAAGAGCATCGCTAACTTTCCTGAAAAGTTTTTAAAAAGTGCCAAACTGAAGCAACAACTTACTCTTCCCAAAATGTTTTCCCGGTCAACCAGAGTTGAAGTCGAAGCCATGATTCCTAAACGAGTCTACCACCGAGGAGAAATCATTCGCTTAACCTGTGATTACAAGATCTTGAATGGCTCTGTAAACGGTGTTACTGGTATTAGCGCTGTTCTCATGCAAGGCCTTACTGTTGTCAAGGCAAATGGTCACGAGAAGACGAAGACACGCGAAATACTTCGTGCACCGCCGTTTCAAGGTCATAACGAGGAGACAACGAAATGGAGCGATACTTACATGAATATACCAGCAGATATCTCGCTAACAGTTCAAGGTTGTGGTGATGTTACTATTTTTTACTTCATTCAAGTTCGTGCAAAGAATTCAAAAGAGAGAATCGATATTCCTGTTGTGATTATAGATCGTGATGAAAGTAAGGTTATTAATCCAGGTAGTAAACGTCGTGAAAGAAGACTGTCTTTGACGGGCACAACCTCAGGCTCAGCTATTCCTAATGTCTTTCAAACGTTTAATGCACTATCTAGACAAGATCCGACGAGAGCTTCGAGGAATTCTATTGACTCGTTTTATAGAGACTAAAACATTCATTTCGCTATACAAAATCAAGGAACATTCTAGTCAAATGCACAAATAATGAGTTGAAATTAAAATAATTAATAATATTTATATTCAAAATATAGGTCAATTAATATAAAAAATGTGAACTGTCATAGTCCAAGTTAAAAAGTATAAAAGCAAATTAGTTGTTTGCGATCTTTGGCCAAATCTTTGGTGTTATATATAAAGTAAGAGAGTTTTAATTCTTCAATGAAGTGCATGGATATGACGTAACAAGTTTTAAAACCGCTGCAAGATCACAGAAAATACCTAACTTGGAAATTCTCACCAGTTGGAATATTTACCATTTATAAGTATACGTGTTCTTAAAAGTATATATTGGTACTTCACATATATATTTTTACGTTACACTAAATTTTAGGTATTCAACAATAATGTATTTACAAACATGAATAGTATTTCAAATATACCAAAAAACCGGCACTTGTTTTGAGGAATTGATGTTCGTCTGTTTTCAAAGGGTTTATACGGTGCAGCAAGTTAACCGGAGCCTAGCATCTTCCATGAAAAGGAAGCATCATACTAAAGCTTTGGATTCAGCATGAGATGGGTTGTAATGTACGACCAGGTATTTGGGAGCCGATTGTTATTAAAACTGAATTTAAGAGCCGAACATCATTGTGGCACTCTAAGCTTATTTCTACATCAGATGGGTTATATATATTGCTATAGCAACCACTTTTAGGCCGTTCCATCATGAATGAGGTAAAATTTATCTTTCTAATAAAATTTTCACTAAAATCATAGCTAGCAAATTTTTGTCATTTCTATACTCAGGGAACACATATTGTGATGACATTGAAATGGTTTTAGAGATTTTACATATTTAAAGCCTCCTGCAGCGACTACAATTGTCAGTGCACCCTACGCAGATGGCATACATGTAAATTATATCGGCCAAATGAATGTTTTACGCATAGCTTTAACGCTACAGTGAAATAAGTAACTATGTCTGTAAATTTAAATGTTCAAGAAAACAAGACAACGCTGAGAAACAAAGGTTTAGAACATTTTCATATCGCCATCAATGATCGACAGGTTTTCCATCCGGGGGAGACGTTAACTGGTGTCGTCCAGTTATTTACAACTAAAGTATTATATGCAAGAAGGCTGTTTGTTAAAATTTCAGGTCAGGCTTACGTCAAGTGGACAGAGTCATGCCAAGTATTGGATACCACAGAGTTTGTTAACTGTGAGAACTATTTAAACGATAACAGAGTTTTGTTTGAAAGTGCAGTAAATAATGATTTTGAAACATTGTTGCCCTGTAATCATCAATTTCCGTTCAGTTTCATTATTCAACCATCTCATTTACCATCTTCATTTTATCATGGTTGGCACAAGAAGGACTACGCTGCAATACGCTACTGGATAACTGCAACTATCATTCTTAGCAATGATGAAGAACTCACAGAAACTCAAGTATTTTATCTCAAAGAAACTGCAGACTTAACTGAAGCGTTACATCTTCATGAACCCAAAGCAGTGTCTACCGAACAATATGTCAATTGGTGTTGTTTTAAAACTGGTCCAGTTCGAATAAACTTGGAGATAAATCGTTCGGCTTACCACCCTGGGGATGATATTCTGATAACTGCTGGAATAAACAGTGCACAAAGTTCATTTAACACTGGAAAAGTTGAGGTACAACTAATTCAGATGGTCAAATATATTGCAAACCACGATTATACCGGTTTAGGAAGCTCTAGAAAGACAAATCAGGAATCTCTAGAAAGACAACACTGGAGCACAGAGAAAAATCTTCTTTTGTCTGCAAGCGTGGTATCACGAAGGCAAATAAATTGGGATAACGTACGTTTAAGAATACCTAAAGCAATCGTGCCGACGATATCCTGCAGCAAATGTGTACAATTGTCGTATTTCGTCCAGCTGAGAATCTCCTTTCGAGGACGTGAGCCAGACTGTATTTTGCGAATACCAATCATGATTATGTGTAAGCCAAGACCAGAAACTCCAGAAGAAACACCACATAGTGATTCTAGGGATGAAAATTAACAAACTTTAATTTTGAAACAAACCAGGAGTGATAAACAACACTCGAGCTCCTATTGAGCGACAACTCTCTGGAATCAGTTTCGCTATAAATACACGGGTACAATATACGAAATTTTCTCCAGTATCATTAAATTTCGTAAGGATATAATCTGCGTGCACGCTTGTTATTATTTGTTGGGACTGCATGCAGGCATTGTTAGACCAACCAAAAATTGGACTAACGTGAAAAAATCCTAAGTAACTCCAACCGTTATACCCTGGTTAATGGTAACAATACTAACATCAGATATGCACATGCAATTGAGATCTGATTAGAGACGCCAAAAGTTTCCTCTTTTGCATTTTGTTTTCCATATGCATTAAATGCGTTGATTCAGAACTTCAGAAGTTAGCTGATGCGAAGACAAAGTAGGAATCAGTTGATTTTGTGGTCAACACGATGATTGCGAGGCAGGGACAAGGACCCACGTACAGATCAAAGTGAAATAAAAAATCAATGACAGCAGAATGCGTGCAATCAGTCAATGCAATCATCGGAGAAGCACCTGGACGATGTTCTAAACAGTTTTAATAAAATACAAGTTTTGACAATTAAATGCTTCGTTTGATGTAGCTATAATATGAATGGTATTGATTTACAGGTATGCCTCGGTGTTTGGCGAATTACGTAGTGGGACAATGTTATATAAGTGTATGAGTTGTATCACGGTAATAGCAGAAATGGAGTAGAGTTACGAAGGATTATTTGTAAATTGTATTTCAGTATTTCACTACCAGGGAATTTCCATTAAAGCTTAGTCTCATGGTCAAAGTACATCAGTCTTTACTTGACTAGTAAACTGCGATGACAACGGATATAAAACGAAAACTGAAAGATCATTTAAAGCACCCCAGGGCCAAGATGTGGAATATATAACAATCCCTTTGTACTTTCACCTTACTTCACTTGACAGTTGTAACAGAATCATGCAATAAAATCATTACTATATAATAAAGAAAATCCGGATATACTGTTTGTTCATGGTAATCTAAAATGTCAAAAATTCTTCCTCTTGGTAGTCGAAATCTAAACCAGCTCCACAAAGCATCTGATCTCCAGCATATTGTTTCTTTTGTGGCTTAGACCACCCACTAAATGGCTCGAAATCCTCAAAGCTTGGTTTTCCATCATAATGAGCATACCACAAAGGATATGATGAGCCTCTTGTGTAAGTTAATCCCATGATAGTCTCCCAGTTGTGTTTGTTGGTGTAGACTCCAACATTTTTCTTTCCAAAGTCTGCATTAATAAGATCTTCGAAAAATTCCCTATTCTTTGTTGTATTGGTATACCAACTGCCAGATGTTTCAATATCCAACCAGATCCAATCTACATCCAGTTTCAAACTTAGCATGTCACTGACCTAAATAAGTACAGAGTGAAACTGAACCTTGAAGAAAAACTTTACAGTATTTTCAATTTGATAATGATTAATTGAATTATCCAGTTTTCTTGGGTTCTTTCCACTCCCGAAAAACTAATTTATCTTCATTGATTGACGATTTTTGCAACTTATCGACTTATTCAGATGGTCGCGTTGATATATAGACATGTTTCCGACAACGTCAGTTTTTCATTTGACAATATATTGATTATGGATACCTGAAATTGCATTGTTTACCTGAAATGCCTGAAATTGCACTGCGTGATTTCTCCATTTTCTTACCTGTTTTTGTGCATTGCCACACTTTGTACACGGGAACATGTAAGCTTCGACTGTAGTAAAGAGCGCTTTTCTAGCATTTTCTATGCTCTGAGGTGCATTTGTATCTGGTGTTCCTGTACTGCGATATGCACGAACAATAGCAAAGTCATAACCTTTCTGTTTCAAACAAGTAAGTGCTTCGGTGCTTGTTGGTTGGGAAAAATCGATGCCTTTCATTGCTTCGTTGTGAACAACACAGTGCAGAGCAATTACGAAAAAGAATGCTATCTTAAAATCCATAGTTTTCGGTTTCTTCTTTGTGGTTGGATTACGAAAGCGTTTCCTGCAAGTTTAACGGAAATTTCACCTCATGAAAGGAATTTAAAATGAAAAAGGCAGTCTAGTTAGACCGAAACTCTGTTTAGTATAAAAAGGGCGAAAATAGATTGGGCTGATTGGCATTATACGGTCGCCAAGGCTTTTGTTATTCATGCTTGTCTAAATATCAAATTGTACCCCTGGCCTCGGTCTGAAGTTATACCGCTTTAGAATTATCGTCCACAGCAAAGAAAATAGCGAGAAAGCGACATACGCAGCATTTCATTTGAAGTGACGGCTTTGCCTCTCATGGACGTTTGGGCCCGTATGCCCATATTAGTGATATCACATTCACCTGTAAATTGTTTTTCAATGTTTGACAACATATTTTTTGGACCTCATTTGATTTTGATTAATCATATGACTATAATTTTAAGAATTCCGGCGCTGACAAGTGGCCCGACTTCAAACAACCAAGGCTCAGTAACTAACATAGGGACAGTGAGGTGCACTTGGCAGAGTCTTGACACAAATGGTGCATGTTATCAATATTGCTGACAAAGACTATTCTCCCTAAAAAATCGTTGGTGAAAAGCTAGCCTCATTTAATTTAAACAACTACAATTCTGAGCCAACGTAACCCGGAAGCAAACTAAGCCATAACATTGTCATTGATGTACTTGTCTGAGTGCACTGCACACTGCCTAAACTTATTACAAAGAAAAAACAAATTGTTAAAAGTTACCTCACACTTGGTGTTCAGTAAATTATCCACGGCCACGTATCAAAACTAGAATGAAGTGTAGACGTTCTTGCTGGGACTAGATCTGAAAGTGATATGTTGTAGCTACCTAGTGTTTAATACCCATGACCTTTGCTGACATCATTCTTGGTGCGTGAAATAGTAAACAGAAACTTCGGGTATCCGGTTGTTTAATTAATATTCAGTTTAAAATCTCCTAATAAAAAGTCAAGATACCGCGTGTAGGGTCCTGTGTATGGTCAGCAGGTCATCACGTAAGAAACTTACCCGATGAGTGACAGATGAGTAAAAATCTGGAGAAAATCTTTCTTTAAAACTTTTTAAACTCTAAGTCCTTTATTAAGAAGTAGGAAGTGCGAGTTCACGGTGAAAAGTGAGTTGGGGACTCAACTGTTTATGTTTTCAATCACGTTAAGTTCTGCATCAAGTTCTGTCTCAGGGTTGAGAGGTACAGACGAAGGGGAAAACTTTGATACAGATTCAGGTTGCTTTCGACTTGGTTCTGTTAGTGGGGGCTGAAGAACTTTTGTAAAAGGCTTTAGCTTTTCTGTTCCATGCATGTTCTCAGGGATACAGAGACTGTCAGAGAGAACATGATTGGTCTCCTCGATCACTTCCGCACAAAGGCTTCTGCACAGTTTTATATGCCAAGAGAATTTTAGCGAATTGTAACACCATTTGCTGTAAGTCTGGTATTATTGGTATTAAGTGATATTCTTAACGTAGACTTGAAGGCAAAGACAAATAGTACTGAAGAACAAGACGAACTCGTTCGCAACATACAGACTATGGCTTTTCACCATAATTTTAGTCAGGTTTTTAACAAAAAAGGGCAATTTCATTGCGAGTTTTATGCAGATAAATTTAAAATTTCTTTTCCGTGTAGTTTTGATGGACGTTTTCATGGTAAAAGTGGGACCCTGGGACATGATGACATGAAAACTAAAAATGGGACCCCAGAACATGATTATCATGACTCAGAATGGCGTCGCTATAACTCAGTATTTATATTGGGCTGGCGAAGAGGACTGCTCAGTCTATTCTAGTCTGTCTTCTATAACTCAAACCCTATTCTACTTTTTGCCCTATTGCGTGCATGACATTTTTGTGGTCAGATATGTGGTTTCACCTGAGCACATCCAAGACATAAAACATTGTGCCAAAGAAATGTTAAACCAATATATTGGACAGTGATTGGAAATATTTTAAGCAAAATATTACAATAATTCAATGACAACTTTCAACGTGTTTTTTTCTTTTATCAGGTCGACATCAACAGGGAAATTTTTCAACAAGTCTTTGAAACAGTATTACAAAACCTTACCAAGTATAAGCGAAGTATTTTTTATTTTCAAATTTAAAAATTATATTCCTGAAAATGGTAAGTGAACCGGAAACTACTTTCTTTCAGTTTTTCTGCTTCCTCTCGTGTCGGACCTCGTGTTGAGTTCACTGTGTCCGACACTCGCGATATTGAGCCAGCATGATTTCGGTCAGTAAATAACAGCAACAGAATGAATTCGAAATTTCGAATGTTGCAATAATGTCACAGATGTCAATATGGAAGAACTAGCTGTCGAAGTGCGATCTCAAAGTGGAGGGTATTATAAGGTAGTTCCTTATGAAATATGAGAACTGGTTATATCTTTTTAAAATATTTTGATATTAAAGTATTTTCCTTTAGGCATATGTAAAGAACATACATACGGAAGATGTGTCTATTGCCCGTGCTGATGAGTAAGTGATTCTTGTTTCTTAATTCTTATAGTAATTTTTCATACAAACCATTATGTAAACCTTTATTTCATTGATGTCCCATTGTTTAAATATGCAATGCTCTTTCAAACATTTATGGCTAACCTACATGAGTGTTGAAATTCGTAAAAATGATCAATACTGAAATATTTTTGTATCTTTGTAGTTGGAGTAATCCCGTGCGGGTGCCATTTGCTGATGTGCGCTTACCTCCACCGCAATCCAACATACGTTGTGAGTTTTATGTTGATGATTTAATCGAGGTAGGGTATGTTAGTACTAATAATCATATTATTTTTATATATTTTCCTAACATATTTTACACTTAGACGAAATGGGTGAAATATCAAATATACAGGTTACTGAGTATATTTACTATTTACGGCGGGAGACGTGTGTTGCGCAATTGGAGATTAGCCAATTTCTGAACAGCATAATATATTTGATTCCATTAATTATTGCTTAATTAGGTTTGAGGTTTTAATTGAAAACTAAAAAATACGTGGTTACAGAGGAAGAGAGTAATTTCTTAATTGAACAAGAGTGAATGGCTAAACTTTTACCCTTCTAGCTTTTAAAATATTAGTTATTCCAGACATTCATAAGAATGTTTATTCATAATTTGCTTCTCTACATTTCTAAATCATTAGCTGTAGTTGTCATGGGTTTTTTCTAGCTTAGTTTGAGATAAGTTTTAGACTGCATCTTTTTTAAGAGTGCAGTAGAATATAAATGAAAACTATTTGGTGTAATTGTAAGTTGCTTAATTTTGTATATAATCAAGGGACTGTTCAAATCAAAAGTAGTTAATTGAGTAGGCGAACAGAGGAGCAAAAACCATGATTTTCATCTGAAAACAAATGTTTTAGTTCCTTCCTTCTCCTAATTCAAGCCTACTTTAAGTGTAAAAGTAGCAAAGGAGTAGATAGTCAAATAATTGGGAGACCATTTATTGTTCAGGTCATATGCGGATGGGGGTTGTTTTCACAAGGTTGTTAGCTAGGGTGTATTAAGTCTCCCCGTGATATTTATCATGTGTTAGGCATTGAAACCTAACAGCTTTAGTTAAATTGTCTGGCATGAATGGTGTTAGGTATGCAATGACCAGATATAATTTTCTCTTTACCTTAAGGTTAAGATCAATACAATCAATGCATATTAAAACGCATCAAACTATTATTTAAAACTGTATATTTCGAATCAATTCTGATTCATCTTCAGCAGTTAAGACATAGCTACTTTATTCAATTATATTATTATTATTTCAGTTACTGTATTTGCTGAAATTATCTGCTCTAATATTTTACTTTTCCTAATATTTATTAAGGTTCTTTCAAGAGCTCAAGAAAACGATCCACTCTGCTGGTGGTTGGGAAGAATTGTGTCAAAGAAAGGGGAGGTATACCAACTGTCCATCAAATATCTTGTGTTTAGTGAAAGTCAGAATCAGAAAAATCAGAAAATGATTGGTTGAAAACTATAGTACCTCGTCTTTCCTTCTTTACAGTTTTACGTAATTCAGTATGTTGGTTGGGATTCATCCTACAATGAAATTGTCCCTCGAGAAAAAATAAGGCCATGTAACAACAAGTATGCAACTTCCTATTTCTTAAAACTAGTAAACAGAAGAAAGATTTCTTCGGTAGTATACGTACTAGATGATAAAATTTACGTGGTAAGCTAACCATGATCTCGCGAGACCTCGGATTTTACTGTAATAGCTGTAATAACTGTTCCAGGTGACATGTTTATCTGAAAATACTTAAAGCTCTACTCGTAATTATGGCAACGAGTTTCCAAAACAAGTGAGGACATGTAGACCTAATCTAACTTAGTCTCTTTTCATTGCATCACAGCGCGGGAATCACGAGATCCATGTACAGTAAATGTATTATTGATGTGCCTCAAGACCTGCAACAAATGTAAGTATCGTCTTCAGTGAGCTTGAATTTTTTTTTAACTGTGCATAATCGTCAATGATCAAATTCATTTTGTCATATAGATGTAAAGATCAGAATGTCCATCGAGAATTCAAACATCAAAGTGGCGTTGGTTTAGTTGTCTACAACGATGAACTGGCAAATCTTATTTGTTTGGTACACGATTGCTCTCCTATAATTCACTGTTTATCCTTTATGAAAATTAACGTACAGCGGGGCTAATTGCATCCAACGAAACTGATAATAGTACCTAACGATTCAACGTGCTTTATACGAAACTAAAAAAGTGCCCCATTCGTTTTAGTCTCGTTCTGAAAGAACAGTGAAGAAAGCTGCAGTCCTCAGCGAGATGCATTTTAGAAGTCTACGAACGAGACTTTTACTACAAAGTTGGATAAACGATACAGCCAGTCAACTGCAGGTATTTTACCTTTTGCTGGTGTAGACGTGGTAAATTAACCCTGTATTATTACCATACATGTAATGAGTTTATTCTAAAGAAATACTGTAAATTTTTCTCCACCAATATTTTTTTATGAAATTTGCCTTCACCTAGCTTGCTCAAACCCAATTTGGTATTGTTGAAGTTTTAAAGCTCCCAGATAATTTGATGGGACTGGCCATAGGAGCACAGGGAGCAAATATCCAAAAGGCCAGAAAACTTCCTGGAATTCGATCTATCGAAGTAGATGAAGAAAAATGCTCTCTTCATATCTCTGGGGAAGTGAGTGTTTGCAATCTCTATCTTTTTCATCATGGCTTTGTTTTCATTCTTAACTGAACAATTATTGAATGAGGCATTTTTGACAACGCGTGATTTCTTACAATAAAACGATTTATTTTGATTTATTTGTTATAAAACGAATGTTTTGAAGACCAATCACATCACTGAATTTCAGATTTCGCTTTCCGTAGCGCGAATAAATTCGCCATTCCTATCTGTATCTAATTACTGAATTTGCCAGTCAGAAGACACGTACATGTTGCTGTATTTACTTGGATTTACTTGTAATCTTTTTCTACGGTTAATTTTAGAATGAAACATGTATTAAACAAGCAGTCAGTCTTCTAGACTTTGCTGAGGAAATAGTTTCCGTTCCAAAGACATTTGTTGGTAGGACAAGTTGAAATTATGGCTTTTTTAACGTTCGGATTTTTTAGCCGGTAATAATAATATGTCATCCATTTTTGTCCCTGAGAAATGTTCAATTGCACTTTGCAGGTTTCGCTGTTTCCTCCATCCTCTTGTTCACACCAAGTTCTACAATCTCATAAAGATTAAACTATTATTTTGTTTCATTTTTCTTTAGGGAAAGTTATTGGCAAAAATGGTAAAATTGTTCAAGATATTGTTGATCGTTCAGGAGTTGTTCGTGTTAGAATCGAACCACCAGAAAATAAAAATTCTGTTGCAACTGACGAAGAACAAACGAAATGTGCTAAAGTAAGAAAATGTGTTGGATGAGATGTGTTTAGTTTGAGTTAGGTCATTCATTTATGCATTTTCTATTTTAGAAAGAAGTTAATTTTTTGTTTGTTGGCACACGTGATAGTATTGACAATGCAAAGATGATGCTCCATTATCATTTAAGTCATTTAGAGGTCAGTTGTCCCATACATTCTTGTTTTGCAAGAAGATTGTCCTGTGAAGTGATTCGCGCTGTTTTGAGCAAGTTTTAACATTGTAGTAAGTTATCTCTTTAAACAATTATCATTGTCATCATCACTGCAGGAAGTTGCGAGAATTAAGAAGGAGAAAGAAAATTTAGAACAACAATTGAAAAACATGGGACTAACACCCCAGAATGGTCCATCATATTTACCTTCACTGGCTGAGATGAGAAGTGGTCCTAATGTTGTCTTATCTGGTATACCTTTGGAACCAGCTAGTAGAGATCGTTCTTATACCACAGACAGTTACGCTGGTGATTTGAATGTAGCCCCTGAATTCACAAGTAATAGAAGTGACGAGATGGACTTAGGACCAAGAATTCGCACAAGCAGTATGGGAGAGGGCGCTGTTGAGACAAGGGACTTGAGCACTGTTAAAGTATGTTGTATCAAGTTGCTTGTTGATGATATATCTATTCTCCTTTTCGTCACAATATGTATTTTACAGCAGCGAGATGTACTAGATGTATTATTGTAAAGGGAGATGTATTGCTTAATATTCAAGTGACGCTAAATATAAGGCACATTTTTGTTGTTAATTTAGGGGCCAAAAAGATTAAAATGGAAACCAAATATTAATGCAACATTCTTCATTTTCGGTCGTCCCTAAAATTTCGCCGAAACCCCTCTTCGTCATAAGAGAACCAAAAACAGCTGGTATATTTATATAAGAAACAATATGCTGGATATTGCAGTGCTAACGCACGTACTTGTATATCTGACATGAAGACAAACTGATTTTTGGCGTAATTTCAGGCAGGAAGTCGAAGTTTGAGAGGAATACTTGAAGAAAGAGAAGACGGTAAACATTTGTCTGTCCATAATGGAGCCAGAACAACGGGTAAAACCTTTTTTGAAACGTTATATTCGTGTGAACTTTCTACGCCGGCTGTTGTTGTAGGTTATCTAGTCATATAAAGGAACCTTGCACGTTATAAATTAGTCACTGCAAGCTTGAATTATACAAATCGTTATAAATACTAGCTGCTTTTTGAACTCTTAACAGCAGGGTAACTGTTTGTTTTGATGACCAACAATACTTTTCTTTACACTTCCAATTTTTTGGACTCACGGTTTAACGTAGAGCGTTTCATTTTTCTTCTAGATTCTCTTTCTCCAAATTTTGAGCGCAGAAATTCTCAAAATAACCAAAGAGATCGCTCATCCAGCGATGGTGCTCTCGGGCTGGTGAAGCAAAAATATCGTCATGAACGCAAAGGAATAAATGACAACTGGCGACATCCAGTTGATGAGAAAAAAGAACAAGGAATTACCAGAGCGAATAGTAATGTGGAAACACGCCATGATAGCGCCAAGCTACAGGAGAAGCATTCTGGAGAAAACAATCATGGAAATTTAAAACGGAATAACTATTCAGGAACAAACAACAGGAATAGTTTAAAACGAAATGCCAAACATGACGACAAGAAGAATAATTCTGAGGGAGACAAAGCTGGTAAAAGACCTGGGAACGAAGGTAATGGTGAGATTTATCATATTTATCGCTATATTTGGTAATGACCGTAAAAACAGTTAGAAGAACGAGTTGATCATTATATCAACCAACATATTTAAAATAAATCCACGCACGAAAATAAAAAATGTAATTTCAAACAACATGGAATTTTTGCACCGCAATATGATTAATTTCTCTGTGTGCGATTATGGGTAATAATATTGGATTAGTGTTCTCCGTTACCAAGAACCCTGTTTTAATTTTTAGAAAAGTTTCCGAAAAGCGAGGACAAAAATACGAAGAAAGTGAATAAGAACAATAACGTCGATACAAAACCTGGGTCAGAAAAACCAGCCCAAAATGAATAAAATATATATTTATGTAAGACATAATGCAGTGGAATATTCATCATGTAAATATAGACACTCAGATTATGATTGTAGTACAGACCATGCAATCTTCTGGAAGAGGCTTGTCTTTTTGATGGAGTTAATATAACAGTTTGTAAAATATTCGCAATATATTATGTGATTAATTAAAGTGAATATCAATTCAAATATAAATGATAGAATCTTGGCAATCTGTCTATTTTGAGGATTTGGGTCAATATATTGCCCATGATTTGTCTTGACTGTCATCATAACTTGAAGTGACCGCATCTGATGCAAAATTGTAAACTGTTTGATACTCAAATGCCAGAATAAAATTATTTCAAATATATAAAGAATGTAATTACCATTGATCTTGTGACATGAAAGAAAATTATTTTAGCCACAAAGTTGTAGTGTAGCAATACAGCTATACATTTTTTATTTTATTTTTAAATTACATTTCTTGCGTGCCTAAATTACATCACTTACCATGCATTGGCTTCATCAGTTACCAAAGTTTGTTCACTAGTTTACCCCCGCTGCAGGTTTTTGTCAAGTTCTCTGAAGCAGTAAACGGATTTAAGAACAAAGACGTTTTTAATAATTGAAGCAATAAGAAAATTTGAAAATATGCGGAAACAATATAATTCGTATGGACTTGAATTTGAGATACCTTAAGCAATGCTATATTATATACCATCAATATGCGGCATTATTAACAGTGTCAGGGATTAATGAAGAGACAGTCTAGTACTAGACGGTCTAGTCTAGACAAGACTATGGTAAACGTCGTCCTTACAGCTGACATGGAGATGTTTATGAAATAGATCCGTGATAAACTTTCACGATATTGGATTAGACAATGGAATATAAAGTCTTACTTATTTCTGGTGTTACACTAATTCCGTTTGTCATTTTGATCATACGGATATGCTATCATTGCTATGTCGTCTTAAAAAAACTTGGGAAACTTCGAAATCCCCCCAGACAAATAATTAATGAAAGGAAGATGGATTTTTTTGAGTCCGTTCTTGACGAGTTTCACGCTCTAGGTGGTGCTAACATGTGTTGTGGCCTGAATTTGAAGTCTAAAACGTCACTATCTTTTGACCATGTGTACGAAGCCTTGAATTTCGTGACCCAAAAATATCCTCTACTTCGGACTATCGTAGTGCAAAATCGCGATGATGGTGACTGTGCGAAATACTTACGTGTCGTTAACGACAAAAATCTGGTAACTGTAAGTCAGTCTTGTTTGGAAGATTGGGTAGATGTTTGGGAGAAAGAAATACAAACAAAGTTTGATTGTGAAAATGGTCCACTGTGGCAAACAACAGTTCTGAAAGAAAGATACGATGCCACCAAAGAACAGTATCACAACACTCTTTTATTTACGTTTTACCATGGAACAATGGATGGCCTGGCTCTTTTACAATTTGCGCAAGAGTTTGTAAAATGTTTGGAGAAAATTTCGAAAGGAACATTAGGCATTCATGATGATACGAAGACAGGTATTATGCCAGGTGTTATAACTTTACTAGCTTCAAGACAATTTTTACATTACCGAATATTGCAATGGCTTTTGCCGGAGTGTTTAATGGTACATTTAGTGAAGCTTGCGATGCGGATTAACCTAAAGTTTGATGCGAAGAATCCAGTTCTTTCACAACATGCAGATCAGATTACCTCTGTTGGTATTGGAGGACTAGAGTTAGATACGGACAAAAAAATTAAAATTATTCCTCGCCAGTTGAATGCTGTATACACGCAGTTATTAATGTCATTGTCTCGACGTAATGCTTGTACAGTATATGGAACAATGCTAGCATGTTGTCATCTTGCGGTCTCGAAACTTGTTAAGAGGAGATTGAAAGAAGTTAATGATAAGGTGAAGTTTCGATGGTATTGTCCAGTAAATGTTAGAGATCAGTGTAAACCAAAGCTTCGAGAGGGCGATTTGGGATTTTATACAACAATACTCATGGAAAACGTCACTGTTCCAGATATTAGCACAGCTAGCCCAAGAAAGTTTTGGAAATTTGCAAGGAAATGCACTCGCGTGGTTCATAAAGGAATCCGAAATGGACGACACCTTTTTTCGCTGTATCTTCTCCCAATTTCCCATCATTTTGATCCTAAAGAGTTTGTTTCGGAATTTCTTCTTCATTCAAAAATGACGCAATCAGATTTAATGTCTCCCGTCCATTCCTTGACAAATCTCGGTAAGATTGATTGGAAGAAAGAACAGAATGACACGTATGAGATTGAGAGTGCTTTCGGTGCTTCTGGGGCATATGAACATGGTCCTACATTTATGAATCACATGGCGACGTTTAATGGTGAGTTTACGTGGTCCACTTCGTACATCACAACATGTGTAACTGAAGAAACTGCAGAAGAATATGTAAATCTGGTCTTTGAAATTCTTCTTGATATTCTTTCATCCGGCAGTGAAGAATGAGATGTTAGGTTCACAAAACGTTAATTTAGTTTTAATAAACATCGTTTTCACAATATTAAACTGTGGTCTACACTCCCTGACCAAAAACACCTTAGTATTTCATCGGTATATTGAGTGGTACGTGTCCTTGCAAATGCGTTGTAAAAGGAATATTGAAATAGCTAAAAGAAACATGATGTAAAAGAAACGGATGTAAAAATATTTTAAACAGGGCTGGTTTAGTGATTGCGTAGGTATCATTAATGATCATATATACGCGCCCAGACTGGAATCAGTGATTGCTGCAAAGCATGTTGCACACGAGAAGTATGAGCTGAGGAAAAAGCTGATTCAATGTGCTTGTTAAGTTTTATTCCTCATGCAACTTTTCTCGCACATCAAAAACGTTTAAATAAATATTTTGTGTCGGCTATATTTAATCAATAGATAATACAAAGACCATTCATTAAATACATTTACCATATTTTGAACATTTTAAGAGTAGATAATAGTTGACAAGGTTTTTCAAGTAGATGTTCTCTGAATAAGAATTCCTGGCTATTAATTTCTTTAATCTTTTGGTATAGTTTCCTAATCTCCTCGAAATAAAATGCAGAGAACGTCTCCTTCATGTTTACACATCACCCTGCATGACATCATTTATATTTTCTCAGAGGCTTCTTCAATTTTCAGCTTGAATTCTTTCGTCAGACTCTTTTCATTTATATGACCTGTCATTTTTCTGTTTCTTTTTGATATGAAATTAATACAGAGTTTCTTTCAACTGTATCTCCTTCCGAGTAGAAAACTTTTTCAATAATGCCATCTTTAGGCGCAGATATCACATGCTGAAGAAAGAAAATTTGGTTGGAATCTTAAAGCATCTAATACACGGCTATTGATGGCTATAATAGTTAGCTAATTACACTTGGCTAACAAGACTAACTAATAAACTAGCCACTTTGTTATGAAATATGATTATAGTTACATACTTCCATTTTCATTGCTTCCATGATCATAACGACTTCCCCTTCTTTCACTGTTTGACCATTTTCAACGTTCACCTATGTTGCAAAAAGAGGGTTTCCAGTAAGAGGAGGTGGATACTAATTAACTGGCGTGTGCACCTTTATACATACAACTTTGTACAGTCGTTATAAAGCTCCCCACCACACCTCTCCTTCAGAAACTGCACTTGTTTTCCTGAGAATTAGTATGAGCACAAAGACATGCAAGTATAAAATGCAAAACCTACAAACCTTGACAATAGTTCCTGTCATCGGCGCCACAGCGTCACCCATATTCATGGCGTCAGATTTACTTTTTATAAACTCGGGGACGACTCTGTGTACTTTATAATGCCCTTCCTACAAATTGTATAATTTCTCGTGAATATCTGATCCATTTTATCCCTAAATACTCGCTTGGTATAAGCTATTTATGTTTAGTTTTTAGGTAAGATTCTGTACAGGCTAATGTCGAGAATTTAATTATTACCGAAGAAAATAGATGTAGAGTACCATCATGCTCTACAACAGATATTTTTGAAACGACACCATCCACCGTTACCGTGACTGATTTATGAGAACCATCGACTTCTAAATTTCCGTGACCATGCATAACATCTTCACCAATCTAAGCGGAACAGAGCGAAAAATTATCTGTTTATCAATGGATATATCTTAGAATGATATAATATGTATTTCAACTCGTTATAAAATCTTGAGAAATATGTTCATCAATAAAATATCATTACTGCAAACCCACCAACAATCAAAAGCTCTCTTAAAATTAAATTACCTGATTATGATTACAAAAACACGCCTCATATTATACCTGTATAATAAAATGGCCTTCATTTTCAAAGCGTACAGTAATTTCAACATCTAAAATTAAAATAGCATTAAAATTGCCATACCACGATCTTTCTCAATGTTGGGATATCACAGGTATAATCGTGTAGGAGGTCACAAGTACACTGCTGCATGTGTGTCTTGCGATTCTCACTCTTTACATGTTCTGTTACTAAACGCTTAGCCAAAAAGATGCGAGTGCCTGCACATGGGTTCAAGTATGAAGTCATATAAAAAGAGTCATGTTCGAGCAAAAACTGTCTATCGTTGTTGTGTTGAATTCTAACCTGACTCTCCGTCATTGAGAATTAGTTTTCTTGATAAACTACCATTAACACGGAAGCTAGATGATAAACCCCAAGGTGAAAACATATCTGAAAAAAACAGCGACCAAGAAGCAATCTTTAAATACGTTCCCAATAGAGGAAGGAAAGTTAGCTTGTGGCCAACTTACATTCATTCTTACTAAAAATAATCAGTACAATAATTAAATCAAATGAACACAATATTTCTCATATCAAGGAGAATCATGAAATGAAAAATAAACGCTTTAGAAAGCGGATCAATGAACCCAGAAGCTACACTTTGAAATACTGTTGTATTTTCGGGAGCAGTATGGCTCAATTAAAGTATTTCTTGTGGGTGATTTTGCCATGGTTTTGGTACTGCTGTTCTATAAAAAATACGTGAAAAACAAGTCATCATACCAGCAGAATTTTTATTGATACTCTTCTTGAAATCCAGTAAAGCCAATGATATCGACGCCCGTGCTAATGAATCTGAGGATAACGACTTCTTTTCTGGAAATAACTCGCTGTAATAATCCTAAAAACGTGCAAATGTTTTAGTAATAGGAAACAATTTAATCTGTTTATTACTTCCTTTTAATATATACTCAGTTTTGTCCAAAGATTCTTAAAGATTGGACATGCGCATACAAGCCTCAACAATCTGTAGTAAGATTATACCAATGTGGCACGTGATATACCTGAATAAAATCAGTATTAACATTTCCTTTTTGAAACTCTTCATGACTTGAAAGATTGATCAGAAAATTTAAATTCGTGCTAAGGCCAACAATCTAAGAAAGCAGAATAACATGGACGCATCAATCATCAATGAAATGATATCAGAAAATAGGATTGTCGATTTCTGAAATCCTGACTTTTCTTTGTGCATGGCTTTATCAAACTGTAGGGACGTATTTCACAGTCCAAATCCTGGGTACATCCTATAGGTTTGTATGCAAAATTCTCAACTACATTTCAGGTAGTTAAATCGTACGTAACTCTAAGATACACAATTATTGGCCAATTCTGCCACTGGCTAAACGCTTTTATACAACCCTTCCCATGCAGGGCCGACAGTCAGTCACAGTCTAGGACAGTTGTTGGAGACTTAAAGCTTTAAATATTGCATGACGAGAATGAATGTTAAACGCAGTTTGAACGGAAAATGCGCCATTAAATACCACCGAGGTTTTACAAGATAGCTCAGAATCACAAGGCATATGTATCTAAATTACTATAAAAACAATCTACCAGAATACATACGTTATATTTCCGAAGTGAATCTTTTAGTAAACGCAGTGATGATGGTCGATCTTTGCACCATACAACAAGTTTTGCGATCATTGGATCATAATGGACAGAAACGTCGTCACCTTGAAAAGATAGATAATGATTACGTGAAATTAAATGACGGACGAGGGATGCACGAGGAATGTACGAGGATGCAGAAATTGGACAGAATTTTCTATTTTTCCCTATAATTTCTAATTCACCGATCACGTTAAATTTATATTTTAAACCTTGAACAACTCCTGTCTCAATTCTGACGTGTTCTGATGGTGAAGGTGTCTGAAGATGAACTAAAGGACCAGCGCCTGGGAGAAAATCACTGAAAAATAACAAACGCAGGGCCGTCAGTAATGCAGGATGCATTGCAACCATTTCCTGCATGGTGTTTTACTGAGGAATAAACTATAAACACTGTCCTCATACTCGCTTTTTTAAACATTTCTTCAGACAACACGATGTTATAATTGTATAACCTGGCCATGCAAACCTACATAAATTATACTTAATTAGTATAATTTATAAGGATCCACGTTTCAACATGAGATCACCCATGATGAAGACACTATAGTGTCGAGAAACATTGAGCCGTGAGTTTGGGTGCTGAAGCTTAAACCATGCAGAGTGGCGTTGATACCGTTAAAACATATGGTTGGACATATTACTTGTCGGGATCTTCAGCGTATATCCTGGCTTCGAAAGAATATCCGTTGAAGTCAATATCAGATTGTTGAAGTGGTAAAGTTTCTCCAGCAGCAACTCTTAACTGCCATTCAACAAGATCCAGTCCAGTGATCATCTCCGTCACAGGATGCTCCACTTGTAACCGAGTGTTCATTTCCATGAAATAGAAGTCGTGATTTTTGTCCATTATAAATTCCACAGTTCCTAAACGAAAAGTAGAACATAAAGAACATTAAATACATAGCGAAACAAAACTAATTTTCAGTGGAAATTTTATCTGCATTTTCTCTCATTCATTTGGGCTATTTGGTAGTAGGAATTCAATAATAAAACACTTTGTAGCACCAAACTGTAACGTACCTGCACCAGTATACCCAACAGCCTTTGCAGCTCTTACAGCAGCCTCCCCCAGTTTTCTGCGCACCTCAGAGGAAATCCCTGGGGCTGGCGCTTCTTCTATTATCTTCTGATGACGTCTCTGTACACTACAGTCCCGCTCAAATAAATACACCGTGTTTCCCGAGTTATCCCCAAATACCTGCACTTCGACATGTCTGCAATGCATCAAGATGACTACAGTTTAAACATTTAAGCACAGTACAAGCAACTGAAGCAAGCGCCATTATCACCTGGGCGACTCCACAAATTTTTCGACAAGCATGTTATCATCATTGAATGATTTCAACGACTCTCTTCGTGCTGACTCCAATGCATCATTGAATTCCTCTGCTTTCCAAACAATTCTCATTCCCTATTTTACAATTCAAATATCAAATGATGTAAATTCTTATGAAATGTGGTATGAAAACTTCCCAGTACGACCCAAGGGCTTGCAGACGAGTTATAATCACCTTTCCTCCACCACCTCGAACCGCCTTCAACATAACGGGATACCTGGAAAACATCAAAACAGTTTCACAAATTATTTATTTATTTAATTATTGAAAAAAACGCGATTGTTATATCAAGAAATAGATTCACACCCTATTTTTTCAGCTTCCGATTTTAGTCTTTCGTCTGATTGGTCGTCACCATGGTAACCCTGAATTATTGGTACTCCAGCATCGCTCATTATTCTCTTTGATGTGCTAAAACAAGTTCACAAAGTAAGTGAACAACTTCGTTGAGATGTGCGAGTACATATGTTGTACAATCACATACAAGGTCACAGGATATTTCTTTATTTAATCATGGGTGTACCTTTTTATCCCCATATCTCTAATGGCAGAAGAGGGAGGCCCAACAAATATAACATTTTGTTTCAAGCAAAGCTCTGCAAATTCTGGTTTTTCTGAAAGGAATCCGTATCCTGGATGAATGGCCTGTAGTGAAAAAAAGGAAAAATTAATAAAGTATTGACCATACCGTTTGTATTAATACCCTCAAATGCCAACGTATATCAATCTCATTATCTCAAGACATCACTTGATAATGCGGAGTAACAGTCTGAGAAAAACTATTTTGTATGCCGGTATGCCGTATGCTTTGTCCAATGAAATGAGGTCAATGCGACGTGTAGTTTGCACATTTGTACGACACAATACGATAGAACCACTGACATGAAAAAACATCCCATTGAACAGTTCATTTTTGCATGTAGTTTACTCTATCTGGTGAAAATGATGCTATGTTTTGCGCTGTGAAATTGTGTCAACACACGAGTTGGCTATTGCCGTTTTTGTTGTAAAAATGATGCAATGTTCCGCATGTGCAATACAAGTAGCTAATTCTGCGCACTCGATCATCTTACCTGAGCACTGCTTCGGTTAGCAACGTCAATAATTTTATCCATGTTCAAATAACTGTCTCGAGCGGCCGCTGGACCGATGTGATACGCCTCATCTGCCTAAAATTTCAAATAAATAATCGACAACTACTGTTTCTCTCGACTTCATCAAGTTGAGAAACTCCACCTGCATAATTGTGGTGCTGCTTGTTGTTGAGTCAGAGATCACCGCTGGGTACCACCGTACGATACGACTTAATCTAAATCCTATGTGACAAGGGCTGGGAACAAATGTGCCCAGAGATAGGTTAGGTGTGTTAGAATTTACTCTAATGGGAGTGGAACCATTAGAATAAATCACGTATTACTACGATCTCGTAGCCAGCAGCATATCATAGATCATGTCGCATTATTTGCTTATCAGGCAGAAGTCGCTGCTCCATCTTCAGTGGATGCGTTTAGGAAGCCTGTAGCGAGCTGCAAAAACTGACCTTTTAAAAAATACCAAAAATTTTTCGTACCATTTTAACATGCTTAGCATTCCTGTCGACATCGCTAAATACAGCAACAGTTTTTATACCAAGTTTTCTTGCAGTATTCATTACTCGACAAGCAATCTCGCCTCGATTAGCAACCACCAGTTTATCGATATATTTAACTCCATTTTCTATACAAATAATTTGAGCATATTCAATAATAAATGGACTTACACTTGGCGTGTTTTTATAATATTCGCGTAATCTACGTAACTTATACTTAACCTAACGTATTCATTATAATTTGACTCATGCATTCTTGGAAAGGGCATTTTTGGAAACGGGTAGATTTAGTTCCGAAATATCATACACTTGAACAGACTTGACCTAGTAGCTCAGTTGGAAGAGTATTGAGTTAGTTAACCGAAGGTCGCGGGTTCGATTCCCACCGTGGTTAAACAAAATTTTCAACTCGTCCGGTTGCTAGCTCAGAGCAGCAGCATCACAATTTTTTCATCTACAGCCAGCTCGTTCCACGCACAAGTGTATTTATTACGCTAGTTCGCAAATTATTTGCTAACTCTACAGGTAAGACGAGTGGTTTGGTGGTCTGTCTTATGGTCGCCACGTCGTGGGTTCGAAGTCGGGAAACTAGACTTTTTTTTGGTTATATACCTTTTGTTTTACTGGGAGAATATTAGGCATCTGACGACACCCTCGCGGTTGACAAGAGATAGAATAGATAACATCGCGGAAATGAAGCCTCATCGTAATCAGAGCAGTGATGAAGTAGCATTAAGACATTTAATTCCGAAAATGCCAATAGTGTGACACGAGACTATTTGAAGATGACGTTTTTAAGAACTTAAAGCTCTGATATTGCAATGATAGATTGTCAACTTAATTGTTACACTCATTTGTACCATCTCTGGTTTAAAAAAGTCTCAAGTCTATGCCGCCGGGGTGGCGGAAACCGCAATCGAAGAGTTCTGACTCTACCAAGGCATATAGAATGATATATGGATGCGTTGGTCTAATAGAGTATAAACACTACTACACAATGCTTCCATACTAAAAGTACGGGATCTAATTATTTTTAATCTTCCCTCAGGCCTAATTTAGAATAGAACGAGCCAGCGAGGTGGGAGTACAGTATTTAAAGTTTCATCTCTTCTTCTTCAGTACACTGTAATCACTGCCTGTTGTTTTGTTATTATCTTTCCAGTAAGCGGTAATTATAGCTGCAAATGCCTCTCTTTGTGATTGTACTATTCTGATAATGACTGAATTGCTTTGGGAAGACGTGGACTAATTAAATTTTGTCTGAACTTTGAAGTAATATTTTTAATATTTTCATCTTTTACGCTATACTATGCACAATTTCGCTACTTTATCTCGCCAACTAGGACAGAAAGAGCAGTAAAAGCAATGGATTGATTTCTAAGTGCGAAAGAGCCGTTAATTAATATACTGTATAGTTAATAACGAATTAATACAAACCAATAGAACTGTTATATCGCAATGCTTTTGTAAGATGTTTGCATATATAGACACTATATAAGAATAAAATATGCACATAAATACATGTTGGGTTACTCGACACTGTATACATTCGGATATAACGTACTTTTTTAAAAGATTTCTTAACTTTTGATCCTTGACGAAGGCCGCCATGTTGAAACTAAGTAACCGCGCAAATCGTCGTCATACCGCTGACAACTAGTGGTTTTGTTCTATTTTGTCCAATTTTGTTTTTTTTTCCATGAAAGAGACTGATTTCATTTAATTTTAGATCTGTTTTATAATACGAATATCTAAATACATGATTTCAAAAAATGATTTTTCATATTTCCTTCGCATTTATGATTTGTCACGATAATAGAATGAGTCCAGTTTCAGTTTGAGCCCGCATTCTCTGCCTAGCAACGTCCTTAGAAACTGCTCTGATAAGAATATTTTCATCATAAACCATTCGAAGAAGTCATATTTAATCACATTTTCTGTTTTACCAAAATATTTATCGCCTTTTTCACTGGCTTTAAAGAAACCTTTGGCTGTTGAATGTTGATGTCTTTTCATGTATTCCTATGGACGAAGACAGGTACAGATTTGAGATTTTTTAACTTCACGAAATAGGCTAAATAATTTGCTAAATAATTTGTAATCTCTCTGCACATATTTTTTTATGTCAGTCGTGGTTCAGAGCAAGTCCAAGTCGTCGAAGCTGCCAGAGCTATTGAAAGATGTTGGTGTTCGTACAGAGATAGACAGATATTTAAACTGTTGAAGTATGCAATATGTGCAGCGGTGTGTATTTGTAGATTATAGAATTATATTATAGATCATTAGATGGGAACTTTGAAATTCATTCTGATCTCATGAAATACTTTATATAATTTATAGGAACATTCTCTAACCAAAGAAGTGATAAGAAAAATTTCACCAACAGAAGCACAATTGTTAAATGATCCCACTTGCCATGCAAAAATTAGATTTCGGTATGGTAGCCATTTCTGTAATATTAATATATTTGTTAGCAGTACATGATTATATATATTCTATAAATATATTTGCTTCTGCAAACACATTACAAAGACATTTGTTAATTGACAATTGACATTCATTAATGCAAAAATTACAGGTTTGGTGGTTCTGAATATCCACCCATGATATTATTTAAAGTTTTCATTAAATGTGGAGAAAATGGTGTGAAATACTACAGTGGAAAGAAAATGATCCGTGCTGCATCAAAGGTACATACCATCAATTTGCCATTTTGTATTTCAAAGCAAGCTTTGAAAACCCAGGACATGAATTAGATGTTAATATTTGTATGGGTCTGGTCTGTATCTGTTATATCCCAACCAAGCAGAGGTTTGAAGCCTGATGGACACCCTCACATGCATTTTTTAGCCTGTGTGCACATTCTCCCTCATTGTGCATGTGAATATTCATCACTGTTAGCTAATTAACAACCAACTTTTTTCAAGGCTGCAGAAGATTCGTGTAAATTAATGGGAAATAGACAATTTTATAATCAAATGATAATTGATGCCTGTCAACAACATCAAGATAAAATCACCAATGAACTTGACATAAACACAATGAAAGATGTTATGCAGGTTAGCAGTTACCATACTTTACTATAGTTTTAGTTTTAAATGTTGTGCAGTACAAATCGTACAAGCAGCAAATTCATACTAAGTTTGTGTGGATTATATAAAGTTCTGGTTACTCTACCCTACCTATTTTTACCCCAGTTTTTGAGTGAATGATGGTGAAACACTATTTTGAAACAGGTTTATAGCTCCTGTTTCCATGTATGTTGCCAATCTTACTCCAGATTTAAATAGAGCTCACTGGTTTCAAACTTTTTAGTATTTAAGCAATCTAGATGAATGCCCTCCTGAAAATGGTGGAAAATCAAATTGTTGGAGGCAGTTAACATTAGACAGTGAGTAAAGAGATTGCGTTTTGTGTTTTGTGGTAACAGTTCAGCATTAAGTGCTGAAACCTTTATTTCATAATTGATAAAGACACAAGTCACAGATTTACACTGAGAAAGAATGACATATAATCTAATTAAAGTCCTTGTATTAATTGTAATATAACAGTATTTACTAGACTCCAAGTCACAAATTTAAAGATTAGTTTTAAAAACTTCTCTATACACCTGTCAGAGTTAATAGTTCAGTGTTGTTGTTTTTGTTTTTAGGTATTCCTCGTCATAATATTGTTCATGACGTTGTCACATACATCAACAGTGGAAATGTCTCTGAACGACTGGTTCTTGAAACACCGTTTTTTCCTTCTGCTAAACCAGTCACACAGAAAGCACAGCTTCAGACTTTCTTGGGTATTGTAAACTCAAGGTAATATTTTTATATTATACTATTGGATACGATGTATAATGTGTTATTCGTACTGTAAAATAATGACTAGTAAAACAGCATCATAAGTTGAACAATATAAGGATCATTCATTCATGTTTCTTTAGCAATGGTCCCGCTAAAAGAAAACCACTTTATCGACCACCACAAACATCTACGACAGAGAAATCAACAGCGCGACGTTCACATCGTGCAAGAAAACGAGTTGAGAAAATGAAAAAAATTTATGCAGGTGTATCAACTGATGAAAATGATCAGGTACTACCATTGAAAAAAATAATCCTTCTATTATAAACAAAAATCAACAAATGTGCCAAAAAGTTTATTTTGAAGTACTGTTGTTTGATTTTCATTTTGACAATTGCATTTGCCATGGACCCCAGTTCAATAGGACTTAGTTGTCTACTTGCTCTATAGTTGGAGCAAAAGACCTGTTTGTTTAGAGACTTTGTTAATTAACCAACCATAGGAAATAAACTCCACAAGCATATATAAGAGCTCTGTTTTGTTATTCATATCAGTTAGTACAATAGTATAATAGTATGTTAAACTTTTCCTCTTAGAATGCTGGGTTTGATGATGATGGAGATCAGCAGAGTACCAATCATGTAAATGAAGAAAAGTCTGGGTCTGAAAACTCAGACTGGGAAAATGAAGCTGATGAATTGTATGAATGGAGCCAAGATTTAACATTAGATGCGTTAGGCTTGAGTGTAACAACACCTGTGTTTTAAAAATTCTAAATTTAAATTAGACCTAGTTTTCATATTTTAGAAATTTGTAAATGTGAATTGATTCTTTGATCGATCTTCAATATTGAATTATCCTTTAATTTCCAGGAGATATACAGGGTGTCTCAAAAAAAACCGAATCCATCTTTGGCACGTTATTGTGCGTTGATTTATTGGTAAACGAGCGTAATTTTTTTATATTAAGAAAGATCACGCTTTTAGCTGTCAAATGAAATACTTTTCGTACCAAATAAAGGAAAAATGAGGGAATACGCCGAGTTCAACGAAAAATATTGATCAAAATCGCATTCTTTCACCTCCGCGCGTGATTTATGCATTGAGAAACAAAAAAAGAACCAATTAGTCACAGATGTGTCAAAACTGCATTAATTGATGATTAGTTTACAATTCAAACTTAAGAACATTAATTAGGCTCCTACACCTTCGACATGACCACCGTCTCTTTCGATGCACAGTTGACATCGTTTTAACATTGCCTGGACAGCTCTTTCGATAATCGGTTGGTTATTTTGCAAGGCGTTAACTTCGTCACGAATGCGGTTCCGCAAATCGTTGAGATCAAGCGGCGGTGTTGTGTAGACCTTGTTCTTCAGGTATCCCCAAAGGAAAAAGTCGCAAGGGGTAAGGTCAGGGGATCGCGGTGGCCATTCCACGTCATGGTTGAGGGCAATGATACGGTGACCAAACAATTCTCTCAAACGATCACGGACGGCATTTACACCGTGTGCCGGAGCTCCATCTTGCACCCACCAGAGATTTCGGAATGCTCCACTCCTTTGCATCTGGAAATTTTGCTGAAGTTGTGGTACCACATCGTTGTTCAACATTTGCAGATAGTTAAACCCATTTACATTTCCGTCAAAGAAGAATGGCCCAATTATCTGGCCGTTGCCACAAAGTCCGATCCAAACTGTCAGTTTTTGTTGACTCGAATTGATTTCGAAGTTAAATGCGGGCGGTTGTCCTGCAGCAGCATACGCCCTAGCGTTGTTGCTGTTAACTTGGCCGTTCATGGCAAAACCAGCTTCGTCTCCAACAACGAATGATCGCAGGAATTCTTCGTTTCCTCTGCAACGGTCAACCAGCCATCGCGCAAACTGCAAACGTCGAGCGTAGTCTCGAGGAAGGAGTTGATGCCGGATGTGCATGCGGTAAGGGTGCATGTTCAGATCTAAATTCGTTATGCGGGTAAACGTGGCATGTGATAGACCAACACCATTCCGTCTTGCGCTTGTATCTGTAGGATGATCAGCTAGCCGCTGTCTGACCGCCTCAATGTTGGCTTGTGATCTACCAGTTCGCTTTCTGCCAGAATTGCCCTTGTTTCGGTTTAATGTTGTACCATATTTAAAAAACTTTCTTACATTTCTCAAAATTGTTGAGAGTGGAGGCGATTGCCGCTCAGGAAAACGTTGCCTGAAACTCTCTCGAGTTCTTTGCAAACTTCCTGTTTTAATAAACGTATTGGCAATAAATGTTCGTTGTTCTATTGTAAGTTGAACCATGTTTGCAATAACAAAGAAACAGATTCTTTAATCGATCTTAAATATGGATTCGCAATGCGAATGCAACGTATGCATATGCCATCTTCCCAAGAGACTTATATGTGTCAAAATGATATTCCATGCTTCACACAGATTTTAAGCACTTGGCTCTCGTGGCCCAGTTGGTTAGTGCGTCGTACTTATAAGCAGTACTGAGGTACATGCGAAGGTCGAGGGTCCGATCCCCTCCGAGAGCAGATTCTTTGATCGATCTGAAATATTGAATTATTATTTAATTTCCAGGAGATATATCAGTGCCAAAATAATATTCCATCCTTCACACAGTTTTTAAGCACCTGGCTCTCGTGGCCCAGTTGGTTTGTGCGTCGTACTTCTAAGCAGTACCGAAGTATATGCGAAGGTCGAGGGTTCGATCCCCTCCGGGAGCAGATCCCTTGATCGATCTTAAATATGGATTTATCAGGTTGCGAATATATGCTCATGGGGCATATAGCCTCGGAAGTGAATGCAAAACTGACAAGACTTTTGACAATGGATATTTATTGAAGAAACTATTAGGTTTCAAGTTGCTATTGCTGCATTTTTTAGCGCAAAAATATAATTTGAAAAACTATCTGCCGTTTAATATTTCTGTTGCAAATACAGTCAATAGAGTCAAAGTGTAAATGCATGCCTAAACATGATTCCATGGGATACTTTCAAAATATACAACATTTGTAAAGGATTTTTTGTGTGAATTGTGAATTCAGGCATAAAATTGACAGCCCCCTTATTCAGGGGCGTAACTAGAACAATAATTGGGGAGGGGGGGGGGTGAATATTCATATATTCAGTTCTGCCCGACGGATTTCTATTGTAAGCTATTGCAATTACAAAAGAAATCCGTAGGGCAGAACTGGATATATGAATATTCACCCCCCCCCCCCCAATTATCGTTCTAGTTACGCCACTGCCCTTATTGCAGAGTTCTCACAAGGTGAATAGGGCTTCCAAAATTGAAGGAAATTTTCTTCAGAATGCGAGAGAGGGAGGGAGGGGTAGGATATATTTTTAATGCATTTTTCAAAAGTTCTTTGTTTCTCTCTTTTTTCATTGCTATCCCCTGATGAGCAAAATACAATACACTGCACATAAATTAAGATTATCCAATCAGGAGAATTGTTGGACTGCCAGACTGGGTTCGTTTAGCCAATAGCATAGCTTTATTTTCCAACACGAGGAGCGGGGAAAATAAAATATAAAGTCTCGTCAAATGTTTGAGGCATCATTTGGGCACTGATTTTCGAAGCAATATGTCAAGCTAGATTTACGGTTGAAAATTTTGACAACAGAATTTCTACTCAAGAAATGATCCCGGCCTTCAGTTTGCAGAAGAGAATTTTATCTTTGCTGCCCTGACGTTGGTGTAAAAACAGGTAATATATCCCATTACGATTATGTAATTGCCCTGAAGGACGCGTGTTTGCCTTGTACTCGCTCTGAAAATTTGCTTATAACACTAACGTTGTTTTTTATTCATATCTGTCTCCCAGAGCTCTGACGATTTGAAGCCAAGTTTGACGATCAAACTCGTGAACAAGAGACGGATAAATTGTGGCCGAAACTGCTCAAGATAACTCGCCTTTCAAGAGAGAAGCACGACTAGCTATTCCTCGGAGCTTATTGGTGAAATGATGAAGGTATAAACGCTAAATCGTATGCGAATTAATAATGCAGGGTTTAGATATCAAGCAATCTAGCTGCACTCTAGTAGCTAACCCTCACGCACTTCAATTTCAAATTAACGTTCGAAAAACTAACGTTCTCTTCTATCCTTTTCAGGTAGAGTTTTAGAGCTAAAGCTAAACTAAAGGCGAAATGTACTGAACAAATACGGGACCTGAGAAAATTACAGTTGACTGAATTGCCAAAGAACTGAATTCTACTCGCGTTTAAGGAGACAGCAAGTCCAAAGCTGCTCTTTCTACACTTGCTGCTGAAATGAACAGGTAAATTATAAGTGTATATCTATTTTGTGTCCATTAGACCTATGATTAGATTCACTGAAGAGGATGAGAAATTGAAACGCTTGATCAGGCTTCGTGCTTTGTGTCCTCTTTCACCTGATTCGATCGTGCACTTAAACGAAAGTTTTTCCCTAATATTTTGAGCTCGTTTTATTGAAGCGAACTTCTTTGAATCACCGTCTATAACAAGCCTTACCTTTGTTTTATTTCAGGTGGAGATTTAGCGAGTCAAAACCATATGAAACGACGATAAACCTGTTCATAATAAAATGTAAGTGTCAAGCGATTGAACATTTTTGATAGAGCGAACAATGGGGAGCTTAAGCTGATTTAGGACGGGAACCATGACGGCTGATAATACAATAATATAAAAATTCATAAAAGGCGAGAATAGAAATAATTGAAATCCCACAGGCATTTTATTGACGTTGTTTACTGTCCATACACAACAACAAAGTGACGTAATTATTTTATTTACAAAGTCTCCTTTAAGATTTAAGAAAAGGATGATCTAGTAATAAATGTATAGTAAAGTATACAACGTTTCCTGACGTATTCCAAAAATTAACAAAATTTCTGTTTTAATACGATTAATTGTTCTTATCGTCACGCTGGGTCCCCAAATTATACGGCCGAATTTAGACACGCTGGCCGAATTTAGAGAAACATTCCGCTTCCTGCATGCATAATGCCTTATATTTCATATTATTTTTACTCCATATTAATAGAACGTAATTTTACGTGTGCCTCCTCTACTATATGCTTATTTTTTTATCCTCAATCGTATTTCAGGTTGATGATATATTATAAGAAATCACGGCTGGGTTGAGCTATAACCACGGCAAAACGATGCCAAAACGACGCCAAACGATACAACGTCGAACAGCAGCGTATATCGGCGATGTTCCCCGACATCGTTAAAGGTTAGAGTAGCTTGGTGGTCAAAAAATGTGCATGCTAGGGATAAAATGTAATTTCGCACAAAAAATGTTCTACGAACAATCCTTCTGCAAAGCAGAAGTTCATTGTTCGTCTTAAGGGGCGCGATGTTCTTTAAACCATAACGCTTGTCAGTTACCTAGGTTCTGGCCACCAGGAACATAGCTAATGCATGTTGCATGTGTAAATAAATTTGCATGTGAGTAAATTTTTTTAAAAATTCGGTTATAGGGTCCGGCTTTGCGCTTAAGGGCTGCTCGCTGCGATTAGGGCTACGCGCTATAGGGTTTAGGTTGATAAGTTGCAAGTTCAAACTAGGGCCGGTTATATATGTCGAAAACATGAATTTTCATACACGAAATGGTTTAAAAAGCCATGCACACGAGCATAAATCACGGCCGCCTCAAATGGCAAACATAATCCCATAGGTTCTTACTCTGTTCCATCTCTCGGAACTGTTATTCTTAAGAAATTTGCAGCTCCGAATGTAGATTGTAATAATATAAAACTTAAAACAAACACTGTTTTGTACATATACATACACTATAGCCTCAAATGGCAAACATAATCCCATAGGTTCTTTCTCGTTCCCATTTCTCGTTCTCTCTTGTCTTGTCCTGTTGAAATTGTCTCTACCAGGCAACATGCGGCTATCGGAAATATATATATTAATATAGATTGTATAAAATTATGAATTGTAAATATACTATTATCTTGCATGGTTTACTATATTTTGCAATAATGGAATAATTTAATACTAATGTATATATAACATGGTTACATAATAATGTGAAACACATGAGCAAAACATTAATACAAATTAAACCATGCAAACCATATGGCCTTTATAATGACAGACATAATCCAATAGGTTTCTAGGTTCTATTTCTCTTGTCTCTTGTTACATATACTATCTTACTACAAATCATAAATACATCAACCCATAACAATCTGATTAACGCACACTTCATAACAGAATGTATATACATGAAAAATAAAACATGCTCTTAATGAATTTGAATTTACTTGGGAAATAGAGGAGGGCTGTGAGGGTGTCATGTTATCTCGTAGCGATATATGCATCATTCCTACATTAGTTAAAAACAAATCAAGAGACGAACATGGGCAGTGGCATTGCAATTTTATTATTTTTCTAAGGTCTCTGTGAGACTTCCAATCATTTGGCATCGTCGAGCAGTGCTTATGAAAAGAAAGGCGCCACTTTTCGTCTGTGCTGTTTGACCTTGCTGATTGGTTCGAAGTGTTCGCAGGTATCTTGGGATATCTAATAACCTTGCAGTGTTATTTTCATTGCTGTTTCTGTAAGGACAGCTTGCTTTGGCTTTATGCCTTGGCTCTAAAAATGTTAAGTAAAGTTTTCATAAAATAAAATTGTGCTCGATGCTCTTCTGTAAGGACAGCTTGCTTTGGCTATACGCCTTTGCTCTGGAAGTGCTAAGTCCATTTTCCACAGAAAAAAGTACTAGCAACTCGGTGCTATTTCTAAGGGAAGCGTATTTCTAGGGGAAGCGTGCTTGGGCTATACGCTTTGGCTCTTAAAGTGTTCAGTCAAATTTTTCACATAAGAAAATTTTTACTTTGTGCTGTTTCTGTAAGGGCAGCTTGCTTTTCAGCTTTAAAATTAAGTCTATGCGCCGAAGTTGTAAATTTCATGAACTAACAACTTTAAAAAAAACTCTTAGGAACACTGCCTATGATTTGTCAGCGGAATAATTTTAGTTTATGAACGAACAGTGCTTTCAAAATTCACCCAGATATTGATACAATAGAACAAAATCTACACAAGCATGTATGTTCCCCTTACGTATACATGCATGCAAATAGAATATGAATTGAACAAAATACATATATAAATAAAAAGAATAGAAGAGTGAACTCTATACACCTAATTTGCATACATATAGAAAAGAATAAACGATCATTTTCATACAGTACATGCATTCAAATACAATAGTCAATACAATAGAATAAAATATATACAACACTGCTGCAATATAAATACAATAGTCAATGCAATAGAATAAAATATATACAACACTGCTGCAATATAAATGCATTCAAATAGATCTAATAATGATATACATACACATGCAAGCTACATATTATAAAAGACCAAGCATTATGTAAGACGTAGACCTATTCTGAATCTGTTTGTATTACTGTAAAGAGAACAAATTGTAGCACAGGAACGATAAAGTAGTAATAAAAGTAGGAGAAAAATTAACCGTTTCCCTGTCTCTTGATTTCAATAGCTAAAAACAAACAAGCTTTGTAACACATGATTGAACGATAAAGTTGTAATAAAAGAAAAAAAAATTATTTGTTTCCTTGTGTCTTGATTTCAATAGCTATAAATACAAACGCGCTTTGTAATACATGACATTATGTTAATAAAATATTAAAAAAAACCTGTGTATCGTTTTTATTTCCGGCGTTCGGTGAGGGTTTTCCTCCAGGATCTCTGGTTTCCCTCGTAATCAAAAATAGTGTCCGTGTGTTCGGAACCGCGTTTATGGTTGGTTTTCCATTAATGACAAATGACAATTCCTTTCTTTTTGAAAGTTAATGTCATTTTTTAAACATAAATTTGAATCCGTCTCTTTAAAAAACCAGACTCCCACCTCACGTTTGCCCTATAATATACTGAATGTATAGTTGAGTGTTGTACAATTTCTCGTATGATAAATGCCTTAAATTGCAAAACATACAAGTTAATGGAATCTGATTGTACACACGGTTACTGGGTTAAATTCCCGGTACACTACTTTCTCTGAACAAACCAAAAATTGAAATGCATATTTCGTCGATTCGAAACTTGGAAGAAAAAGAAGGGGCGAAGCAATTCACGAAGTGAACAGTGTTATTTCATGAAAATTGAAGACGTGGTACAGCCATTGAAATTGCAGCGTTTGTAACTTGATCCAACCAACTAAAAAATTTCCCAGCTATTCTTAACTTGATACAAGATAATTTTTCCTCTAAAATAATTTCTTTCGTGTCAAAATTATTTTTCTTGTGTCCATTATTTTTCCTGTAAATTTTTTGTGTCCAAATTATTTTTTTTCCTCTCAAAATTTTTTTGTTTCGAAATTTTTTTTACCTGTCAAATTTTATTTCTTGTGTCCCATTTTTTTAACCTGTCAATTTTTTTTCTTGTGTTTTCCATGGTTTTCCACGGGTGTACTTCTGAATGTGAATGTGAAGGTGTAATTCCGTTTTTTTTCTTTTTACCTGTAGAAATTTTTTCCTTTTTGTAATTATTTTTCTTGTGTCCAAACTTTTTTCCAGCGGAAATTCCAAAAAATTTTTCCTTTGGTCCCACGTTGCCGATTTGCCTGAAATTTTGAAATTTATCAAATTTTCCTTTTTCAAGATGCTTTATCAAAGTAGGGTTTTAAGAGTTCAAATGTATTATAAGAATGCAATTCTAATAAATTCTAAAGCATATTTCGACGTATTTTCAACCGAATTTTGAACTTTCAAAAAATTGACGAAAATTAGGATTATCAATCTATTGGTCCCCCCCGTTGCCGAAGTTTATCAAAGTATGATTTTATGTGTTCAAATGTATTGTTTTCATGAAAGAATCCAATTCTAATCAATTTTGAACCATTTCGACGTATTTTCAACCGAATTTTGAAACTTCAAAAAATTGACGAAAATTAGGATTTTCAGTCTATTGGTCCCCCGTTGCCGATGTATGTATGTATGTAAAAAAACCTTATTTAATGACGCTAGCCTTGTCAACAAAAGTTGGTTTCCACAAGGGGCATCCATAACACAATAGAACATTTACAAAGAGATAATAATATATCTACATAGCTATTTACAAAAGAGAAATATATAAGAAAGAAAATAGATTGAGTTGGTGTGATCCGGCCGTATGCTAAGATCTATACATGATTGAATCTTAATTCTATTTAACAATTCATTTGCTTAACAATATTTTTGAAAGAGTAAATAGATTGCGCTTCCTTAGCTTCTTGCGAAAGATTATTCCAAAGTTTAGCACCACTGTACTTAAAACTTTTTTTCAGAAATTCGCATCTCGGTTTTGGAAGAGCCAAATCAATGTGACAGTTTCTGAGGTCATAATTATTTTGCAAAAGATTCCTCCTGATGAATAATTCTTTCAAATTAGGTGCGGTATAATCATTCAAAATTTTATATAATAATGCTGCCTTGGTCATACTTCGTCTGGAATCTAAATTTTCCCAGTCAAGTGCCCGAAGAATATCTGCAGACCTAATTTAATAGTTAGCGCCAGCTATTATTCGAGCTGCCCGATTTTGAAATTTTTGCAGCTTATCTTTCAATGTCTTGTTGCAGTTATCCCAAAGGGGAGAGCAATAATCGAAATAGGGTTGTATCAAAGCTTTATAAATCGATTGCAACATGTTTACAGGAACATAGGGCTTGACGCGTTTTAACGTTCCTATGCCTGCCCCAACTTTTTTGCAAATCGTTTCAATGTGTTCTTCCCAACTTAATGTTTCATCAAGGGTGACGCCCAGACAATGGATTGAATATACTCTGGGAATAGGTTTGCTATTTAGCATTACAGGAATATCATCATTGATCTTAAGAAGATTATGCTTTGATCCAACGTACATAAATTTAGTTTTGGTTGAATGGTGCTGTAATTTGTTACTTTTTAGCCACTGGCTGATTTTGTTCAAATCGCTATTTAACTTGGAGATAAGTTCTGCTGAATCCTTTCCGAATTTTTGAAATTTAAAAAAATTGAGGAAAATTAGGATTTTCAGTCTATTGGTCCCCCGTTGCCGATATATTATCGGAAATTTTGAAGTTTATCAAAGTATGATTTTATGTGTTCAAGTGTATTGTTTTCATGAAGGAATACAATTCTAATCAATTCTGAACCATTTCGACGTATTTTCAACCGAATTTTGAAATTTCAGAAAATTGAGGAAAATTAGGATTTTCAGTCTATTGGTCCCCCGTTGCCGATATATTATCGGAAATTTTGAAGTTT